GCTTAGAGTCCTACTATATTTTCCCCGTTGAACACGAACCTGAAGTCAGAATTGCAGGTTGATGGACAAATATGAAAATAACAAGATTATAGATTTTGATATTTCGGTGAATGTGCATCGCATATAAGAGATGCACCTCCACCAAAATGCGAGAACCTACAATCTTGGTGTCGAAGTTACTTTCATCCTGGTTCATCGACCCCAAATTGCATGGAAACATATACTGGCACCCCAGCACACACCACTTTTTTTGTGGTCCTGTGCTATCATCGGTCCATCTATCCGGCTGCTCCACTCTAAAGTGTATCTAACGAAGCTACAAAGTAATCGTAAACAGTGGTTGATTCGTGATCAACGCGTGATCGGTAGCCATGGCGCTCTGTCGGCCTCTTCCTGATTGGCTTGTAGCGACGAGCCTCCAGACAAAGTCGCACGGTTGCCACGCTCGGCGAGTTTTCGCCAGAGTGGTTGATCACATTCGCATTGATCACAAAACAATCTGTTGGTGCAATACGTGCAATAACTGTTGTAAAGGACATTGTATAACAATAAATGGCATCACAAAGGTATATTCCAATTTTATCTGCAGCAAATTATGAACGGCATATACGGAGATGCGAAAACAAGCTCAAAAAGGTGAAGAAAATTTTTGTGCAATCTTTATAGTTAAATTTTTCCTAAGAGATAGCATCAGTGAGGGAATTTTTTTCTATTGTCTTATTTTTCACATTAATGCGATGTCGAGGTATGTGGCCCTATCGCAATTGAAAATAAGGTTTCGATAATCCTTCCATAAGGTTTCGATGAGTACATCTGAAATAACCTTGAGATATTCTTCAGGGAAATACAAAAATCTCCTTTTGTGTTTTTTTGTGCAGATTTATCTATTAAAATCCTATCCGCAATCTATTTTCCGTGCACACACCTTCAACCGAATGTATGCCATATATGATATTACCGTTTCCAACTTTCACCAAGGTTAATAGGAACCATAACAGCTCCCTACCCTTCCCCCCTATAAGAATATCGATTTGTAGCCTCACATTTCAAGGTTAGACTTCTTGTAATGTTTCTGTTCAACATTCGGCGATTTCTGACAATTTTCCCAATAAAACATGATCATTGTGACATTAAGCCTGGAAACGCTGCATAGTAGAGGGAACTCTCAGCGTCACGTTGATGGTTCGTCACCACGCACAGGATTGTAATCAGTTACGGATACCCGTTTATGAGCGCGAACGTTTTATGCATGTCTTGACTTGATTTTTCTTGCGGAAATTTAATATTAGTCTAAAATGTCTGACACAGATACAGCTGATGAAGTGGTTGAAATCAGCTTAACGCCACCCAGCAAAAGGGCTAAAAAGCTTCATCTTAGCGCAGGTGAAAAACAAATAATTCTAAATATCTACAAGAACCAGATGCAAGAGAATAGTGGATTGGCTATATAAAATATCGTATGTAAGGTTGCTGAAATTTCTGGAGTAGGTCGATCAAGTGTTTACAAAATCTTGAAGGAATATAGACAAAATCACTCACTATCTGAGCCAAAAACATATCCAGCGAGAAAAAAAATCATCGAAAAAATAGATGACTTTGACAAAAGTGCCATTAGAAGAAAAGTACATCACTTTTTCTTCAGGAATGAAATACCTACAATAGATAAAATATTGAAGCAAGTGAATGATGATGAGGACCTGCCAAATTTTAAAAGATCTACGTTCCATAAGCTGTTGAAAGAACTAGACTTTCGATTTTTGAAAAGAGGAAGGAATAGTTTATTGATAGAAAAGGAGGAAATTGTTATCTGGAGGAGAGAATACCTTAGAAAAATTAGGCAATTCCGCGCTGAAGGAAGAAAAATTTATTATTTAGACGAAACATGGGTGAACGCGGGGCATACGCAGGGAAAGGTTTGGGTAGACAGATCTGTGAGGTCCTCAAGGCAGGCTTTTTTAGATGGCCTTTCGACGGGATTGAAAAATCCTGCAGGTAAGTTTCGAAGTATATGTACTTTTTTGGATGCAGATAATTCATTTTCTGAACGAATCAATGATTTGGAAGCTCCGAACTCAGTTTTGCTATCTCATCCAAGTTTCTGAGTATTTCCTTCACCCAAAAACTAATCTAAGACCCTATCCTACACTAACCTAAAAAGAGTAAGTTGCTTAATTTCGTCATTTAGTGCGCTCGCTGAGAAGTAAAATAACTAATTACTTTCAGGCAAGGGAAAACGCCTGATCATTTGCCACATAGGTAGCGTAGATGGATTTGTTCCTGAAGCATTGTGGGCATTTGAATCCAAAAAAACTGGAGACTATCACGAAGAAATGGATAGTAACTCATTTGAAAATTGGTTCAAAAAAATTTTGCCGACACTTGATGATAACGCAATTATTGTGATGGATAATGCCCCGTACCACTCCAGAAAATTGGAAAAAATTCCAACAATGGCCACCAAAAAGGCAGACATTCAACAGTGGCTTGTCTCAAAGAAGATCGACTTCGACCAAACAATGGTCAAAGCTGAGCTGATAAATATAGTCAAGCGACATAAGTATAAATATGATTTAAAAATTGTTGACGAAATGGCCAAAAACCAAAATAAAACGATTCTCAGGCTGCCTCCCTATCACTGCGAACTGAATCCTATCGAGTTGATTTGGGCCGACATCAAGCAATACGTGGCGTCAAATAACAGCACTTTTAAGTTTTCTGACCTTAAAACACTGTTTGATGTTGCTGTCGATAGAATTACGCCAGCAAAATGGAGAACACGTATTGACCATGTCCAAGAGAAGGTTGAAACCAAAATGTGGGATATGGACAATATCATTGACACCCAAGTTGAACCCCTTATAATTGACATCAACAATTCTGATGATTCAAGCTCCTCGGAATACAGCATATCAATCGATTGATACCATTAAGACTGGCAGTTTAACGGGCTTTTTGGCAAGACAGGTAAGTTCATTATAGACTGCAATCAAAGTGTTAAGTTTCTAGTTATTAATGTGGAAATTCCAAATTTATAATTACACAAAATTAGGGTTAATTTAGGAGTTCCAAAGCATAATAGTGCCATTTTGACCTTCTTCCTATTTCTCATGTAAATTTTAATAGCAATCAAACTAACAAACTTTATGGAGTCTGTAATAAACTTTTGTACTACTACTACTACGTCTGTAGTTTCTATTTGCTCAAAAAAATTTGCTCTGTATTGTGAATAGAAGGTAGATTTGTAAATATTATTGGGTATATATGTAAGTTAATAATAAAATATGAACAATTTCAATTAAGATGGTCCACAAGTTTTTTTCGTGTGCGTTTTAGTAACATTTTGCTGGAATGGTGAATACAGAATTTTTTGCACTGATTCCTAATGTCGAAATATGATTAGAAAGGCGTGGTATATTCCTGATAATTTACTATGCTTTTGATAGAATTTACAGCAACACATATCTTGTACGACATTTTTTGATAGATCAGTCACAATAGCTTGATACGGCCCTGTAGCGTCTCCTACGGTTAAGTTCTTGATCACGTGCAATACGGGTGTATATGTTTGATTTTACTTTGTTTCTTCGATGGATACAGTTTAGGTCCTTTTTGACACTTTCTGATCGGTTCTCCAAAACAAAATCAAGTCACTGTCTCCAGTTCCACTTCGGTGAAGCGAAGACCAATTTTCAGTATCAGTATAAAGGACAATTTTTAACAAGGATTTCAACGATGGCTTTGGATTCAGCCTTTCTAATACTTTCTCACTTACTACTATTATGTTCTTCAATGTGAGCTTCAGGATCATGATGATATTTTTCACCAATAATCCTACTAAGCTAAAAAACTAAAAGTAATTTTACCTAGCCACATACATTTGGCATTCATTTGACGGTTACGGATGACCTTGATCTTAGATTTCGATACATACGAGGTCTGTGATGAGACTGGCAAGGTAGCGTTCGATCCGGCAACACTGGAGGCGCCGAGCTTGGAGGGGAGACAGTGGAATATGGGGTCCGCCTTCAGTACAAGTTTGAACTTGCTCGAGTTGTTTAATTGTCCATAGCGATTTTTTTAGGGAAATAGTTTTTCCTATTGATCTAAAAATGAGTGACATCAATTTCGAACAATGAGACTTGGGCGCAGTGCAAGGTAATTTCTTGCTAAGCTTCAACAGGCCTACGGACACCAGATTTTTCGTTGACTTAAGGCATTTTCAGAAAGGATAGAGTCGATTGAAGATGAACCACGAAGCGGAAGGCCTTCATCTTCAAAAACTGATGAAAATATTAACAGAATCCGGGGTCTTGTCAGAATGATCGGGGAACAGTTAAATTTGACACCACTGTTCATCAGATCAAGAACAACTGAGTTTTGCATCTCCTTGTCATACAACAATGCCTCCATATTTGCCTGACTCGAGTCCTTGTGACTTTCTGAAATTGACAAATCACCTCTAGGGAACTCATTTTGGGACAGTAGAAAACATTGTAACCCACCAGCTGAAGACTATTCCAGTATCGGAGTTGGCAGCACTGCTATCAGGAGTGGAAGGACCATCTCGAGCGCTGTGTGTCTTCAGAATGGAGTTATTTTGAGGGCAACAATATTAAATTGTAGTTATATTTGAATAAAAAATTTAAAAAATCGGTATCATCACTTAATTTACAGACCTCGTAATATTCGGGCGTGGAATATTCCTTTCTTTCGATTTTCGGTGTCAAAAAAGGGGGTTACCATTTAAAGAATAAAAGTTGACCTTGAAATAATGAAATGTCACCATTGAACTGCTTATCAAAGTTAGTATAGCTCTGATCTTGACCATTTTTCGAAAATTACCTTACCTGCAAAAATGCTGAGCCGTTCCGTTACTTTTGTGACAGACGATATGTCCATCAAGCTTTTTTGCCTGAGCATGGCTGATGGTTTAACTCTGGCTCAACGAACGCTACTATGTGGCCTTGAATAAATGGTTTCGAAAATCAAACTTACAAAGTGTATCTACTAAACTATATTTGGATCCTAGTCGATCAACTGAGACATCAAACAAGAATACATTTAATATTGACCTCAATTTTCAATCAAGCACTAATTGATCAGCTTCCTTTTTGCCCTGATATCCAGCGCCTCCAGCTTTCTCGTTCGAAGCAGAGCTTTGGTACAGTTGAGTCTGTTTGATCGCCGCGTACAAGCAAAACAACAGATGTAAAGATTGAGTTTTCTTCTTCAGAACAGGGATTTCGAAAATGTTGCACACTGTTTCTACGTATTCATCAAGAGATGTTCCTTCTTTGGGCTTCGGAAAGCCTTCTGCTTTCAGCTTCGCCTCCATCTCTTCGGGCCATTGTTGCATGAGGTCGTCCAGATCCGGCATGGGTCTAAAGATTGCACAGATCACTGTTTGATCTAAGAGTTATCACTAGACTCCATAGGGGCATCTTAGGATATTTGGAGTTACTAAGCTAGATTCTGTAATCGCGTGATCTGTATCACGCCAAGTTCGAGGTCACTTCAATGTCAAATTTAGAAAAAATGCATTCAAAAGTTTATAAAAAGTATAGTCTAGTTTCTTGATTATAGTTTCTTGAGTCGCTGAATCCAAATCTGGCGTAAATTGATAAATTGACCTTGAAGTAAGATCCAGTCGTCAGATTCAAACATATGCTGGTCTTTACAAAGGGGATCAGACACTTTTACGGAACAACCTCAATGTGACCTTGAAGTAACTTCAAGCTGATCTCACCGTGTAAGCAAGTTCCAGATTTAGATTCAGAGACCCAAAATCCCTGCAGGTGGAGGTTTTCAAGAAGATTCACACTTTTACCAGTTTTGTGCTTGAAGTAACCTTAATTTGGCAATTAAATAACTTCTGTCTGATCTCACCGGGTAAACAAACTTCACATTTGAATTCAGAGACCAAAAACTATGCAGGTGGACGTTTTCAAAAAGATTCATACTTTAACCAATTTTGACCCTTGTGTAACCTTAATTTGACAATGAAATAAGTTCTAGCTGATCTCACCGGATAGTCAAATCCCAGATTTGGATTCAGAGACCCAAAAGTCGTACAAGTGGAGCTTTTCAAAAAGATTCACACTCTTACTAATTTTGACCCTTAAGTCACCTTAATTTTACACTAAAATAACTTCTAGCTGATCTCACCGGGTAATCAAACACCAGTTTTAGATTCAGAGACAAAAAAGGTTTTCAAAAAGATTCACACTTTTACCAGTTTTGTCCTTGAAGTAGCCTGAATTTGACAATGAAATAACTTCTCGCTGATCTCACCGGGTAAACAAACTTCAGATTTCGATTCAGAGACCAAAAAATATGCAGTTGGACGTTTTCAAAAAGATGCATACGTTTACCAATTTTGACCCTTAAGTAACCTTAATTTTACAATAAAATAACTTCTAGCTGATCTCACCGGGTAAACATACTTCAGATTTGAATTCGGAGACCAAAAACTATGCAGGTGGACGTTTTCAAAAAGATTCATACTTTTACCAATTTTGACCTTTGAATAACCTTAATTTGACAATGAAATAACTTCTAGCTGATCTCACCGGGTAATCAAACCCCAGATTTGGATTCAGAGACCCAAAAATCGTGCAGGTGGAGCTTTTCAAAAAGATTCATACTCTTACTAATTTTGACCCTTGGGTAACCTTAATTTTACAATACAATAACTTCTAGCTGATCTCCCCAGGTAAGCGAATTTCAGATTTGGATTCAGAGACCAAAAAAGATTCACACTTTTACCAGTTTTCACCTTGAAGTAACGTTAATTTGACAATGATATAACTTCTGGCTGGTCTCACCGGGTAAACTAACTTCAGATTTGGATTCAGAGACCAAAAACTATGCAGTTGGACGTTTTCAAAAAGATTCATACGTTTACCAATTTTGACCCTTAAGTAACCTTAATTTGATAATGAAATAACTTCTAGCTGATCTCATCGGGTAATCAAACCCCAGATCTGGATTCAAATACCCAAAAATCGTGCAGTTGGAACTTTTCAAAAAGATTCACACTCTTACTAATTTTGACCCTTGAGTAACCTTAATTTTACAATACAATAACTTCTAGCTGATCTCCCCGGGTAAGCGAATTCCAGATTTGGATTCAGAGGCCAAGGTTTTCAAAAAGATTCACACTTTTACTAGTTTTCACCGTGAAGTAACCTTAATTTGACAATGATATAACTTCTAGCTGGTCTCACCGAGTAAACAAACTTCAGATTTGGATTCAGAGATCAAAAACTATGCAGTTGGACGTTTTCAAAAAGATTCATACGATTACCAATTTTGACCCTTAAGTAACCTTAATTTGATAATGAAATAACTTCTAGCTGATCTCATCGGGTAATCAAACCCCAGATCTGGATTCAAATGCCCAAAAATCGTGCAGGTGGAGCTTTTCAAAAACGTTCACACTCTTATTAGTTTCGACCCTTAAGTAACCTTAATTTTACAATAGCATAACTTCTAGTTGATTTCACCGGATAATCAAACTCCAGATTTTGAGACCCAAAAACCATGCAGGTGGAAGTTTTCAAAAAGATTCACACTTTTACAAGTTTTGACCTTGAAGTAACCTTGACTTGATCTTGAAATGATTTCTCGAAAGCCTCGCCTATATTATTTCTTTTCAAAATATTTTTTAAACAGTTTTTCTAAATTCAAAGTCCTAAGATACTCCTTTAGGATCCAGTGATAACATAGATCAAATGTTAACCTGTATTATTGATAATAACACAGGTTGAAAGTGAGGATGAAATATCAAAAATTTAAAATTATAAACTAATTTGAAGATATGTCAGGGATTTTGACTAACTATTCGTTTTTGTGTGTAACTCGGAACACTATTACAAGTGTTTTTGCGAGTGACATTATTCTGACGAACAGACCGTATCATTTTTTTTTTGTTACACGGACACGGAAATCGCGGCGATGCCGATGCTTTCTTAGAGCGATTGCTGTAGGCACGATATCATGTTCACTATGTTATACTACGCATTTTTAATCGTCCATCAAACGAAATTTGACTTAACCCCTTTACAAATCAGGCTTCCATAATAGTACGAACTTACGCAGTTCTCAATAGTTTTAAACTGTGGAAACCACGTGGCCGACCGTGTATCTTATGAATTGTCGGGCATCGACGTAACGCTCGGCACTAGTGAAGTGTGACGTCAGACTATAATGCACCAAATTTAAGAAATAATTTCTCTGTCATTTATTTCATTATTTTTTTCACTGGTTGATTATATTTCATCTATATTTTGCTGGTATGTCATTACACTTATGCGATTCTGAACATCAGGAAACTTCTCCATTGGGTGGACCCGCCCTACGAATTGAGGAGCAAGCTACGTCACTGTCCATAGTGTAACCTCCAAACGAATAAAATAGTGGACCCCCGATAATCCGGCCCTTGTCTAATCCGGCACCCCCTGTAATCCGATATGTCTTTAAATATTACATACATACGTATTTGACAGTCTTCGCTAATGTAGATCACGCAGGTTTGAACAGGTTACAACTTGTACGCGCCACCGCTATCGTGCTCGACGCGTAAGCATTGTTTTACTTAGTTTGAATATGACTACTTGTGATAGCAGTACGGCCTAGCGTGCGTTCATTGTTTACTATTTATTAATTGTGTATTAAGTATAGTACCTAGTAATGTCCTCACAAACTCAGAAGCGAGAGCACAAAACATTGACAATTAAAGAAAAATGTGATATTTTAGACCGCTTAAATCGCAATGAAACTTTCAGTAGTTTAGCAAGTGAATACGGCGTAGGCCGATCTACAATTTATGACATTAAAAGAAACCACGAGAAGATCAAGAAGTTCGTGTCAACTACTGACTGCGGGCCAGGCAAGAGACAGACACTCAAGAAAGCTGAACATCCAGAAGTGGAAGAAGCTTTGTACATGTGGTTTCTTCAGGAAAGAAATAGGCATGCACCAATTTCAGGACCCATGTTGGCCATGAAAGCTAAGTTTTTTTATAAGGATATAACAAAAAAAGATGATTTTGTGGCCAGCAAAGGATGGCTAGAACGTCTCAAATGTCGTCATGACATACGTTTAATGACTATTACAGGAGAGAAACTTGCTAACGATGCCACCTGCAGCCCTTTAAATTAAGATTTTTGCAAAAGGTGAACGATTTAAATCTTGATCCGTCACAGATGTAAATACAATGCAGACGAATCAGGGCTTTTTTGGCGTGTGATGCCTAACAAAACTTTCGTTTCTTGTAACGAAAAATCCGTACCTGGACTAAAAGTAAGTAAAGAGCGTGTAACCATACTACCATGTACCAACGCTGCGGGCACACACGCGCTTAAGATGATGGTCATTGGGAAATCTAATATACCACGGGCATTCAAAAACATTGATTTACCTGTACACTATTACGGACAAAAAAGTGCATGGATGACAAAAGACCTTTTCAAAAAGTGGTTTGATGAATGCTTCGTACCTGAAGTTAGAATATGTTAAAAGATCATAATTTTCCTCAAAAAACGTTGTTGCTTCTTGATAACGCTCCCGGTCATCCGTCTGAAGAAGAACTAACAACTGAGGATAAATGCATCACTGCGATGTTTCTTCCGCCAAATTGCACTTCACTGATTCAAGCAATGGACCAGAATATCATTCAGTTTGTCAAGCAAGACTATAAGGAAAAACTACTTCTGAGAGCCGTATCAAAAGACCAACCAATAGAAAAAACTTTAAAGGAATTTAATATGAAAGACTTGCTTTTTGCTCTTTGTCAGTCGTGGAATGCGTTACCGTCATCAGCTATTAAATCGTCTTGGAAAAAGTTATGGCCAGATATAGTCACCACTCCTAGCAACGTTCCACAAATCTGTGTAACTTCGGAATTTATAGAACAAGTCGCTACTGAAACACAGATATGTCCGGAAGATTTGGAAATCTGGTGCCGTGGTTTGGATAAAGAGGAAAATGTTTTTCATGAAATGTCTGACGAAGAGATTATAAAAGAGGTTTCTGATTATACAACAAACAATCAGGAAAATAACACATCGTGATTGCAACTGCAGTCACAGCACAGGACGCAATTAACGCCTTTAAGCTAGGTTTACAATGGGCTGAAGAGAATGGTATCTACATCCTACAACGAACTTTTACTTTTGAAAAGACTGAGGGACAAAGCTCTGATCTCGCGTTATAACAACCTTAAACAAAAAAAAATTCATGAATATTTCCAAGCTTCATAATTTGATAAATTCATTAATGATTTTTATTAATAATTCTTGATTATTTTGGTACATATTATGTATGTGCATTTATGCTTAATTTTATAATAAAACGTGAGCTGTCTATTGTTATTTAATTTACTAAATTCGACATACATAAACTATGTTGTATGATTTGTACTTCAAAGTACATACATATACATAATATATACATATAATCTTACCATTGGATATGTAATTTGTCGGATTACAAGGTACTCTTTTGTAAAAAATTCCGGACTATAAGGGCAGTGCTCTATAATCCGACAAATTCGATAGTCCGACACTGCCCTGCATAATGTTTGTCGGATTACCGGAGGTCCACTGTAAGTGGATATTGGTAAATAAACTTACTCAGAATATCGCACAAAAGTTGAGGATTTAGTTTTATGAAGATCGGAAATATCTTTGATCCATTTATCGATCACTTTGGCATTCTTTTCCACATTTTCAACTTTTTTCGCGACCTGAAATAGAAATAATAACATCCAATAACATATCCCTGATTCTTCCCACTGGTATAGATGATAGATGGAACAAAATATATCCATACCACATGCTTCTCATTTTTGTGAACACTCAAGTCGGCAGAGGCTGCCCTCAATTGAAGGTGAAGCAAAGCAGAGTCACTTTGATTCAACGCTGGTTCATCCAACACAATCAGTCCGAGATTCAAAGATTTCTCGTCGAATTTCTGCCCATCTATCGTGACATCAGGCGGTATCACTTTGAGGAAAGCATCAATGTCTCCAACTGCCGGTAAATACTCCGGTATGAACGGCTTGAATTTATAGTCCAAATTCAGTTGTTGAGGAATGTATCTAAAATGCAAGAAATAATTGAATACACAAGTGGATAAAGTTGCTATGTCACATTTTTTTAAATTGCTTTTTTGCATTAAATTAACCTTAAGGAGTGATTCTTTCATTATGTGATTACAGTAGAACCCCGATTATCCGAAATCCGCTTCATTCGAAACAGATCGCATACAATAATTTCTCCGTTTTAACCGAAGTTGTTCGGGAAATCGGCGCATGATCCGAAATAGCCGCCGGTAGTTCCCCTTTCGGTGTTTGCGTCATTAGATTCGCTGCCGGTGATTCCCCAAGCGCGTTTGCGAAATTCACTGGTATGTGTCCGTGTATGTTTCTTTCAGTTAGGTTCATAATCGCTAAGATGGAGCAGCATAGAAATAAACGTAAACGCGTTGTTATTACCATAGAATAGAAACCTGAGGCAATCAGACGTTTAGATAGAGGTGATTTGCTTAAAAACGTGGCAAGTGACTTGGGTGTGAGCGTGAGTACCATTTCAGAATGGAAAAAACAACGCGAGAAAATTAAAAAGTGGTCTATTGTTCTGATATCATTGCAGTCGTCACGGAAAACTATAAAAAAGGGGGAATATCAAAAAGTGGATGATGCTTTATATTTGTGGTTTACACAGAATCGATAACGTGGAATATCAATTTTCGGACCAATTCTAAAGCAAAAGGCAGTCAACTTAAGTGAAGAATTGCCAGTTATTGAGGCGCCTGATAACTTTACAGCCAGTGATGATTGGCTGCATAGATGGAAAAAACGACACGGTATACGAGAACTAAAAGTTTGCGGAGAAAAGTAATCTACCGATAAGTCCGCAGCATTAAAATTTGGAGGATATTTTAAAGAATTAATGAAGCAGTATGGTTTAAGTCCACAACAAATTAACAACTGCGACGAAACGGGACTGACCTATGAAATGTTACCGGCGAAAAGTTTAGCTTCAAAACAAGAATCTGGAGCTCCTGGTTACAAACGCAGTAAGGAACGTGTGACTATCCTTGCTTGTAGCAATGCTTCCGGTATACACAAACTTCCTTTGTTGTTAATCGGAAAATCAGCTAAACCAGAGTTCCCCAAACTTTTTTGTGTCGTAGACCCCTTGCCATGTTTTTCCGTGTTGGGTAGACCCCCTACTTACCTGATATTGATTTCCTGTAAATTTCTAACTGTAGTGAGGTTTAGTGTTAAAAACTTAAAGTAAAAACACATGTTAATTTATACATTTATTAATTGAATTTAAATTAAAACTACTCAAAATAAAATTTTGTATCTGTTATGTAAAATATACCTAACATTAAATAAACAGGTGTCTGACCAATAAGTGCCCGCATTGGGAATAAGTACCCGCATTGAAAAAAAATAAGAGGGATAAAATAAATAAAAAGTGAAAAATAATAAAAAAAGTTTTTTACTTAAAATAGTACAATAAGCGAGATCGTTATTAATTATAACATAAACGTATGTTCTACAATAATTTTACTGTAATTTTGATTAAATTCCGCTTCTTATACGTTTAAGTTATCTAAAAATAGGCAAAAAATTAACGAATTTTAGTGTATCCTTGAATTTTCAGAATAATTTAAAAAAAATATATATTTTCTATAAAGGGGGGTTCTTTAAAAAAATCAATGCGGGCACTTATTCCCAATGCGGGCATTTATTGGTCAGACACCAATAAACATAAAATAAACTATCAATAAAATAACATAAGCAATAAGTTTTTTAGTGTGAAGGATGAACCTGATGCTTAAATCATAAATTATCAACATTTGGCGTCAATTTTGTAAGGGTTAATCTTAAATCTCCTCGGCTAATGATGTCCAGTCTGTTTCTTTTTTTCGTTAGAAGATTGGTAACAGCGCTGAACCCCCTTTCCACTAGGTATGACGATGGAAAGGAAATTAAAAATTTCCTCGCTATATTCCATAATACGGTATAAGTAACGGGTATGTTGTTTTGCAGTCAGAATTGCTGATATCCGTTTTTAAACTGAACCTTAAGTTCTTCGTTTGTACTTAGTTCAGTCAGTTCCTCTTGTATTATGACATTCGTTTCTTCTATGTCACCATATGGATTAATTATCCACGGTGGTATTACCATAGTCAAAATATCCTCAAACCTAGATTCAAAATCTGAATAGAGAGCATTTAAATGTTGAACGTAAGTTGAAACGTAGTCTTCCTGGCAGCTTGTCTGTGACAAATTGGGGAACTTAGAAAATTCGCCCCGTCCAATATTTTGCTTCACGCTAATAAGATGGACTTTGTTTTAATCAAATTTAAACTGTCGCCTTGTAATTGCAAATTAACCATATTAAATTTTGTAAACAAATCTGTTAAATAGGCGATGTCTGTTTTCCTCTTCATTAAATTTTCTTTTAAAATTTTATCTTTAGTATCCAGAAATTCTAAAATAGTCTCAAAAAGTGCAAAAAATCTTGTCAAACATAAGCCTTTCGACAGCCAGCGTACTTCAGTGTGAAGGAGTAATTGATGAAAGTGTTCGTCATTTTCTTCACACAACTGCGCAAATAACCGCGTATTCAACGCGTTGCTTCTGATTCGGTTTACTGCATCAATCACTCAAATTTTTAGCAACTAAATATTGTCGATGGATGACGCAATGTATTGCTAACACCACTGAAACATTTTGTTTTAAATAACTTATAAATCCACGATAACGTCCAACCATGGCAGGTGCTCCATCTGTAGCTACGATATTACATTTGATAAAGGAATTGCTTTTTCACTGAAGTAATCCTTCAAAACATGAAATATTAGAGTCGGTTATAAAAGATCTTGCGAAGAGCAGGTCTTCGTAGATTTCTTGATTCATAATAAAATGAATATATGCCAATAGTAATGCTGCATTATCAGGTAAAGTTGACTCGTCCAGTTGTATAGAGAAATGGGTCGTTTGCAAATAATTACATAAGAAGCTTTCAATATCAGAACTCATTTCGTCAATACGTCTTTCAACAGTATTGTTGCTTAAGGGAATACTTTTAATGATATCAGATGCAGGTTTGTGTAAAACAGTTTTTAAAACCTCTTCAACGGCTGGCAAAATTAACTTCTCTCCGATAGTATGCGGTTTTCCGGATTTTGCTATAAGTAACGAGATATGGTAAGACGCCCGCAAACCATCATCATTTCTTTATGACGTCGAAGCGAAGATTCTGTCCAGTGTAGGTCTCTTCTGAAATTTAGAGTGTTTGAAAGTATTTCAAGTCTTTCTCTGCTTTATCACGGTGGCATCTTCTCAGATGATCTTGCAGTTTAGATGGTTTCATAGCGTCATTGCCCAAAACTTTTTTGCATAACTTGTTTGTCCGGCAATGATGGAATGAGTCAAATTTCAAATAATCAACACTGTACATTTCTTTTCAGATTCGGACATGGCATCAGTCATCTGTGGGCAAAATTAAATTATTTAAATAAGACAGAAAATCCAGCAGCTGTATATTAACAATATTTTTTGATTTTTCCGAAAACATTCCATAATTCGAACATCTTCTTGCAACAATTAGCTCGAATTACGGAGATTGCACTGTAATTATATTACCGATTGCTAAAACTTTCAAAAAGAAACTATTGAGGAGTACTCGTGTAATTTTGCATGATTGAATATTTAACTACTAATAACTAAAGTCATGATTGGCGTAATTTATCTATCTTTGCTAACTACGAGTACAAAACTAAAATTTAATAAAAAATAATGTACTTACTTTTCTCCAGCACTCTCAAACAAAATAACACTGACTCACTATAATTTCTGTGATATACTATCTGTTTATATTTTTTAAAATATTTTCTTAGCACTTTCCTTTTCAAGATTCAGGAAACGTATTTGTCCCACATTCGTATTTATAAAGTGACGAATATAACAAGTCAGTGCAAGGTAGCGAAGCTCTGAGACTGTGACTCTCAGGTTTTTACAAGTTCAAAATGTATTGCGACCACAAAGCGAATACCAACATCCTACAACTTTCACAATTTTATAAACAAATATAATAAATTTTTTACTTCATAGGTACTTTTATAAATAATGTATATGTTTTGATATTATAAGATAGTATGATCTAAGTAAATAGGTACTATCAGTGTATGTGTTGAGATCCACTATCGTGGACCCCCATATTCATTTCATGGACCTCCAATTTTTTTTTCGCTGACGCAGGTTGTCATAGACCCCTAGGGGTCGATATATACGTAGACCACTTTGGGAATCAATGAGCTAAACCAAGAGCATTTAAACACGTCCGTCACAACGCTCTTCCAGTGTGGTATAAAAAACAAAAAAATGCCTGGATGGATGCCGCTCTATTTAAGGCCTGGTTTTACAATAATTTTATTCCCAAGACAGAAGGATATTTGAATGAATGCGAGAAAATGTATTTTGCTATTAGGCAATGCTCCGAGCCAGCCAAGTGAGGTGCAGCTTAAGAGTGGAGAAATACGAGTGATGTTTTTGCCTCTTAATGTAACGTCACAGATTCAGCCAATGGATCAAGGAGTTTTAGAAAATTTAAAACACAATTACAGACGTTTGTTATTACAGCAAATTTTAGATCAAGTTGATAATGGTTGTAACCTCGTTGATTGTTTACAAGAGATTAACCTCAACAATGTGGCATATTGGATAGCACAAGCATGGGGCCAAGTAAAAAATTATACTTAACAAAAATCTTGGTTGGCAATAATTAAGCAAGAAATGGAACCTTGCACAGACTATGAGAATAACAACCAACATTTACATGAACTCGTCGTAAAAATAGCAGAGTGTGAAAATCTTATACAAGTAGATGTTGGTGAGTGAATTAATGGTGATGAATTGGTGGAAGATTTAACTGATACAGAACTAATAAAAACTGTTTGTAACAATTGCGATGAGACAGTTTTAAGTGATGCTAGTGACAATAAGACAGAAATCTCTGCCAAAATAGCATATTCTGAGGGATAAGAAGCACTACAAAAGGCGTTGACTTACGTCGAACAACAAGAAAATACGACAGCAGCTGATGTGCTACTTTCAAACGTTGGAGAGATATTGCCGCCAAAATAGGAACAATGCAAAACGTGTAAAGTTAAAAATTACTTCCTTTGTTACTAAATGCTCGTAAATATGTGTTTGTATCCACATGTTTATATTTTACGTAACTTTATATAGGTATATACTTACTTAACACACGCATTTACTATTTTCAATAAAAGCATTTTATGAGTCTAAATATTTATTTCCGTTTAATCCGAAATTTCGATTATCCGAAAGCACTTGGGTCCACATTATTTCGGATAATCGGGGTTGTACTGTACTTTGTTGCGAAAACAATATAATAACAAACTAAACTAAATATTTAAACTGTCAATAAAGTAAAAAGTCCCAATAAAAATATTTAAAGTGATTTTTCTCCATTTAATGATTTTGTTACATGGCACCCAGTTATGTCTTCAATTATAAGAACACAATCAAACGTTGAAAACAGAGATATTAGCTTTTTCGAAAGAACTGACTGCCCAATACTGTCCTTAAGATTTATTTACCGTTCATTTCGCGTAACGTACCAGTCGTCTAAGGGAGGGTCCTGACCGAAAGGAACTGGCAATCCGACTCAGTACAGTTAATCTTTTTTTAACACCGAAGCAGCCACGCAGGCAAAAGCCTAAACGCCAGGACACCGCGACTGCTATGAGGATCCCAAAGAAATTTTGATACTCCGATTTTTTAACTGCCTAAGGTTAGTAGAACTGGGAAAAGCCTCCTATTGTAGATTTTTCCACAATCTCAACACCCTCGGGACTAAGGAGCAGTCGTGTCGGACAGCTCTGGATGTACGAAGGTCGACAAGGTTAGGATTGGAGCAAAGTTGGTTGGTGTAGAGGTAGAAAAGAGCTAGATCGACGATGACCCACTGGAAGGGCCCCGAGACTGTCTGGTAGAGAAGAGTCATCGGTCAGTCCGACAGCTTCTCTCTGGACCTCTCCATCATCTTACTTATAACAGAAAGCAGAGCTATAGACCCCTAGTTGTAAGGGTCGGTCTTTGATCTCTATTTTTGGGATGAGTTTTCTGGGAAGCGAATCGAAAATTTAAATGAGCTACTGGACAGAATAATGGAAGCACTGAAGAAGATTCGCCCGTATGATAACCCGATCATTTTTACACAAATTTTAAGCTTGCATTGCTGATGAAGGAATGCAGTTTGAATGGTTATTGTGAATTTAATAAATATATTCTCGAATTAGTAAAAGTAGCTACTATTCGACAATGTTCAGAACAGTGCAGTAGACCATTGCTCTTTGTTAAAAGTCTCGCCGGTCTGTTAGTATGTCAGGTCTGGCTAGCCAGATACCAACCGCGTTCGAGGGGAAAAGAAAGAAAGTAAGGAAGCTATAGAGCAAAGAAAAGAAATAAATAATTTGAAGCAAAATTGGTTTGACTACTCGAATAATTTTGTAACTCCAAAAATAATTTTAATCGGTTTTGTATACTGAAATAATTTTGGTTGGTCTGAAATTCACAATTTAATTTTGATCACAGTGCGAGGCGCGGTCTAGAACGTTTGCGAACTTGCCCGACTGTGTAGTCCACTGAACCCAATCATGTAATGTCAAGATCTGTGTGAATGTTCTCATATGATACGTACTACGGGGCGTTGGGGATTGTACGTAGGGTTCTGCTTTGCAGGACGTGCAATCTCTGCATCTGCGTCTTGGCAAGAAAGCACCAAGCCGCGGTGATTGCGGGTCTTATGACCATTTTACACAACCGCATCTTGTTGATCAAACTTAATTTTGAATTTCTGCACAACAAAGGACCTGCCGAAACGTAATTTGGAATTTAGTTTTCAAAATATCAGTACATTTCTGCCAGGTCAACCCCTTATCAATGTTAACCCCAGGGTACCTGACAGATTATTGCCATTGTATACGAGTTCCATTCACTGACATCTGTGATGGGGCACCGCCACAATAAAAGTAGCGTTACTATCTGTCCTTCTGTCACTACGTAGAATAACAATGTCCGTCTCTCCCTCTAAGGAAAAATTGAAATTTGTAGTAATGGAAACTAAAAGTTCATCACAGGGTGGAGATTTTTCCGAGGTTTCCGATTCCGATATAATTTAAATAAAACTACACGATTTTTTATATATTTTTTAATATTATTATGACTTGGCCTATCCCCGTTTCCGACTTGGCGTCGACTTCTGGGACACCCTGTATAAACGATATTCAATGCCCCACGTTCAATGGCGGATTTAGATGGGAGCACGAGGGAACTGTGCATTATGATTTTTTGGTATCCTTTGGTATTCCAAATGCTGTCCCTCTTTGACATCACTTGTTTAAAGCACAACTCTTACGATTTATACGTATATACGAGTATTGTGACTTGCGACAAATCTAAGTCTGGGTGATATATCAGCTATATAGATTGCACTTAAAAAGTGGTTTATGTTCTGTTTGTTGCCCAATAGTAATTTGAAAAGTGTCTAAAGCTTGACTGATTTTGTTCGGGGTTGGCGTTGCAGCGCAGCACGATGTTAGATGAATGTCTAAATTGGAAATAGACATTTATGAGATTTGTTTAGCGGTGCGCCTGTGGCCTGTCTAGAAACTGCGTCGATCGATGCTCAAAATCAATACCACACGTCCCGCATCTCTTCTCGCGTATGTGTCTGTTTATGTTGCTATGTTGAATTCGTTTAAATCACAGAGCTGCTGCACTATACGTGAATATGTACAGCCTTGTATTCCTATACTCGTTTAGTACAAACATACATTATCAAAATAATTACGATCTAACAGATATAATTTTTTCCAAGGATTTCCAACATTTCTACATGCGATCAACACCGGTTCGAAAACAGAAAACAACTATGCCGTAAATCTAAGTTCGACAACGAGTCTGAAAAGTAACTAACATCGATATTGAATTTCAAAAACCCCAACCCCTACTGAGCAAATGCTTGTTCCGGAAGTTGTTGTGACCAGAATATGAGGGATGTGTTTTAAATTTTGCATATAGAAACGCGGATCGAACGTCAGTACTAAATCTTAACGTCACTCATTAGTAAACTTAAATTCAAACTTTCACAACAATACGTGCAGTGTTCTAACTACAGTGAATGTTTAAGTGTCACCAAGTCATTAGAACATTTTCGCGCCATAATTTATTACAACTTTCAGAGACAATTATCGCAACAAGAATGCCTTGCTGAGTTACTGTCTGTTTTCGGCAACGAAGTGCCACATCAGTCGACAATTTCCCGTTGGTATGGAAAATTCAAACGTGGACGGGTGAGTCTTAGCGACGATCCCAGGGTGGGTGCACCAAAAACGGCAGTCACCCAGGAAAACGTCGATGCTGTGCGCAAACTCATCATTGAAGATAGACATGTGACATATCGCGAGATTGAGGCGTCCTTGAAGATCTCAAAGACCTCAATTCAAAAAATTTTACATGAAGAACTAGGAGTAAGAAAATTAGTTTCTCGTTGGATACCCCACCTGTTGACTGACGAGCAGAAAGCAGCCAGTGTTAATTGGTTTAAAAAAACGCTTGACCGTTTCAATTCCGAAACTCAAAAAATGTGTACAGCATTGTTAGAGGTGATGAATCGTGGATTTACTGTTACGTACCAGAAAAGAAACGACAGTAGGCTGTTTGGGTGTTCCAAGGTGAAGAAAAGCCAACAAAAGTCATCCGTTCTCGAAGTGTTTCGAAAAAGATGGTTGCGACATTTTTGTCAAAAGCGGGTCATATTGCAACAATTCCTCTTAATGAGCGAAGAACTGTTACTGCGGATTGGTATACCACCATTTGTTTGCCAAAAGTCATCACCGAGCTTCGAAAAATCAACCCCGAAAGAAGAATATCCCTTCACCAAGACAATGCAAGCTCGCACACAGCCCAAAAAACAAGGCAGTATTTAACGGAAGAAAACGTGGAATTATTAGACCATCCTCCATATAGTCCCGATCTAAGTCCTAACGATTTCTTTGCTTTCCCGAAAATTAAAAACAGACTGCGTGGTCAAAAGTTCCAGTCGCCAGAAGAAGCAGTTGACGCATTCAAAAATGCCGTTTTGGATCTGCCAGCAAACGAGTGGAATAAGTGCTTCGAAAATTGGTTCGAGCGCATGCAGATGTGTATTAATCTTCGTGGAGAATACTTCGAACAACAATAAAGTCATTTAAAACTACCTACCGTGTTGTTTTATTTCCATATTCAAAACTTAAAAGACATCCCTCGTACATCTTCTTCCGGTACAAGTGATTGTACACGCGTTAAGGAATACCTCAGTACCGATTGCCGGGTGGCGGTACAAGTCCGCCAACGGACCACTTTAGGTCTATTTAATGTCATTAACACGCAAAAAGGTGGTGGTAGACAAGTACCAGTCGACCGAGGCGGTACCACCCTATAGCTTAGGGTGTCTTATAAATGTCCGCATGTTTCCACAACTAAGCTATGCAGTCGGTTATCTTCGTCTGGCAGCACTAGGATCGTACTCTAAACAACATCAAAACATGGCAGAAAGTTGCTAGAGTGGGAACACAAAGCAATTCAATTGAAATCGAAATCTGGTTGAAGTCGAGTTGCCGTAGGATTGTTCAGCTATGAAACACCACATTACGTGGTTGACACTTGCTGTAATTGTAATTTTCCTAAACATAGAAAAAATGTTGCGCGATTATTTATACTTCCGACTGTACTACCATGCACCTCTGAATAAACTGGAACACATCCTTAACCTCCTCATCCACCTCTAAGTTTTCATACAACTTTGGATCGTACTCTCCGGGAACAGTGAACTTTCCCTTATCAGGATCGTTGTCGCTGTCATCACTGTCGCTGGAAAGATGAGGCAGCTTCTCTTCAGTTGACGGGGTCTTTTTGAGACTACCCTGCCTTGGTCTACCAGACGGACCCGCGCTGGACACTCGAGACTTCCTTCTTTCAAATTTCGTTGAATCTTTTTTAGACTCCTCTATCACCTTATCAGCGGCAAGCTGGAAATGAAAAAATGCAAGATGTTTTGACCGCCTCTTTATTAATGTTATGGTGATCTCACGTACGTCGGATAAGTCTGAGGCACCCACTTTGATAGGACTGTTGCTGTTCTCTTCAGAACTGCTTAACTCCAAATCTGAAATATTTTCGCTCTTATGTAGCGCTTCAACCTTCTCATTTTTGGCGTCTGCCTTTTCCAGAGTGAAAACGTCATCGTCCTCAAAAATGGAAAAATCGTCATAATTCATTCTCAGGTCAAAATAAAAGTAAAGGCTATTCTTCTTACCTCAACAATGGAAAAAGATCTCTGTAACATCCTTCAATAATGGAACCACAATTTAAATTTTATATTTTGTTTACAGACGCGTTGCTAAGCAACGAACTAGTGGCTTTCTAGTGAGTTTTATATGAGACTGTTGGTTGCATTGAACGACTTATGCACGGTGCCAAATTTATAAAATTTTCAGTGATTTAGGCTGTCCTCACAGCGAAAAATAGCTCATATAAAAATATTGAGTATGTCTGTTGAATACCGTATTGACTTTTGTATTAACTCCCTCGTTACGGGAAAATCCCAACTACCTACTGAGCTATTGCAATTTTGATGAAATCGAGAAGTGACATGCAAGTCCTCATAAAGTATTTTGATTTCATTTTTTTTTAAATCGGATTGCTTGTGTAACGAGATAGAAAAAGTATACCAATATGTCCCAAAAACTATTGTCTAACATAATATATAATCAACTATCAACAAAATAGATTTGTCCTTCAAAAAATTTTATCTAAGAATTTGGCAACGCCTGTCATAAAAATTTTTGAGGTTATGGATGTTGTCAAAGATCAATCAAGTTCAAGTGCCAAATGAATTGGCAAAACAATGAATTTTGAACTTTTTAACATGTAATTTTAGTCGTAATTACTTTGAAATCCATATAACCTAGCAATAAACAATGTGGTTTTTAACTGTAGTCAGTTATCTAGCCATCCTAGTTCAAATAATTTTCATCACGATTGCAATAGGTTTGTTTGAATGTTTGGCGGAAAATTGACGATATTATAAATAATTGTTTCAGCTGCTGGACTCTACTATCTTGCCGAACTCGTTGAAGAATATACTACAATAGCAAAAAAAATCATATGGTGGATGAACACGGTAATCCCTTGCAAGACTAACGTTTTGTCAATTTTCTATGAATCTTTACTTTCAGAGCATCTTTGCACTTTATCTCTTACTATGGATATTCGAGAACTTCCCTTTATCAATGATTCTGTTTGGAATAGCAGAACAGCTGACACACTATGTAATACTGACTAACTTCCCATTTGTGGCATTCTCATCCATTGGATTTGTAGCATCAGTGCTTTTTGTTGTGATAAATCACTACCTTGCATTCAGCTATTTTGCTACAGTTTATCATCCATTCTCTGAGGTGAGCTATAACCTTATACGAGACATATTTTTTTACTTTAATACACAATACAAATAGTGTCCTCAACAATAATGTTACTAAGGAAAATTAAAATGATTGTGAATATCAAATATAATTTTAAAATATTTGATTTTGTAGTTAAGACATTCAGAAATTACTTATTCATAATAATTTATGTTTTTCAGTTGATAATTTTTATTCCTAATGATTAGCACTAAATTGTATAAATTCTATATCTTGTTACAAGCTTTTATTAAACTTGACCTGTTAATTAATACCAATCCTGGCATATTTTAAAGTTTTTTTGATGGTAATGAAACATGGCAAAGGTTGAAGGAGTTTCTTCTTAAAAATATTCTTGGGATCTCTTGGATCATTTCTTACTGAGTAATAATTATTTAACTAAGTAATAATTATTTAACTAAATACTCCTTCATCCATCCAACCACAGACAGCTGTGTTGTGCTGTTTGGCAACTCATCAGCATGGTCTTGGCTTGGTCTCTGGGACAAAGAACTAAAGCATAGAAACTGTCTTCCATCCGAAGCATGAGGTCTATCAAAATAAGGTAGCTCAAAGCACCTTCTATTACCAGAATCTACCACTGGGAAAGTGTGTAGCAGCTATCATGTCACATCACCAATGTGACTGCCAGAGGCTGACAATTCTGGCAATGTTTATCTAATACAATCCTTAAGTTTTTCGTATCATTGAATATTTCATTACAATTAACTTCATCTTAGAGATAAGGCTGATGGACTTTTTCTCCTCCTATTTATTTAAAGAACACAGTTCCTCAAAAAGCAATAGCACCAGGCTCATTTTCTATTTGTTCCTCTACTCCCTCATTTTCATGGATTGACCTGAAGCATAAACTGATTCTAGATGGACATTAAATCAATTGTAGAACAAAAATACAGCTTCTATCAAAATTCATCAAACCAGAAATATGCCTGAATTATTATATAGGACCTAACTCCTTGAATGTTTGCATGAGATAAAACGCCAACTATCGCACCAGAATCGATCGCGCACCGCTGCTATCAATTGGAACTGTCAAAGATCTCAGTTCGAGTTTAATAGCCGTACCGCTGGATGGCTGATGATTCTGGCTGAGAGTAGAAGTGGTCCACTTGCCTTGAATGTTTGCTGCAAATTAGACACCCTTTAACAAAAAAATGATTCTGTTGTCCTTTCTTCCAGGTAATAGCATTCTTCACGCTGTTTTTGTGGTTAGTGCCATTTGCATTATTTGTGTCATTATCAGCCAATGACAATGTGTTGCCAACTACAACAGATAGAATTGGTATGCCCTTATATTAACAACTGATATTATTTATACTTGATGATTCTCACTTCCAGATGGTGATGTGGTCTCGAACTATTTCTCAAAAAGAAACAAAAAGTATGGACTGCTGACATTCTTCAATTATGCCAAGGAGTCATTGTTACCTATGAGAACAAAAAAGGGATTTTGAATCAAACACTGTGTATAGTTTAAGCCAACTATTTATTTTTTATAATTAAAATAATTTAACTAAAAAGATATTCTGTTCTTAGAACTGATTTGTAAAAACAGACTTTATAATGTATAAAAATACAAATAAAACTTCCATTCTTAGTTCATGAAAATCAGCTTTCATGTAAGTACAATAAAGAATTTTGTTTTAATGGTACATATTTCTCTCACAATACTTGTAGGTGTAAAATGCATGCTTCAGTTATAACCATGAATGAACTACATTGTTTCATTTTCTCAGACATTTGAGTCCACTGATGATATATATCTATCATCAGTGTTTGAGTCAGCATAATAATTTTAAAACAATTTTATGGGGTGTGATAGAACAAATCATTAAATTAATCTACTATGGTTAATTCTTTGGAATGTCCTATCAGCAAAATATTTTGAATATGTATATGCTTATAAAAAGAATAGGATTATTTTAAAATATGATTTCAATGGTGTGTCCAATTTTGTCTCATTTACAAAATTCTTTAATAGCACTTTTAACTGTACACAAATTCGATAATAATGATTAGAAGGTAGTTAATTTTCTCGTATTTTCTCTTAATTCTTTTTCTCTTTCAACCCTGCATGCTTGTGACTCCAACTCCTTGATCTCTGTTCTCTTCAATGCTATATTTTCTTTCAGCTGCTTGTATGATGTAGATGTGGGATCTTTCTGTCTGCCAAGGGATTCTTCTAATTTTATCAAATCCATTTGGATTCTTTTAATAGTCTCGTCAATTTGTAAACCTTTCACATTGAGTTCTCGCTGAGACTCTCTTTTAATTTGTTCGCGTTTGTTAGCTTTTTTCTTGCCTTTCCCTGTAACAGTACAAAATCCAACAAGTCGCTTATTTTTGCTACAAACTCCTTAATAAAAAACTACAACCCTTAATATAAGACAAGATAGTATAAAACGAGCGATTTAAATCATTTGTAAAGATTGGGAAACGTGTATAACATGATTAGAAAGTTAATAATAATGATAGTTATAAATATTAAGAATTAGTTTACATTTTTCTACAACTCACCTTTACTCAAAATATTTTCATTGAGAAAATTGAATACATCTCCATTTTTATTTTTCTGTTGCTTTTTCAAGAATCTATTTTGTTTTCCTTCTTGTACTTGCTGCAAACGTTTAAGCCTTTTTTCAGCATTAAAGAGATCTTTGTCGCCTCCAGCTCGTTCGCGAAGTTGCATACAGTAGTCCAGTGATTTGCCCTGTGGCAGTATTACGGCTGTGACTGGATTAATTATGCCTTCTGCTTTTTTCCCTAGCCCAGTGCCTACTACATATCCCATTTTTTGCATCAATTTGAACCCAATGCCCTGTAAAGCCATGACAAAAATTGGAGACTAATCTTCATATTTGATATATCCGCCTGAATGCCAGACCTTCTACAGCCCAATCATGTTAGACGAAAATACCCCTGGTTTACGAAATAATTGTAAAGTCTGGTTTTATTGATGCAAGTTGTTCAAGCAAGTATTTAAATCATGGACGCATAAAATGGGTACACCAATTTTTGTGGGAAAACTTTTTAATCGACAGCAAATAATGAGAAAACGTCTTTTTTTTGAGTCAAGTAGTTTTTGAGAATTTCTAATTGTTTATCTGCTTTGTTTTTCGCATAAAAATAACAATTATCTTTTGGAATGGTTTTTGATTCATCTTGGCAAGGTCGTGTATTTCGCTATAAAATGCTCTTTAAACGAACCCTGTATATTGCTCAGTAAACTAGTAGTGATGGCCAGAAATCAGGTGTTTTGGGATAAACAATTTGAAATTCTCAAAAACTACTTGATCAATCGACTCCAATTTTGTTGTGGTTATTTAGAAGTATGCAGCCTGCGGATTTGAATTCAAGTAGGTGCGTGAAATTATCGTCGTATTAGGAACAAGAGCCATAACCTGCATTTTGCCTCGGTTTTTGGCCATAACTTTTTTACTATTAGCCGAATCTTTTTACATGTGGTCTCATTCTGTAGGTCTCATAAATACCTAAAAATCTTAATTGAAGAGTTTTTTGGTTCCTGACAAAACTTTTGATTGAATCCCAAAAAACACGTTTTCTCATTCTTGGTTGCACAATAGAAAGTTTTCCAACAAAAATTGATGTACCCATTTTATGCGTTTTAAATACGCCCTTGAATAACTTGCACCAATAAAACCAGACTTTATATTTTGTGGAAATTTACTTATATGATGAGACTACTAGCCCCACTTGTGTTGTTTATATGAGGTGTCTGACTCCAAGACTCACATTCTCCAGCTTTTGACAATATTCTCATTTTTGAAACAACAATATCTAAAAATGTATACAAAATAACACTCTTCCAAGGAAATAAGTTAAACTAGCCTTCAACTTTGTTCGTTAGAGATACAGACTTTTTTGATTTCTGTAAAATTTTCAAAGTGAGAGTTCTGCACTTACCCCCTCGTTATTACAATAATTTAAGACTGTGAAAATATGCACTCTCCTGCTACTTAAATTGTTTTCTAAAGTTATTCACTAAAATCACTTTTGTAACAACTGACAGTCATCAAAAAACAATGACAGCATGATTATTTGTTGAGAAAATAGTTTTTGTTTGTAATATTTTACTATGGAACTGGAGCTACATCTGGACTGGTCCAGTGGCCAAAATATTTTTTTTCTATTAATTAAAACAGAGGATCAGGATCTATAAGTGGGAATTTTGGCACTGAAACCATTATTTCAGGTTAATGAAATTATTGTTTTCAAATATTTTTTATGATTTTTTCTTTTTAATACTCAATTGTTTGTTCAAGCCCAAAGTTTACAATTTTGGCAACTTTGTCCAAAATTAACCGGTTTTCTAAATATTTAGCTTAGTATATAAATATATACAAATGCATGGTCGCAAAAGTTATTTTATTATTATTACTACTACAACAGTTTGAGTTATTAACAGCTCCAAAAACTCTGCTTATTCACCCTGATAGTTTTCTAGAACCCTTCAACAATATGACACACTTACCTTAGTGTACTTTTCCCATTCTCCTAAAGGTTTGTCACCAGGCTGGTTCATCAAGCTCTTGTTTATGATGTCCGTCCTAGTGATTTCATCCCTATCATTTTCACACTCACTGTCACTGCTTTCCCTGCCACTACTTGACCCGCCTAATGGAAATACATGTTCTAGTTTCACCTGAATTAAGAATATGTTGCAAATATAGTTTTACCTGATTCATCTGTTTGTGGTTTTTGGTTCAAGCAGTAAGCTTTGGGGCACTCTTCACAAGAACAATTTTCAATAGGTGCCCTTTTCATGAAATTGAGGCGAAATGCTTCGAAGCTATTCCAAAATTGATTTCTCTGATATTTCGGCATTTTTACAAAATAAAGTTAGTAACGAACACCTAGTATATAAAAAAAAATAGCACGTGCCAAATTATAGCTTGACAACAGCGCAATAAATGACTTTCGAGCATTTGAACTACTGCACTTTTGCCTACTGCGGTACAAAAAAGCCTACTTTAGTGCTGGATGACATGAGCGTTCAAAGGCGCGTATCACCAACGCTCGTGTGTCTGCATTTACTGAACGACCGCGACAGCTTATTTGTTTATAAAACGATACAACATGACTATCACCTCCATATCTTAGCAATGCAGACAGTTATATGCTGATTCGGTTACGAGAAAGCAAACAATCGTTGTATTTTACGAGCTGAAATGCCTTTAAAATTACGTTACCACAGCGACATCTTCAGTTTCAACAAGGCAATTTATCGGACCATCAAATTTCTTTGCCGCCAAAATTTAGACAGGGTCGAATTCAGTTGTCTACCATGAAGGGATCAGAAATTAAACAATTCAAAAAGTGAGGACCATCAAAGTAATTCCTATAAGTAGTCAAAATTGTATATCTTGTATGTATGGCATTTGTTTAAATAGTGTAAGCTTCATTGAAGGTATATCAAATGCAATTTTGTTCATAATCACTTTTATACTAATTTTATTGAGACCTTAAGCCAATTTTGTACATTACTTTTACATCTTCAGCATGAATTGAAAAAAAACCTGTATTTCTATTACTGATTCCTACATCAGAAAAAAAATATCTCTTACATCATTTTTTTGTTTTTCTAAGAAATTAAAACTTTTCATGAGCTTGTCCTATCTAAAATGAGATAAAAGCAACAAAAGTACTGTTTCATTTGATTTGTATAAGGGATTGTTAATGAAATTTAAAGGTTCAGTATCCAAAATATTACAAAATTATTTAATCTACCGGAACTAAAATTGGCAATACATTATCAAGCAATAAAAACATTTTGGTAGGTGTGCCACAGGGTAGCAAATAAGGTACATTTCCATTTATTTTATCTACTAACGATATTCCTGATGCTTTACAACACTGCAAAATTCAAATATTTGCTGATGATACATCATACATCAATATATGAATATGAAACAAAGACATTGAAACTGCAATATAGCTGTGAAATGATTATATGAAAAACATAATTAATTGGTTAAATGTGAATAAACTCAAATTAAACAGACAAAACAAAATATATGCTTATAGGGAACATATTGAATCAATCGAATCATTTAAATATTTGGCATACACATAGATAGTAAATTAAGATTTGAAGGGCACTATGAATATATTATATCAAAAATATCCAAAAAGATAAATTACTTTTATAGAATTTCACATAGCCTAAGCTTTTATTCTAAAAAAATTATGTACAACACTATCATTCTTCCTCATTTGAAAACTGTATTTTCAAAATTACAAATATTACAAAATAAAGATAATCTTAAATAAAAATAAATATACTAGAATAAATTTTGTGCTGAAAGAACTACAATGGTTAAATATCAGAAATTTCATAACCTACTTTGTTTTCATTTTCATATTCCAGTCAAAAAAATCGTCTTCTACCAAATTACTTACAAAATTTTATTGTATTGAACAATGTCATAGTTATTCTACTAGAGGGAGTATAGACTTTCATTTACAAAATTGTAGTAGCAATATAACGAGCAAGTCAGTATCTCAAAAGGGGTTGTACAAATTTAATAAATTAAATAATGATATCAAGATGTGTGCCAGTTTGAAAATGTTCTAGGGGAAATTGAAAAAATATTTCATGGAAAACCAGAATTCACAGTAGTGAAATTTTATATAAAAATATGTAGTCTTGAATACGTAATATACTGCGTAACATGGATATTGTAGCATTAATGCTAAATAAATTTGAAACAAACATAATTGAATACTCCAATGCAAGGACCAGTTATGCTCTAATTATGATATACTGCAGTTCTGCATTACCTACCCCATATCCCATAAGATAGCAACTTTGATTCTTCCATTGCACAATGTAGAATTATCTGCTGTGCTTAAATAGGTGAATTAAAAATTAGTTGAAAAATACATGAAGTCAACAGGTCCTTGCATTAGAGTCATCTGAAAATTGATACATACCTCTATATCATGAGTATTACTCTCGAATCTCACCAAACATTTATCATCAAATAAATGTTTTATCAGAGCCCTATGCCATAGATTGTTTTCCTGTTTTGCAAGAACACTACTGCCTATTTCAAGCAAGTCAAACTGTGGATCAACATATTCTTGTAGACTAGAAAATAGTACAATTTCTCCATGAGAAAATCTACAATCTTCCTCTGAAAATTTGCAATCAGAGTCATAATAAAATGGACAGGGCAGCATTTCTTGGTGTGTGGGGTTTGTAAATAATACTCTGACTTTAATCTCATCTTCATTGTTATTAGATATGACAGAACATATCATTGCATTGTGATACACAGTATCACCCCACTGATGTTTATGAGGTGCTCTGCATTTCTTTCCTTCTATACTCTTAATATCACCCTCATATACAAATGGTTGATATTCTTTATCTTCCACTGCTTTTTCTATTGCACCTTCTTTTTTCATCTCAGCCTGAAACAAATGCTCATCTGTCATAAAATAAGATATAGTAAATAGAAGTATATTATATCATTCAAGTGCCAAATTGGCACTGCAGACTGGTCCACTTCAATTTAAGATGGGAGTTAGGTGTGAATGTTTGCTGGTTGTGTTTTCATTCTGCTAGCATTAAAAGCTGTTGTCCAATACTTCCCGATTATTGAAATACTCAAGAAGGCTCTTTATTTCTCAAGCTATACTTTGTTTCTTGCTTCAAGTGTTTCAGAATATAAAGTTTAGTTGTGAAAATTACATATTGAATCAAGTAGAATGCAAATTTGAAGCCATATTAATTGTCAAGATGTTTTTTTTGCCACCATCATTTAACTAGTGAGAGAAAAGCTACTTCAGAGTTTTGTGTGCGAGGCCAGTCAATACAAAAAATCATATGTGGCATGCTAACTGTTAAAAACATATTACATATTAAAAAAAGAAAAAAATTAGGTTTTTAGATGTTACCATAAACAATGCAAATTCATCTTCTAGTGTGCTACTGCTACTAGGTTCAGTGTAATTTTTAGTTTGTGGACTTCCTCCATTGGTTAAATTCAGCAGCTCTACAATGCTAGCTTTTAGTGCTAACAGCTCTTCCTTTTGTTCTTCACTTTCACATGTAATCAAGGCCTGATTTACTTGGGTTAGCTGGAAATATTTAGTTAACATCATGACTATAATTATGGCCATTCAAAGTGCATTTAAATGACCTACCTGATCTTCGTACAACTGTATATCTTCTGTATTCATTGTTAGCTATTAAATAAAGGTATTTAGTCATAAAAAAATTACACTGTACATCGTTAAATTGTTTCTAAATCATAATATTTACGTGGTATATATTTGTAATCTGCCATATTTATTTGACACACAAATTTGACAATTTGACGTATTGTGACAAGCGAAAACCTCTATCTTTTTTCAACTGCGATTGACCTACCGCTTCTAGCTTCCTTCACATGTGTTCAACAAGGATAGACAGCTGTAGTTTAAAGGTATCGGATAGTGTTGAGAGTTGCAAGTACTCACTTAAAAAAAAAACCGAATATTTTGTATTCGAAATCATTTAATCATCACTACTCAAATCTAACCTAACCTAGCGGCGTGAGAGTGTGCGAATGTGTGTCTTTTTAAATATTTTTTATTTCATGAAAGCAATTTTTGTTAAGTGTGAAAATGTGTTCGATTGAGATACTCGAAAGTGGAGGGATACAATTTGATTTTGAATTCACCTCGGAACCTATTAGTCTTCCAGAAAATGGCAATTTGGCAAACATTCTTCAAGAACTAAAGAAAGCTACTAAAGAAAATGACCAAAAAAAGTTTATCAAAGAACTTGTAATTTGAAATGAAGCTGCGAAATGTAAACGTATCAAACTTATTCCTGTTCTTTTAGGTTGATTTTTACAAAGGCAGCACAGACAGTCAGACAGAAAAAGATGCAAGAAACGCTGTTCTAGATGTGTTCTCACAATTCAGCAATAAGAAAGTGTTAAAAAAATATTTACAAAATGTCGTAGGAAAATTGGGTTTATATGATATGATTATGACAAATGCAGAAAAAGATATATTTATCATGCTTGGAGATAAAAAATGTAACATTCCACACTGGTTGAATCTATGCAATTTTGTCTGTGTTATGCAAAATTACCCAAATTTTAATTATGATATGACCATTAAAAAGCTCTTTTCATTATACTTAGTAATTTTCGAACAGTTTGCTGTACAATTATGGTAAGATATCCAATATTGTTCCCTGAAACATGTGCTGATAAATCCTTTTCAGTGCAAACAAGGAATTTAGTGATATGGAAAAGCTTTCATTGCTGCTAAACAGTGTAACTAAGGAGATGGTTACTCTTTTTGGAAAAAATGTTGTATATGTAGAGAATGTGTATGTTAGGCTTGTCATTTATTCTTACAAAATATTGGTAAATGAAAGAGTTGGATTTGATCTCAAAGTTAAAGTGGGCCTTATTTTAACACATTGCCTAGAATCCATGCCTGAATCTTACAGGAACAATTTTGTAAGTATTCTTTTTATTTTATTTGAAATCAATGCCTTTAAGTATAATAATATAATATGACGCTGTTAAATTATCTTTAATTTGTATTTAAAGAATCAGACTTAAACATGTAATAACATGGCATGTTAAAAAAATTACATTGTATCAAAAAAGTATGAGTATATGAGGTGTAGAGTCTTTAATCAAGAATTCCTTGTTAGTTGTTTTTAAACAAAAACTCAAGGCATCTTTGTTAGAGGACTTGCAGGAGTTCTTTTCATCCTAAACTCATGCGATTTTTACAATTTTGTATTTCCTAAACAACTATTATATTTTTGTCTCGCCAATTTATCTATCGTCTTATAGTACTTGCTATTATTTAACAGGAAAATGGTTTATTACCATGCTATTTAAGGTGTATTTGTTATCTTGTAGGTTTAATAAATTCAGATATGAATATCTACAACTAAAAATCAGTTGAGAACTGTGTTCTTCTAGTCTGTTCCCACAATTTCATATATATTGGCAGGACAAATTTTACTCGAAGCACATCTATGTATGGTGGATTTATGCAAATTCAGGACTAGAAAATTTTTTTGTGGGTCCATTTTATGAATTTGATATTACCCACTCAGAAAAGGCCATTTAACCAAATTTTTTTCATAGCATGTGCACTCATTTAGTGCTTTACAGAATAGATTTCTTGTGTATGTTTAAATTGAACAGTACATTTGAAGTTTTTTTAGATCTTGAACATTTTAGGGGGTCTGAACCCAAAGGGTACCCCCTGGCTGTGTAACTGGATTCATGCAAAATTAACTTAAGATAGAACCAATAAAGTGTTTGTTGAAGATTTATTTAGGATTAATGCTACAATGTCAATTTTGTATATATTCTGTTACACCTTTTTTTAATCAATTTTCTGTAATTTTACATTCTTGTCTATTAAAATTACATTGCTATGCATTTTGGGTATTCATACAGTCCTTTTTTAATTTCATTACTTGTGGGTATTCATACAGTCCTTTTTTAATTTCAACTTGGGCATTTTCAAATTTGAGCACTGTTTATTATTCGATTCATTAAATTCAAATTCTCCAGTTTTTTTAATGGCATTAGGACAAATTTCTCCATTTTGAAATGCAGATTTACTAATTATGCTGCTATTACAATTTTGCAGATGAAAATCTATACTGCTTCTAGTTTCGTAGTTATGACTATTTAATCATCATATTTGCTTTTATTTAAAATGATTCTCTTAGCTTTATTTTATAGAATTTGTAATTCTAAAAATATGTTTTCATTTTCAAGATAGTTGAACAATATAAAAAATGGCGAAGAATTATTGTGTTATACACAACTCTTTTGAAATACATATTGAGATTATGGATAACAAAAAATAACTTGTTTGATATTTTTGAAATAATTTCATGATATTGATTATACAGTAGTTTACTATCCACATATATACCCAGATATTTGAATGAATCAAATACTTCAATTTTTCTATCATTAATCATACGCCTAATTGTTTTCTCTCCTAAATGTTTTCCAATTGACATACATTTTGTTTTATTAGTGCTTCAGTTTATTAACATTTAACCAATTCATATTTTTTTAAATATCAATACAGCAGTTCTAAAGCAGTGTCCAAATTTTTGTTTTAAATATATATCAAGGTATCATCCTCAAATATTTGAATTATACAGTGTTCTAAAATGTCAGAGATATCATTTTTATATATATATATCTGTACCCGAGAGGTAAACAGTCCTAAATCCAAAAAACAAAGTTTCGAGTAATGGATAAAACAAGCGAAAATTTCAAGACAGCTTCAATGGACATATTGCATCTTCAAAATTGAAAATATTAATATAAATAAGGTGATGCTTCACAAAATAGTTTGTTGACCTCTATATATATAATGAATAATAACTGACCTAAAGTCAAATTAGTTAGAGTTGAAAAGTTTTTTTTTTACATTTATCTTAAAAAAAAAATATTTCGATTTTGAATTTAATATTATTTTACAGAAAAATGTATCATAGTAAATCTGATAAAAATTGAAGCCTTTGCAAGTTGAATGTACGGTTTAATTTGGTGGTCTTTCGATTCCCTAGATTTTTTCTGTTGGCCTCTGTAACCAATACTTCATTTTTTTAATATACGCAAAAGAGTAATTTTACTGACTTTAACGTTCAGAGAAACCGTATCGAACAGAATTTTTTGTAATTCTGAGTGGAAAGCCCCTTAATTCATCTCTCCATTATAACATCTAAGTACAGGGTGCGGCAGAGAGGACGGACGTTTTTGGGATGGGTAGTACTCTCCGCCTCCGTCTACGAGAGAGGTGGGGAGGGTGCCGTTTGACTCGTGAGATCCTAGCACTATTTTACCAGTTGTCGTTATGGAGCTTTGGACGGTGGAGCACCGCGTTTTAGCCTATGATTGTTTCGTCCGAAATAATGAGTCAGTCATCGTCGTACAGCGTGGTTAACCAACAGTTAATTGTTATTTGGCTAATGAAAATCCGCAACAGTTACACGAAAGACCGCTGCACAGCCCAAAAGTAACGATTTGGTGCGCTGTATCGCAAACTTGCATCATTGGCCCTAACTTCTTCGAAGACGGTAATGGTTGTGATGTTACCGTGAACTCAGAGCGCTACGTCGACATGATCACCAACTTCTTTCTCCCTGAATTACGACGGCGGCGTGTTCCAATCCGACGTGTGGTTCCAGCAGGATCGGGCGACCGCCCACACAGCCCGAGCATCCATGGACGTTATTCGCCCTCTCTTCCCTGTCGCCTTATTTCCAGGTTTGGTGATGTTCATTGGCCTCCTCGGCCCCCGATTTATCCATATGCGATTTTTTCTTATGGGCTAGAGTATACGCGAACAAGCCCCGAACTCTGGACGAATTGAAGGGCGAAATTCGCGTGGAAGTCGCCCAAGTTGAGAGAGCGATGTTGGAGAGTCTACGCGAACTTCCAAGAACGCCTCCAGCACTGCATCAACGATTTCGGCCACCACATGCCTGATGTGATTTTCCACACTTGACTGTCTCAAATGCTATTTCCTTGTGAACCTGATTCCATCAATAAATTTGTTTTCGAGTAAAAATTAACTATTTTATGATTTTTTTAAAACCGTCCATCCTCTCTGCCGCACCCTGTATATTATATTATTTGCTAGTTACCCTGCTCTCTTTTCATCAATCACTGGTAAACTGTCTGTCTATGTTTCAGATACACAAAGATTGCCCAGTTTTAGACTTTTTTGAGGAATTCTCTAATAAAACTACTATAGTTCTAAGTGAAATAAAATTAGACTTACAGAGAGAAGAAGAAAGCACTATAGTTTTATATTCATCAATGCTCAGTGTCATTCCACAAAACAAGTTAGTTAATTTGAAAGTGAAGGATAGATCTTTGATGTCTATTTTGTATAGTAATTTAATATGCTGTGCAAAAAGGTAAGTTTCCAGTGTTTATGGAGGATCTGGCTTTCAGTAATAAAAGATGAAAGGGTTCCAGTAATTCTATTAGAAGTAATGAAAACAGACTCCAAACATTTTTCCTTTTTTGAAGAAAATTGTTCTTTCCTAAACGTGACCTCAACCTTTCAAGGGAAAATGTCTTCTCAAACTTCCTCATAATTATTCCTAAGATTTCATATTCTCAGAATTGATCAACAACAGAAAAGAAAATTCTATAATCGCGGCAGCAGTCCAAGAGGTGACAACAGTCACACCTAACGATAGTGGAGGGCAGGTATATATAGGATGTCCAAGATAAAGATCCTATGCATGGGGATCTCATTACTTGCGAGAGATACAGCTTAGATTAAATAAGGAAAAAGCTGCGTTCTTTTCCAATGAGAAAAAAATTCATGGCTTACGTTTTTATATTTTTCTGACTTTATTTTAAGGAATATCAAAAAACTAATGGAACTTTTTTATTTTATTTGTAGGCAGTAAATGATGGTGTGTTGAACTCCTGTGTCCGACGATCCTTTTTTGAGAAATTGTCAACTTTATTTTTTTATATACGAATTCAACGATGTATCACAACATGTTACTTTTGTTTTCTTAGATATAAAGACAAGTGTCTTTTTTATTTCTGAAATGCTTATTACACATTGCATAATGATATGATTGGGTAAAATTTTATAAAATGATGCTTAATCTAGTGATATTCAGAATAATTAACACGTTGACTGCGTTGCAAAGAAATGACACTATTTCTTCAATGCGATATAAGTCGCCCGGGACTGAAGAGATCAGTGATTTTATTAAAATATTGTATATTTCAAATTCATTGTATAACACAGAACAACCTGACGGCAACATCCAAAGATGTTGCTGACCATTTTTGATAAACATTAGTTCCCATGTTAAATATACCTCATCATAACTAATTTATTTTATGAGATATAATAAAAAAATGGTGTTTGAAGGATAGGAGATGAATGATTACAATCACTCCAATGTGTTAAAAAAAAACTTTTCTATGAAAAATATATCGTGTTTTATGGAAAGAACAATTTTTGTGGAAAACCTTTTTCTGTAAAAATTTTACAGTCACTTTCCGAGTTTAACAAATTTGAATAATACTGTTGCTTGCTTAACATGTAGTTTTTACTTTTTGTTATTCTAGGAGAACTGGAGATTCCCACATAGTAGTAGAGATAAGTAGGACATTAAGTATAAAGGCAAAGCAGCTTATAACTATACCCAAAGAGTTAATCAAGCCAATGTTTTTGGAAGGAATAGCATTTGTTTGGTTTCATATTGATCACTTTATAGATACTGTTCGAAATTATGCAAAGGCAATTTATACTGAACTCATAGATGTAGCATCATATCACAGATCAAATGGTAAGGTATTTTAGATGAGAACAAATGGTAAGGTATTTTAGATGGCATAAGTATCTCCAGTTCAAATGTTATCTTCGAGAATATGTGTACAATCTGTGTGATTAATACAGTATGTGACAAGCCTCTATACAAAGGCCTAAGATGTTTCCCTAGATAGGTACAGGTCTCTTTTTTGTATGTAGAACCATTGATTAACGTATTCTACCTCCAGGTAGCCAACCTAGTACTACGTTATATTCCGGGGTCCAAAAAATTATCAGAGTTGAAATGAGATACCATGTCATCATCTATGAGAATTTTCGCAGCGATGTTTCTCCTTTCTGCAAGAAACATAGGTGTGACAAATGCTTATAGATTTGATTGGCAACCTTCAATACATTAATCAATGGCAAAACAGAACCTTGCGTACACTTAACAACGTCCCCTTGTACATCTCCACCTAAGCGACTATATTACACAACAGACGCAGCAATGTTGTAGTCAAGCGAAATCCCACAGTAACCCTATTTTGCGTGAGTCAGTAGACTACACAGTCGAGCAAGTTCACAGGCACACAAGACTGTAGCTGGCACTGCAAATAAAATTAAATCATGAAATTTTAGGTGAACATAATTGAAATTTTTCCATTACCTCAAACCTCAAAATCAATTTTCTGAATCCCCGAGTTCTAGTTAATAATGCCAGTGCCCCTCTAATCGACACACTTTCTCTTATTTGCTCTTCCTCTTCTTTTAACTTTCTTCTTCCCGTCGTTGTCCTTGACTTTCTCTGGCATCTAGCCAACTTCAACCAAAATTGAAGTCCTACAGACTGCTCCGGCAATGACAAATGCAAGTTTGAATCTGTATATTTTTTTGACGATATCGATGCAAATCAAGGCCTGACATTATGAGATCCATAGAAAAATATGGACTAATTTAATTCTGCAGCGGTAGATGAGCTCTTATGCAACATTGCTCATTTATTTTTATCCTGGGTTATCACTGAGTGGTGATGTTTTTGGAAAGCTAAAAATGATTCCCGTTTGCGATGTTTGAAATGAGAAATTTTTGAGAAAAACGGTACAATCTCTTCCTAAGCTGATCTGATCTTCGTCACTGAGAATTGATTTTCAATTTTTGCGTCTATTCAGCACCATGATTGATATAAACACTCTACTATTCTGCTCATCAAAAAGGACGCATTTTAATTAAATCTTAAATATCATTTTTGATATAGCCCTTTCTTAACTGAAATGAGTAAGGTCCTAATTGATAAATGATCTGTCATTATACCATTAAATATTACAGTTGTCCAAATTTGCAAGAAAACCACTGATTCCTTTATGGGCCTGCAAGAGGAGATCGTTAGTACGTTGGTTATAGGAATTTGTCACGGCATTATTTAGTGTTCAATATAAATCCGAAAAATTGGCGATATATTCTGAGATATAACTGGCTTAAACAATTTTTTTCCATTCGTAGGGCATACTGAGTTGATTAACATTTTCATTGAAAAGGTTAAGGTTCTCAGATCAACTCATGTTCTGAGATTTATAGCACTAGAGTATATAACAAATCGCATATCAGCAGAGTACCTCTTGACCAATTTTGAACACGTACAAAATAGTCTTATAAGTCTACTCTTGAGACCAGTAATATCGGAACAAGTAAGTATAAGATTATACAGTTTGGAATCGACAACTAATCCTGAATTTTTAAGGCATCGAAAACATATATCTGCATAATGGAGAAGCATTTTACAGAAACAAATAGAGAAATCTGGATTTCTAACTGGGTTATGCCAATTGGCAGACTGTTGAGGGATTACAAAGATGTTACAAATGCTTACCAGACCATTATAATTGCTGCTTTCAAGTTGTACCCTGCCATACTAAGGATAATGTAATGTTATAAAAGATCAACTATGGCGTAACTACCAGCCTTTAATATATAAACATTTCGAAAATGAGATATCATGTTTTTTGGATGTTATATCATCACGAAAAAACCATGCCACTTATTTCCGTCAGTCTGTCAGCTGATCCTTGACCCCTTCATAACTCGGAAATCACCTTTCTAGGCTTTGAAAATCGATCTGGTGGCGGTGGAACTACAAATAAACCAAATTCAATCAATCATCAAAATTGATCAAACCTCGTTTTAGTTAGGTTTGGAAATAAACCGAACAATTTAATTGGTGTCAAAATTTCTTGGAAAGTACAGAGTCCATCTGCTTGACGCTATGTATACCAAGATGAATTGAATCATGTTCATGATTTTTATTTATTGTGGAAGGTGTGAGAAAATTTTTGTTTTCTTTTTGCCCATAACTCGGTCCTCACTTGACTCGTAATTTTTGCAAAAAAATCATATTGAGTTATTGTTGGCTCCTAAATTGGATCTGACCATAGAAAATTCAAGTAGTTACGCCACATGAAATCAGTCAATTCATCGTTGATAATTTTAGATTCCCTGCTCAACATATGGGAATTACTCAGGAATACGGAGTCTTGTTAAAATGTCTCAGACATGCCAGACAACACGGCTTAGAATCAAAAATAGAGATGTTTGACAACATGCAGAACTATTGGAGAGGTTTGGTTGATAAAGAAAAGATGATTAGATTCATGGTGCACCAAAATGATGAGGTAAATATGAAATGAAAGTAGCCGATAGAGGATATGACCATATACCAGGGTAATCCCAAAAGTATGGTCTCCTATTTTTTCTAAAAAAAGCAACAAATCATCTATTTCCAATAATTGATACATAATTATGAAGCTTAAATAATGAATTTTTGTTTTGGTATGCTCATGTCCTACCAGCTCGTCTCCAGATCCTTGAGGAAACATTGAACCTCATTATAGGAGGAGATTACCATCGTGTGTTACAGGCACCTTTTTATTTTCTCGACACTTACGAAGTCCGACCAAAAAAGACTAAACCAATGATTTTAATTGATCTATCAACACTAAATTGAATGTACAAAGTTAGACCACCTGCTTAACCATCTGATGAAATTTCTATCAAGTTTTCTGATCAAAATTAAAGCTGGTTTGTCAACAGCATGAGTTTGAATGCCGTTATCCCTCGTATCATTCTATTATTTTTTGCACGATACCTAATTAGAATGCATTTCTAGCATCGCGTAGTTTGACTACTAGACTAGTCAGAATCAGGAAATTTGGACCACAGCAGATCACAAATCGATATGGGAGATATATTAGAATGGCTAGATACCTATCTGATACGAATTAATCACTTGAAAAACAAGTAATCATTCACAAGGCAGGCTCTGCTCACTTGTATCAATAAGTCTTCACTGTTTTGTGATGAGGAAAATTAGTAGTTCTTTCTAATTTTGCACTATTTTTTTATCTCTTTTCGTAGATAAGGCTTTCTGCTCTGGCATCTATAGTTGAAAGTCAAAAAACAACAGCTCTGTTCCTCACTTGGGAATTGGACTACCTTCGTGTTTTCATGCGCTACAACATTACTTCACATACACCGTGTATAAGGAAGCAGATCGTAACACTGTACAAAAAAGCATTAACACGATACTCGGCCGGAATGCATGCTGTCGTTAAGGATATAGGTATATTTTTCTTGTTGTTTTATCTGATCATAAAGTTTTTTTCTTTAACATTTCCCCCTTTCCTTTTTTGAATGCGTCAAGTTAGCAAGTTGAAATTCTGAATTGGTGGATATGGATATGGATTTCAGCTGTAAAACAGCATCTTGAGATTTATTAAATGGAATGTGGGCTCGTGTGATACGTCATTTTGAAGCACATTATGAGAACTTCATAACCCTAGAATGCAAAGATCTCTATAGACAAAAATGGTGGACTGGCGGGTTGTCAAAGTTGAGCGTTTTTATAAATTAACGATCTTATAATTTGACAACTAATCAAAACTATCCTAATAAGCAACTAACATGGCTCATTTAAAAAATGACAATTCAGTGGAATGTTCCATGTTTTAATACATGTGCTATCCGTCGCTTGTCTGTCTGGGCTGTACGTAGGACCGTTTCCTAGTAGTCACTGCCTAATGTAGATTATCCGAATCTGTCAATTCTGGTTCTCCAGAAACCAGACAATGCTAAGAAAAGAGGAAGCGGAAAAGGAAGACAAATGAGAGTAAAAAAAGGCGAAACCTCGACTGCGCAGTCCACAGAGTCAAGCAACAAATGGTTGTTGTGCGATTCACCGTGACTATAGCGGCGCTGTGCTTAGATTCTGACATAATTCCTCAAGTACCATAGTGCAGTGTCGCCAGCATAGATGTGCGCTTCATAGCTGCTGGTGCAAGGGAGGTCATGTATTAAAAGCGAGTGAAGCATTGGTTCTAAGAGCTAACCCTGCGGAACACGTATTTGCATAGATCCTCCCAAAATATGGAAATTGATATAACATTATGATGGTTGATTGTTGCGTTATTGGCGACTTGATGTACAAAAACGGTCAAATTTGACTGCTCACCAATCTGCTATTTTGAAAGATAGAGAACTCTGTCAATATAAGGGATCGATCTACTCATAAGGAGCTTCATAATCACATGACTTCCGTTCTATTAAAAATAAAGATTGTGGGAAAGGGTATAGTAGAATTGACTGAATTTACCGTTTGTTGTACATTATGTACTCTTGATTAAACATTTCCATGGCCACAAATAAAGATTGTGGGAAAGGGTATAGTAGAATTGACTGAATTTACAGTTTGTTGTACATTATGTACTCTTGATTAAACATTTCCATGGCCACAAGGTTAAATAGTGGACAGTTTTCAAGTTAATGAGAGACAACGTTCAGTAGTATGAGTCCCTGTACATAATGTCAAAGATGACGTATTCCTTCGACTTGTTAAACGTCTAGCTGCGATGGATCAGCTTTCAGCGTGGTGTCAACGCAATAGATAGCTAATGAACGAAACTTAAACCGTCATTGTTGATTTTACCATCTGTAGGCGTATCCCAGATGACAACATATTGTTCAGTACCTATGAGATATCGTAGCATTGCAAGCTGTTAGCAACATTTTTTGACAACGAGTTGTACTTTATCAAACAGTGGATCATATGTATGCAAGAACCTGAATAAAGCCTATTACGCCTTGTTGCAGCATAAAGACATACTTATCGACAATGGCTTGCTCAGTGTCTATTTCGCTACATTGAAATTAAAATTATTTTGTAATATGATGCTATTAAATATACCATCTACAGATGCCTGTATTACTGTACTTTCTGTACATGGAGACTTTTAATCAGAAGATACTGCAAATTCAGCCAATTCCACTGTACTGTATTCCCTTTAAGTTTTGTGCAGTATGCTGTACAAGATAGCACGTTAACCAACATTGTCGCATATCATTCATTTCCGAGTGTCTGAGTGCTTAAGCCATTTACATAGCATGGAGAAAGTCGTAGGTTTGCACCCAATCGGTTGCGAGTTTTTGCCATTTGTAACTTGCAGCACTGTTGTAACTTTTCATTAATAGAACAGCTTGTTAAAATTATTACGGTGTTAGTATGTAAAGGTTAAGTAGTAGAATAGTCATGTAGCTAAACTTCTCCGCAATAAAGTTGTCGAAGTAGTTTCTTATCTTATGTTCTCGCATGAGCTGATGCATGCATAGGTAAGTGAGGCATGTATATTTCAGAAATGTGGAGCAGAAGGCAAATAAAACAAGGCCCAACTGTTTTAGAACAAATCTACACTGACATTAAGACTTCCTATGGTTCGTTCATAGTTAAATTCACCAAGCAGTTAATCAAATACCTAACTTTTGATGCTAATTACCCAAGACGGGCAACAAGCTTGGAGCTACTTCTCGTTTTGAAAGATATGGTAGCCAAAGAGGAGTGGATGAGCTATTGGACGGAAGAAGATGTGAAAAACTGTCATTGTATTCTGTATGATGGATACGAGTCTAACAAGAAAATGGCTTTAGAAATACTTATAACCCTGCCACCAGGTTATATAGGATTCACGGTAAGTCCCACCACGATACTTCAACATATTCGTGCCTGCTTGTATTGATTTTATACTCTTGGAGATACTGAATCTGTTGAAACTCTGTAGCGTAATAGAACTATTTTAACCGCTTATTGGTTAAAATTGATTGAATGCAAATCTAACTTGAAATCATCAGCAGTTACATCGATTGCTTGATCCTAATTGTATACCAAAAAATTGTTAATTACTTTATACAGGGTGTTCCATAATTATTGCGACAAAATGATAGGGGTTGTAGAGGGCATAAAAATATGCAATTTTGCCTTATAAACCCCTGTTCGTAAATATGCCGTTTGAGCACTACAGTTAATTTTACCTTAAGAGCTCATAGGAGAAACAAAAAATTCACCAGCTGCAAAATGTTCGTCTAGCACATTTCATGGTCTCGCCGGTTTGTAGAAAAAGCCTGCTGTGTTTACATTTTTGTTATCGTACACCCGTACCACCTTTTAAAAGTCCAAGCCATGGGTCCAGCAGACTATCTGCCGCGTCGACGTTTTTGTCGTTGGTGGCTGCAGCAGGAGTTGAGGCAACCAAACTTTGGTCGCTACGTTTTGTTCACTGACGAGTCCTGTTTTACAAAGGACGATTATTTTAATAGCCGTAACAGTCACATTTGGGATGAAGAAAACCCTCATGCCATAGCCATCCATAGAGACCAACATCAGTTTTCAATTAACATCTGGTGCGGGATTGTGGACGAGCATATCATCGGGCCATATCTGCTTCCACCACGTTTGGATGGGCATGCTTATGGTCGATCCTTACAGCATGTGCTACCGGAACTATTAGAAAATGTGCCACTGAATATAAGAGCCAACATGTGGTTTCAACACCATGGCGGTCCAGCCCACTTTTCTTTACAAGTGCGGCAGTTTTTGGACGACAAATTTCCAAATAGGTGGATAGGCCGAGGTGGCCCTGTGCCTTGGCCTGCGCGGTCACTTGACCTGACTCCACTGGATTATTTTATCTGGAGCTATCTGAAAGCTTTAGTGTACGAAACTCCTGTTCCCAACCAACAAGAGCTACTGGGAAGAGTGATGGCCGCGTCCGCACATGTTCAGGACATACCGGGGGTATGCCACAGAGTTCGCCGATCATTGAACAATCGTGCACAGGTGTGTATTGAGCAAGGTGGAGGACACTTTGAGCAATTACTGTAGGTAAGCTGTTTCAAGAAACTGATCTTTTTTTTTTGCTGCAGCCCAAACGGCATGTTTCCGAACAGGGGTTTATAAGGAAAAATTGTTCATTTTGATGCCCTCTACAACCCCTATCATTTTGTCGCAATAATTATGGAACACCCTGTATAACACACAACCGGTTTCTGTGGATGACGGAGTGCTACCAAGAAGCCATTATTTTCTGCTAATGATTTAATTTGGCGTAAAGACGTCTCATCAATCGCAGCAGTTGCTGAAAAGAAATTTAGATATCTGTTTGGGGCTAGACGGTACGTTTTTTCACATAACATCCTCACTGTACAAGGCGCAGATATGACCTACTTTGGAGTACTGCTCACATGTTTGGGTGCTGCCGCATCGACAACGCTGTCTATGCTTTGATCTCAACTACAGGGTGCGCCAGAGAAACTTACTTATTTGAAAGGTCAATAAAAACAAAATTACTTCAATTATTGTTTTATTTTTTTTTTATTCGAGAATACAATATCCCAATTTTTTTTTCATGTAGTCTTGAAAATGACATCGGATAAATGGCGACCTCCATTGCGCATACACTGATGAAGTCGATTTTTGAAATTCGTATCCACTCTTTGCAGCATATCAATCGGTATGTTGGCAATGGCGTCGCGAATGTTGTTCTTGAGGTGTGCTATGGTCCGTGGTCGATCGACATAAACCAGAGATTTCAAATAACCCCATAAAAAGAAATCGCAGGGAGTCAAATCTGGAGATCGTGCCGGCCATTGGAGATCGCCTCTGAGAGAGATGAGGCGGTCGGGGAAATGTTGTCGCAACAAATTCATCGAGTCTCGTGCGGTGTGTGCTGTGGCTCCATCTTGCTGAAACCACACGTTCCTAACGTTCATTTCTTCGAGTCTCGGAAGAAAAAATTCCTCGATCATGTTCCTGTAACGAGCTCCATTCACGGTAACTGCGCGTCCGTTTTCTTCAAAAAAATAAGGACCAATTATTCCCATTACCGACATCGCACACCAGACTGTAACTCGCTCACAGTTAAGTGGCTTCTGGTGAAGCTCACGTGGATTCACACCAGACCAATAACGCATGTTTTGCTTGTTGACGCAGCCGGAAATGTGGAAGTGAGCCTCGTCACTGAAAAAAACGACCGCGTCTTCAGGCAGGTTGTTAACCAGCATTTCACATGCATTTTGACGGGCAACAAAATCGCTTTCAGTTAATTCTTGAACAACAGCCAATTTATAGGGATGAAAATGGAGGTCTTCATGGAGAATTCGTCGAACAGTAGTGTCAGAAATTCCCATAGCAGCTGCGTGTTTGCGAGCCGAACGCCGGGGAGAACGCACAACTGACTGCCTCACTCTTTCGACATTTTCCGGAGTTCTGATGGTCCGTTGAAGTCCATTTCTGGGTTTAGCGACACTTCCACACTCCCGAAATGAGTCAACCCACGACAGAATCGAATTACGGCCAGGAACGAGTCTGTGAGGAGGAATTTCAAAGCGAGCGCGGAAGGCACGTTGCGTAGCAACAACTGAGCGACCGTTAGAAAAGAAGCTCTCGACTGCGAAGGCCCGCTGTTCTCTAGACCAGAGCATGATGGCAACTGACTGGAGCGAGAAATAAACTTGGGAACTTCCCCCTCCAGATGCGCCGCCTCTCGCCCCTCTACCCGCCCAGCTCACCGCGCGGGAATTTTTTCAAATAAGTAAGTTTCTCTGGCGCACCCGGTAGTCACTTAGTACAAAATAGTCGTTAATCCTCAAGCGATTATCAAAGGATCAGTTTTTAACTTGTCATCAAATATAACTTTATCTACATCTTCACGAGGATTATTATTTACATGTTTCTTCAGTGTTTTCCATATTTTTATGCTGGTGTATTTATTTTTTTCAATTTAGCGGTTCTTATACACATATTAATTTCCGCCAAGTTGATTGCTTTGTTTGTTTGTTAAGGATTTATTTAGCATGATTGCTACAATTACATTCTCTTATTTAACTATTTCTCTATTAGCATATATTTTGTTTTAGAAGCATTCCATTTCAGTTTATTTACATTTAATCAATTTATGATTTTTGTCAAGTCAGAATTTACTATAATTAAAGCAGTGTCTATATATTCATGTGATTATGTATATTAATGTATCATCTGCAAATATCTGAATTTTACAATCATCTAAAGTATCACCAATGTCATTATTGAATAAAATAAATAGTAGTGAACCTAGTTTACTTTGAGCTTGATAATGAAGATTCATTTTTCACTATGGTGTAATGTATTAATCTAATACTTTTTGTTGTTATTTTCTTTATATTTTGGTGCAGAGCTTTCGCTTTCTCACATTTGAAATTTACGGTGTGATACATCTCTGGTATATTCGATGATTTGCTGTTAAAAATTAAACACTTTTTTAACCTTCTTGTTTTTGTGGTCAATCTTAAAGAAATTTGTGTTGAAATCTCGTAATATTACTATATTGTTTCTTAAAATCCGTAGTTCTTTACTCTTGTTATCATAAAGTATGAACAAGTTTTCAGTGTGATTTCTACAGCTTGATGGTCTGTAAATAACTTGTGAACTTTGTATGTAAATACCAAAACTCATAGTCCACACCATTATATCCATTCTACAGTATACATATATTGTTTTGAGTTGGAATTACATTTGAGCATTGGGTTATTACCCAAATGAATTTTAGTATCGTGCATTCAATCAAGACACATCATCAATACCTCACATACAGGTTGTTTCATTTTATTTCCTTATTGGGGATCTCTTAATTACGTGAGGCGTTTTGGACAATTTAGCCCCTCCCCTCCTCTCCTTATCTCTGGTAAGATGTGCGATTTGGCTTCTTCCCACCCCACCACCTTCTCCCTGTCCCTAATTTCGGGTGAGATTTTTAGAATATTTATTTTTAGCGCAAATGCGTTGGATTTATTTGAAAAAATACAAATTTGCTTCATTATTTCTATTAAGACCAGTTGGAATATTCATTCAAGTCACTATTGAAATCAGCATATAAATTTTCTTGCAGTCTTACACTCTTTCTTGAGTGAAAAAAAATTACCTGATATTTGTCAAGGCTGAGATTGAATGAAATTTGGTTTGCCACCCCTCTATGTGAACACCTCACGTAATTAATGGACGCCTCCTTATTGGCAAACATTTTGATCAGAATTCTTCAATTTTCCTGTTTTTTTTTTCTTTTTCAGGATGTCGACTCCACACTCGCATACATAAAGCGTTGTATGACCTGCTCACTGTCTCTGAAACCTAGTGAAACTCTAACTGCTGCTTACCTTTTGGAGATGTGTACTTATTCCCCATACTTTAAAGACATCGTAGGTCGATTAGACGAGAAATCTGGAAAGCTAGTGTTGGACAAGGTACCAGATATCGATATGATTGTCATTCTGATTTCTAAGCTAATGGCACAACGCAAGGAGATTGGAAGCAGAGTGACGGAAGGCAAAGTTGCATTTTATGGGATTTTGCTGAGTATTAGATACATACTGGAAAAAAGAAATCTAAGGTAATATTATAGTGGTTATTTTTTAATTCACTTTTGTCATTTGGATAAAATAAATTTGCCAATGCGTTGTTTTAAAAAAATATATATTTTGGCGGAGTATCTATACTTTTCCTCCAAAAAAGTATAGTCTGGTTGTTCTTACTTTTACTTACGTCAGAATTTTAAATTTAGCAATGTAGTGAAAAAGTCTGCTAAATAAGTTACTGAGAAAAAAACCAGAATAAAATATAGAACAATCAAAAAAGATGAAAATAAACGTGCGCACATATTAAAAGTTATCAAACTCGAGAGTTGAAATTTTTTCCTTTATAACATGGTGCATTACAAATAAACATATAAAAACCAGATTTAAAAAACGAACAAATATGCAAAACTGTAAAAGTATAAAATCATCCTTACCTATTACCAGTTACTGCAAGGTATTTTGGATGGCATATGACATAACGTACATAACGAAAAACCATGCCAGTCATTTCCGGTTGACTGTCGGTCTGTCTCTGTTCGCTAATCCTATAACCGCCTATAACTTAAGAAGTACGGCTCGGTTTCCAAATGCTGTCCCTCTTTGACATCACTTGTTTACAGCGCAACTCTTACGATTTATACGTATATACGAGTATTGTGACTTGTGACAAATCTAAGTCTGGGTAATATATTAGCTATACAGATTGCAGTTAAAAAGTGATTTATGTTCTGTTTGTTGCTCAATAGTAATTTGAAAAGTGTGTAAAGCTTCATTGATTTTGTTCGGGGTTGGTGTTGCAGCGAAGTACTATGTTAGATGAATGCCTAATTTGGAAATAGACATTTATGAGATTTGTTTAGCGGTGCGCCTGTGGCCTGTATGGAAACTGCGTCGATCGATACTCAAAATCAATTCCACACGTCCCGGATCTCTTCTCGCGTATGTGTCTATTTATGTTGCTATATCGAATTCGTTTAAATCACAGAGCTGCTGCACTATACGTGAATATGTACAGCCCTATATTCCTGTACTTGTTTAGTACATGCATACATTAGCAAAATAATTACGATCTAACAGATATAGTTTTTTCCAAGGATTTCCAACATTTCTACATGCGATCAACACCGGTTCGAAAACCGAGAAAACAACTATGCCGTAAATCTAAGTTCCACAACGGAAGTCTGAAAAATAACTGAAACATCTATATTGAATTTCAAAAACCCCAACCCCTACTGAGCGGGGCCGTGGCAAATGCTTGTTCCGGAAGTTGTTGTATCCAGCATACAACTTCTTCCCGTACAAGTGATTGTACACGCGTTAAGGAATACCTCAGTACCGATTGCCGGGTGGCGCTACAGGTCCGCCAACGGGCCACATTAGGTGTATTTAAGATCATTAACACGCAAAAAGAAGGTGGTAGACAAGGAGCAGTCGACCCAGGCGGTACCACCCTATAGCTTTTCCCAGGGTGTCTTATAAATGTCCGCAGGTTTCCACACCTAAGCTATGCAGTCGGTTATCTTCCAAAACAAAAAAAATTAAAGATGATGGATCCCTCGAGTACTAAGACTTCAGGATGTAAGCTCACTCCACTCTCAGAATGTCCGGGTGGAGGGTGGACTCGAGGGAACAACATCGAAGATAAAATTTGTTTCACGAACATCTGCGGGATTCTTGAATACCTCGCCGTCAAGATCGACTTCCTGAACATCAATCACTCCGCTTCAGAGTTAGTTCTCCTCGGTGATTTCAATGACCATAATTTGCTTTGGTTGGGCTCAAACAAGACCGATGCAGCAGGTCGTGCAGTTAAAGTGTTCGCTCTTACTCAAGGGCTGACCCAGCTGGTGACGGGACCTACTTTTTTTGCCCCGCGTCTCGTCACATGCCAGTATCCTGCTGGATCTCTTTCTGACCATGCATCCTGTCCCTTACAGCTCTGCTGTCCTGTCTCCCCTGGGTAACTCAGACCCTTCTCAGACCACTGTGTTGTGGAGGTTAGGTTTCGATCAGAACCCGCTGTTTCAGAAGAAACTCGCACAGGCCGCAAAATTTAGCATTACGGACATGCCGACTGGGAGGGATTCAGAGACTTCTTCTCTACCTTTTCTTGAAGAAATGTCTGTTTCACTGACGCGGGTGCGTCGGCTGTCTGTTCTTCGATAACCAAAGTTATCCACGTCGGAATGGGGGAATACATGCCTCATACTGCCGATATAATAGAAGTGCTTGATTGTGTCAGTATTTGCATAATTTACTTAATTTGTTTAATGGGCAGTTCAGAGTCTTAATCCTTAAGCTTATTACATACTAGTAGACCCCGTTGCGCAATTTGTCTATAGGCAGTCTGGAGACGGTCTCAGGACACGATCTATAGATGGTCTACAGACATCCTCCTTTGTCTTGTCTAGCGTCCATACGATAATGTGAATTTTTTGGTCTCATGTTCGTTTTCGCAATCAAAGGCATTATTTGTGTGGAATGGGCTGGGATATGTTGCGGGGTCCCTCAGAATGTTTTATTTATTTTTTGTCGGTTAAAAGAGCAATTAAGTTTTTTAAGTTTTAATCTTTAATATTATTACACTAGTTAATTATAAATGCCACGAACTTATTTTGTTCTCATATAATAAAATATTGGCTTTCTGAGGATTTCTGAGCAATTTCTATGTTTTTTTTTTCAAGCTGGCCTTGACCAGATAGAACACAATGGATTTAAGGAGCAATAATAGGATAAATTCCAGAAGTTCCACTGAGATTAAAAAATGACCAGCCCCAAACATCGTTTGTGTACCCCCCCCCCTCCCCCTAGACGAAATCCTGAATCCGCCCTTGGTGAAATAGATATACTAAGTGACATATAAATCCGAACACCCAGTTTAAATGGTTTTATTTTAATAAAAGTTGGTGAATGTATTTATCTTACTGTAAATAACAAGTGAAAAAATGTTCAGCCTTATCAGTTGGACAGTCCGGTTTTTATACTGCCTTTTTTTAATTCACTAACGCTCTAAAAATGAATATTTCAGCCGCAGTAAAGAATCAACGTTGGCGGATTTTGGTTCTTGACATCCTTTACGATCGGTTACGATGCCTAGAGTACGGAGACCTGTACGATTTCGTCAACTTAGTGAGTTTGATAGGGGCCGTATAGTGGGACTTCGGGAAGCTGAACTTTCTTTTCGGGCAATTGCAGTTAGAGTGCAAAGAAGTGTAGACACTGTGGTTAGGTGTTGTCAGGAATGGCTTCGAGAAGGCCGTACGCAAAGAGCAAGGGGCACTGGACGCCGCCGTAGAACAACAGACCGTGAAGATCGCCGCCTAAGATTATTGGCCTTAAGGGACCGTTTCTCCACTACCAGGTCCATTGCAAATGAATGGTTTGCAGAACACGGAAGACCTATTGGCATGCGAAGTGTTTACCGACGAATGAGAAGTTTTGGCTTGTTTTCATACCGGCCACACTGGGTCCTCCCTTTAACTCGAGAACACCGACGTAATCGCCTTGAGTGGTGCAGACGACGGTCACTCTGGGATCAGGAATGGAACAGTATTGTCTTTAGTGACGAGTCTCGATTTTGTTTAGGCATGCACGATGGTCGTGCCAGGATTAGAAGGCGACGTGGTGAAAGGAGGAATCCACAGTTTTTTGTTGAAAGACATGTTCATCACACTGTTGGAGTTATGGTTTGGGGTGCTATAGCTTATGGTTCCAGGTCACCTTTAATCTTCATCAGAGGTAACATGAACGCGCAGCGTTATATCCACGAAGTTCTAGAACCCCATCTTTTACCCTATCTTGACACTTTGGCAGATCCGACTTTCCAACAAGATAATGCTCGACCACATGTTGCAAGAGTCACGATAGACTTCTTTCAACATAATGATGTCACATTGTTACTATGGCCACCAAGATCTCCCGACTTATCCCCAATTGAGCACGTGTGGGATATGATGGGTAGGAGATTGCTCAATTTGCAACGTCCTCCTCAGACTCTAGAAGCACTTCGAGAGGAGTTGGTGGTTGCCTGGAATGAGATACCACAGGAGGACATTTACCACCTGATCAGAAGCATGCCTAGGCGCGTTGGAGAATGCGTAGCACATCAGGGTGCATCCACACATTATAATAATTAATATATAATAATAATAATAATAATAATAATAATAATAAACGTCTTTATTGACCAAAAACATGGTACATTACATGGGGCGAGATTTAGCACCTGCTATTCCACCATCTAACCCCGTACAAAAGTGAAAAAAAAAACAAGTTATACAAAAACAAACAAAAAAAAAAAAATGTGAAACTACAAACATTAAGTCACAGTATAATAGGACTATTTGTGCCAATTTAGCTATAAAAAGAAGAAGAGATAATAGGTTATGAAGAAACGGAAAAATAATTAATGAAAAATACAAAAAGTATGAAAATGAAAGAACTTCTTAAGCTAGCGGTTGTTTTGCAATTCTTGTAAATATCTTTTTAACTGAGTTTTAAAACTCCGGGAGGACTGGATAGTCTTCAGATCCTGGCTTAAGCTATTGTAATATAAAATTGCATTGTATGTGAAAGTTCGTCTAAAAAGTGATGTGCGGTGTATTGGCATAGTTAAGGTGTCACGGTTACGAACCTGAAGATTATGCACAGACGCCCTTGGAACAAGTTTACAGCTGAGGTATTGAGGGGATGATGTTAGTATGATCCTGTGAGTAAAGCTGATAATGGAGTATTTGAAAAGGTTTTGAACGCTTAGCCATGCAAGATTACGATACAAGTGTGATACATGATCGAACTTTCTTAGGCCCTCGATAAACCGTACACAGGTATTCTGCATTATCTGCAAACGTTTTGCGTTAATAGACGTCAAACATGGGTAATATATGGATAAGCCATATAACATTTTAGAAATAACTAAACTGTGACACAATTTAATTTTGATGTTTCTATGCAGAATATGTTTGTTTGCAAATAGAAGCCTGAGGGATAGATAACATTTTTTCAAGACATTATTCAGATGGGAGTTAAAACGTAAGTCCGAGTCAAAGTGAATGCCCAAATTTTTTACTATTTCAGAAAAAATAATTTCCTCCCCATTAACTTTGATGTGAATTAATGGTTTAAGGTTTTCACATAATCTTTTATTGCCAAATAATATAGCAGAACATTTTGAGGGATTTAGTCTCAAGTTGTGAGAGCTGCAGTACCTATTAACACTATCCAGATCCGCATTTACTAGCATCATGGACTCCTGGACATTGTCGGCATTAAAATCACACTTCATCTGCGTATCATCAGCAAAAAATTGAGCATGTGTATTCTTGAAGTTATCATGTAAGTCTGCAGTGTAAAGTAAAAACATCAATGGTCCCAGTACTGAGCCTTGTGGAACACCTGACGGAATGTACCTTGGTGTCGAAATTTGATTATTGATATTTACTTTTTGCCTACGTTCCCTTAAATATGACCTAATAAAGTTGCAGGCAACTTCATCGAAGCCATAGTAGTGGCACTTGGCAACAAGCAGTCGATGGTTAAGCGTATCGAAGGCCTTGGAAAAGTCTAATAGTACCAGCAAGCTCATGTTTTTACTGTCGATGGAAGATATGATGCTATCAATGAGATAAGACAAGGCTGTAGTTGTACTGCGGTTTTTCTGAAAGCCTGATTGATGGGTGGGGATTATATTATGTGCATTGAGATGATCGAGAATCTGTGTATAAGTTACTCGTTCTAAAATTTTAGACATTATTGGCAATATGCTTATTGGTCTGAGGTCAGCGATGGATATCGGATTAGACAATTTTGGCAGAGGAGTCACCAGAGCTGTCTTCCAAAGGTCGGGAAAGTATCCAGTTTCCAAGCAAATATTAATAATATGTAGCAGATGAATGCCAATTACTGGAAAGCATAACTTTAACATTTGTAACGTGATACCATCCGTTCCAGAAGCATTGGATTTTATACTGCAGATAACAGTTTTAATCACATCTAAATCAACTAGCTTAAAAGAAAATGAATTTCTTTGCAAAAAGTTATTTGTTCTGTAGTAAAGTATTTTTTCAAAGCACGCTTCATCACTGTTTTGAAAAACTGAGGTAAAGTATTCATTGACTTTGTAAGGGTCTGTGAGTGTTGATGGGATTTCAGAAGATTTAATTGCTTGAACGCGCATATTTCTTAAAGATTTGTATAATAAAGAGGAATTTCTCTGATTTTGTAAATGATCCAAAAAGGCAGACTTTTCATTCCGTAACGACTGTAATGCATAATTTCTCAAAGATTTGTAATTATTCCAATTTTGAACAGACGGATTGCTTTTAAATTTAGACAGCGCTTTATCTCTTTCCTTGAAAATTAACTTCAAATTGGCGGTCAACCATGGTGCTTTCGGTCTAGTGACACGCACTGTCCGAATTGGGCAATGTAAATCAAAGATGGCATTGATGTTGTCAGTCAAAAATTTCAATTTGGTTTCAACGTCACTAAAGTATAAGACCTGCTCCCAGTTCATTTGATGTAAGTCTCGGTTGAAGTTATCTAAGTCGAAGTGTTTATAGTCTCTGAAAGTCACATACTTATGTACTTTATTTAAACTACAAAGTAGGTCACAGAAAACCATTTGATGGTCACTAATGATATCAGCGTTGATGGTACCCTTGTTACCGCAAACCTCAACATCAGACAGAAATATGGGATCCAAGAGAGTGCTACTTGTCTCAGTAATACGAGTGGGATCTTCGATAATTTGTGTAAAGCCATATGATTGAAAACATTCACTGATTTTATTTTTGATCAATAAGTTAACGTTTAAATCACCTAACATGAATAAATTGTCGTATGTAGTTACTAGGCCAGGTAGCAAATTATCGAGACATTCGATAGCATTCAAAACATTTGCACTCGGAGGTCTATACATTACACCCAGGCAGTAACTACAGTGACCAATTTTAAATTTAATGAACATATGCTCCAAGCAAGCATCTGTGTAAGAAGTAAGTACCTCGAACTTGATGTTGCTTCTAATATAAATACCGACACCACCACCACGGGATGGCCTATCATTTCTACAAAAGCTGAAGCCAGGGATATTAACAGTTTCAGAGCTAGTACATTCGGACAACCAAGTTTCCGATACAGCAACTATATCTAATTTTTTTTCAAAAACTAACTCTACAAAATCGGCAAAATTGGAAAGTAACGACCTTACATTTATGTGAGCTATTCTAATATATTTTTTATGTTCCATAATTGATTTTAGATTTAAGATTATTTATGTAATGTTGTAACACCAAGCAGGAACCTTCGTCATTCGACGAATGGCAAACATCATATTTAGTTTTATATTTTTCGTTACTTTTAACACAATTAATGCACTTAAGGACTTCGGACGAGCATTCTTTATACCGATGTTCACAGCTGCATGAAGAACACACAATGGACGACTTACAGTCTTTTTCAAGATGACCTATTGCACTGCACTTGAAACATCGCACCACTCTAACATGGTCAGCAACGAAGCATTTGCTGAATCCGACATATACATATTGACGTGACATAAAGAGACTTCTTACCTCAGGTGACACCTCAAGTACCAAATGTGTAGCGTTAGGGTAGTTTAATTTCGTTACAAATTTAATTTCACGATTTTGTAGATCTTGAAGGTCATTAATAGATGAAATATTGTCAATAATGTCAGCGACACTGGAGTTTTCAGGAATCTGAATATTTTTAACCATAATTCGGGGATTATACAGCTTAGTATTACTAACTTCATATTTCCTTCCTAATTTGCTAGAAACATGTTCCTTTAGTTTTCCCAACGATTTGTCATCATCGCAGCAAATAACTACACCATTGCGAATTTTCTTGATACCACTTAAACACAGTTGAAGATCCTTGGGGTTAATATTATTTTTAATATCATTCGACACGTCAGTATTAGATATCGAGTTATTGTTCGATTTAACAATAATCCCAGCTGATGATAGTATGTGTTGATTTTGACTTTTTTTGGCTGTGCTACAAGAAACAGTACCTGTGTTTGCCTGGTTAAGAAATGGTCCCCTTGTTTTTGCAGCGTAGGATGATGATTCACTGCTTGTAAATGATAATTTTTCCTTGAGGAGCTCATTGTTGTATTTTAATTCACTGTTAAGGTTCACTAGTAACTCTTTCTCACGATTGAGGCATTCTACTTCATGACGAAGCACTATAACGTCAGTCGCTGGAGTATTAGGTGTCGACTTGCACTTTGTGGTACAACCTTTGCACCTCCAATTTTTCCTTTCGGTGAAGAATAACTTAGCGATATTCTCAAAACATTTTGTATGAAGAGATATACTGCAATTTTCTGCATCGCACGTAATACCACCCGATTTACGTATTTCATCGCCACAAATTTCACAGATTTTGTCGCCCCGGCTCAAAGCGACATCTGCACCGGCCGGCATCTCCGAGCGGTATCGCGTATTACTGTTACATTGTATTGCTTTTCCTTCTTTTTCCTTCTCTTCCTCTCCTTCTGAATGATTTTGATTTTTATTTTTTTTTCTTACACCTTGACTCATATCAAATGCGCTACTGTTTTGTTCTTTTTCTTGCCTTCAGCCTAGTTATATCCTATATATATTAACAATTAATAATATTAAAGGTCAAAGGGCTTTAAAGCAGTGCACTCATTTTGAAATTTTTATCATTTACTCATTATGCATTAAGTACTTATACAAAATTTTATTAAAATACAACCATTTAAACTGGGTGTTCTGATTTATATGTCACTTAGTATAGATAGATTTTAGATCAATAGACAAACACAATACTTTAGCTGGTACACGATTTTGACTTCAAATAAATGAATGATGATGTAATTTAAAAGTGAAGTACTAACCTGCGAATCGCGTTCCGAACTCCACGGCTTTTTGGCGTTCCAATCGGTACTTGCGTGACCCGCATAGTACTCGAGGACTCCAGTAATTTTAGGTCGTAAAGTTTTTAGTCTAACGTTATTAACGACTGCCGTGTTGAAATGTAAAGAAAGCTCTGCCATCGAATCTGTCGGTGATTAATGTAAATATCTTACGATTTAATCAAAGATGCTTGACGATTTCATAAAGTAGCGACGTGTTTGATCATATCTGGCCAATCATCAATGAGACATTCCATGAAATTGTCAATTTTACGATATGGCTACGACATATGCACCCATTAATTATTTTCTACCATCTGTAGTGAAGGCAACGAGTCTTATACCAGGCTGTTCGGCCACATATCAACTGTTTGCCTGGAATTAAAAGACGCCATAATGCCCATTGTATGTAACCCATCACCTGAAGGCTACATTCCTGAGAACGATGTGATACATAAGGAAGGCGATGCATCGTTCAAGGCTCAAGCCACTCTTGTCTATGCATGGAGGACTATGAAAGAGATGACACTACTATTGGCTGAAATGGTGGAGCAGACTGTGAAGTTGGAGGACCAACAGAGAATGCTCGATGAAACGATGCTAATCAAAATCGGAGAGTTTTTCATCAATGTGTTCATTGAGAGCAAACATAGAGGCGTGTATGAACAGGCATTTGTCGGATTTCGTATGATATGCGGGTCTTTTTGGAGGTAAGCAACATAATGCTAAGTTTTATTTGTTCACGATCGATTCACGGTACTGTATCATACTCAGCACGACAAATAATAATAATAATAATAAACGTCTTTAAATATTAAATAATATATACAATACATGTGTATGTATATATAAAGTGTAACTATAGTGGCGAAGTTTAGCAATATGCTACTCTAACACTTAACCACTAAAGTTAAATATTGCGTTGTTAACAGTTAACACGAACAAAACGCAAAATATATATATATATATATATATATATATAACAAATCACTTATAACCCATATGAGAAGTGAAAAATGAGATATTTTGTGTGCACATACTGCCACTCTCAAAAGATCAATGAAATATTGAGAAAAAAGTTAATCGTTCAAATAACTGAACTTAACATTGTAGCGGAAACGTGGTAAACTCATGGTCTTAAATTTACTATCCAAAGAATTATATATTGCAGCAACGTTAGAAACTTCATTGGAACAGAGATGTTGTATGCTTCGGAATTCTGATAACGTGCCTGTCTCTAATAATTCTATCGTGAATGGTGTTATTAAAAATTATTTTTTCACATAGGTATTCAGGCTTAAATCAGCAAAAATGTAACTTGACCAACTGGTCAAACTTTATCCATCTCAACTCTGCATATTTGTGAGAGACATGGTCGAACTTTCTCATGCCGAATATAAAGCGAACACAGCTGTTTTGAATTAATTAGATTGTGTGTTTAGTGATCTGATCCAAACAGGGAAAATATAGAATACTGCAGTAGTTCAAGACAGACACAACGCAGGTCTCGCAAAGTTTTTTCCTCATTTTGAAATTTTAACAGATATCTGTTTGAATAAAGACTGCGTAAACGTGAATTGGTTTTTTGTGTCAAATTTTTTACATGCTCGGTAAATCTTAGTTTTGTATCAACTTATTGTCTATGTTCACATTTAAGAGCGAAACAACGTCGTTTCTCCTGCTCTCTGAACAAAACAATAAAATCTTAGATTTTACCGGGTTTATGCTGAGGTTGTGATCTGCTGAATATTTGCATAGACTATCAATATCTGCTTGTAATACTTGGACAGTGCTCTGTATATCTTCTATACCGAAACAATGGGAGAGCTGGATGTCATCAGCGAACCATTGAATATCAGAGTTGTAAACTAGATAAGTCAAGTGTATATATTAAAAACAAAATAGGTCCCATAATGGAACCCTGAGGCACTCCTGAAGGTATGCGAGTGACATCAGATGTAATACCCTTCACTGAAACACATTGAGTCCTGTTTTTAAGATAGATTTCAAAAATATTGATTACAACCTCATCACAACCAACAGAACGTAGCTTAGCACATAAAAGATTATGATCTATCTTATCGAAGGCTTTAGAGTAGTCGACTGATATTAAAGCTAAACCCATTTTTTTTGTCGAGAACACGAAATATGTTGTCACATATGTTTAATAAAGCCGATGTTGTATTGTAATGTTTTCTAAATCACGATTGTTTAGGTGGGATTATCTGATGTACTTCAATGTATGATGTAAGTTGAAGTTGAACAATCTTTTCAAGGATTTTTGACAAAAGAGAGAGCCCAGGTTTCAAGACATAGATTGATAATGTGAACTAAGTGGAAAAATATAACGGGTAGGCTTACCTTTACCATAGTTAGCGTAAGACCAACTATTCCTTTGGCATCTGATTTAAGATATTTAATTGTTTGTAGAATTTCTGAAGGAATCAATGATTCTGAATGAAAAAGAATCAGGTGGAAAGAAGTGACGATTTTTGTATAGGTGGCATGATTCTTCCGAGGCATTATTTGTACTGTAAACTGACATAAAATAGTCATTGATTTCATTTGGATCAGATAGATTATCTGGAAGAGGGGATTTTGTCCGAGAATGTATATTAAGCTGCTTTAAGCTAATCCATACCTTTTTTTCGTCATTCTGTTCAGATAAAAATTGTAGATATGCTGTTTTATCTTTCCTCGCCTGAGTAAGCGCGTGATTTCTTTTTTGCTTGTAAATATTTAGGTTTTCTACAGTTTTATTTGTTTTATGTGTGGTATGGGCAATGTCTCTTTGTTTAAGAACGTCACGTAGGCGGGGAGACAGCAATGGAGCAGGTAGGTGGTTTGTTTACTCTAAAAGTAGTTACAGGAGCATGTTTATCATAAACTCTCATCAGTGTATTTATTAGGAACTCAACTTTAGCATCGATATGGTTCATAAAAAATAAGTCGTCTAAATTTGCTGAAACTAAGTAACTTAAAGAAAATATTCCTCGTTTAAGCATTTGATGTTCCTTACAGTTACAAACCTTTGTTTATTTTTAAAATCAGGAATGCAGAGAGTGCACGATACCATTTTGTGGTCAGATATGCCGTTAGAATCGAGAACCAAACAGTCGGAAATAATGTCTGGTTTATTAGTAAAAACTGGATCTAATAAGGATGCTGTGTTACTTGTCACTCTATTAGGGTCACTGACAATTTGAGAAAAACCCACCATTTGAAAGCATGGAGAAAGGACGTTGCCGCTCAAAATATCAACATTCAGATCTCCTACAATAAGAATGTTATCAAAATCGTTTGACATTAACGGTAACATGAGATCTAGAGCGCTGATGCAATCACTGAGGTTTTGTGAGGGTGGTCTATACAACACGCCCAAAAGCAAAACGTATCTGTTTATTTTTATGCTGACCCACAGTTGTTCCAAGCAATTTCCAAAGTTGTTGTCAAAGTTAATAATTCCACCCTGAAGGTCAGCGGATATGTACGAGCCCCTTCCCACTTCAGTTGGCCCAACTATTGAAACCTTAGTTTTTTTCTTATCAAACACAAATAATAAAAATGAAGCAGGGTGTTATAGGTTTAAAATATTAACAATGAATATTTTTATAATATATAGTACAAAACACCAACTTTATCACTCCCTAATCAAATTTGCAACACAAAAATAACACATGTTGCAATTACAGCATATCAACCTATTTTCATTTCAATGCAAAATAAGTCCATAACGTATAGGTGGCTGTGAAAAATAAAAGCCATGACAATTGTTTTTATCAATCACAGCTGTGAGAATACGTTTAAAATAGTTTTGGGTAGTTAATGTTTTCAAAATGGGTAGAGGAAAGGTTATTAGTGAGAAAATTCGGTTACTGGTAATTAAATTTTTTAATTCTGGGAAATCAAACTCAGAAATTGCAACTTTGTTTGACTTATCGCGGTACAGTGTGAGAAATATTGTTAGAAGATATAACGTAACTGATTCAGTTAATATTAAGCCACGAAAAAAACGTAATATCACAAATGCCGACCGAAGAGCATTAAGAAGAATAATCGTGAAAAACAGGCCAATTATTTACAATTAAGTGCTCTGTGGAGTGACGCTGTTGGAAGGAGAATTTCGAGGTCCACAACTCATTGAGAGGCCCACAAACTGTGATTTAGCACTTGCAAGGTAAGTTTTCTTATAAAAAAAGTGAAGTAAAAACCCTAAAGTTGCACAACTTGTTTATAGGCCAAAGAAAAGCCACTGCTAACTCCACTGCAAAAGAAAAATCGGCTTAGATGGGCTAAAGAACATAGAAAATGGACACCTCAACAATGGTGTGCAATACAATGGAGTGATGAGGCCCGATTCGAAGTTTGTGTTGGTGACAGTCGCAGTAGAGTTATTCGCAAAAAATGAAGCATTCCATGAAAAAAAGAGAAAAGTGAAATTTCCAACATCCATTATGGTCTGGGGCAGTATGTCATCAAAAGGAGTAGGAAAACTTGATTTTATTGATGGAAATGTGGATACAAACAAATACATATTTGGCAATTTTAGAAGAATCGCTTTTACCAGTGATGGAAGAATGTTTGACATCCGGCCAAGATTTTGTGTTTCAGCAAGATGGTGCAGCGTGCCAAACCTCAAAAAAGGCTATAAAATGGATCGAAGGGAATAATGTACCACTTTTGAAATGGGTTTCTAGCGGTCCAGATCTGTCGCCTATTGAAACTTTGTGGCACTAGAAAAAGGTTCTATGACAACATCCTGCTCGTAAAATCACCGAACTGAGACAAAAGCATTTTGCCAAAACTTGGTTATCATTATGCCCCAAAGAATTTCAGCCGTAATAAAAAATAAAGGTGATGTTACGCAATGGTAATCTTTCAATTGTTGCTTTGTTAACTTCGCGCATTTATTCGCACATTGTTTATTTGTTCAGATATTCTAATAGTTATAGGTCTAAGTGATTTCAAATATGTATTTTACGACTAGAGTGTATCTAAAATGTTTTTGAGAAAATAAGTTGTTTTAGAAGTAAATAGTTTCGTCATGTTTAGTTTATAAAGGCATATTTTGCTACAAATCTTGAAGTGGGCCAACTGAAGTGGGAAGTGGCTCGTAGACTCCTACTCCGCCATCGCGGGATCCCCTGTCACTACGGAACAGATTGTAATTATTGATACTCACTGCATCATTGGTAACGTATTGGCTTAACCACATTTCACTTACAGCGAAAATACCCAATGGTAATCTTTCAATTGTTGCTTTGTTAACTTCGCGCATTTATTCGCACATTGTTTATTTGTTCAGATGTTCTAATAGTTATAGGTCTAAGTAATTTCAAATATGTATTTTACGACTAGAGCGTATCTAAAATGTTTTTGAGAAAATAAGTGGTTTTAGAAGTAAATAGTTTCGTCATGTTTAGTTTATAAAGGCATATTTTGGTACAAATCTTGAAGTGGGCCAACTGAAGTGGGAAGGGGCTCGTAGACTCCTACTCCGCCATCGCGGGATCCCCTGTCACTACGGAACAGGTTGTAATTATTGATACTCACTGCATCATTGGTAATGTATTGGCTTAACCACATTTCACTTACAGCGAAAATATCGAACCGCTCAGTCTGAATCAGGTCAATAGTTGCAGCAAAGTCGGACATGAGAGATCGCACGTTCATTGATCCTAACTTATCCATAATCTGTTCTAGCTTCAAGGCTGAGAACATGGTTCTCAAAAAGCGGACATGCTTTATCCAATGCAGCATGCTCAACATTTATTCATATTGTACGATATTTACGATTATACTGTACACAGTTTGCTCATTTCACAGAATCATTATCACAATTTTTATAAGAATGGCCACTAGAACACTTAAGACACGTAGATACATTAGATGCACAGTTCTTCTCAAGGTGACCAAATGAACAGCATTTTCGGCACTGCATAATATTCAGGTGATCACCTACGGTGCACCTCTTCCATCCCTCGTAGACGAAACCTTTTGCTAGTAGAAGTTTTCTAATAGATGGAGACACTTCTAGAACTAGGTGCATATTTTTTGAATCCCTCAGCTTTAACTTTGTGACTACTTTCATCGAGGTGGAAGAATCTTCATCGTTCAAGTTATTTAAAGACAATATGTTTTGAACAATACTATCATAATCGCCCAAATCATCATTAGAAGAAACATTTTTAATTATAATACAATATATTCTAATAGCAGTGGCTCAACTGTTAGTCATGTAAAGAGCGTGATATCACCAGTTACGTTATGCTCACGACACGGTCCTAGTATGATACAGGTAAACAACCAATGATCTTTACAAAACATTCCTTGCCTTGTACATTTACAATTTAGTCATTTTGTTCCAGATCTTCAAATCCCAAGCTGAACACGCTTCCTAAGGTTTGGCTTCAAGATGCACTGGATCTCTGCTCTGGAGAAAGTAAAAATGAGAATTTATGTGTTACAAGGCGAAGCGCGGGTGTTCCTTTTCTTGTAACGGTTAGTACTGATAAAGTATATATTAGCTCTTTATTACAGACTTACAATTATATCATTTATTCCACTTTATTTTATTGCAAGTTCCATTCGTCAATCCAATTGCCTGCGCGAAAATAAGCTTAAAAGGGAAATTGTGTCTGTTTTATATCCTACGCCACAGGGCGAGGAAGTATTGTAATCGCGAAAAATTTCGAAAAAAGACATTGAGTTTTCTGGATGTTATATGACATGTACATCACGAAAACTATTTCTGTCGGTCCGTCTGTCCGGTATTCTTTGGCCCATCTATAACTCGAGAAGTACCGATCGGATTTTGATGAAATTTTCACACAAGGTTGTTACTATGTCAAGGACGGAAAAAACTGTAGCTTTTGAAAATTGGTCCAGTCGCGGCGGCGAAAAAAAAACAATAACGAAAGAAATTAAAATAGCTCAAACTTAGTTTTTTGACTCAGTTGAACATTTGTTAAAAAAAATTTGAGGTTGAAATTCGAAGAAGGGTTGGAGGTTGTGAGACAATTGTTTGGTCTTGGAATATTTATATGCTTCCAACCCTGGTAATTCTAACTTTATATTCGCCGTGTTTCACATATAATAGATTTCTGCGTACATTTGCCTTTAAAACTTAGAATGCTAGACGGCAAGGCAGATAGTAACACCACTTTTATTAATTCGTGAATGTGTATTTGAAATTCACAATAAATCAAACTGTTTCTTCAGGAACATGCAATTTAAGTCAGGTGAACGGGCTGGCCACGAAATTGTACCATACCGCTCTATCCATCATCATTGTTGTTTAAGATTCATTTAGCATGATTGCTACAATTACATTCTTCTAAAAAACTAAACAATTACATAACATACAGACATTCAAAAAAAAAACAAAATTTGCATCTCTAAGAATTTTCATTGTCCATGAAATATTCCTTTAATTTTCTCTTAAATATCTTTAAATTACAAGTAGACTTTATATAGTCTAAATAAATTTCGCCATTCAAGAGCTCTGCCAGCTCAAATGGTACGATGGTTCTCCCATTTAGAATCCATGAATCCCGGTCCATACGTTTACTTTAAAACGATACGATGACGCCGCTTTTTATTACTCCTACGGAAATTACTGCGACCCTACTTGGCAACATTGGTGTGACGACTGGAATTGTATGTGAACATTCAAATGCAGCATATTGTTAGGAATCTTCTTGGATAATACGTTAATCAATGGTCCTAGCTTTTAAAAAAAACTCGACATTTTCATTTGCTTATGGCATTATTTTTAGGCGCTTTTAAGCTCAGAACCGGTTATCGACAAGAAGCGTTTTCACGAGTGCGTGGGAATTCTATTTAAGACATGCAGGAACACAGATGCTAAGAATGTAAAATCTCGAACAATATGTATGAACACCCTCACTGCCATATGTCGACTCAGCTCCCTAGGAGAATGTGTCGCTTCTTATGTTGGATTTGGCATGTTGATTGCCATCAGTGGATTCAGCAGTCCTGCTTGGGGGGTTTGTATATTTTATTTTTAAACACGAACAAGAGATGAAATGAATCATCATATTTTCTACCCTGAATGTATTTCTAAAACCAGGCATAATAGAGAACCATGAATATATGTATTTTTTAAAGACAAATAGAGAAGATGGGGTATTCTTACTTTGCTTTAATGTATGTCTCGAGTAGTATATACATTTAATTTGAGTAAATATTTAAGCTAAAAGCTTGGAATAACTCAACAACCCCTTTCATAATTGTTTAAAATTTCATGCACACATTATCTGAAATCAATATTTTTACATCATCTCTATTGGAGATTTTATGTATTAGTAAAATGTTTTTGTACTTTATCGTATTTGGGATCTAAAGAAACATAGTTTGCTGTCGTAAGGTTTGCAATGTTACGGATTTTTTTCTGGTCACCTTTTAATCAGAATAGGAAGGTTCGCCATTTTTTAATTTTTACTCAGAGATTTTGTTATTAAAAAACGATAAAAAAATTGAGCAAAAAATATTGATATTTACGTCGACTAAAAGCATTTCAAAATCAAGGATCGGCGCCAGGCTGGAAAACGTACCTGTGCGCGAGACTAGACCGCGTGACGTCAGTATCCAGACACACCTAGCTAGCTGACCCGCTGCATTTACCATTCTCACAACACCGCCCCAATAATCGGTTTGGAGTAGTTAGAGCTGGTACGATAGATTATTGATAAATTCTGTGAGCTTTGACGGTGTTAAATGTCGAACAGAAAGTGGTGTTTTGTGCCAAAATGTACAAGTACGTCAAGTACAACACAACAAAAAAATTTGTGAGTGTTCCAAAAGCTGCCGCATAACGTAAAAAGTGGTTTGACGCAGCTCGAGGAGATGTAAAATCAGTTTCTTCCACGTCGACCATGTACTGCTGCGAAGATCATTTTGACCTGGAAAAAGATATGGAAAACTATCTACCCTACAAGATGAGTACTGTTCGAGCCCGGACGAATCCTAATATTGCACCTCATAAATTTGCATGTCAACTGGGTAGACAATTAAGCTCTACGAAACGAGTGTTCAGCGAAAAAAGGGCAAGGCAGAAAGACATCGCCGAATATTTGCAGCCAGCGGCGGCACGCCGGGCGGGACCCTCAACCGAAAAGTTCGAGCCTCAATGTGTGGAAGTTATTGAGGAGGAGCATGATGAACTGCCTGAACCTTTAACAGTAGAAGTTCACTCACAGGTATGTGACAAGGCATGACAATCCAAAGAGGTACATTTTAGAAGGAAGTCAGTTCAAATCTCGCAAAAACGGAAAGTCATGTATGTTGCTGTATCGCCAATATTGCTGCGCTTGCTAAACAGATTTCAGAGCGGTCAGTAAAACGTTTGCAAGTGGAAATACTAAATTATTGTAATATCGTATACTATACTTGTTTAGACAATTTCACTAAAAACGTTATTCAAGTTATTCAAAACAATTGTATTTTTTTTTTTTTTTATACTCCAACTACCACGAAGGCCTAAGGCCTAAGCACCCATTGGGTACCGTGGGGCTATGGGGGATACATGGGAAAGGGGGGACGCCACACGGACTCTGGCCAGGGAACACGTGTGCATGCAACATGCACACATTCTATTCAATTTTTCTTACAATGTTGCTATTATTTATAATGACCTTCCTAAAGTATATAAAGAATTTTCATTACCTGTCTTTCGAGAAAAAGTTAAAACATTATTACTCAACCCTCCAAACATATAATTTACGTAATCATTCATTTCTTTTTTATTCCATCTTTAAATCAGATTAATAATTTTTTGGTGCATTTGGGTTTGGAAAGTATGCCTTTTTCTCTTTTTTTAAATTTTACTTTCGATGTAATGAACCAAATCTGTTTGTGGATAGTGTATTCTTTTGAACATCTGCTAGAGACTATATGGTTAAGTGTAAGAGTAGCAGCATGCTAAACTTCGCCATATAAGTCTGACATTTGGCTATACTACAATGTAATTGTGGATAAATAAAGACGTCTATTATTATTATTAAATCTTGAAAGTCCCGCAATAACTGAACCATCCGAATCTGATTCGTATGAAGCCAGTGGAAGCAGTACTGAAAGTAGTGACAGCGAAGCTGACCAGCTTACTGCCGAGATCGTAGTCATTCTAAGCGCAATATTAGTCAACGTTTAGAACCTGGCTTCATTGCCCAATCCCCCGAATGCAGCCCTAAACTTTGTTATTTTAGTAGCTATAAAATTCTATAATGTGACTTCTCCCCTCCCCAAATTTAAGTATTCCCCAACAGACCCTAAAAAAATAAGATTCTCTCTACATTCCTGGAATTTCTCTCATTGAAAACATATTAGGTACCATACTTTACTTCAGAATAGTGTAATAATGCCTCATTATGCATGCAAAAAGAACCAATTTCGGGGCTCTTAATAGGCGTAACAAGGTTGTATGAATTCCATAATATTTTACCTTACCTTTAGAAAAAAACAGAGATAAATAGCCTTCAAAATTATTTTCACGAGCAGGCATTATTATGTCTTAATATTATTAGCTTTCAATAGACTAAAGCAAAGCAGGATCAATTTTTGCAGAGAAATACAAAAATGTACTACCCATTGGAGCTAAACAAAAAAAATTAGCTTCATATAGGTACTTACCGAACTACTTTAACAACGCTGCTCTGAGGTTCATTTAAATTTGCATTATTTGCTAAAAACTCCATTTCCACTTTCACATGGGGTAAACTTCGCGAATCAGCTTTCTGATAACCTTGGAGCATTGTGCTAGCACAAATAAATAAAGTACATAAACGTCGGTCCCAGTTTATATAAATTCGTATTCGTATACTCTTCACTCCGTATACAAGACAATACAAGATACAAGTACTCTATGAGGGCCACAGCATGTGTCTGGCTACTGACGTCCCTCGGTCTAGTCTCGCGTACAGGTACGTTTTCTAGCCTCGCGTCAATCCTTGATTTTAAAATACTTTCCGTCGACGTAAATATTGATATTTAACACTCAAACTTCTTCGACCGTTTTTTAATGAAAAAATCCGTCGATTTTAATTAAATTAAGAGAAATACGAAAAATGTCGAACCTTCCTATTGATCCCAGGACAAGGAAATACATTTTTCCGAAACGATAGCGTTGTCTAGTAACGCTGACGCGGCAATCTGCCGCGTTGCCAATAGGTTACACCATTTGCTTGAAATAAGATGCATGTTGAAAATATGCGTTAGTTTATTCTCTACCCCCAAATAATGGGCGTACATATTTTTGAATTGTGACTAATTGCGACGAACCTGTTTAGGATCGATTCCGGATCGGTCCCAACGGCGTTCCATTTTAGGTCGAAATAGAAGGTTAGGCCCGCTACAACATTGTATGATTGGTTCGCTTGGTAACTCCGCATCTCGTACATTCCAAGGCAAGGTTTCCACCTCCATGATCATAGATCATCGATTTTGATCAGTACCCATCTAGCGCACATTGGAAGTGATAATTTGTATTGCGTAATGATATCTTTTACATCGCTCACAAAATATAACAATAACTCAGGATGTGTTGATTTTGTCGCTATCGGTGGAAATCAAAGATAATTTTAAAATAAAACCCAAAAATCGCATCAAAATTGAAATAAATAATTCTAATCAAAATGAAAACAATATATTAACATCCCTCTTGGGTTTTACAGTAACCTAATCTATTGTAGAAGCCTGTACGAACATTTTCTGGTGTAACATATTGGCAACGCGGCAGATTGCACGACCTTTTGCTTCACCATTACAAGGCAATGTGATGATGACCTTCGCTCTTCAGCCGGCTTCTATCTCTTCCTAACATGTGTTGATACACACTGGTCACGCTTCTCTCTCGTACACATTGAACTCGAGCAGTCAGATAAATTTGGTTTTCCCTTGCATTAAAGTGTTCGTTCTGATTTATACGAGAGATGTCTTTTAAGTTTTGCATATGGAAATAAAACAACACGGTAGGTAGTTTTAAATGACTTTATTGTTTTTCGAAGTATTCTCCACGAAGATTAATAATAATAAACTTATTCCACTCGTTTGCTGGCAGATCCAAAACGGCATTTTTGAATACGTCAACTTTTTCTTCTGGTGACTGGAATCTTTGACCACGCAGTCTGTTTTTAATTTTCTGGAAAGTAAAGAAATCGTTAGGACTTAGATCGGGACTATATGGAGGATGGTCCAATAATTCCACGTTTTCTTCCGTTGTTTACTGCCTTGTTTTTTGGGCTGTGTGCGAGCTTGCATTGTCTTGGTAGAGAATGCTTCTTCTTTCGGGGTTGATTTTTCGAAGCTCGGTGATGACTTTTGGCAAACAACTGGTGGTATACCAATCCGCAGTAACAGTTCTTTGCTCATTAAGAGGAATTGTTGCAATATGACCCGCTTTTGACACAAATGTCGCGACCATCTTTTTCGAAACGGATGACTTTTGTTGGCTTTTCTTCACCTTGGAATACCCAAACAGCCGACTGTCGTTTATTTTCTGGTTCATAACAGTAAATCCACGATTCACCACCAGTAAAAATGCTGTACACATTTTTTGAGTTTCCGGAATTGAAACGGTCAAGCGTTTTTTGACACCAATTAACCCTGGCTGCTTTCTGGTCTTCAGTCAACAGGTGGGGTATCCAACGAGAAACTAATTTTCTTACTCATAATTCTTCACTTCACCTTCAAGGACGCGTCAATCTCGCGATATGTCACATGTCTATCTTTAATGATGAGTTTGCGCACAGCATTGACGTTTTCCTGGGTGACTGCCGTTTTTGGTGCACCCACCCTGGGATCGTCGCTAAGTCTCACCCGTCCACGTTTGAATTCTCCATACCAACGGGAAATTGTCGACTGATGTGGCGCTTCGTTGCCGAAAACAGACAGTAACTCAGCAAGGCATTCTTGTTGCGATAATTGTCTCTGAAAGTTGTAATAAATTATGGCGCGAAAATTTTCTCGGTTAGGTTCCATTTTTCTAATGACTTGGTGACACTTAAAAATTCACTGTAGTGAGAACACTACACGTATTGTTGTGAAACTTTGAATTTAAGTTTACTAAAGAGTGAGGTTAAGGTAGAAAACAAACGGAGCGACTTTCGTCGACTCGACCGTCGAGTCGACGGTCGAAAAAATTGTTCAAACGGGGCGACCACTTTCGTCGAGGAGGCAGTCGCGTGTCGTATCCGCGGTCCCTGGCAACGAGAGCAGGTTTGCTAGTAGTGTTCAATCAAAAAAGCAATGGACCTAGACCTAGATGATGAATATGTAATGCTACTGTACTTGTTTTACCGGAGACGAATGAAGAAAAAAAAGGGGAGGCGTCTCTGGATTCATCCAATTATTTCACAGCGCAAAGAAAAAGGCTTTTTTACTATATTGTGGCCACAGCTAAAACAGGACGAAGAAAAATTTTGCAATTTCACAAGAATGTCCCAGTTTTCTTTTTATGAACTTCTCACTGCTATAGAACAAGAATTAAGAAAAGAAAATACTGTTATGAGGTCTGGGTCTATTTCGTGTGCCATCCCTAAAATCTAAATGAATACAAAATTAAAAAAAAGATATTGTTTCAAAATAAATATCTTTTAATTTGAGAAGATAGCGGAATTTATAAAATCCGTGATCCAACATATTCCATCGCGTGATTCAGTACTTACGCGTGTGAATTTCGAAATAAAATGCGTCTGAATTGATACACTTCAGAACATGGCATGATGTGTCGATGCCGCATCGAGTGCCGCTGCAAAGTCGCGGGGAAATCATATGTCGACTCGACTTCAAGCGGCGGGGCGCCGCGTCGAGTATCTGTATGTTTCATTATACGTAGTCATGCCATAAGTTCTGTCCCTCGTTTTCAAACAAGTGTAGACCTGTTAATACTTGTCCGATTGTTTACATTGTGGTGTCAGTTGATTAAGCGCTTTTCGGGTAATTACATATACCTCAGTTTGTATTGATCTCTCGAAGCATAACGATGGAGTGGGGCAAGGCAGAGAACCGTATTGCAGTGATAGCTTTACATAAGTGTAATCACAGTGCTAGTCAGATTTTTGAACTCTTACGCGGCCTTCAAATATCGCGTAAATTTGTGTCTAGGACCATTCAGCGGTACAATGAGACGTCCTCTGTTGATGACAGGCCAAGAAGCGGAAGACCTCGTCAAGTAAGGACTTCAGCAGCCATCAAAGCCGTAAAAGCCAGGATTCAAAGGAATCCACTCCGGAAGCAGAAGATCCTATCCAGGGAAATGAAGATTCCTGTCCTGACGATGTCGCGTATCATTAAACAAGGCCTAGGGCTAGGGGCTTACCGGAGACGTACGGGCCAGCGACTTACGGCCACCTTGCGACACATCAGGGCGACAAGATCCAAGAAGCTCTTGGAGAGGTACGCAGCTGGGGGATTCCGAAAGATTTTGTTCACGGATGAGAAAATCTTCACCATAGAAGAAAAATTCAACCGACAAAATGACAAAGTGTATGCAAGGAGTTCACAGGAAGCTTCGGAGATCATTCCGAGAGTTGAGAGAGGCCACCACCCTGCGTCAGTCATGGTTTGGTGGGGGATGTCCTACGAAGGGGTCACTCAGCTCCATTTCTGTAAACAGGGCGTGAAAACAAAAGCGGCAAACTATCAGAGCGACATACTGGATCCTATCGTCAAGCCTTTAAGTGGTACATTGTTTGCCAACCAACACTGGGTCTATCAGCAGGATTCCGCCCCCGCTCACAAGGCTAAGAGTACGCAGCGCTGGCTGGAAAGCAATGTGCCAGAGTTCATTGCTGCGGAAGATTGGCCCTCAGGGAGTCCGGACCTCAATCCTTTAGACTACAAGTTGTGGGACCTGCTAGAGCAGTTGGCCTGCTCCAAAGCCCACCGTAATATCGAGTCCCTGAAAGCGGATTTGATCCGATCAGCGGCAGCTATTCCTTTGGAAGCTGTGCGTGCAGTGATAGATGAGTGGCCCGCGAGATTGAAGCAGTGTGTGAAGGCCAAGGGGGGACATTTTGAATAAAACTGTTTGATTATGAATTCTAAAAATGTTGTCGAATAAATAATATCTTTCATATAAATATATCTTATCTTGTTTCATTTTTATCATGAGATTATCATGGGACAGAACTTATGGCACGACTACGTATATAAAGTTATTTACACCATGCGTCGACTCGACCGCCGACTCGACGGTCGAGTCGACAAAAGTCGATCCGTCTGTTTTCTACCTAAGATTCAGTACTGACGTTCGATCCGCGCGGCCTACTATGTTTCTATATGCAAAACTTAGAAGACATCCCTCGTATTTCTGGTGAGCAAGAACAGAAAATATGCTCATGATTTTTGCATTATTTCAGATAAGAAATGCTGCCACACTCCTCTTCAGCTGTCTGATCACAAGGATATTTGGCGTACAGAGAACACAGGATTCTGAGAATTTGTCTATCAAAAATCGAATGACGGTGAAAGTGTTCTTTTCGAGATACCCAGAGGTGTTCAAGGGTTTGTTACAGCAACTCGCTGAAGAGATTAAGAAAAGAAATAGTCTCATGTTACATCCTATTCTAATGATTATTTGTAGATTGTACCCTTCTCAATTTGAGGGGCAAAGCGACAAGGTAAGAGCTTTCAAAAAAAAAACAAATAATGTACATATGTACTTTTTAATAGTTTTTGGATATTTCTTAAAATAAGGTCAGAAAAAATAAGTAACGTAACTTTTTCCTAATTTAACTTAAGATGTATCTCCAACAGGTATTGAGATTCCTATGCATAGGATCCTTATCTTGGACACCCTAAATATATATCGTTATCAAAATGTTACTAACATTTTAGAAATTGGCTTTATTCATAATTATTTCGTCAATTTTACTAATCATTCTATTCCTTGCTTTAGGTCGATATGTATATTCGCCATCTCATGGTCTGTCTTTCTAACCCAGTGTACAAAACAAGAGAATTAGCAGCCAGGGCAACAGTTTCTTTACTAAATTGTGACCAAATAGTCGAACAGTTTGATAAACTATTTTCTAGTCTCAAACGGCCCTCTATCAAAGACAACGAGTGCCATGGTATTTTGTTGCAGGTAGATAACAATACTTCATAATTTTGTTTGATTGGTCAACCATTTATTAACATATTCCCGCAGAAGATACCCAACCTAATTGAAAGCCAAACCGCACGATTATAAACATTCGTACGGTGTGGCGTCAAACGCTTGTGCTTACCGCTATCTCTAGGTATCAGCGTTCTCGGACGCAGACAGATTTTGCCTCGAAAAACTTGTCTTAGTGAATCGCCCTGTACACATCCAAACATACCTGGCTAGTTATAGTTCAGGAACTATCTTCCCATCTGCTTAGAAAAATATTTTGGTTGTTTTTTCTCATTCAAAAAAATACCACTTTCAATGAATCTACATCAGAGTTCCCCAAACTTTTTTGTGTCGTAGACCCCTTGCCATGTTTTTCCGTGTTGGGTAGACCCACTACTTACCTGATATTGATTTCCTGTAAATTTCTAACTGTAGTGAAGTTTAGTGTTAAAAACTTAAAGTAAAAACACATGTTAATTTATATATTTATTAATTGAATTTAAATTAAAACTACTCAAAATAAAATTTTGTATCTGTTATGTAAAATATACGTAACATTAAATTAACAGGTGTCTGACCAATAAGTGCCCGCATTGAAAAAAAAATAAGAGGGCTAAAATAAAACAAAAAGTGAAAAATAATAAAAAAAAAGTTTTTTACTTAAAATAGTACAATAAGCGAGTTCGTTTTTAATTATAACATAAACTTATGTTCTACAATAATTTCACTGTTAGTTTGATTAAATTCCGCTTCTTATACGAATAAGTTATCTAAAAATAGGCAAAAAATTAACGAATTTTAGTGTGTACCTATCCTTGAATTTTCAGAATAATTTAAAAAAATATATATTTTCTATAAAGGGGGGTTCTTTAAAAAAATCAATGCGGGCACTTATTCCCAATGCGGGCATTTATTGGTCAGACACCAATAAACATAAAATAAACTATAAATAAAATAACATAAGCAATAAGTCAATATTTTTAAATCTCCTCGGCTAATGGTGTCCAGTCTGTTTCTTTTTTTCGTTAGGAGATTGGTAACAGCGCTGAACCCCCTTTCCACTAGGTATGACGATGGAAAGGAAATTAAAAATCTCCTCGCTATATTCCATAATACGGGATAAGTTCCTCTTGTATTGTGACATTCGTTTATTCTATGTCACCATATGGATTAATTATCCACGGTGGTATTACCATAGTCAAAATATCCTCAAACCTAGATTCAAAATCTGAATAGAGGGCAGTTAAATGTTGAACGTAAGTTGAAACGTCGTCTTCCTGGCAGCTTGTCTATGACAAATTGGGGAACTGAGAAAATTCGCCCCGTCCAATATTTTGCTTCATTAGTTTAACTCTGGCAAGAAACGCTGATAAGATGGACTTTGTTTTAATCAAATTTTTAACTATCGCCTTGTAATTGCAAATTAACCATATTAAATTTTGTAAACAAATCTGTTAAATAGGCGATGTTCTGTTTTCCTCTTCATTAAATTTTCATTTAAAATTTTATCTTTAGTATCCAGAAATTCTAAAATAGTCTCAAAAAGTGCAAAAAATCTTGTCAAACATAAGCCTTTGACAGCCAGCGTACTTCAGTGTGAAGGAGTAATTGATGAAAGTGTTCGTCATTTTCTTCACACAACTGCGGAAATAACCGCGTATTCAACGCGTTGCTTCGGATTCGGTTTACTGCATCAATGACTAAATGAAGTGATTCATGCAATCTAACACTCAAATTTTTAGCAACTAAATGTTTTCGATGGATGACGCAATGTATTGCTAACACCCCTGACACATTTTGTTTTAAATAGCTTATAAGTCCACGATAACGTCCAACCATGGCAGGTGCTCCATCTGTAGCTACTGATATTATATTTAATAAAGGAATTGCTTTTTCAATGAAGTAATCTTTCAAAACATGAAATATTGATTCACCTTTAGTGTCGGTTATCAAAGTTCTTGCGAAGAGCAGTTCTTCGTAGATTTCTTGATTCATAATAAAATGAATATATGCCAATAGTAATGCTGCATTATCAGGTAAAGTTGACTCGTCCAGTTGTATAGAGAAATGGGTCGTTTGCAAATAATTACATAACAAGCTTTCAATATCAGAACTCATTTCATCAATACGTCTTTCAACAGTATTGTTCCTTAAGGGAATTCTTTTAATAATATCAGATGCTGGTTTGTGTAAAGCAGTTTTTAAAACCTCTTCAACGGCAAAATTAACTTCTCTCCGATAGTATGCGGTTTTCCGGATTTTGCTATAAGTAACGAGATATTGTAAGACGCCCGCAAACCATCATCACTTCTTTGTGACGTCGAAGCGAACATTCTGTCCAGTGTAGGTCTCTTCCGAAATGTATCTTTGAGTGTTTGAAAGTATTTCAAATCTTTCTCTGTTTTATCAGGGTGGCATCTTCTCAGATGATCTTGCAGTTTAGATGGTTTCATAGCGTCATTGCCCAAAACTTTGTTGCATAAAAGGCACATAGGCAATTGTTTGTCCGGCAATGATGGAATGAAGCCAAATTTCAAATAATCAACACTGTACTGTCTACATTTCTTTTCAGATTCGGACATAGCATCAGTCATCTGTGGGCAAAATTAAATTATTTAAATAAGACAAAAAATCCAGCAGCTGTATATTAAAAATATTTTTTTATTTTTCCGAAAACATGCCATAATTCGAACATCTTCTTGCAACAATTAGCTCGAATTACGGAGATTGCACTGTAATTATATTACCTACCGATTGCTAAAACTATCAAAAAGAAACTATTGAGGAGTACTCGTGTAATTTTGGATGATTGAATATTTAACTACTAATAACTAAAGTCATGATTGGCGTAATTTATCTATATTTGCTGACTACGAGTACAAAACTAAAATTTAAAAAAAAATAATGTACTTACTTTTCTCCAGCACTCTCAAACAAAATAACACTGACTCACTATAATTTGTGTGATAGACTATCTGTTTATATTTTTTAAAATATTTTCTTAGCACTTTCCTTTTCAAGATTCAGGAAACGAATAAACGTATTTGTCCCACATTCGTATTTATAGAGTGACGAATTGAACAAGTAAGTGCAAGGTAGCGAAGCTCTGAGACTGCGACTCTCAGGTTTTTACAAGTTCAAAATGTATTGCGACCACAAAGCGAATACCAACATCCTACAACTTACACAATTTTATAAACATATATAATACATTTTTTACTTCATAGGTACTGTTATAAATAATGTATATGTTTTGATATTATAAGATAGTATGATGTAAGTAAATAGGTACTATGAGTGTATGTGTTGAGATCCACTATCGTGGACCCCCATATTCATTTCATGGACCCCCAATTTTTTTTTTGCTGACGTAGACCCCTTACAGGTTGTCATAGACCCCTAGGGGTCGATATAGACCACTTTGGGAATCAATGATCTACATGTTCTCAAACCTAAAACTGCGAAAAAAATTGTTTCTCTTTTTTATTAAGGTGCAAAAAATCTAATAGAATATTTTCCGACCAGATGCAAAGATACTTTCTGGACTATTACGGCGGGTTATGAATGGGTGATCGCATCCAAATGACAGGTTGCATTCCAGCCACCAGAAATATCATCTCATCCACCGCGACAGAATCTGCTTTTTCGACGGAGTGGCTCTTCAACTGGTAACTCTGTATTCTTTGTTAAAAGTAAAGAAAGATTTTGGAGAGAAAAGTTGTTTCGAAACAGGGTTGCAAGTAGCAAAGCCGATCGGGACAAAACGTTGTAATTTGCTGCATCTGACCTTACCGATTTTTTTTCCGTCATTAAGAAATTCTGAAAATATAAAGTTTTAAGAATCATTATGCGGTAGGTTTCTTTCAGTCATGTGCAGGAATACATTATTTTCGTTAAAAATAGTCTATTTATATTGTAAGAGTATTACTGCAACATGACTGTGATTATGGAAATTGTAAGTGGACGTCTGAATACAGCATATGGTTGGGCATCTTAGAGAATACGTTAATCAGTAGCACAACCATAGAGATAGGGAAAAGTGTCTAACAATTACCATTTACAGCTCGTCAAGTGTTGGAAGAGATGCGAATTTTTGAATAATGTCACGCCTTCTCGGTGCGCAGCAGCTAGCGACTCAATTCGCCGGATAAAGCAGTAGTCTCTTGTCGTGTCTAAACTAGTTAGCGTACAATCAGGAGAAAAATTGTCATGCAGTAAAACAACTTTATTACTTATTTCCTTGGTGTGCTAAGAGATTTACTCTTGTATGATGGATTTTAAATCCAAATTACAACGTAAAGGACAAACTAGAGAGGTTGTAGCAAATATTATATTCTTTATGCAATGAGAAGCAAATATTTGAAGAAAGTTCAGGAGCGTGCAGCCATGGCCACGAGAGTTAGTCTGTCGACTATTAGGAGGATTTCTCACGAAATGAAATATGTCGAAGAAGGTTCTTCTCTCTTTTTTGACACCAAACAAAAAAAGACGAAGAACCACTCCGAAATCTGATTTCGACGATTTCGTTAGAGGATTGCTTCGTCGATCTATACTGAATTTTTACATAACGGAAAAAAGATTTCAACTTTGCGGCGCATACACAGAAAATTTGTTCAAGAACACAATTGCACTGGATCACGTGAAACTTTAAGGGAAAGTGATGAGGACAATGGAATTTCGTTGGGGGAAGTTAAGAACTAATAGAAGACTTCTTATGGAGAAACCAGAGATTCAGCATCTCGGGAGAAATTTTCTGCGAAGGATGAAAGAATATAGAGAAAAAAAATCGTGCTATACTTTATAACGACGAAACATACATCCATTTCTGCAAAACTAATGTATTATGCAATTTTGAAAATATTGAAAAAGTAGTATATAGAACTTGTTTTTTTTTTAGATATAAATTTTTAAGTGCTTCTGGTGGACGTACAATTGTATTTTAAGATATCCTAATGATATAGATTCGTTAATTGTATATTATATACCCTCAAACTCAATTTTATCTCAACCCAGTCAACAAATTTTCTCTAAGAGTTATCGAGCCACATGAAATACTACAGGCAATAGATAGCTTAAGATCGGGTGCTCGTGGAATTGATGATCTAGCGCTGACAATGATCTTAGTCTTCTAACGTTAATGAGGTTACCAAATTTAGAATATTGGGCTCACAAAAAGATATTCAAAAATTTGACACATGCCAACAATTTCGATTAAAAAAAGCAGGCTTCACATAATACGTATTTATTCCATTAAGGAAGTTATTCGATTAATTTAGGACGCAGACTGTATCACTCGAGATCAAATGGCACGTATTGTACGTGCGACCTCTTTTGTTCCGAATGCGTTATCCCTCTCACGTGTGCGCAATCCAGCCAATCCTCATATCTCTTCCTATACTTGACGAGCTGTACACTCTCCTATTTTTGGTATGTTTCCTTTCGTTGTTATACTCCAGCTGTTTTGTCCTTGTTTGAACTCGACAGTACGAGGTAGGTCATAGAACAATGGAGAAAGTCGAAAAGTCTTGCTGTCTGTAGACATGATAATTGTGAGAAACGTTCCTAACAGTCGATTTTATAAAGCAATTTTGAACGCTAATTGCGGTTTTAGGTGAGGCATCTATTGGATTGTGAACACATACCAAAAACACTGCCTTTAAGTCTTTACATACAACACAGTATTCATCTCCTGCCGAACGTTGGCGTAAGACATAGTCACCTGACAGTAACATTGTATATGGAGGTTTTATTGGCATTCCTAATAAGGTAAGTAAATAACAACGACTTACGTCATATTAGGTTTATAAAGGGTGCTCTGAAAGTTGGGACTTTCTCAAGTAGGTTTTTTAATCAAAAAGCTCTGTTTGCCTACATGACGATGGAGTTGAATCGTTGAACGCTAACGCGCGACGTATGATTTTATGGGCCGAATTTGACGTAACCGATTTCTTAGGTATCTTTGTTAAGTATTTTGTGTATGTATTGTTAGGAAAATTTGCTTTGACTGCACCATGCATTTCTTTGCGTATTTATACAGGGTGGCCGATATGTAAATGACTGGTTTGTGAAATGAAATAAAATACGTCAATTGTTTCTTAATCTTATTAAAACTTAGAAATTATGTATGAAAAATAATATCAGACAAATGTCCGCCTCTACAAGCTGCGCAAACCTGTGCCCTCTTGATTACATTTTCCATTACTTTTTGGTAGGTTTCGGGAGGAATATTTTCAATCGCTTCCGTAATATTGTTGTTGTTCTTCAGCTGCTGCTCTACAGTATTTGGTTTGTTGGCATAAGCGCTATTTTGCAAACCTCCCCATAAAAAAAGTCAGGATCCGTTAAATCCGGTGACCTGGGTGGCCAGTTGACATCACCAAATCGAGAAATTAAACGTCCCGGAAATATTGTTCGCAAAAGATTCATTGTTGGCTGTGTGACAAGTTGTTCCGTCCTGCTGGAACCACATGTTTTGCAGGTCAAATTGTTGGATTTGAGGAGCCACAAAGTTTTGCACCATTTCACGGTAGCGCTCGCAAGTGACAGTAAGAGAGTTACCTGCGTCTTCAAAGAGGTAAGGTCCGATGACACCTCCATACCAAACACCGCACCAAACTGTGACTCGACGCGGATGTAGTGGTCGTTGATGGATGACACGAGGATTCTCTAATGCCTAGAGGCGACAATTCTGCTTAATAACAAGTCCGATCGAAGTGGGCTTCATCGCTCATTATCAGTTGTCGGTAAAAATCGTTATTTTGGGTATTAAGCTGCAATTTGCATGACTGTATTGTCGACGACTTTCATGGTCACTAGGCTGTAGTTCTTGAGTTAACTGAATTTTGTATGGCCGCAAAATGCAAGGATTTTTTTTTTAAATAGTACATAATGACGTGTGACGAATACCTAGTTCTTGAGATCACTGTCTGGTAAACGTCTCAGGGCGCTCCACTACACTTTTACGAACTCTCTCTCGATATTTGCCGGAATACGAACAGTCCTTGGCAAGTATTTAACCTCACCTGTTTGTTCAAATTTCCGCACGAACTAACGAATGGTGTTGACACGGCACATTATTTCGACCGTATCTTCCGAATCTGTGCAACAATCGACTCATTATTTAAGTAAAACGTCGAGTAGCGCTCCATGATGAATTGTGCTTTAAACAACTACTACGGCGCCATCTACTGAAATGCGTGTATCAAAAATCGCGCGCAGTTTAAATCAGGCAGTTATATATTGGCCACCCTGTATTATGGGATGGTAAGTTAACTCATTTCTCCAGTTTACCAAGCTTGATCTGACTAATAATACTTACGGCGTAGTTCCTGACATACAGCTGTGTGTAGTTTATATTAATTTTGACGAATGTACCATGTATCCAGCATTCACCAGGTTACTGGTTGTTTCCCTCAACCTAAACGTTAATAACATTTAGCAACAATCTCACATACGACTTTAAGTTAATTTGAAATCATTTGGTACATAGTTGCTATTTCTTCTCTATGTTATTGCCGCTCCTGATGAATATGGCAAAGTCCATTGAAAGCTAGAGATTTTTAAAGTATAAAGAGTCCTCTTTGCTTGAATTTTGTCGAAATATATATATATATATATATATATATATATATCTGTGCCTTAGAGGTATAAAGTTGTAACTCCATATAATGCAATTCAGAGAACAAGCAAATTAAAGATTGAGTTAGTAGCAGAATGGCTTTTTGTACATGTTAATGTTAATATGCGAATATAGTTTTTTGGGAAAACATATTATATGGTACACAGAACAGTAATGCTTCATGTTAATGATGTTAGAATTTGATATTCAGATTATTTTGTGAGTTACGACTATTTACTATGATAATAAAATCCAGGTGCAGCATAGGATGAAACACAGTCAGTACAATTGGTGGAAATAGACTACATTTTATTATTACAACAAATGACATCTGGAGAATATGTATACAATCGTCGTCGTCGTCATCATCTCCTTGTTGACCCAGCACAGGCATATTTTTATAAAAATCATGAAATGCTTCTGGTATCCATTGCAGAAGCATGAGAATACGATCGTGCTTTTTCTTGCTAAGTCCTTTTGAGGTTTGACGCGGCGAACATGGTTCTAGTGATAACCCTATCGGTTTTCTAGAGGATCTATTCATGTTTACCATTTTGTAGTCCTCTTGGAATATGTCTGTTTCATAGTAGGGGATCCCTGGATTCTGTTTCCGAACCTCAAGTCACACCGCTGATGACACTAAAAAGCTTTCTTTGTCTACCATCTGTTTCTTTTGAATGAGAGGTGATCCTGTGCCGGAATATAAGACCTCGAAGTTCTTGAAGTCGTCTAACTGCATCTCAGAAACTGTGGCCCCGGTTGATCTTATACGTTGCTGCCAGTCCCATGGCGTACATATTTTCATGGTTGGTTGTTTATTTATAACTCGTTCGATAAGTGCATGGATATGATCAGCTTCCATGTGTGTGTGTCTACGTAGAAGAAACTTGTGAATGATACACTTTAATGAAGGACTTATTATTTGTAATATGTAAAACTAGTTTACGATCATCATAATGTTCCTGTTTTGGCTCGAACACCTATAATATCAATTATGTTCTACTTACTAGATTCTCGAGAATCGATTTCCTCCTCCAGTGCAAGCTGCACTAATTTTTGAGCTCTTGAGGACATTATTACCGTTTTTTGGTTACTTTAGCACCTTGATCAACTTTGAAGATTGATTGAACAACACAGTTTGTAAAGCAAGCGGTGCATGACGGAGACACGACTGTTTACCGCTGCGTAGCGATGATTCATATGGTAGTATTGTGCGTATGTATGGAGAAACGATCGTTTACCTCTAACAAAAAATCAGTAGCTGCTTGTTCTATTTCATATATTTTATGATTATTGTGGTTAGGCGCTACGATCATTTACTCCACGTAAAGATTAACCAGGGATACTAATTATACGCAGACAATCACAAAAACTGCAAAAATGGAGTTATGATCGTTTACCTCTAAGGCACAGATATATATATAGAGAATATGATCATGCGGAGAAAAGTATATAACAACAGGTTGTTATATATATATGTATATATATATATCTGAGCCTTATATATATATATATATATATATATATATATATATTTATACATTTTTTTCAGATACCCGGACTACAGTGATCTGAACGCGTTGAAAAACTTAACACTCGTACTTTCTAGGCAAATAGCTTCAAATACTATGCCGCTAACCTGTATCGAAAAGTTCTCACAAACACGTTTTCTTCTTCTCTACTACATAACATTAAATAAATTCCAACATATGAGAATCACGTTCGCCACAATCTCAAGTCAAATAATGTGTCATTTGTATGGTCAAGATCCGAATATGAAACGATTTTGCTTGAATATACTGATACACTTGAATCAACGTAGAAAAGGTTGTGAATCGGTGCAAGCTTTATACCGTCTCAGGGACATAGAAATCCCAAAAGAGATAATTACTGTGATGGATACTATGGATAAAGACTCTATACTTAGGGTGCTAAAACACATACATCAATACGTATCTGTTTTTCTGAGATCGGAACTTAGACATCGACACTACATACAAAAGCAAGATGAGCTGTTATTCTTCCTACTCCTAATGTACTATCCATGTGCTTTGAGATCGTTCAATCAACAAAAGCAGAAAAGCTTGGACGAACTTTTGAACTTCTGTCAAGCAAAAGATGAGGATGTGATAAGTGCCGCTGTTACCTGTATAAGTGTGTTTTTGACGGAAGTGAAGTACCAAGGGCTCCAATTCAATAAACTGATGGATGTGTTGGTAGAATCTGCGTCCCCAGCAGCTAGTGAATCCAGACGATATGCGGTCACTGATCTCTTAGTGGTGAATTATAAATTGATGTTCTCTAAATCCCAGCAACTTGATGGTAAGTGGTGTTTTATTATATCCCGCAAGGTATTGACCAGTGATGCCGTCGTCCCAAAGTCAACACCAAACAAGTTTTTATTGGTGCATTATGATGTATATGACAATAAACCGTCTATGGATGTCTTCAAAATCAACATTATAAAGGCATATTGAAAATTAAACAACTCGAATCCCTGCCACTGTAGCCGCGTACGTCATTCCAACGATGTCATGTTCCATAGTTCCATACATAGCAGCAAGCATGGGCCTCAAAAAGATTTCCTTAATAATATTTATTCCAGTGTATTGCAAGAGTGTAGGAAACGTCACATACAAAAATTTAAAGCAATTACAGAGACTTTAAATAGGTAATATGTAGGTACAAACAAATTAAAATCAGTATCACATATAAAGACCAAGGCACCATATATCCAAGAATTGCCTTACATCATAAATGCGTTTTATTCAAAATACTTATACAGTTCTCTTTTAAACTTTCGTATCTAACCTAGTTGCCATATACAGGATGTTTTCAAAGTTGAGTCATTTATTTTAACTGCTTATAGGACTCTTAAAAATCACCTACAGTAATCGACAAAAGTATATAGACAAATTAATATTGTGCTGTATTTCTTTTAACTTGTTTTATTAATACATCAACCTGTATACATAATTAGTTATAGCATAATACTTACTCACTTATACATAAATAAATTCATTAGACTCCCTTCAATAAAAAATTAATTGAAAAAAAAAACTGGAACTATGAAGTACAAAAATATATAGACAAAGCAAAACAATTATAGAAAAAATAAGCAAAGTTCATTGAATTATAGAAAACCAACCATGTATGTGTTAATATTTTGTAGCATAACCATTATTATCAATCACCCCTTGGCATCGTCTCGGCATAGATTATAGAAGTTTCTTGATATAAGATTCATCAATCTGTCTCCACTTTTACTCTAAAGCGGCAAAAAGTTCATCCTTGTTTGGATAATTTTTATCTCGTATTTGCTTATCTAAGTATTCCCATAGATTTTCAATGGGGTTTATATCGGGAGACTGTGAAGGCCATTTGAGAACTGGTATTTCTTCATCCAGAAAGAATTACTTTGCGAGATTTGAAGTGTGTTTCGGGTCATTATCTTGTTGGAAGATTGATCTTAAGGGCATATTGTCTTCCATATAGGGTAACATGACATGCTTTAGTATGTCTGTGTATACAAACTTATCCATAATGCCATCTATTCTATATAAAGGTCCCATCCCAAACCTCGAAAAGCACCCCCAAATCATAACAGACGCGCCTCCATGTTTGACAGTGGGCAAAGTGTACTTGGGGTTCAATCTTTGTCCACTAGGACGTCTAACGTAATGAACACCATCTGTTCTAAACATATTGAACTTGGTTCGTCGCTTAAACATACCCTATTCCAGTCACAGATGCTCCAATCAAGATGCAACCGTGCAAATTGTAATCGATCCTTACTGTTTTTCCTCGAGATTAGCAGCTTCCTACTTGGGTGACGTGCAAATAACTTCAAATCATTTAATCTTCTACTTATAGTTTTCGTAGAAACACTGACAATTCCTTTTGTCTCGATTTCGGATTTTATTTGTCTTGGGGTTTAAAACGGATCTTTGGATGAAATTACTTTTATTAATCTAACTGATCTAGCATTTAGATTTCTAGGCCGACCACTTCTCTTAGAGGCTTCCAAGATACATTTTTGTTTATATTCGTTCAATATTGCCCAAACTGCTTTACGCTTCAGCTTCAAATTTTTCGCAATGTCGACTTGACGTTGACCATCTTTGTATAACTCAATGATCTTAGTTTTCACATCGAAAGAAATTTCTGGACCACACGGCATGGTCTTAAAATCACAGCTATGACCAGACAATGCGTTGCAAATTTGCAATAATTATTCTATTGAACTTCTCATTTTCAGTTAAAAAAATTGTACACATGTAGTCAATAGAAGTACCAGAAAAAGTAGTAACTCTTGTAGAGCCTTGTATATCATTCTCCTGCCAGAACTGGCGGGGCAAAGTTTCTCTAGAAAAAGTTTAAGACGTAAAAAAGTCTTTAGGGTTGCTTGTACGTCGACTTGTTCTAATTGGAAAAGATTTGTTATGTTGACTTAGTTATGAAGTAAAACATTGATTATTGGTTGTATTATATATTGCCTAGAGTTAGTGTTGTAAATAATTTCGTATTACATCTACTAACTTTCTCATACATATCTGGTAAATCATTCCCGAATAATTTTTCAGGTATTGATATTCAAATGTTGCTGAATATAGTTATGGTTTTACTAGAAGATGAGGAGGATAATGTTCGTAAAAACATGAGCAATTTTTCTGTATTATACAGCCAAATAACGTCAACTCATAGAATGGAGTAAGTATGAAATAGTAATGTTATTACTTCACATTGTCTTTGTTATACATGTCAGAAAGTATGTCGAAAAATAAAACGAAAAGTTCATAAACATGGAGTTTAACATTTTGAATTACTCTATATACGATTTCATTAAAATAATTTTCATTTTGCTACGTTCGTATTATTTGGTCTTATTCTTACAGTCTTGCATTCTGGTGAAACCTCAGAACTCTTAAACCGCAATACAATAATCTATATCTTTTTCTACAGTGCAGTCCATCGATGCCCAGTAATACCAGAAAGAGCAAGAGAAGATCTGCTCATGTTAGCGTCAACAGCTTTACCTCAGAAACAAGCAATCTGTTTTTTGTTTTCATGGTCGTGTAGAACCCTTGTAGATACTGAGGTGGATTCTTCTGGGGTAAGAATCTATTAATAAATCCAAAGTGTTGGTTTGGGAGAAACAAGTTGTCGACTAAACTTATCTTTGAGTATCTTTAGATTTCAGGCATAGTCGAAACCGCTTTTTTGGCTGTCCTATGTTTCAATTACTCCTGGGCGTAGTAATCATTATTTGTGTAAGTCATGTCAAATACTGACCCATGTCAAGTCAACTACTGAAGCTATAGAGATAGATTAACACTGACCCATTTTCCTCTAAAAGCAAAGTGTTTATTCTAAAACATGACATCAACCCTGCCAAGTAAACATCACTCTCCCAACATGTTTCGTACTTATTCCAAGATTTCGTATTCTCAGTATTTCTCTACGACGGAAAAATCATATAACTTGCGATAACTGCCCCAGAGGTGGCAACGCTGGCACTTGAAGATGGTAGTCAACCTATTATATTGTAAGCAGACATAGTTGGCGGTCAGAAACAATTTTTGTTCTTTGTTTGTGTAGAACATTCAGAAATGCTGATTTGCATGCCAGTTTCAACCAAATACAATATCACTAAACTCTATTTACAACGAAACAAGTCTTCTTTCGAGAAAGCCAATCCAAAAACGGAGAACAAACGTTAATTATTGAGAAACAACAATTTACATGCCACAAATTAAAATATTGACCAGAACGAACACTTAATTTGACGAACATTTAAAAAAGTTATATTTATCTGTTTTTTATTTAAACATGAAATTTGGATGCCAAAAATGGCGGTTAGAAAACCTCAAGATCCTTGAACTTGTATCTTCAGCCATCTACCCTAATCCTATACCTTTTTTTGCCCATGCACGGCTCTCAATTGGATTGGGGATCTCAGAGGTCGACGTCAAGCTGGAAACGGGGCATGGGCCAAGTCATAAAGTTATAAGGAAAATATATAAAATCTAAGTCGTGTACGAGAGCGGTTCAATAAGTACCCGTGTTAGAAATGAAGACACCATTTTTTCCAAAAAAATTCTTTTTATTTTCCAACATAATCCCTTTTTAGAAAGATACACTTTTCCCAACGTTCCTGCCATTTTTTTAATCCCTCCAAAAAATAGGATTTGTCGAACTCTCCAAAATATGCCTGTCTCGGTGATGGGTTCCTCGTTTGAGCTAATTTTTTCCCCGCGAGCCATTTCTTCATGTCAGGAAACAAGAAAAAGTCGCAGGGGGCCAGGTCGGGTGAATACGGAGGGTTCGGCAGCACTTCATAACGGAATTCATGCAGTTTGGCGGCGACAACTCCGGATGAATGTGCTGGTGCGTTATCATGGTGAAACAGCACCTTCTTTTTCGTCAGATGATGAAGTGTGTCTTTCATTTTTTTGTCCAATAACTCACTATAGTATTGTCCAGTGATCGTTCATCATCATAGCCATGACCTTTTCGACCGATGGGACCGTCTTGGCCTTCTTTGGAGCAGATTTACCAGGAGAAATCCATTGTTTTGAGTGTTACTTTGTTTCTACTGTGTAATGATGAATCCAGGTTTCATCGACGGTTTCAACTCGACGCAAAAACTCCTTCGGATTTCGCTTAAATTGCTCCAAACATTGCTTCGAAGTTTACAGCCGCATCCGCTTGTTGTCCACCGTGAGAAATCGCGCCACCCATCGGTCCGACAATTTTTTCATAACCAAATTAATCATGGAAATTATTGATTGCCGTTTCGATCGGCAAACCTACGTCCTCTGCTACTTCGCGCACTTTCGTTTGTCGATCAGCGAGAATCATGTCGTGGACTTTTTGAATGATTTCCTCGGTAACCATGTCTGCCGAGCGTCCCCATAAACAGCATTCAACTTCGCTTTTATCTCCTCGCATTTTTTCCCATCCAAAAACAAGCGAATTACCGAACTGTTTTTCCATCTTAGCGAAAATCACGAAACACGTGTTACTCGAATGGCTGCCAAATCCAAACTAACCTATCAATCAGTCTGAAATTTGTTGTGCCGTCGTTTGATAGATGGCAGCACACGATGATGACATTAACTTCCGTCAGGAACGCCCCCTGTCGTCAAACACGGGTACTTATTGAACCGCCCTCGTATTTTTCAAATGATTTGCTTTGAAAAAATCGAAAAAATATAAACCCTGTGAAGATCTTTTAGTTCCCATTGCTGATAATTTCAATTTTTTCTTAGACGGATGTTCAGTGTCATTCTACGTAGTGTCAGCAAGACAGATAGTAACGCAACTTTATTTAATTCGTGAATGTATTTATTAAATTATCAGGAGCAATGCAAGCTTGACATCTTCTTGAAAATGATTCTGTTATCAGACGGGCAAATTTTCCGCTATTAAAAATTCAGTTGCTTCCGTTATTCTGTCCCGTACCTCAGCTAAATTTTCGATTGGCTTTGAGGAAACTTTTTCTTGCACCGCTCCCCAGTAAAAAAATCGTGTGGATTTAAGTCATGTGAACGGGTTGGCCAAGAAATTGTACCAGACCGCCCTATCCATTCGCTCGGGTATTCCGCATCAAGATATTCTCTAACTGAACGGGCATAGAGCGCCGGGCAGCCGACTTGCTGGTACCACATGTCTCTGTAAATGCTTAATGACACGTCTTTCAGTAAATTTGATAAATGGTTTTGTAAAAAGTCTAAATAAATTTCGCAATTCAAGAACAACTTAAAGGATACAATGAATCTCCCATTTAGAATCCGATCGTGTCTCATCAAATATGGATTTTCTAGGGCACTCGCGTGCAGTGGCGGATTTAGAGGAGGGCGCCCCCCCTCCCCTAGACGTCTGACACTTGCTTTTTTAATCTAACACCATTGTGTTTCTTTCTGGCACATCATGGCGACAGAGACATACTAACTATATGTTATAGCTAGAGGAACTGAGCATTGCGATTTTTGGTATCCTTTGGTATTCCAAACGCTATCTCTCTCTTCGACATCACTTACGTTTACAGCACAATTCTTATGATTTATACGTATATACGAGTATTATGACTTGTAACAAATCTAAGTATAAGCAATATATTAACTATACAGATTGCACTTAAAAAGTGATTTATGTTCTCTTTGTTGCTCAATAGTAATTTGAAAACTGGGTAAAGCTTTTTGTTCGGGGTTGGTGTTGCAGCGAAGCACTATTAGTTTAATCATATTAGACGAAAATACCCCTGGTGTCCGAAATAATTCTAAAGTCTGGTTTTATTGCTGCAAGTTGCTCAAGGGGGTATTCAAAACATGGACGCATAAAATGGGTACTAACGGGAACTAATCCTGTATATAAGCTCAATAAACTAGTAGTGATGTCCGGAAAATAGATGATTTGGGATAAACAATTAGATATTCTCAAAAAACTGCTTGACCATTATACTCCAATTTTGCTGTTGTTATTCATAAGTATGAATCCTGCGGATTTGAAGAATTTCAAGTAGTTGCGTAAAATTATCGTCGCATTACCAAGAAGTGCCAAAACCTGCATTTTGCCTGGTTTTTGGGCCATAACATTTTTGCTGTTAGTCGGATTTTTTCACGTGTGGTCTCATTCTGTAGGTCTGATAAATACCTAAAAATCTTACATAAAAAGTTTTTTCGTTCCTGTCAACACTTTCGATTGAATCCCAAAAAACACGTTTTCTCATTCTTTGTTGTCAAATAAAAAGTTTTCGCACAAAAATCGGTGTAACCATTTTATGCGTTCATGTTTAAAATGCGCCCTTGAACAACTTGCACCAATAAAACCGGACTTTCGGGGAAATTTGCTAATATGATTAGACTATATGTTAGATGAACGCCTACATTGGAAATATACATTTATGAGATTTGCTTATCGGTGCGCCTGTAGCCTGTCCAGAAAATGCGTCGATCGACGCTCAAAGTCAATACCACACGTCCCGCATTTCTTCCCGCGTATGTTTCTATTTATGTTGCTATATTGGAATTCGTTTAAGTCACAGAGCTTCTTGCACTACGCGTGAATATGTACAGCCCTGTATTCCTGTTCTTGTTGCGTACAAACATACATTATCAAAATAATTACGATCTAACATATATAGTTTTTTCCAAAGATTTCCAACAATTTTACATGCGATCAACACCGATTCGAAAACTGAGAAAACAACAACTATGCCGTAAATCTAAGTTCGACAACAAAAGTCTGAAGAATAACTGTAACATCTATATTGAATTTCAAAAAATATTTGACTATACCTATTGATATTTTTATCACCTGCTGATATAATAGAAGTGCTTGATTGTGCCAGTATTTACACCAATTACTTGATTTGTTTAACGGGCAGTTCAGAGTATTAATCCTTAAGCTACACTAATAGACCCAGTCCCGCAATTTGGCTATAGGCAGCCTGGAGACGGTCTCAAGACACGATCTATGGATGGTCTATAGACATCCTTCTTTGTCTCGTCTAGCGTCCATACGATAATGTGAAATCAAAGACATTGTTTTGTGTGTGAATGGCTGGGATATGTCTCGGGGTCTCTCAAAATATCTGTTTTGGTTAACAGAGCAATGAAGTTTTAATCTTTAATATTATTACACTAGTTAATTATAAATGCCAAGTAATTATTTTGTTCTCATATAATAAAATATTGCCTTTCTGAGGCTTTTTGAGCACTTTCCATATTTTTTTTTTCAAGTTGGCATGGAACAGATAGAACACCATGGATTTAAGGAGCAATAATAGGATAAATTCTAGAAGATCCACTGAGGTAGAAAAATTAACCCCCCCCCTAGACGAAATCCTGAATCTGCCCTTGCTCGCGTGCTTGCTTCTATGTGCTGAAGTTCAGGGTCTTCTTCGACTGCTTGTCGTAGGACGTCCTCATAAGGAAAAGAAATTCTTCATTCACTATGTGCTTGATTTGGGAATCGCTAATTTTGAAGTGAACGGTGCACATTCACAAAAACTCGCTGATCGAGGTGACAAGCAGCATTTGGGTACCTCTCACGATAAAGCCTAGCTGCAGCACAGGCATTGCATCTTCGTTCAGTCTTACCAGTCTTGCTGTCACTACGTAGAATGACACCATCCGTCACTTCGTCAACAAAAATGAAATTTGTAGTAAGCGGAACTAAGGCCCGTATCGTCAGTCATCCCTACAAGTGTAGGGCGCGTTTATGGCCTCCTTGATTATCATACTCTTTTCTCTCGTTAAAAAATTTCTAGATTACACTCGTCCTGTGTCAACGTCAGCGCTCTCCTATTGTTAAGATATGTTTTCCTTTTAAATTGTAGGAAATTTCAGGCTGATAAAACATAACTCAAAAGCAAGCACAATTTGATGCAAATAGATGTTTGTGACATAACCTCAAAATAGAGCGCTGACACGGAGAAGTAGAAAACTATGACAATCAAGGAGGCCATACACGCGCCCTACAATTGTGGGGACGACTGACGATACGGGCCTAAAAGATCATCACGGGGTGTAGATAACTATTCACTTGGCCTATATCCCGTTTCTCTCTTGACGTCGACTTCTGGAACACCCTGCAAGGGACATCCGTCCATTACTGGAAAGAGGTCATCAAGAATGTTACAACTTGATTCAAACTTTGCTCAGTTGTTCGCATATGCTAAATAAAATTACAATAATGGAATTTACAGGTTTTTGAAGTGGGAGAAAGAAATGTTCACGTAGAAAACATTTTCTACGTATATCGCTGTGCCAAGCTCCTAAAATCGATCCTATGGACCCTAGAAGATGGTTTGAACTACGAAGACAAATCATTATTAATTGAAGAGCAAACCTTGCTGGTGACACAAATATTGGTTGATAGTATGTTGAGGTATCGCTCTCCGATGATGAACAATAGAACTGTAGTAACTGTGATACAAACTCTGAGAGACCTGGCCAAAGATTTAGAGGAATTCGAAATCGGCGGCGATTTTATTACAAAATTTCGGAAACACTACAATGAACATGTGATAACGTATCTTACGAATTTTATTGAGAGTAGCGATATTATTAGCGTGAAGAAAATTTTAGAGATGGCCTACGGGCCAATATTGGGTACTAGTGCGCATGTTGAAAAGTTGGTCATTGCAAAATACGTCTGATTTGTTTGTCGTTTTTTATCACACTACTAAATGTTTATTTATTGTTATTTATTAGCTCATGTAATTGAAGTAACAAAGTATTTTGCGGAATTATCGACAACAAACTACATTACAAAATATTTGCATTTGATTCGCCTTGCCGCTAGGTTAGGGGAGAGTGCTGAAAGATACACGATATCAGTAAGAGAATCTGATTATTTGTATTTTCATTTAACGAATTGTGCGAAAGTCATCAGGAAAAGTCCCTTTTTATATGCATTTGTAGTTTTTATTTGTGTGTAAAGTGCATGATAAGATATTTATTTTGAAATATACTATTTGATTATAATGCATTACTCATTTACATTCCTTGGGGTCAATTTTTTAAAACGGGGAGTAGAATACAATCTAATCTACAGGGTGTTTCAGTTTATTGTTGCATAACTTTAAGATTCGATAGAACTTTTAAAATCATTAAGTCTACATAAACATGGGTCGAAAAATGCGTGGCTTCCGAAATACAGGGTGTTTAAATTTACTTTTTAAAATAGTTTTTTTTTAAATATTTCGAACAATATTTGATGTATAATAGTGAAAATTGGTATACAAGGGTTTTTTGGTACGACAAAACGAACCATGGCATAGTTTTACTGTAGCCGCTAGAGGGCGCTCTCTACTGTACCTGTAGTGTATTAAAATGTCCGAAATTTTATTCTTAGTGCAATTTTTTGCTTTTTGAATAAAAAAACTGATTCTTCGCACTTTTCTGCATAAAAAAGCTCTCATGTGAGTTTTCGTTATATTTAGCCGTTTTTGAGATATTTCGATTTTTAGGGTTCGATGCATTTTTAATTATCTATGGGAAAATAATATTTTTTTTACAATTTCGATTAGGGCATTACAAGTAATTAAGATGATCGTTTAGATTGTGTTTTTAAACACGGCAATAATTCCTAACTCCAAATATACACAAAAAACAATATTAATTTGTTTAATTTTCCAATATTATTTTTAACAAATTAAATTAATTATTTACAACTAAAATGCTATTGGATAGTTAGGACAAACATACAAAATCTACAGTAGTTGCTCGAAATGTAAACACAATTGTTCAATACACAATTCACATCTACGAATGATCGAACCTGGTATAGCATTATTCAAATAAGGCCTTATTTCATCACATGCATTACTGATTCTGTCTATTAGCATATCTCTTGTGGTTACGGGAGTCTGGTACACTTTTTCTTTTAGAAATCCCAACACAAAGAAATCTAATGGATTTAGGTCAGGGGATCGTGGAGGCCAGGCGACTAGTCCTCCACGGCCGATCCATCTTTCTGGATAATTTTCGTCCAGCCAGTTTCTAACTATTCTCGAATAATGAGCTGAACAACCATCAAGCTGGAACCAGGCCAATCTTCTTAAATCTAACATAACATCATCCCACATATTTGCATGTTCAGCCTTTAAAAATTCCAAGAAGGTCGCAGCATTTAACCTTGCAGGCAAAAGGTAGGGTCCAAATAGCCGATTACGGTAGATACCAATCCACACGTTCACACTAAATTCATGCTGAAAATTTCTTTCCCGAACTGCATGCGGATTTTCATGCGACCAAATATGTTGATTATGAAAATTTACCACTCCACGTCTAGTGAAGCATGACTCATCGGTCCATAAAACGTTACTTAAAAACTCCCTATTATTATCGGTTCTTTCAAGAATCCACTGACAAAATATGATTCTCCGCTCTCCGTCCCCTGGCTGTAGTCCTTGCACAAGTTGCAAATGGTAAGGACGTCTATGGTCATTTCTAAGAACACGGTGAACATGGCTTGCTGAAATTCCCAAGGCACCAGAAACTCTCCTAACACTTGTGGTCGGATCTCTATCAAACTCACGCAGAATCATACGGGTAAATCTGCGCTGACGAACATTTATGTTTTGATCCCTTTGGAGATTTCCAAAACCATTTTCAATTATTTGGCGATGCACTCTTACAAATACTGAGCGAGTTGGATGTCGTCTGCTTGGAAATCTTCGTGCGTATTCTCTGGCTGCTTCTGCTGCGTTTCCATTTACAAAGCCATACACAAAATGAATATCCGCTAACTCTTGATTGGAGAATAAAAATGGCATTTTTATGAAACTTACAAAAAAAAAAAACAGGTAAAAGAAACTAAATTTCGTGCATTCACTATTGCAAAAAAACGTTTCAGGTTTCAACAAAACTAACTGTCAACTAATTGACGTTTAACCTTATTCTACTTTCAATTTCAAAAATATTTGCACAGCCTACTTCTAAAAATTATCGAGATACTGACTTTTTAACGTTATTTTATCATAAATAATTAAAAATGTATCGAACCCTAAAAATCGAAATATCTCAAAAACGGCTAACTATAACACTACTAATTCACAAGAGAGCTTTTTTATGTTGAAAAGTGCGAAGAATCAGTTTTTTTATTCAAAAAGCAAAAAATTGCACTATGAAAAAATTTTCGGTCGTTTTAATACACTACAGGTACAGTAGAGAGCGCTCTCTAGCGGCTACAGTAAAACTATGCCCATGGTTCGTTTTGTCGTACCAAAAAACCCTTGTATACCAATTTTCACTGTTATACATCAAAGATTGTTCGAAATATTTAAAATAAACTATTTTAGAAAGTAAATTTAAACACCCTGTATTTCGGAAGCCACGCATTTTTCGACCCATGTTTATGTAGACTTTATGCATTAATTTTAAAAGTTCTATGAAATCTTAAAGTTATGCAACAATAAACTGAAACACCCTGTATAAAATAATCATATTAGACGAAAATACTCCTGGCTTGCGAACTAATTGTTAAGTCGTTTTATTGATGCAAGTTGTTTAAGGGAGTATTTAAAAAAATGGACGCATAAAATAGGTTTACCAATTTCTTTCTATTTGACAACAAAGAATGAGAAAACGTGTTTTTTGGGATTCAATCGAAAGTGTTGGCAGGAACGAAAAAACTCTTTAAATAAGATTCTTAGGTATTTATGAGACCTGCAGAATGAGATCACACGTAAAAAGATCCCACTAATGGTAAAAAAGTTATAGCCGATAACCGAGACAAAATACAGGTTTTGGCACTAACTTGTTGCTAATGCGACGATAATTTCGCGCAGCTACTTGAAATTTTCAAATCCGAAGGCTTCTAACTTCTAAATGACCACAACAAAATTGGAGTCGATTGGTCAAGTAGTTTTTGAGAATTTATAATTTTGTATCCCAAAACACCTGTCTTCCAGCCATCACTACTACGAGCCTCTTCCCACTTCAGTTGGCCCAACTATTGAAACCTTAGTTTTTTTCTTATCAAACAAATAATAAAAATGTAGCAGGGTGTTATAGGTTTAAAATATTAACAATGAATATTTTGATAATATATAGTAGAAAACACCAACTTTATCACTCCCTAATCAAATTTGCAGCATAAAAATAACACATGTTGCAATTACACCATATCAACCTATTTTCATTTCAATGCAAAATAAGTCTATAACGCATAGGTGGCTGTGAAAAATAAAAGCCATGACAATTGTTTTTACTAATCACAGCTGTCAGAATACGTTAAAAATAGTTTTGGGTAGTTAAGGTTTTCAAAATGGGTAGAGGAAAGGTTATTAGTGAGAAAATTCGGTTACTGATAATTAATTTTTTTAATTCTGGGAAATCAAACTCAGAAATTGCAACTTTGTTAGACTTATCGCGGCACAGTGTGAGAAATATTGTTAGAAGATATAACGTAACTGGTTCAGTTAATATTAAGCCACGATATGTGAAAAAAAGTAATATCACAAATGCCGACCGATGGGCATTAAGAAGAATAATCGTGAAAAACAGTAGTAGTAGTAGTAGTAGAAATATTTATTTAGCACATTTGGCTACATAAACAGAATAATTGTAAACAACTTAGAACTAGTAAATTCAAGCCATATGGTGTATGATGTAAATGCTGGGCAACCTATAATTAATTGTAGATTTAACAAGTGATTTCTAAATTTTACTTTAAATTTTGTCAAAGTTTTCTGGTCTTTTATCTCCGAGTATAATTTATTATATTCAATCAACCCTTGATGGAATACAGATTTGTAGCATATGTTATACTTTTTGGTCATTAAATGGGAGTCATCTTTATTTCTGGTATTATGTAAATGATGGTCGACATTTGATGATGTTAAATTAGTTAGACTTGATGGAAATGTATTATTTTTTACTTTATAAATGAATATCATTACAAGATATTTGATAAAAATTTTTACATTGAGCCATTTTAATTTGCTAAGCATTTGCCTAATTGGAGTATATTTATCTTTATTTAGTATTATTCTCATGCACTTATTTTGTAAAATTTGCAGTCTTTCAAAAATGGAATTATTTGCTAAATGTAGAATAGTCGAACAGTACAAGAAATTTGGAAGAATGATGTTATTATAGATAATTTTTCTGCTATATGAACTCAGACATCCAGAAACTCTCGATAAATATCCCACTTTACTACTAATCTTATTTATAACTTTTTCATAATGAATATCAAAAATTAATCGAGAGTCAACAAAAACTCCCAGGTAAATTTTCTACGAATTCAATATCTTCACCATCAATATTCAGTTGAACATTTGTACATTGTTTTTTCCGATTAACAAGGCTTTCGTTTTACTTGCATTTAATTTTAGTCTGTTAGATGCTAACCATTTTGAGACAAGCTTCAAGTCTTCATTTATATAAGAGATACCAGACTGAATATTTTTAGTACTTATATAAATCATAGTGTCATCGGCGAAAATCTGAATTTTGCATTTTTTGACTATGACAGGTAAATCATTTATGTATAAAATAAAAAGAAGCGGTCCCAGGATACTGTCCTGTGGAATACCCAACGTATTTTCAATTTTTGATGAAATAGTGTCATTAACTTTTGTAACTTGCATCCTTTTAGACAAATAATTTCTAAACCAATCTAAAACACTTCCTGTTATACCATATGCCATCAATTTACCTAACAAAATATCTCTATCAATCGTTTCAAATGCCCTCTTCAAATCAAAAAATACTGCTATGACAACTTCTTCTGAGTCTATGGCGTGCCAATTATTTACAATTAAGTTTGTGTTGGTGACAGTCGCAGTAGTTATTCGCAAAAAAATGAAGCATTCGGTGTCGACTGTCTGAAGAGAAAAGTGAAATTTCCACCATCCATTATGGTCTGGGGCAGTGTCATCAAAAGGAGTAGGAAAACTTCATTTTATTGATGGAAATGTCACCTATTGAAACTTTGTGGTACGAGATGAAAAAGCTTCTACGACAACATCGTGCTCGTACAATCGCCGAACTGAGACAAAAGCTTCAAGAAATATGGGATTGTTTTACACCAAATTGTTGCCAAAACTTGGTTAACACTATGCCCCAAAGAATTTCAGCCGTAATAAAAAATAAAGGTGACGTTACACAATGGTAATCTTTCAATTGTTGCTTTGTTAAGTTCGCGCATTTATTTGCACATTATTTGTTCAGATGTTCTATTAGTTATAGGTCTAAGTGATTTCAAATATGTATTTTTTACGACTAGAGTGTATCTAAAATGTTTTTGAGAAAATAACTTGTTTTAGAAGTAAATAGTTTCGTCATGTTTGGTTTATAAAGGCATATATATTTTGGTACAAATCTTGAAGTGGGAAGGGGTTCGTAGTTTGAGCTATATACAGGGTTCGTTTAAAGGGCACTTTTTAGCAAAACACACGAGTTTACCTTGCCGACATGAATCGCAAGCCATTCCAAAAGATAATTGACATTTTTATGCGAAAAACGGTTTCCTTTTTTCTTCTAAACAAATTCAGAAATTTCGTATTTGTCTGGTGAAATTAATTTTGGCAAAGACCTCGACCAGAGAAAAAAAAACGCTTACTAAAATTGTATAATCAATTATGTATTCTCTAAAAATACAGATATAACGTAAAAATTAAGTAAAATACAAAATACTATTTTAAAATTCACAACATATATCCTTACCTAAAGTACTGTAAACGGTCTTTGAAATCAACTGGTACAAGTCTTGTAAAGAAATCACAAATATAATAAAATCTCAATATGTGCTTAAAATAACAAAAGCTGCTCTATTATAAAAGTGACTGTTCCAATAGAAATCAACATGATTCTCAGTTATACATAGTTGAAGAATATTAACAAAACAAATTCCTGACGAAGTGATCAAATTAATGATTTTGGGAGAATTCTTGGCTCCGTGTTTGTCGATTTCGCATGAAACTAGTCCTACAAGGAACATTAAAAATAAAAATCTGAAATAAAAAACAACTGCCACAATGCAGCTCCAAAATAATCTATCTCTACTCCATTTCTATACTCAGATCCCTTGTGCGTAAGAACCTTTCCTTCACCAAATAAAATGCTAGAGCTGCACCATTGCTTTTTCAAACATCAAATAACATTATTATCTTAAAGTCCCAAGTGTTACATTTTTAACAAAAATCTGACACCCGTTTTACGGCTTTATTGCATGTCAAACCACTTAGGATTTCAAGATAATGTACTGTCAGCTGCTAGACACCAGTTAACAAAAAAGATCAGATATACAGTAAGTAATGCACGATACAAATGGTAGTATACTTTAATGGTATACAAGTTTCAAAATTGGTATACATCTTACACTGGGTTCCGAAACATCACTCCATTCCAACCTTTTATAAAGTTTATTCAGGCGCTTGAAACACAAATGCATAAAGCAAAATTTTTGCCTATGATTCAAGTCAGCTTTATAGAACACGAGTGATGCGGTAATTGAGTTTTCATTTTACAGATAAGGAGAGTCCTTAATGTTTTTAACGTTTGCGAGTCTGACGTTAAAATGATTGACAAGCTATATCTAAAACGTATCGGAAGAGTTACTGGAATTGTAATCATAAAAAGTGTTCAATCATTTCAGCGTACAGTAACACGTACTGTGTACTAAAACGAGGGGTTCAAGCTCGATACCTATTCCAAATATTTGCTCTTAAATGCTGGGACTACTGTACTACTAGCACGCCATTTCACATCAACAGGTTTAGATATATTGTCACTGGCTCAAGCTAAAAACAAAAACAATCCTAGTCAGTTATTTTTGCAATTCTATACTGGATAGTCGTGAAAGCTTAAGCTACGAGTAGAAGGTGTTAGTAAAGCATTAAGTTATCCCCTTATCAAGCGCGGATATTTCAAGAGGTAATACTACTCGGAAAAGAGATGAGGTGGCACCATCTCACGAAGCATTTTGGATTTTCCAAAAGATTACAGAAACTTTGAAGGAACAGATTAATTTTAAATAAATGGAAAAAGTAAGTGTTTCCATAAACAAAATGATAAAACGTTATTTAATCGGCAGTAGATCACAATTGCACGGTGAACTCAAGTCATGACAATACAGTGTTCCTAAATTTGTGATTTTACACAAAGTATAGTTTTTATGAAATTAATCCGAATTTCTTAGTAACACATCAAAGTCTTATGAATTAAGTTTCCGAAAACTGCAACATATCAGGTTATCCAGCTAAAGATGATTGGGTAAAAAAATACGACCAGTAAGCAATGCAGGCGCTACGCGATGTGTAGGTAAACCCATCTGGGGTGTTTATAAATCGAATTCGAAAAACAGGTAATAAGTTTAAGTCCTTTAGCAATAAAAAATGTCCATTTGATTTTAGTTTACAGTGCACTTATTGTTTGTCTTTTTTATTCAGGCAGCAGCGGTGGCCGTGCGCTCCGAGGGATTGAATCCCGTCCCACGAGAAATTTTTCTCTTGGCTATGGATGTTGTGATTGTCCGTAGGTGGTAGACGGTCTCCGACTGTCATACGCGCAGGTACCACCCGACGGATCTCGTAGGCGATGCCAGAATTTGTGCATGCTGCATGCACACGTGTTTCCTCGCTAGAGTCCGTGTGGCGTCCCCCCTTTTCCACTGTATCCATACCTATATCCCCACGATACCCCATGGGTGTTTAGGCCTTTAGGCCTTCGTGGTAGCTGGAGTATAACAAAAATATATAGATTTTAATATTGTTTATTTATTAATCTTATTTGCTGGAAAGCTTTATCAACTGAATGCAGTTTGCTTTAAGTGCAACTTGACCAACTTGAGCTGTTTTAGATTCTAGCTATTCTTTGTTGTTGCTTGTTTATTGTTTTTATGTTCATATCCTTATTCTTGCTAATCGTAGGTATGTTTATCTCATACAAACGCCGTTTGAAGGAACGTCGAGGTAAACTGAGGCAGTCCAGTAAATAAATCTGTTTTTTAATAGAACGGTGGACAGAATTTATACACAACATATGACAGTGCGGTACTTTCAAGCCGAAGTCACAACTTTAGGAACACGCGTAAAAAACACAGGATAATGTTATTTTAGACACATTATTCCACGCTTATATAAAGCAAGTCAAACATGGTATTTTTGTTTTTTATTAACATTAACACCTACTTTTTCCACCCACTGGCTTCAAAAAGTAGTAGGGCTACCTTAGTCACGACCGGTGGGAGCATAATAATTGTTGGTAGTCATACTCGTACATTTTACTGATAAGTTCAGTTCAATTCCAATAACCGCGAAGTCACATTGCCCATAGTGAACCATACAAATTGATGCTTGCCGAGGACTACTTGAAATTAACAACTATATCGCTCTAGATTAAAAGCAGCACCCTCTTGACGTCACTAAGAACCACCCCACACCTAAAAACACCCCTGCAACCGCTTAGGGCGACAGTTCAGGCGCGTGCATAGGGTCGTACCCTCCACAACCAGTGGCATCGTAAGCCCCGCCCTGGTCGTACGCTCCGCCCATACTGTAGCCCATCGAGTCCTGGGGCGGTGCCGGGGACATCATGGGCGTGGCGGTACCGCTGTACGGCGACGCGCCGGCAGCTTTCTTCGCCGCGTACAGGTTCGCCTCCTCTTGCGCTTTGCCGATGTTTTTCTTGTACCGAATACGTTTGTTGCCGAACCAGTTTGACACCTGCAACAGATTTAGGAACAGGTTAACTGTTTCGTTCGTTACTTTGACATGTTTTGTTTTATTGACTGCCTACACTTGCTCTCAGCGGCTGAAGCATAGCTAATATAATCTGCTAAACCGTAATTGAAGTTACTGACACTGTTTCAGTGGTTACAGTTCATGCAGGTGATTTCACTATACGTCACGAGACGTAGCAATTCGAAAACAGTATAACTTTGGGCGATCAAAACACGATGTCAAATTTGGCTATACTCGGAATCGTAGTTATGATGCGATTTGTTACCGCTTGTCTCTATTGCCAATTTCAGGTGTTAGTCAAAGCGTTACGCCATGCAACCTGATTCTATATCATTAGCTCATTTTTTTTTAAGGATTGTCGCGACCAGTGTCCAATATACCGGTTTTAAAATTCATTGTACTATCAGATACATTATTAAAATGTTTAGCGTTTTTTTGTGCAAGTCATCGGTTTCTTGCGTAAAGATCTATCGACTCATTCAAGTACTAACTAACTAATGTAATTTTAGTAGTTTTTGTACACTGAATAATAATTGATTGAACATTAATTTTTGGAACGCCCGAACCTGTCTTTTTATGAATTACATCATGTGATGTACTAACTGCTTACTATGGAGAACCTCACACAATCAATATTGACTGTGGTCCGTACCGCCATTAGCTATACTCGCTACGTGGACAATACATATCACATTCTATGTTAAATACTGATTCATCACAGCAAATACTGACAGTCCGACATTCGCCATTCTCTCAATTCAGGGTAATAACAAAATGAGTAACGCGTTAGTCTCCATGTAGTTGAGTATGACATTGGACAGTGGAACTTGTCATAATATTTGTTTACTATTCTCCATGAATTCGAGAAAAATTTAATAGGAAACCGCTATGTAAGTATATTTTTATCTAGCACTGCTCTTTTCTATATATCTGTTCAAATAGCTTCTGGGTGATTAATTGTGATCTTCATCTTTGATAATCATAATGATTAGTTCAATAATTACAAAATTTGTAAAACATTACAAAATTACTGGGAACATTTTTAATTTCAATTAAATATATTTTTTGAATTTGATAGCAATCGATGACCACACAAAATGATGTACTGGATTTGCAAAGTGGCTTCTTAAATTTCATTTTGAACAACACTGGGACAAAACATAGGCATCAGATGTCAGTAACGTATAAAATATGTTTCAATATCTTCAGTTTACTATTAGTTATAATGGATCAATGAGCAACACAACGTGAACGGCACATGTGATATGTATGCAGACAATGAGAACCTAAATTAATCCTGCATTAGGCAAGTCCAACTGATTGGAAAACAAACCCATCACAAGACAAACATCGGCAATGCAGACGAACGAACCTTGACGAGCTGAAAAAAATTTGGTGGTATACCACCACACCCATAATGGAACTTCGATCAGTGACTACCAACACCAGTTTTATAACACACAATCATTATCCCAGTAAAAAGGGAATTTACTTACTTCCCTGTAACCTTGATTTAATATCTCTCAACATTTAGCTATCTGTATGCTTTTCCGATATGATATTTTAGTATAGGTGGTCCAGGGAAACCATTTTTTTTTATAAAATTGCAACATTTATCTTGAAGAAGCGGATTTAGCAACTGTAAACGATATCTTTAAATACGTTTTGCATTAAAATAGTCGCGATTCTGTTTCTGTACACATTGAAGTTATAAATCTCCATGTTTTACTGGCCAAATTAAATCACAGATGTAGAACTGAAACTTACCATGGTGGTGGTAAAATATTTTGTCATTTTGTACTCTGAAAAAAACAAAACGTCAGTATATGTTCCAATTCTACATCTGTTGTTTTATTTGGCGGCCAGTAAACATGAATATACACCAGTGTATCAACGAGACAGCCACAGAATAAGTTTCAAATGTTACATTAACCATGAAGTTATGTTTTCACTTATCAAATATTATACTGGATTATATAGTATAGAGTGTTCTCTAGACCACCCAACAATACAAAACCCAAACACTGTCACATTCACTCTCAACACTCAAAGGAAAGAGAGTTCAAATAGAACCACAAAATTAAGCCCCTAATCATACAGGGTGTCCCAAAATTACGTGGGCATAGGTACCACGTAGTCTCAAAATAAGTTGATTGGACATGATTTACCTCTATGTAAAAGTGCTTCGTTTGTCCAGTAGAGGGTGCCAAAGTTTTCATTTTGAAACACATTTTTTCAGATATTTTTGGAACTTACAAAAAAAAACGTTTTTATAAGAGATAAAAAATGAAGTGAATAAAAGGTTCTTTTAAATAAAAGAAATTCAGAGTTGCGAAATTATTATTCGTTCTTCGTTTGCAAAACAAAGGTATAAGAGGTTCAGATTGACAAAGCTCCAATCAACTATTTGACAGAATCCAAATTGCTGCAAATACATTAAAGAATAATAACATCTTAAAGAAAGTCAACTATCATTTTTGCGACGTATGTACAGGAACAAAAAATGGTGGTCATATTAACACCTCTTATGAAAGATTCGCACTATTGCTTGTATTAAATAAAACTGTAATAAGTAATACCATACTTGTTTATTTTCGCTAAATACACTAAAAGAATAAGATGCTTGGAACCTCTTGATGTAACTCATTTTTTTTTCTCAAAAAACATCTGAGATGGCCTGGCCTGCCTTTATAGGAGACAAAAAATGAGGTAAGTAAAAAGTCTGCTAAATAAAAAGATTCAGAATCGTCGATAAAGATGCCAAACAATTCTGCTATAATTTATGTAGGAGGTGGAGTCCTCTAACGGGCAAACGAAGCACTTTTGCATAGAAGTAAATCACATCCCATCGGCTTATTATGAATCTAAAAATACGTGGCACTTCTATGTCAATGGAGTATTGGGACACCCTGTATATTATGAGGCGCAACTACCATCTCATTAACCACTCTGAGCCTCCCGCTTAAGGCGACAGCTCATAACCTCCCCCCTGATCATAGCCCCCAGCCATGTTGTAGCCCATCGAGTCCTGCGAGGGCGCAGGAGACATCATAGGGGTAGCTGTCTCCCCATAGAACGACGCCCTGGCCGCCTTCTTGGCAGCGTACAGATTCGCCTCCTCCTGCGTTTTGCCGATGTTCTTCTTGTAGCGGATGCGCTTGTTTCCGAACCAGTTGCATACCTGAATCGAACAGAATTATGACTATTACTAGAGATACGAATCGAAATTTGATAGCAAAATGTTATTTTTCAGTTTTATTGAAGGTAAAATTTAGTAAAACACAAACCATAGAATGTTCTAAAAACAGAGCAAAAGCTAAAATCATATATGAAAGGCCGTGAAAGGCGAAAAGTCAGTAAATTCTATTATTTGTCATTTGTGCTGATTCCCTTTGGTATTAGTAAGTGACTGATGAATCAGAGAAACAATCATTGGATATGTTTCAGAAGTTGCACTCTGAATACAGAGAAATCCAAATATCACTGACGTCGTAATGTGTATGAGAGAGAAGCGCGAAATACGTATTTTAGAAAGAGTACGCCGATGGCAACACGGCAAGCCGCAGCTGCGTCCGTTTCTAGGCAACGTGGCGTTTCTATCTCTTTCTAACAGACGCATTGTACGCTTCTCTCTCGTACACATTACGCCGTCAGTGGTATATGGATTTCACTGTATATATACTTGCTGCAAAATGAAATTCCGATATACTCAGATTATGAATGCTAGTCTTTTAGTTTTTAGCTGAAATGCCCGCAAAATACTCTATTTTCAAATAAAGCGAATATTTTCAACACACTCGGAGTCTGTATACAGAAATTAATATAAACGTCCCAACATTTGAAGAAGTCAATATGATAACATTTCTACTGAAAGACAACATCAATGTGAGATAAATTCATTTACTATTGATAATCAACTGGTTCGGCTATAAGGTTGCTAGCGCAATGGATAGTTTATTTAGGAAACCCCATGCAAAACCAATATTTTTACATACCCTGACTCTGCATACAGCAGACATCGGCAAAGCTCAGGAGGAAACAACTCATAACGCCCGTGATACGAAGTACTAGAGAATGTTAGCAGGCACAAATACTGCGTAAGTAAACGTTAATAATAATTTACCTTATAAATCATCGACTTGCAATCTCAAAAGAACGTTCGTGTATGCGATATTTGTGTGTGTGCCAGATCTCTATTGATATTAACACCACCCAACACGCCCAAATGTCCTCACTGTATCATCTGGTGATACTGTACATCATATAATTGTTAATTTGATGATTACAATCATAAATGGAAAATCAGTTTAGAATACGAAGTTTTGGTTTATCATAATATTAAAAGCCAAGTATAGAAAAATGAAAATCCTACCTGTTTCGTGTTGCCTTGAGACACTTCATTTTTCAAAATCTTGCAGATTTTTAGTCAATTTTACTATGCTAGGAGCAAAAAAATCTTTCCCCGCTAAACCGTATCAGGTACAAAAAATGGAATCTGGATAGTCAGTGCGCGCGGATCTTGCTGTAATCAAATAAACGTCTCAATAGCAGTGATGTACGATGTGTTATGCTACTCTCTTCCATTTTGGTACCGGGATATAGGATCGTCCCACCGTAAAACTATGGATATGGAATCTCGAAATGAATCGTTTTCTGTATCGTTTTTGTGCTATAATTATCTAAAATGTGAATGCTATACTTTTAAAAATCCAATGAACCTCATCTTCCCTTCTTCTCTCCCAACAACCCATCATTCCTCCATTCGTTTTAGCCCTATTGTCTGTGAGACGCCGTCATCCAACGCGTTCGTACCGACGTTGCCTGTCATGCTGAGTTTTTTATATACTGATGCAGCCACCATAAGAAGAAATACCGAGGCACCGTGACGCTTATACAGAGCTTAAAGCCATATTGTTGACCAGATGTTAAATACCTAAGGTTAGGCTGGGGGGCAGAAACCTAGCGAGTCCATCTAACAGCCTCAACGGGCGCCGGCATTACGGAGGAGACTTTTGAGGAGCAAAGTCCGTTGACATATCGGTGGAAGATACTGTGTTGCGTCATCGGCAAAATTATACGTCATGACATGATCCTAGTATGATGGAAAAATATCGTAAAGCTCCAAAACATATTTAGTACCTGCACGTGATGGGGGTGGCTGAGGATCCCTTGTGTGAACGCTGCGGGATAGAGGAAGAGACCTCGGCGCACTTTTGTGTCGCTGAGCTCTGAGCCACTATAGGCAGAATATACTGGGGTCCATTACTTTGGACCCTCAGGACGTCAAAAAGCTTGGACTCAAGTCGATTCTCAACTTCGCTAAAAGGGCGAGGCTTGTGATTAAGGAATGTAGAGGTGCATAAGGGCCCGCTTAAGCGGCCTATGCACTGGCTCCTTATGGTGGCCGGAATGCCTCTAATTTCAAGATTCATTCATTCATTCATTCATTCATGAGGTTGCCAGCTTTCCTCCATCAGTGTTCTGCTCATTGATCTCTTACCACCTGGATGGCTCCATCAGTAACAACATGTATAACAAACCAAAAAGTCGATACCTAAAGCCTGTTTTCCATTTATAACCATCATCCACCCTAATCCTAAATCCCTGAAAACGAAACCGCCCCGATCCGACACCGCCGCACTTCAAGGCGACAGTTTGGCGCCATACATGGGGTCATAACCCCCACCCCCGCCGTAACCCATCTGCTCCGGAGGCGGTGCCGGTGATGGCATCATGGGCGTCACTGAGCCACTACTATAGTCTCCATATGGGGAGGCTGATGCTCTTGCCGCCTTCTTGGCAGCGTACAGATTCGCTTCTTCCTGCGCTTTGCCGGTGTTCCTCTTGTAGCGAATTCGCTTGTTGCCGAACCAATTGGATACCTGCAGGGATAATAATGTAATATAAGGTTTTACAGTCCTCCCTCATAACTATTTTAGTAGATCGGCAATTTGCTGCCTGAAGTCTGAAAATAGCGATTGACGCTGGTATGCAGAGTCGTTCGCCGGCCCGCCGTTCTACAAATGATGATTCCGATGCAAAGACCTTCAAGAAACAATGCATCGGAATCATCCTTTGGGGAACGGCACATCGCTGGAGATCGTCTTTCCAAACCAGTATGAGAGCCCTCCCTCAAGCGCAGGGTTATTACGTAAAAAACCTATTCAAATATCACGTTTATGCCACGTCAACACAAACACGAAGACTTGACGTGAAAAGCGCGAAAAATTTCGAAATTGACATATGTTTTTTGGATGTTATATGATATGTACATCACGGAAAACCATGTCACTCATTTCCGTCAGTGTGTCCGCTCATTTTATAACCGCCTAGAACTTGAGAAGTGCTGCTCGGATTTTAACAAAATTTTCACAAAAGGTTACTACTATGCCAAGGATGAAAAAGATTTTTCATTTTTGGAAATCGGTGTAGTGGTGGTGTAGCTAGGGTCAAAAACGAAAAAAATAAAAACGTTGCTTTTTGATGTTTCAGAAGCTTATGATCATTTTCGGATTTTTTAATTGTAAGAGTTGAAACTTGGGTGGTTGGGGGTTGTAGGAAGTAGAAGTAGCTACAGGAGAAATATTTATATATTTTAAAAATATTTACGTACCGCTTTAGCGTTCTGCGATGCTTTGGTAAATGATGACGTAACTGTTTGTATATCTACACATATACAGGGTGTAAACGTTATGATAGTCATTATTTAAATGGGTTATAGAGGGGGTTAAAAGAAGCAAAAAGTTTCATATAACATGGGGTCAAAACGGCATTTTTTTAGAGAAAATCGACGTTAAAGTAAAATAAAATCTGACAACGCCGCAATGCCAGACGCAATTACGACGGAACGCAGTGTAAATAAAGATGGAGTTTGTTATTTTTGGTTCTTAGGTATTATTTCATTATTTGATAATGTACTCGTAAAATGCAAACAATTAAAAAAAACGGACTTACCACTAACTGTCTCAGCACTTCACCTGGTGTGTGAAAGTTTATTGAATGTATTAAAAAAATCTACTTACAAATAGGGAACACCATTTTGATACACACATTGTTTTTCTTTTTAAAACCCACACTGCACTTTTTTGTATTTAAAGAAGGTGTTCAAAATGACGTCCTCCACTTTCCACACAAGCTTCATTACGACGAACCCAGTTTCTTCTTACTCTAGGTCCTCGAAGTTGTCCATTTATTATTTCCGCCGCATTAAATTTTTGTTCGCGAAGTTGTGCTCAATTATTGGACCAGCCCCATAAACCATCCCTTTAAGTTCTCCCCAATACCAGAAATCCATCGCATTGAGGTCAGGAGATCTTGCTGGCTATTTTCGAGGATCAGGAGCATTTCGACCAATCCAGCGATTTGGATAATGTTCATTCAAATACTGAATGACGCCTCTAAAAATGTGTGGTGGTGCCCCGTCATGAAGAAACCACAAATTCTGTCTCCGTTGTAATGGAATATTGTCTAAGGTCTGTTCCAAAAGTTCTGGTAGGTTATTGGCCAGAAGCTAAGGTATCCTTCTCCTGACAATTTTGGGGGTAACTCGAAAGGGCCAATTACCTGATCGTCAAGAATACCCGACCAAATATTTATCTTAAAACATTGTTGGAAATGACCTTCACCAATGGTATGAGGATTTTTTTGGGCCCACGTGTGAGTATTACGGAAATTTAATATCCCGTCTCGCGTAAAAGTACATTCGTCCGTAGCTAGAATGTTTTTAAAAAAATCCGGATTTTCAATGTTTTTGTGCAAAAACCACTGACAGAATGTTAGTCTGCGAGGATAGTCTTCTGGTAACAAGGCCTGCACTCGTTGTACATGGTAGGGATAAAGCAAATTTTCCCATAGGATTCTATGGACTATGGTATGCGATAGTCCTATGCGGCGGCCTAATTCCCGAGTGTTGATATCTGCATTGATTTCCACGATATTTAAAATTTGTTCCTCCTGCTCTACAGTTACCTGTCTTTCACGAGTGCGAATATTAGTGGGCTGAACAGTTCCTGTATCTCGAAGTCTTTGGTAGACTTGCACAAATGTCCTTCTGTCTGGGTGTACCCGTTGGCGAAATCTGTCGCGATAAATTTGAGCTGCGAGATTTGAATTCTGACGAGCTTCACCGTAAACAAACAACATGTCGGCGAATTCTTGATTCGAGAACATTGTAAACAAACACGACGACGTACGCGAACAAAAACAAAACACGACCGATGCCCGATAACTAACCACTGTTACCGTTTGCGATCGATTACCGGTTCGATAAGAGTGATGACGACGCGCTGTTGCCATGTGTGTTTTAAATATTCAATTTAATGAAACTTACTTACTTACCGACTACAAATGTTGGCTTAACTTAGAAAAACTTAATGCCATTTATTTGTTAACTACCCAATTTAAAAACGTTTTAGATTAGATTATAAAAATTAGTAAGATTGTGGTCGATATAAAGCACTTAAAGTTGTGAACTATAAAGCCATTTACACAAAAATCTATTGACTTTTGGATCATTGGTCATATGCATTTTTTGACCCTATTACCCATTTCAATAATGACTACCAAACGTTTACACCCTGTATTTTTCTGAATTTTATGATCCTTAAATGTACCATGAATTTTGTCTTACATTTAGTTTGTGTTACTCCATCTCATGATGCATTGATATACAACAGACACAAACTGACAAACCGACATAAATGAGAAACACGGTCTTGTGTGATGCAGATATCTTTAAGCAACAGAAAACTTGTGAAACGAAGTTCGAACATCATCGCGAGTTTAATACTTCCATCGTTTAGGTAGTCGTAGATTTTGAAACTTCATTCAGAGGCGGCGGAAATAAATTCCCTGGAACATAGTGTTACGTTTCAGAGATTCCTGCTCATTTGCAAACATTGTTTGTAGGGGTTGAAAATCGAAAGTTGGAAGCTGTATGTGGTAAATGGTTGCATATTTGGTGTCAGTTAAAGAACTTCTATTATTAAGAAGCTGCTGATCTCCATAATACTATTCACCTGTTAAGACATAATAAGTCACACATATTTTCCCTACATCTGCCATAAAAACACAAATATACTTGCTTTTTACAGGGTGACTTCGAAGTTGAGTCATTTATTTTAACAGTGAGTAGATCTGATCAAAAGAATTTTTTTTTCCTTTAACATTTTTGTGGTAAAATTAAAGTAACAAAGTTATAGCCCTTTAGAAGTTTGAGTACCGCCCTGTCTCAATAATAATATTATGTCCTCGAGTTTGACAACAACGGATATAATCCGCCTTATCGGTTCATCGCATCGGAAACAAAAAAGCAAAAGAATTTGAAACGCTTATCACCATGTTTTTACTACAATTTTATTCAGTTGTATTCAGTCAATGTGTCAGTTGGTAACGCGTGAGTGAATAGTGGTGTTTGTTGCGTGGCTCAAACGAAATAAAAAATGGCACATGTTTACGAAAATGCTGAACTTGTGGACATGATTCTTATTTCCGGGGGGGAGTCTTTACAAAATGCTGCCGCGGCATCATTTTTGTGGTAAAATTAAAGTAACAAAGTTATAGCCCTTTAGAAGTTTGAGTACCGCCCTGTCTCAATAATAATATTATGTCCTCGAGTTTGACAACAACGGATATAATCCGCCTTATCGGTTCATCGCATCGGAAACAAAAAAGCAAAAGAATTTGAAACGCTTATCACCATGTTTTTACTACAATTTTATTCAGTTGTATTCAGTCAATGTGTCAGTTGGTAACGCGTGAGTGAATAGTGGTGTTTGTTGCGTGGCTCAAACGAAATAAAAAATGGCACATGTTTACGAAAATGCTGAACTTGTGGACATGATTCTTATTTCCGGGGGGGAGTCTTTACAAAATGCTGCCGCGGCATCACGGATTTATGCGGATCGGTTTCCCAATCGAGTGCAACCAACCCCTCGTGCCTTTGTTAATGTAGTACAAAGGGCTCGTAAATCAGGTGACTTAAGACCTCACAGGGGAGGGCATGCCGGTGCTCCAAGACCGCACGATCAAATACAGGTCCGCACTGAAATACTTGTTGGGAGGATACTTTATAAAACAAGGTAACATTTTTTTTTATTTTTACACACATATTTTGGTTTATCTTCCTTCTACAATCATTAATGACTCAACTTCAAAGTCACCCTGTATAGTTTGATATGCAGAGGTCGAAGATTTATTGTACCTAAGTGAGTCTAGCAAATCACGATTCGATTTCGTCTTTTCAAACGATTTGACTCGTCCCTTTTCTCTGGAATCTCCAACAAAGGTGTAGGAAGTATAGAGTAAATCTACTTGGCGGCGTTAACGGCACTGTGTTAAAGGGGATGCTTTTTGTTAACAAATACTATGGTGTAGAGTTGAGTCAACACTAAATCAACCTGACGAAACGATATCGCAGTAGGAATCGATTAAATCTATTCCGGTGGTCTCGTAGGAATCTATTCCGGTAGTTTTGGTCCTGATTACGATTATTTCGATTCCGGTGGTTTCGATCGCGGTGGTTTTGGTTCCGATACCCGGTGCTGAGACTGGGCATTCGATTCCTTAAGATCGGGTCAGATCGGATTTGGGCGGGATGTTTGAAGGGAACGATATGCTCGGATTCGAATGTTGCTGCTACGCAATAAGAATAGTCACACTAACGCTTCTGATTGCAGTGGCTCCAAATGAGATACGGTCTAGAAGATATTTTTGGTATGGTGTAAAATTTCAACACTAATTATAATTTTAATGAAGAAATGCTATCTCACGCGATTACCTCTCAAATAAACGCAAAATTTCGAATTTGAAATATGTTTTTCAGATACTTTGACATAAACAGTACAATGGGGAATGTGGACGAATAGATTCTGATGCTGGAATCGAAAACTATATCAATACAATAAATATTTTCAAAATCAGCAAAGATCTGACTATGATATATCTGATCAAACTTAAAATTGATTAGCAATCAGCAAGACCATTCAAAAAATATTTATGTAGAAAAGAGGTAACTAGAACATTTTCCAGATTCATCAATTTGAATATGTGCTCTTACGTTTATACAAATTGTGGAAATATAGAAAAAAATGGCAGAAAACACCACATAATCTTACAAGACAATTTTTAAAGTAAATCCCCTAGGTGTTAAATACAAACAGTTTATATTTTTGTATTGATGCCATATTCTAACCATTTTTTTTTCTCCAAAATGTCTAGAACTAATCTAGGTCCCAATAAAAATCAATACATTTATTATACCTGACTGACTGTGATTCCACACTTCCTAGCTAGCTCCTCCTTAGCCTCTTCACTGGGATAGGGATTAGATAGGTGTGAATAGAAATACTCATTGAGAATTTCCGAAGCCTGCTTGCTGAAATTCCTCCTCTTCCTTCTGGCATCTAGGAACCTTGATCGGAGTATCATTACAGCTTCACAGGTGCTCTGCTTCAACTGCATCTGGATTGAGCTGAATTTCTTGTGAATAATCTGAACCTGAAAACAAAAACTTTAATTTGAGAAACTATTAAAAAATTTTAGTGGATAGTAACTAGAACTTTTGGATTTGAACATTATACTTAACTACAGCATCTATCTTGGAGGAACAAATTAGATACACAGTACAAAATTAGCTTTAATAATAAAATATCTTGTACAAAATAAAACTGACTCATTTCTAACTATCAACGGTGATTTGAATGAGTATGTTTTATATATATTTCTTTGTCTTACCATCCTTTCGATTTCTTTTGGTGTAATAGGCCGAGTACGACTCTGCTCCCTCAGCAGGTTCATGACATGAGTAGTGAATTCATTGCATGCTTGCTCATATTTCTCCAGCTCCTGATGATAGATCTGCCTAATCTGTGCCAATTTAGCCCTGTAGTCTGAATGCTCAATAGCATTATCAGGTTGACCAGCCTGGGCTGCAGCTGATCCAGAAGCTGCTGCACCAGCTCCCCCACCCTTCTCAGGCCCTGCTACACCTTCAGCTATCAACATGTTGTCCAATCTGCAAGGCCACAAAAAATTCAATGGATGTATCTAAACATTATAAAAATTGATAATCGCACAAAGATAAAGTTGGCACTTATATCATGAACATACCGAAGTGTGATATAATTTTTACCAATCTGATAGCAACTGGCATTGCCCATCTGTAGATAAATACATTTTCATTTGTGGATAAAAAACATATTCATTTACCCATTCTATATTACTACTGTTATGATACTACTATTTCAGCAGGTTTTAGGCTTATGCCCAACCTTTTGGGGATTTCCTGCAATGTAGTATTAGCAGCAATGTTCAGTTTTGCTCCCCTGGGTGAACCTAGTATGTATGGATGGTCCTCAAACTGACAAAAGTAGATGAAGCAGAACTAGTCTATTCCAGACAAACTAAATGAGTTGGTTTCCATGGACATTATCATGTCATACCTCAAATAGTTACAACTGTAATAATTTTACTGGATTATATGTTGTTCAAAAGTTATTTAAGAAAAACTGAGGGCCTATACCTTCAAAACAAAGAGGTATTTTGAAAATTGCCAAAGGCTAAAATAGTCTCAAAATGGCCCATAGAATCAAATACCTTTCTTTACACCTGTTTTGGAAAGAACATTTATGTTGAAAATTATGCATTTAATCAATGTATTAAAACAAAATATTTGGAAGTAAATATGAAACTAAGGCAATTTTTGAATTGCTAAAAGAATACCATAGTTTATTGTAAAACCTGTAGAGGTTGAATATTATTATTCTGAGAATGCAATATTAGTTTTAAATAATCTACGAATGTCTTATTTTCATAATGTAGTACAAAAAAGGTAAAATCCACATCTTAAATTGGGCAATAATTTAGCACCTTGCAACCAAATAATTATTGAATCGAAGTCCTAAACAATATTATTTTACTGATTGAAAAACATGAACTATCAATTGATTTAAATAATATATAACCCTAATACCAATTTATTTTATATCTTCAATTTTTCAAGAGGAATGGCAACATAATTATGGCAAATAAATAGAATGTGGAAGAAGCTGAAGAAAAAATGAAGGATTCTGGAAAGAAATCTGGCAATGTTACTTTTATTTTTTCAGGAGTTGCTAAAAATATATGCATTTTTATCTGACATGGTGAAGCTCTCTAGAATATCATAATAATGCAAAAATTGTAATTTATACAAACGCAAGAGAAATTAATACTACTGCCCAATATAAGTAATGGAGTCTACCTCATTGCACTTAACTATCTGACCTCATCAACTGAGGATCTGGGGGCTCCTCTTCCTGGGTGTTCCTCAGGGACAGCACAGTTTTCTCCTTGATCTCACACAACACCGAAAATAAGGCCGGCTTCATCCTATGGCAATTCAAGGTGTGTTTCCTTGCCTGGGCTTCATCCAGGCTCTGGTCCGTGATGTTCATGATCTGTTGCAGGATCTCACCGATGTCCTGCTTTCGCGGCTCATTCTCTCCACCGGGCGGCGCCTCGCCTTGCGGGGTCATGCCGTAGGGCTGCGGAGCCATCAGCCCGCCCCCGGTGTGCCCCATCATTCTGCCTGGGTCATCCATTTAGGGAAATCACGAAATCGAATCACAGCTAGACAACAAAAATGGAGGATGCGATCGCGAGACAGCGAGAAGATGAACGTAAACAAAAGCTAGACAGCTCGATGTTTTTGAGATGGGTAATACGTTGACGCGTGCGCAGTTCATCATACTTTTATGGATCTTTTGCAAGAGAGTGCCATCTCTTGGATAGAATTTGAAACTGATCAATAATATGAAATAGATTCCTATATTATCAAATGAGTCTAGATAATTTGGTAAATATGAGAATTGTCAAATATCCAAAACACTGGTAAATGTCTACTTGTCAAATAAATCAACGCAGTATTTTCTTAACAATTTTTCATTTGATTGCGAAACTGTTTATAAAAGGCAAATACGGAAGCAGCAAAAAGCATAATAAAGGAATGAAGATGAGCTTCATGGACACATAAACTGTATTAAATTAGAAAAAAGCACAAGTAAGTAATAGTAATCTTTTGTCTTGCGAGTTGCTCATAATTTTTACAAACCACTTCTCCTACCTCCCAGGTGACATTTTAAAATAGAAAAACTATCCACCGCTCTTATAAACTACATTCTGTATCAATTTACTATACTTCAAGTGAACACAATCCAAAGTCTGCATGATACAGGAAAAAGCAACAATATATGATTGGAATTTTCTCATGAAAACTGTCAATACAAATAAAATTCCATTTCATAGTTATGGAGGATAGTCTGAGCGTGAAATCAAACGAATCCATAGCCACGAGCGAGGAATTTGTTTTTATTGGAGACAAACCAGGTGCAAGCAAAACACCAACACTGGATTTCAAAAATGGTGATTTGAATGAACTGACAAATGCATTGACCGAAGTTTTGCAAGAACCAGATAGCAATATGAATGAAGACAGCAATTTTAACATCACAGATGTGTTGGTTGAAGGAAGAAAGAAAACAGGTCAAAATGTTTTTTGTGGCAGTCCCGTAGAGCCTGGCAAAGACCCATTAAGCCAAGATGGATTGAGCCCCACTGAGAAGCAGGATTCTATGAAGCCTGTAAATAGCTCTGAGGATGAGGGCAGTAGTGAGTACAATGTACCTATATTATATATTGAAATGTTAAATTAATTTGAGTCTGACTTAATTTATAGCTCAAGGCAACTGATTATGACTAAATAACAACTATACTTATCAAGAAATAGCATTATTCACATGTTTCCTAAATAACTTTATAGATGATAACAAGAATTTGTTTTTATTATAGTTCTTAATTGTTTTCTTTTGCCTGTGATTATTATAATTTTTATCAGTTTTGAGCAATTAAAATTTTCATTTCTGAAGGAAGTACTAATTCAGTTTTTTATGAACTATTAGTTATGATTATGTTATATACAATGTTTGGTCCATACTTTTGATGTTTGAAATAACATCTCAAGTTATTTATTCCAGAAATTGTGTAATCTTCAGTTAAATTGAGATTTGAAAGATGTGGAAGTGTAGTACTGGCTATATAGTAATACAAGTTATTATAGAAGAAAAAATATTTTATATTGATTTGCAATTAGACATTAAATATAACTTTAAAAATTCCCTTAATTTCCTCCATGTTTGTAGAACAAAGGGCTTTACCGATGTTGTGAAATTGTCATATTGACAAGAAAATATGCAATATGAATTGTGTTTTTTGTGTGTATACAAATTTTTATTTTTTCTTTCTATGAAAATATGGTAATGTGTATAGCATTACAAAGAGTATTCGTATATTGTTATACCAGTTACATATACAGAGATGTTGATATTTGTAGTGAAGGTCCCATAGCATGGGAATATACATTTTGTTAACTTCAAACATATCTGGTTACCTTAACTTCATCATATGTTGAAAATGAAGCATTGTATTTTACTCTCTTTAGTGGTTTATTTCCTCAGTTTGTCGATTTGCTTAAGATTTTTTTTGGCAGAACATTGAAATCATGGTATTCCATATATTCACCCATATATTTATAACTCTATATAACACTATTGATGATAATTATGTTTAAGTTGGTAAAAAAATTGAGATTCTGAGAGGAAGAATTATATTAACTTGGTGTTACCTCCCAACCTCCTTAAAGACACTGAGGTTTGCTTACCTATCATCTTGCACAATAGGCACCTCTAAAGTGATTTGGTAGAAAGGGTGAACTGAAAATTTTTCATTCTATATAAAAGAATAATAATGAACCTTCTTACTTTTGTATGAGTATATCAGTGCTGTGAAGCTTATAAATTAAGACTTATGAAGTGTCAACCATACTATAACTTTGTGGGATTGCGTTTTTATGTTTTTTCCCACTAATTACTTTATACTGGTTTTAAAAGATTATATCATGATCTCCTTGTAAACTTCATCAAAAGTTATAATTAGTGAAATCAATGTCTACAGAAGTTGCAAGGTGTTTCCTAATTGAATAACAACATTCAAGGATGCGATTTTGGGTCCATTTTTAGAATTACAAATTATATGAACATATGTCCTAAACATCTCAACTTTTAAGATACAAGGTGGTAAACTTTTCAAAAATAAATCATTTTATTAATTAATATCTGTAAATACCACTAGATATTTTAATAAAAATTGGCATACATGTACTACGTATCATGAGGCAGTTTTTAATCCACTACAAATTTCGAGGCATTATGTTTTTTGGATGTTACATGACATGTACATCACAAAATACCATGTTGCGCACTTCCGTCGGTCTATCTGTCTGTCCGCTAATCCTTGGGCTAACTTGTATTGAAAAAAATAATCATGGACATTGGATCCGTAAAAGCAGAAAGCACAGATTTGCCGAAAATTGACACACTCGAGGTTGATAATTTATTTGCCTCCAATCCAGATTCCTGCTCTGCTGAGCTGAAAGTGCATCTGATATAATGATAGACATAAGAAAGAATAAGTAATACACTTATGTAGTCTTAGAATAATTTTATCTAATATAACACCAAAGTAATCTTTGCAAAAATAAATTTGTGTTACAGTTGATAAAGAGTCTTTGAGCAAATCTTAGGTAGTTGTTGCCTATATTTATTTCCCTGGGCGCTCGAATTCACAGCATTCCTGGGGCCTTTTTCAATGTGTTTTTGCATTCTCGGGCGATACAAGAACTATAATTACTATATTTTTCATGTAAACTAGTAGAAGTCACGCTTATATGTTTAAAAGTTTAAGATGTTATGCTGCTCTCAGCTGCTGCTTACAAATGGTATGACGTCAAAGCAGATTATTCTATGTGCCAACCATGGCAGACAGAGGCGCGTCTCTAAAAAAATATATTTTTAAAGTTTTGAGGTTTATTAAGTCTCAAAAAATATAGTATTTTTTTCGACTAATACAACAAATATTAACTATTTAAAACCTAATTGAAAAAAGTGTCAACTTGCCTAATCCTTTGAAGTAACTTGTTTGGAATATAATCCTTTATGAGTTCATGGCAGAGTTGTATAGGAAGTACAGAGTCAAACTACTTGACGCCATTTTTTAACTTACGGAAAATCATTAACTTGCCACTGAATTTCTATATTGAAACCTTTACCACCCTGTATCACAAAAGTTAAGACATTTAGGACAAATGTTCATACTTACTTGAAATTTTTCCAAAAATCGTCCCCTTAAATATTGACATTCAATTAGGAATACAATACATCTCTACCTAGACAAAATTGCATCCAAAATAGCTGAAACAGATTATTCATATGCATTTTTTTAAGGATAACTTTAATCTTGTTTATTGTTGGAAAAAAGTGTTTTTGAAATTTGTAAATTGAAAGAAAACTCTTTTAAATATTCTGTATTGCCCTTCAGAGGAATTACCCAATATAATTTAATGTTTACTGTGGATGACATTTAAATTAAGCTGCATATTTATTTCAAATTGTGAATGTTAGAAATATATGTTATTTCCCTGATATTTGATGGGTGCCTAACCTAAATGACAGAAGGTAGAATTTATTGGGTATCAGCTTTGGCGCGTAATTCTACGTTTAACCTTGAAATTTGGAAAAGCTATGCCTCACCGATATGTCAATCTATGGAATTGAATAGTAATTATGTATTTTCAAATGTTAATATTACCACTCATTCTCAATCGTGAAAACGATCCCAGGATTGTAGGAAACATTTCTTTGTCGTATAATAGTAAAAAAAAGTCAAGATATTGCGACCTTATGCTATCAGAATAATAACATGGATCATATTATCTGGCCCACAATAAGAAAACGATCAACATAAACGTTCAATAGTAGCAGTAAGTACAGATATTCCTTATCACATTTATGGAAATTATAACTTATCTAATCGCCATGTTCTACAAACTTCGACACCAACACATAAATATTTCAAATTGATTTTCAATCATGCCAGTGAATCCATATGCAGGCCTATTTTGGAGCATATACCCTCAACCAGTTTCAGATGTGGACCAAGAGTGTACCATTTTCTCGGGTGTGACATATCTCGGAGCCGCTGCCATTAATGCACCAAAGTCTGAACCGGAAATCCAAAGAAATATGGCCATCTTGAACGAACAGAGCACTGAACAGGGGATCAAAGTATCCATTTCGGTGCCGTCTTCTTCTCAAGGATTGGTCGTGTAAGTAAATTTTGGGAACATTTTTTTAAACAACATGACGATCAGCAGGGTTAATCTATATAATGTCAATAAAACCGATAAAATGTACATAAAATTTTGAAATCAGTGTTAAAAATTCTATTTCATCTGCGCAAAAATCAAATTGGCGACCATAAGAAAAAATAAAGTTGATGCTGAAGGACAAAATGACGAAGCGTCATATTGAAACTCTAATTATGCCATCTTGTAGAAGAGAAAAAGTGGCAATGTTAATGTGCAATTTATTTTGAAATCCCAGTACAATTGAAGTCAGGAAAAAATTAAAACGATTCGTTTTTCCGTCTTTCTCCGGAAGTACTTTGAATTTCGAAACTTTCTAAGCGGCATTTTGTTGTTTGTAACGTAACTTTGTTTCCATTTAAGCAACTTCGTATCTTACAGTTTCCGGGATCCCATTGGTGAGGGTCGAATTTTAAACACCGTGTATAGCGTTAGGTCTGGTTCGTCCTTGGTGATCTGAATCAGTTAATTGTCTTTTGTGGACATGGTCATGAGTTGATTTCATATTTCCTTGCAGTTTATATGACGCCAACACACACTCAGTCATTTCGCGGTATGAGATCCAACGTATATTGTTCTATGCTCGAGGGCAAGTGGATGGACCAGAGGCAGGTTGTTTTGCTTTCACGTGGTCGCATGGGGACACTCAAGAGTCGGCCATATTTCAGTGCCATGTGTTCAGATGCGACATTTCAGAAGCTGTATCCAGAGTTTCATGTAAGTTGCATAGTCTAATATGAATTTTAAAATGCTGGCAGATTTTGATATCGAAACATCGTTTTTATTGATCCTGATTTTGCAAAATTCGTACATGTAATATTTCCTTTTGGAAAACAATGTCGATTTTACATTTTTTCTCAAACAGCATGTTTTTCAAGTATGTGTTTTGTTAGTAACACTATTTTGGGAACTTCTTGTTTGCAAGGATAAAAATCAATAAAATCTAGTAATATCGTATAACGTCGTTGGCGTATATATCGTCTGTGGGTACGCGATACATTTGAACTACTGTGCATTATGACTACTAAGGCGAATCAACACGTGGACAGTCTTTATGTGTTTTGTTCGTGGACTACTTGATCGTGAATATCAGGTGTCGAATTTTTCTTCATATAGATTTCATGAAGTTTTTTTTATAATGAGCTCACTTGGTAAATACTTACCTATGTAGAACTACGACAGTAAATACAAATGTTTCTTGTGATTTCCATTTCCACCTCTCTTCTCTCTCGGGAATTGTCCTGTTTCCGTTTCTTCATAATGTACCTTTTTAAACCCAACATACTTGTTTTTTGACAAACTGGGATAAGTTTCTTTACAAAGTATGCTGGGACAGTAAACTTATTTTTTAGCCTCCGCCGAGTTGGTATGGTATTACAGTATTTCAATAACAAAGCTTTTATTATGCTCTTTATAAAAAGCTTCATGGAACTTGGATGAATCGGCCATTTTTAATGTTTTACATTTGGATCGCTTGTTATTGTGGTCACAAGTTATCTCTGGCAAAACTTTCAGCTTGTATCTAGAACAGGGATCGGCAAGCTGCGGCTCTCCAGTTCATAGTAAATCCTCTCAACACAAATATAAATGAGATCAACATTGAGCCATTCGGAATTAATGCTGGTTCGTTTCAAATGCAATTGCCGGTTTTTTTAAATTGTAACTTTTGGCCCTTCGGTCTCAAAAGGTTGCCAACCCCTGATTTAGAATAAAACCAAAAAGAATTTATTTAGATAAGATAGGTAAATTAGATACATTTCACAATTTATTACTGTTACAAAGTCCAGTCCGGTCCTTACCTGATTTTTTTGGCAATATTTGTCTTTGATTTATCAGGTTGCCTAGCATGTTTTCTAGCTTTAGTTTTATCCACATGCTACCAAAACTCCTCCATAGTGCTATTTTGGTGTAATTATAATAATCATCAAAAGTATTTCCCACTAAAAACCCCATTTTCTTGCAGACGCAAAGCACTGAATAAACAAAATCGCCCTATTGTTTCCTTACTACTTTACGTTATTGGCTGGATCGGAAATAGTTGTCTTTGTTCGAAATGTTTACAGAGATTGTTAAGTTTGATGCCAAATAAATTTTTTGAGTAGCTTTTGTATTGGATTTTACTGTTTTAGATACGGAATACTAGAAGGACACGGAACCGAAAGCCGTAGACAATAAATTAAGATTGAAAAAACATACGTTACGGTGTAGAGTTTGTAGCCTTTGATACTAGACCCCTGATATATCATAATTTTGTTCGCGTGTAGATTAGGTGCACAGGGATAGTACTTTTTGTACTCTAGTCACTATTTTTTTCTCTCTCGTGTTCTTTGGTAGGTAAACTAAAATCCAACCAATAATGTTTTAAGATCTTTTTGGCGATTGTAAACAACAAAAACCGCTTTTACCTGCTAAATACCAACTTGAACAGATTTGTTGAAATTTTTTATTTCTTAGTGACCAGTGCTGTCTTGGGTATCTAATTATTCACATCCCCCGTGCAGGAGTTTGTTGTTTAGACTCATGATTTCTTGAAAAATACGTTATATTAATTTGATTGCCGAGATCTGGTTTACCTGGGACAAATGTGTATTTAGTTTGGATACACCAAAAACAAAAATGCAGCATTTTCTAGCCACGAATTGCACAATGCCTGGAACTCGTCCATTTTGTAATCTTCCAGAGAGAGCAAAATACATTTTAGAAAATTGACAACATTTTTCTATTTACAACCGACATTCTTAGAGCAACTTCAGAATCATGTTGACCACCATCTATTGACTTATATAAAGACAAATAAAGCACCACACTCAATTTTGTTACTAATTTCTTTGAAAATATTACCATTCGCGTATATTTTTCGAAAGTCAAATGAGTCACCTACTACTTTAAATGTTTAAGTTTTTTTAGGACAAATCTATCACATCTATCTTGCAGTTTGGATCCCACTTTTGCCATGATCGAAACGTAATTTTCAATCACTCGTAAACCTACACAATAAGTTATTTAACCGGAATAAATGTTTTATTGTTTAACACATGAAATATACTCGTTATATCGAAAATAGCTTTTTGGTGGCGTTACTTTACTGGATCTTGGTGTTATAGCTTGTTTTGCAAAAGCCTTCCAAAGGGTTCCGCGTTCTATGAGCAGTTCTGTGGCATCTGTAGCTGATATGATGGGTTGTGTCTCGAGCGTCGTGGAACCGAGAACCCTCATGTATGTCTTCGAAGTCAACTTGGAGATCAAAGAAGAAGATGGAAAGGTAATACGCAGAGTAGATTGAGAAACGTTTCTTATTTGTTTAAAATTATCCAGACCTAGAGGATTCATAATTGATTCTTCAAGACTCCAAATGATTATACGAGTAATGTGTATGCAATTTTTGGATATTGTGCATGCAGACAAAATACAGACTCGAGTGAAGGTGTATTTTGGAATTTTTTAAACTGTCCCATTAGGATATAATGATATAAAAAATGCATTAAAGGAGTTCCAGTATAACTGAGGCTTCACTTTTGTTTCTAACATTTTTATTCATTCAGTAATGCCAAAGAAATCACTACAATACCATCAAAGACAGTTATTGTTCCAATCTATGCATTGATTTATAACATATAGTCGAAATCACGAAAGATGACGATTACGTCATCATCTTAGTCTGCAGTAAAGAGAAACGTCAGCGATTTGTGAATATATTTAATGAAGTTTCTGATATGTCATACAGAGACAAACAGAATTTTATTGTCTAAACAAACTGCATTGCTAATTTGCATGTTTCCGACAAAGATAGACGATGTTTTCATGTTGCATGATCGATCATATTTGAAAGATGAATAGTTAGGTTATGTTAACGCAGGTTATGTTGTTTTCGAATAATACTTTCGTCTTTGGTGTTCCTGTCTCATAACTGTTTTTTTTTTCAAAATAAAAACTCGCCACTAAAATTATTATTAAGGTATAACTCAAAACCATGAAATAATATGAAAATAAAAATAATCAGTGAACTAACCTAACTAAAATAATAACATAAATTTGTTGTCATTAGAATCAAATCCAAGCGGATAACCAAAATTTCCGTATTATGTACCGCGGTTATAATATGGTCCAAGATGACACACGGTATGATGACGTCAGTTACTTGAATCGCTTGAACGCGTTGGTTTTAACCGCGGTTTGTTGCAAGTTGTTTATTTTAGAAAAGCGCGTATATAATTTCTGATTATTTTTATTATCACTTAATAATCGGTGCTTTTTCGTCTAGAACGGGGTATGGAAAGTTGAAAAAAAGAAAACTTTCATAATATTAATGGGAGAAATGTTTTTTTTTTCAGAAAAAAATATTTATTGATTTAGCAGAAATGACGAAAAAGCGATGAAAAAAGGATATTAACAAAACCGTATACAGGTGGACATCATCCAGTGAGTTTATACGGCCATATTTTAATATTCTTGTGGTACATGGCTATACAGGATACTTTGTTAAGCGTAGGAACTAGATTTAAAGTGTCCCCAACAACAGTAATGATTATAAATAATAAGGTGCACTCTTATGCTGGAACTGAAATCAACCTGTATCAAGTTTCCCAAAAATGAAGTTGAAGTACAATAAAAATATCCAATACCCGGCAAAATTCTAACTTGTCACATGTCAAATAATAACCAGAAATATAAAACTACTCCCGAGTTGGGTAAATACCACAATTTTGCGGTGATAACTATGACATATAACAGCTGATTCATGACGTCACGGATCTTATAACCAAACTGATAACCACACTCGCTTGAACAGATCGGTAAATACCAATCCAAAATGGTAAATACCATTTCCATTTGGTTATCCGCTTGAATTTGATTTATGTCCCTGAAATCGTGATTTTATCATCGACGTACGTCCATTGATTACTTCAGTATAATTTAGGTTATGACTTAATAAATCAAATCCAAGGGAATAACCAACATTTCTGTGTTATGTGCCGCGGTTATAATATGGTTCAAGATGACACACGGGTTGATGACGTCAGTTACACGAATCGCTTGAACGCGTTGGTTTTAACCGCGGTTTTGTTGCAAGTTGTTTATTTTAGAAAAGCGCGTATATAATCTCTGATCATTTTTATTATCACTTAATAATCGGTGCTTTTTCGTCTACAACTGTATATGGAAAGTTTAAATAAGAAACCTTTCATAATATTCATGGGAGAAATGTTTTTTTCAGATTTTTTTTAATGATGGAACCATGGCTTTGTAGCTATGATAACTTTCAATTCTCTAAATTTTTCCGCATGTCAAAGAAAACATCTATTGATTCAACAGAAATGATGAAAAAAGAAATTAGCAAAACCGTATACAGGTGGATATCATCTAGTGAGTTTATATGGCCATATTTTAATATTCTTGTGGTATATGGCTACACATGATACTTTGTTAAGCATAGGAACTACATTTAAAGTGACCCCAACAACCGTAATGAGTATAACTAATAAGGTGCTCCACTTTATGGTAAAACTGAAGTCAGCCTGTATCATTTTTCTCAAAAATGAAGCTGAAGTGCAATAACAATATCCAATACCCGGCAAAATTCTAACTTGTCACATTTCAAATAATAACCAGGCTATAAAACTACTCTTGAGTTGGGTAAATACCACAATTTTGAGGTGATAACTATGACATATAACAGCTGATTCGTGACGTCACGGATCTTATAACCAAACTGATAACTACACTCGCTTGAACGGATTGGTAAATACCAACCCAAAATGGTAAATACCATTTCCATTTGGTTATCCGCTTGAATTTGATTATAGTCATCTTTCGTGATTTTGACTATAGATCTGGTTTTATAGTCCGACTATACTTTTTGACATACGAGGTTTGTAAATTAACTGATGATACTTTTTTATTCAAATATTACAATTTTATATTGTCACCCTCAAAATAATTTCCCTCTGAAGCCACACAGCGCTGGAGACGGTTATTTCATTCCCCATAGCAGTGCTGGAACTCCGATACTGGAATAACCTTCAGCTGTTAGGTTACAGCCGTATGGATGTTTTTGACTATCCTTGAGCTGATTTTCAACTTCGGGAAGAGAAAAAAGTCACAAGGACTCAAGTCAGTCGAATAAGGAGGCTGAGGAGCCACAGGAATGTTATTACTGGCCAAAAACGCGTTTGACACTGCTTTGTGACAAGGAACATTATCGTGTTGTTCTTGATCTGATGAGTGGAGGTCTGAGTCAAATTTAGCTCTTCCCCGATCATTCTGACTGTCAACCGACGATCTAAACACATAACATCCCAGATACTGCCAACATTTTCATCGGTTCTTCAGATGAAAGCCTTGCGCTTCGTGGTTCATCTTCAATCAACTCTCTCCCTTCTGAAAATGTCTTAAACTACCTTAAAACCTGGGCTGTTGACCATATACTATCTCTGTAGGCCTGCTGAAGTTTAACTAGCACGCCCTTACTCTAAATTGATGTCACTGATTTTTAGAACATAATAGAACAAACTGTTTCACAAAAAAAATCGATACCGACAACCAACTGACTCGAACGAATTCAAACTTATACTGAAGGCGGACCATATGTTCTCCTGTCTTCCCACCAAGCCCGATGCCTCCAGATTTGCCAGATCGAACGCTACGTTGCCCGTCTCATCACTTAATTTAGAGACCTCGTATTCGACCTATTTTCATGTAGTGCTGTCAGATTGCCAAATTATTGGAATACTACTTAATGTAATACAGTGTGATTAATTAAACATTTCTTCAATCATTCTTGCCTGATATTGCCAAGGTATAATCAACATATAGCTGATATAATATTGTTCATTTATATTTTTAGATGATCCATTACAGTCTCTAACTTGAATTTGCTTTTTAGACATCTTTTCATATTTATGGCAATAAAGTATCAAAATAAGGTGTTTATGAAGCCTCATTATAAAAACTTTGATCAAGCGATGTTTCCATTAAAACTGCATATTAAGAGTGATTTGAAAATTTTAGGGGTCCTTTAACACGGTTGGTAAAGATAAAAATGGCTTCAAACTAAAGACAAACCTGCAGAAACAGATTTGTTTGGTCATAAAGCAAGTGTCTGAAAATGGTGCACAGCTATTTATCGAAAGGTGCTTTGGTTTGTTGGTGGCAGCTGGTAGACATGTCAAACATTCAGATATGCAGCTATTAGAAATGGTGAGTACTTCAAGATGTGTAAAACGGAAGTAAAAGGCATCAAAGTATATTTCACCAGCAATGATACACATGTTCGGTAGTCAAGTTATATTCTGCGGTCAAACTATATGCAATAAGCTAAGACAAAAATGTGCTTGTTCAAAATTAAGTGTTTGGATGTTAACCCTTCTATGCATTTTGCATTTAAGGAGGAGCAATTAGGTTCTAACGCAACAGCGTCCCATGAACGTAACTGCACCATAATATCAGCAACTTGGGACCCTACAGAGGCTTCATTTGAGCCTTTGAATACAGAGACATCTAAGGACGTTAAACAGTATATGACTGTTGCTGTGGATCTAGTCATAAGGGGGATAAGGGAACCAGTGAGATTCCTTATTGAGACTCCTGTGAGAGTGTACGTGCAGAATGAAAGGAATTTTTGGTATTTTCAAAGGAAAACTTTGACGCAGCAGTTCTATTTAAATTTAAAAGAGGTAAGCTATCGTATCCTTAAATATCAATAAACTATGTGCCCTTTCATAGTAATATTTTCGCATGCCATTTATTAATTATTAAAAAGATCACTACACCAGTATGAGAAAAATCTTGATTTTTGCATTTCTCGTGTGTTTTAGTATTTTGAGGATAATCCAAATGTTTTTTAGTCTCGATAGGTTTGAAAAGTCCCTATTAAAAACGCTGTGGTAGCTGACGGGAAAAAACAATTTTACCTTTAATACACTTTTATGTGAACTTGAGAAATAATTAGCTATCTTTATAATCCCATAATAATTTGAGATTTCAGATACCCAAAATTGGTGATCAATCACAAAGTTTCAGACTTTCATCCCAAAAAAAAAAGAATCTAAAAACTTGAAGCACATATACTATATCGTTTTCCCATTGTTCAAAATTATATGGTGTACTATAAAACTGTAAAGATGTAGCCAGAATAAGTTGGATACTCAAATTTTCACACATTCTAACTATAGATAATTAGGTAGATAAATATGTTTTATTGTCTGAATAATGATATGGTCAACAACTCAACTTGAAAGTGTATTAAAATGAAGTTCTTGTAAATATTAGCGTTGCCTACCCTAACGGCATCAAAGTCGGTGTATCGATTACTGAGATTACTTTGTGCCAAAAAGTGACAAAGCTGCCAGAAATACAAAAAATGAACATTACCATATGTGGGAGATGAAAGCTGGTCGTTCACCTCTTCTCATTGGAATGAACAATAAATTGCGTTAAGTAATAGAGGTTAATATTTTTTAATTACTGTCGAGCTCCTGTTGTCGTCAATTAACTCTATTCTTCATTTATTTCATAGATTTCCCAAATTTTACAAGTCACTGTTGATAGTTTATTTACATGTCACTAACGAATAATAATTTATTTGATAAGGTTAAGTGGGTCACATCTGTTTTATGTTTTATCTCAACACTTATTATTTAGTAACTGCCCAGAGTTTAGTCAGGAAACATGTCTAGATAAAAACTTGTTTGTGAACGTGGTTTTTCAAACCCGCAGTGTTTTAGAATTGTTTCCAAGGACGGGCAGTTTTGATACAAGTGATGTTATCTTGTTTTAACGTGAAAAAAGTGAAATTAAGTGCTGTCGGTGTTTCTATATATTTTTCATGTTAGTAGAATACTACAATAATTTATTCTATCATGAAAAAATATCCAGTTTTGTGCATGAAGAAAGTGATATTGGGGGCTATGGGTATATCTATATATTTCATGTTTGTAGAATACTACAGTTCTGTTAGAATCGTAAACATTATTCATTTCCGGCGAATGTGGCTACGATCATTTCAATAAATCATACTAATAAGACAATAACATTTGATTAGCATTTCTGCAAAAAATGTGAACGATGTTATTGCTATTGATATTTATCGATAAAAATTTTCTTATCGTGTTCAGCCTGTTGTTTACTAGTTAACTGATACTAAATTCCCACTTTCCATTTCTGTTTTGCGTCAATCCGATATGTAATTATTTGTATTTCATAATAAGAATACATCAAATCAGCTTCTAACTGATCCTCTCACAGTTTTTTTTTTATTTCTTCGATAGGTTGTATCTGATCTCAATGACATATATTACGAGGTATTGAATATGGAAACTTCAGGCGAACTTGATAGGAATCTACTTAATCTAAACCTGAAAAACTTCTCTAGTCTGATACCTTCACCAAGTATCACCTCTATCGACACCTTGACACCTAAGGAAGAATACTACTCAGGTGAGTTAATAATACAAAGTTAGTCGTACATAATTTGATGGAGATTTGATCATACAGGGTGGCGCATCGAGAACGAAACAGACGCATTTACTGGCAGCTCAGTTTTTTTTTTGAAAAACCCTCAGACCCGTCGATTTTGTTTTCGAAGGGGACACAAGTTTGGCAAAAAATCACGTTAACACGTGCAGCCCCCTGGGCGGGGGTGACACCAACCCTAAAATCTTAAATGGAAAGGGGGGTCGAGTGATACCTTATTTTAAAGGTCTTTTAATTCCATTTATAATGATTTAAAGTACATGAGCTTCAATAGGTACATCAGATTAGTTTGTACTACTTTCAGAAGAAATTTGACTAAAAGAATTTAATTAATAAGTAAATGCTTTTCTTCACTACGCCCAGGGCTTGTTTATCATTTTGTTGATGAATATAGCTATTGGAGCGTTTTTTTGTGGCAAAAAAGTTATTTCTTGAAGAAAGATAAGGAAATATCTCGTACTTATTTTAAATATGAATTTAGTACATACTAGTTTGCGATTGATTTGACCAAACTTTGTTGCTAAAATAACTTGTAACGCTTTATTACATAAATTAACCATGGTATATTCCACAGCAGAAATATTTTTCGGAAATAATCAGTGCGCTCATAGAACAGCAGAAATATTTAATGAGCGACGTGAGAACAGTAAGGTGCATCGAAAATATGTTCTAGAACTTGTAGCGAAATTTCGGGAAACTGGGTCAGTCGCCAATAAAAAAGGCAACATTGAAAATCCCATAAGGAACAAAGCAATAGAAGTGGGGGTTTTAGGGCAAGTTTATGTAGACCCTACGTTAAGTAGCCGCAAATTGGAGACCGTGTGTGGTGTTAGTCGACGTACTGTCCAACGGATTCTAAAGGCCCATAGTTTTCATCCGTATAAAATTCACCTGGTACAAGAACTTAATGAAGACGATTTTGATCGGCGATTACAATTTTGTGAAGATATGAGTGACCGAATTATAAACGATGAACATTTTCTATTCAACACTTGCTGTTCCGACGAATGTTCCTTTTTCTTAAATGGCTGATATTGGTCTGATTCTAATCCCAGAATTTATCATGAGGTTCATAGACAGCAGCCACAAAAATTAAATGTTTGGGCTGGTATTTTTGGCGATCATTTAGTTGGTCCTTTTTTCTTACCTGGAAATTTGACCGGTGAAATGTATTTGGAATTACTGGAAGACGCCATAGATCCTGCATTAACAGCCATAATTGAAAATCAGAATGATCGGCGGTACATTGCGAATAGGTTAATGTTCCAACAGGATGGTGCCCCACCACATTACGCATTACGTGTTCGACAATATTTAGATCATACGTTTCCAGATTGATGGATTGGTAGAAGAGGTGCTATTGAATGGCCCCCAAGATCGCCAGATTTATCACCTTTGGATTTCTTTATGTGGGGTCATTTAAAAAGCAAAATCTATGCTACTCAGCCAACATCATATACCTGCGGCAAAGAATTGTGAATGAGTGTCTTCAAGTTACTCCTCAAATGCAAAATGTGCGGCAACGTTTTGAGCAAAATCTTTATTATTGCATAGAGAGTCATGGTGGCCATTTCCAACATTTACTTGCCTAACGGGTCAGTTCATTCTTCATTTTTAAATTACTTTGCTGCCAAATGTATTGATCTCCACTAATGATGATGTATTAGTTTTATTTAAGGTTTAAATCAATAAAGCTTCAAAACTACTAAACTAAAGTACATTAATTTTATATCATTATAAAGGGAATTGAAATACCTTTAAAATAAGCTATCACTCGACCCCCCTTTCCATTTAAGATTTTGGAGGTGATGTCACCCCCGCTTAGGGGGCTGCACGTGCTAACGTGATTTTTTGCCAAACTTGTGTCCCCCTCGAAAACAAAATCGAAGGGTCTGAGCGTTTAAAAAAAAAACTGAACTGCCAGTAAATGCGTCTGTTTCGTTTTCGGTGCGCCACCCTGTATAATATGATCATCAACCTATTTTCGGATGGTATTTTTCTAAAAATATTGACTTCGACGCATTTAATCATGCGTTTCTTCCTAGTTCGTAGTTTTTTAAGTATTTCTAAGTATTTCTGTATATGATCAGAAATGTATAATAATTAGATTGGTTGACAATTCTTCGGAAAATTGAGGATTTGGTGTGATCTCAAGTATTATTCCTGGGTAACAGTGATGCGATTTGTAGCTTCTTAACTACTAGTTCAGTTCGAATGGCTACAAAGTGTTAAGAAAGTAACTTACTTTTATTTCAGAGTTCAAAATTGGTCTTGACATCCTGCACCATTGAAATAATGTTACAAACAAAATATTCTTTTTGAAGAAATACCCCGTATAATAAATATTTTAAAACGTGATACCATTAATTTTATCAAACTCAATGTGTCTTCAAGTTAATGCATTGTTTTTCCTGGTTAAAAGAGAACATAACATCGCATTGTTTGTTGTTATTTTTATCAGTCTTGAGAAATAATCGGTGACCTCAACATCCAACAATTATACGTCTTTTTTATTTATGTGTATTGAATATTATCAAATGCATTACTCATGTAAATTATGATTTATTAAAAACATCATACAACCTCAGTAATGAACAAAACTTCAAGATGGTGATGATGGAAGGCTTTTTCAGTAAGTTTTGGCATTAAGTTCAAATCTAAATAGACATCCATGTGTTATTCACAATAACACAATTTTACTAGAAGTTTATGTAACTATTAATTAAATTCGATGAACGGGCGACGGTAAAATATTGATTTTTTTTTCCTAAAACTATTGGATAGTACGCAGACGTTCTTGAGATATGTAAATTGTCATGATAAGTTGTCAACCCATACTAAACGCAGATGTCAAGGAATGACATTTAATTAATATTTTTACTTTAATTAATTTTAATTTAATTTAATTACTTAATTGGCCATGTTGGCCTTTCCAAGACATGTCATTGCTTGATAGAAGCCCTGTTTATGATGTTCGATGAAAATTAACTGCTTAAAAAATATCCTTAGATATGAATGGAAAATAAGTTTAAAAATGAGAGAATGATGGAATGTGGAAATATTACTTTCACGCAAATGAGGTGATTACGATTTTTAATATTAAATACGTTTTTGTGATAATAACCTTCTAAACCATTCTCTATCTCTATCATCTATACCACAAGCCGTGATTTATTATTATTCAACAAAGAACTCCAGATTAATAGTTCTCTTTATGACTTACTCTCTTATCAGGCTGTAATTCAAAGTCAAATAGATGTGCTTATCACTCATATCTTTTCCAATTTTATTCCCAGGCATTTCCACTAAATAAACTTGCCCGCATTACATGATCGACGGTTTCAGCCTCAAGAATCTACGTATATACTTTTTGCAAAGTAGTGAACATATTTCGAAACTCAGAATTTAAGACGCTGTCTACTGTTTTGGCTTCCTATATGAATTTTAAGACCTCACTTGTATGCATATGCATACAGCTTGATTAGATCAGAGTGGACTGTGAAGTTAAGATGTGCCGTCGACATAAAGAGTTAAGTGATTAAATGACATGGGATAGTTAGTTATCACAATTTGCGCATTTGCGGATAGATAGTTAAATATGTTTTATTGTCTGAAGAATACAATTATTCCTAATGGCAAAGCTAACTTAAAACAAAGCATATGTGGATCTCAAGTAGGCGGATCGAACTCACACATGATATATACTAAGTGACATATAAATCCGAACACCCAGTTTAAATGGTTTTATTTTAATAAAATTTTGTATAAGTACTTAATGAAGCATAATAAGTAAATGATAAAAATTTCAAAATGATTGCACTGCTTTAAAACCCTTTGACCTTTAATAATGTGTGGATGCACCCTGATGTGCTACGCATTCTCCAACGCGCCTAGGCTTGCTTCTGATCAGGTGGTCAATGTCCTCCTGTGGTATCTCATTCCAGGCAACCACCAACTCCTCTCGAAGTGCTTCTAGAGTCTGAGGAGGACGTTGCAAATTGAGCAATCTCCTACCCATCATATCCCACACGTGCTCAATTGGGGATAAGTCGGGAGATCTTGGTGGCCATGGTAACAATGTGACATCATTATGTTGAAAGGAGTCTATTGTGACTCTTGCAACATGTGGTCGGGCATTATCTTGTTGGAAAGTTGGATCTGCCAGGGTGTCAAGATAGGGTAAAAGATGGGGTTCTAGAACTTCGTGGATATAACGCTGCGCGTTCATGTTACCTCTGATGAAGATTACTGTTCCATTCCTGATCCCAGAGTGACCGTTGTCTGCACCACTCAAGGCGATTACGTCGGTGTAAGGGTTAGAAGGCGTCGTGGTGAAAGGAGGAATCCACAGTTTTTTGTTGAAAGACATGTTCATCACACTGTTGGAGTTATGGTTTGGGGTGCTATAGCTTCTGGTTCCAGGTCACCTTTAATCTTCATCAGAGGTAACATGAACGCGCAGCGTTATATCCACGAAGTTCTAGAACCCCATCTTTTACCCTATCTTGACACCCTGGCAGATCCAACTTTCCAACAAGATAATGCCCGACCACATGTTGCAAGAGTCACAATAGACTTCTTTCAACATAATGATGTCACATTGTTACCATGGCCACCAAGATCTCCCGACTTATCCCCAATTGAGCACGTGTGGGATATGATGGGTAGGAGATTGCTTAATTTGCAACGTCCTCCTCAGACTCTAGAAGCACTTCGAGAGGAGTTGGTGGTTGCCTGGAATGAGATACCACAGGAGGACATTGACCACCTGATCAGAAGCATGCCTAGGCGCGTTGGAGAATGCGTAGCACATCAGGGTGCATCCACACATTATTAAAGGTCAAAGGGCTGTAAAGCAGTGCAATCATTTTGAAATTTTTATCATTTACTTATTATGCTTCATTAAGTACTTATACAAAATTTTATTAAAATAAAACCATTTAAACTGGGTGTTCGGATTTATATGTCACTTAGTATAATATGGTTTACATATTGAGTTTTTAAGTTCACGGCGGAATATCTTTAAATTGTTGGTTTTTGTGATATAGCATCACATGTACATTCTCAGACCATTTTAAATTATTGAGCCCTTTACAAGTGTTGATTTAGCCACTACTAATTTTAAGATCTTGTTTGAGTCTAATATTTATTTATTTTTAAAAATAAGAGCTACAAATAAAGGTACAGCTGCAGGATTGCTTTTAGTAATACGAGTATATCTACAGTTTTGGGAACAGATATACTAAAAGGGAATGCTATATCTTAATCAACTTTCAAATAAGGCAAAGTAACTGCTTAAGGCCGTGCTTTTCCCTACGTTGTAAGTGATTGTTTTTATAAAAAAAGAAATATTTGCTAGTAGAGTAAGCAATTTGTCTACATGATTTGTAAAATCTAATTTATGATCAATGGTCAGTCCCAAAAATTTAGTGTCTGTTTTGTGTATGAATTCATTATTTAAATTTATAAAAGGTGGCAATTAAATGTCATAAATTTGGTCTATTAACATTGAAGCGATTGATTGTATATCACTATCAATTTTGTCTCAATTTTAATAATACCTGTGTCTTACCAAAGTCTTGTCGTATCGTCAGCAAAAACTACGACTTCACCATTTATGTTTAAGTTTATTAAATCATTGATATACTATAGACTAAGAACAGGATATGACCTAATACTGGTTCTTATATTCTTCTGAAGATGGAGATGAACCACTGCTCAGCGGGACTGGCCTAGTGTCCAAAGATTGTTCAGAAGACGTTCTGGAAAGCTGGGCAGACGTTCTGGGCAGGTGGAAGTCTACGAAACAACGACCTCGCCAACTGGCTGGCTTGGTGAAGTTGGGAGTTCCAGAAGCTCTGAGAGGCGAGGTTTGGCAACGATTAGCGGGTGTAGAGGAGGGAGCTGAGATTATGGAAAGATACAGGGTGCTTATTACAAAGGTAAGAGAAGAGCTACGTGTAAGACTTTCCACGCCACACCATAGGAAATACTATGCTAAGCGCGATCTGTCTGCTGAGAATATTAAAATTTTAAGGACTAATGTTCGGGGAAATCTATGACGTGTGAAATATGTCCAATACCCTCCCCACCCCTATCTCCAAAGTTTTTACCTCGAGAATTGTTTTTCAAAAATGATCAGGATCTTATGAAACGTCAAAAAACAAAGTTTGAAAAGAGTTGCATGGTTTTTCGTGATGTTTCGTGATAACATCCACCTCATTTTCGAAAATTGTACTATGTATGTGTGAGGGAGATCGATATATGAAAGTGATACCGGTAGTTTTATCATGAATAGACCTGTATTTTGTTAGGTTTTACATTCCTTTTATTTTTAATTTTAATTAATTACCTAATAATTAATCTCTTAGTTATGAATTTCTCCGTTATGCACGATTCTGTGAACTCTGTGTTGTTAAAGAAACTACTTGTTATTTCAGCTTTAAGTTTACATCCTAATATTTAAGATTTTCGCAACTTCAGCTCAAAAAAATATATAATTGATTATTATTTCTCAAGGAATCAAGCTGTGAGAACGTCATCCAAAGAGATATCGCAAGAACATTCCCAGCTCATGATTTTTTCAAAGAGGCTGGGGGATTGGGACAAGACTCACTATACAGGGTCAGCAAGGCTTATTCAGTATATGATTCAGAAGTTGGCTACTGTCAAGGACTCAGTTTCTTAGCAGCAACTCTTCTTTTACATGTAAGTATTCGTTTAGTGTTGTTCAGAAATGCTCGCTTTTTTATACAGGGTCATTCAGTAAACTATGGCTTTATTTCTAGAGCATAAACTATGTCCAAAAATAACATACGAACATGAGTCCTAAAATCTCTCTAACGAGATTCAGGGTGTTGAAATGAATACAGATATGTACTTGGAATTCAGCACATTCAGTACTAACAGCATACACTACATACACACATTTTTTCTGCTAAAATTACACCTTTTGGAGAAAAATTGGTTTGAATATTTGAGGAAACAAAAGCAAAAAAAAACTGGTCTAGAAATATTTTCGTCGTTTTTGCAACACTACTGTAACCGTCTAAAAAGTGATTTTTGTCATGTTTTTTTTACAGAAGAAAAGGTCATAAAATAATAGTATCGGAGGAAGTCGTGGACTTTAGTAACAAAAGAAAAATTATTTTAAATAGGTATTCAAAAATATCAGCATCGTAGCCATTTTCGCGAGACACATAGAATTTGTCGCACTCTGCTGCAAATTTGGATCTAGATCGAAGAAAAAAAATACTTATTGTTCATCTTTATAGCTAAATAAATACGGAGGGAATTTTAGAATTACTGATATGGTTGGTGAGTGTTTGAATCACAGCGTTCAATTTTCAACAAAAAAGATGGTTCTCCTGCAATTCAGGTTAGCCTAAGAGAATTTTTTGCACTACTTTTCTTTTTAGTATACAGGTTAGAATTTTTTTCTGTTATGTCATCATGGACTAGATAGCCCGTTTATTCAGCTTCAATACCGTGATTTTAAAATCTCGATTCGATCATTTTGCGCGGAGATATCTGACTTTGAATGAAAAAGTTTTGTTGACCACTGATTATCTCGGTAACCAGTGATCGTACAGATAATGAAAGGGTATTTCTAAAAACTGGAATAGGTATTCCATAAGATTTGATTGCAATTTTTGAGTTTTTTATGTTTCCTTAGTGTTGATTCTAAAAAAGGCAGTAAAGTTATTTTTTGCTTTGTTTGGAAAATCAACCGCATTTTTGAGACTGTTAAAGAGAATGCTAATGTTTTTAGGCTTTTCATACCTCAATGCACTCCTGCACGGCGTCAGATCGATCCATTGTACGGTTTCTCCGGACCGATTGGTCAAACTTTGAAAGAAATCAAAGGACCGACATTTTTTTATCAAAACATCCTGTAATCTGTTTGAAAATGGAAAAATCTTTTCTCTTTTTTTGTTGTCACTATTAGATATCTGTAATACCTTTAATTTTTTTTTAAAAACAATTGGAAATGTCTTATTCATGGAATATTCAAAAAAACAAAAATACTGACCAGGGCCGGATCTAGTAAAATATTTTTTTGGCCTCTCAAAGGCGGATTTAGGAATTTACCGGTCCGGAGAAACAGTGCAATGAATCGATCTGCCGTCGTGCAGGATTATTAGGGGTTTTTTGAGGTATAAAAAACCTAAAAACATTAGCATTCTCATTAGCAGTTCCAAAAACGCGGTCGATTTCCCAAAACAAGGCAAAAAGTAACTTTTTTGACGTTGTTGAAATCAAAACTGAGAAAACAAAAAAAATTACCTCAAAGATTGCAATCAAATCTTATAGGAGATGTATTCCAGTTTTTGGAAATACCCTTACATATTCTAACAGAAAAAAAAATTTCAAGCCCTGGGACACAAAAGAAGAATGCAAAAATTTTGTAAAAAATATTTTTCTTGTGCTGTCTGTTAGAATGGCATGAGAACCGTTGCTCCGAAAATTTTCTGGCTGAAAAACCTGAACACTAGATACTTGAAGCTTCAAAATGCTTTTCTGATAGTCTAGATACGACCATTTTTCACCTTTATGCAGCCTATCAAAATCACCGAAAAATTAGAATTTTCCCTTGCTCCCTTAATTTTTTTGAATAGTGTATTTGGCTCAGGTATTTTTTCACGTCATGAATTTTTCAGATGCCCGAAGAACAAGCGTTCTGCGTTCTAGTCAAGTTAATGTACGACTACCGTCTCAGGGACCTCTATAAAGACGGTTTTGACAACTTGTACCTGCGTCTGCACCAACTGAACAAACTGATGGAAGAACATCTGGACACCCTGTGGATACATTTCGAAAACCACCATGTGGAGACGCACATGTTTGCCTCTCAATGGTTTTTAACATTGTTCACTGCTAGGTTCCCCCTCTACTTCGTGTTTCATATCATCGACGTATTCTTGTTGCAAGGCGTGGATACCTTGTTTCAAGTGGCACTAGCATTGTTAATGGTAAGTACGAGGCTTTATTTAAAATCGGATTTCGTAAATTATCGTCTAACACAAAAAATACATTTATGTTTAATTTGATACGGTGAAAACACTATCGACCATGATGTGACGTCATACAAATTGTAAACAAAGAAACGTCATCCGTATGTCACTCGTGGAGTAACGTTGTCTTCTTTACGTATTTCTAAAAAACCTTGGATTCGTAAAAGCAGAAAGCACAAACTTGCCAAAAATTTGGGAATAGCAAGCTTCTAGGTAAGTACAGTGCATCTGATATGATGATAGACATAAAAAGAAAGAATAGTACACTTACATAATCTTCCTTTTCAGAAGTCATGCGTCTTAACTTCTAGTAGTAGTAGTAGAAAGATTTATTTAGCACATTTGGCTACATAAACAGAACAATTGTAAACAACTTAGAACTAGTAAATTCAAGCCATATGGTGTATGATGTAAATGCTGGGCAACCTATAATTGTAGATTTAACAAGTGATTTCTCAATTTTACTTTAAATTTTGTCAAAGTTTTCTGGTCTTTTATTCCGAGTATAATTTATTATATTCAATCAACCCTTGATGGAATACAGATTTGTAGCATAGGTTATACTTTTTGGTCATTAAATGGAAGTCATCTTTATTTCTGGTATTATGTAAATGATGGTCGACATCTGACTTTATAAATGAATATCATTACAAGATATTTGATAAAATTTTTTACATTGAGCCATTTTAATTTGCTAAGCATTTGCCTAATTGGAGTATATTTATCTTTATTTAGTATTATTCTCATGCACTTATTTTGTAAAATTTGCAGTCTTTCAAAAATGGAATTATTTGCTAAATATAGAATAGTCGAACAGTACAAGAAATTTGGAAGAATGATGGTATTATAGATAATTTTTTTGCTATATGAACTCAGACATCCAGAAACTCTCGATAAATATCCCACTTTACTACTAATCTTATTTATAACTTTTTCATAACGAATATCAAAAATTAATCGAGAGTCAACAAAAACTCCCAGGTATTTAAAATTTTCTACGAATTCAATATCTTCACCATCAATATTCAGTTGAACATTTGTACATTGTTTTTTCCGATTAACAAGGCTTCCGTTTTCTGAATAATTTTATCTAATACATTTCAACACATTTCTTCTTATACATATATCTGGAAGCGAATCGTACGGCGATGATGCGGTAGGTAACGTCGAACTTAAACGAGACGATAAGATATGCACAAAAAAATGTACAATATGTCTCTAACATAAGGCATTCTCCAAGAAATGCACAGTGTTGCGTATATTCATTCAGCTGGGCTCTCACATCCACAGCTCTCCTGGGGTCTTTATCGATGTGTTTTTACATCCTCGGACGAAAGAATAACGATAAATTTTTAATGTAAACTAGTAGAAATCATGTTTATATCTTTATCTACAGCCCAGATGTGCCCCCCCCCGGACTTTTTTTTGTTTCCTCACCTGAAAAGGCCGATGAAAGGCAAGCATTTTGAGACGACAGAGGGGATCCAAGCAGCATGCACCCTGGCTCCCAAGGCTATTCCGGAGAATGCCTTCCGTGACGCCTTCAATGCTTGGAAATCGCGCTGGCAGCGCTGCTTCGACGCAGAAAGAGCCTATTTTGAAAGTTTTTAAAGAATTGTAACAATTGGCTCAATATTTTTTTTTCAATAGACTCAGTCCTATTACTTTCCGGACAAACCTTGTATGTGCCAAACATGGCGGACAGTGTTTTCGCCTGTCTAAGGAAAATAGATAGATAGACATATAAATAGATAGAGATATGCTTTAATATACCTTTGAGTTTTGCGGTCTTTTAGGTATTAAAAAATATATTATTTATTCTTTTGGTCTCATAGAACAAATATTAACTATTTAAGACCTACTTAAAAAAGTGTCAACTAGCCTATTGTTGACAAAGACAAGGAAATGGTGAATTATGTTCGTCGCTTTTTCTCGCTGTTTCATCACCGCATAATATTAGTTACTTTTTTTGTTTTACTGTTTTCAATAACCTATAGGTCTTTACACTAATTTTGATGGTGTTGCATTCAGTGTCCTATGAAGTAAAACAGATCCTTGATCCACTACTATAACACGAGAAAAACTTTTTTTTAAGTCTGGACATGGCATAAACCGCGCTATAACGCTGCTGCTACTTATTGCACCCATGCAGGGGGTAATAGAGTATCTTCATTTTCACTTACTTTCTAAAACTCAAATTTAACACAACCTTTTCACAAATTGTATTTCAAGACCTTGCTCTTTTAATATCGAAGATCAACAAAAAAATAAACTCAAGTATATAGAATGCGCGTGACAAGTGAGTTGTTAACAGTAACAAGCATAGCTGTAAAATACCCAAAATTTTGAACCAGCGAGACACACACAGAGGTACATTATATTGCATGTGTGTGTACGGAAGATGCACATATGGGTGAGGGTGCTTCACAAGTCGTGACCAAGAAAGAAACATATATAGGACGCATTTTAAGGGGGCCTTCTATGTAACATTTTTACTCGAGGGCTTCATTAAAAAAAATATGGTGTTGAAGTTTAAAAATAAAAAACAATTTTTCTGATGTATCTTCAAAACCGTCAGCTAACATTCAAAAGTCTTTACTTAAAATTAACGTGCGCCAGTGGCGGAGGTACAGGGAATTAGTGGCATTATTTTTCCAAATGAAAATAGTACGCCACTGTTTTTTTTGATACGCGCTTTTTGCGAATGTTACCTTCAATTAGCTACAAATTTTTTTATCGATTTTTGAGTGTTGCGAAATGATGAGTACGTACTCCGGTATTCTGTACGGGTTCTCTAATGGAAATGCTTTAGCTCTGCGGCTTTTCGGGAGTATGTACGTAGATTACCTAACAGAAGCCAACCTACCCCAAAAGTTTTTACGTGTTCATTTCTAAGACTTCGACAGTATGGAGTTGTCAAACTTCCCGGAGTTAGAGGTCGTGGTGTCCAGCATACTGTTCAAGAGGAACTGGAAGTGATTAATTTGGAGTTGCATGATTCTAGTACAAGTACCAGGCGGATTGCAGCCCAGTTATCGTGTTCCCAAAGTCTTGCGTCTGAAATTTTAAATCGGGAAGTTTTACATCCTTACTAAATGTGCAATGTCTGCAACCCGGCGACGAAGTACAACGGCGAAATTTTTGTGAGTGGTTACTGCAAATGCATAACCCAAATGCAGATTTTAATGATTTGGTTTTGTGGTCAGATGAATCGCTTTTTACGAGGAGTGAAACCTTTAGTTCTCGTAAGAAAATTAGAAAATCCCCGTTCTGTAAGAATCCACTCGTTTCAACACAGATTTTCTAGAAACGTCTGGTGCGGCATTTTCACTGTTTTTGCACGTATTGCCACAACGTTCAAGTGCAAACTCGTGCTTAGCTTTTCTAGAGAATTACATAGAAAATTTGTTAGGTGATGTTCCGTTAACAACGAGAGTACGAATGTGGTATCAGCACGACAGTACCTCACCGCATGTTTTTCGTGACATAACCATGGTTAAATAATCATTTTAGACAACCATGGATTGGCAGAAACTGACCCGTACACTGGCTTGCGAGGTCTCTTAATTGAACCCCCTGGATTTCTTATTGTGGGGCGCTTTTAAACTATACTGACATATAAATCCGAACACCCAGTTTAAATGGTTTTATTTTAATAAAATTTTGTATAAGTACTTAATGAAGCATAATAAGTAAATGATAAAAATTTAAAAATGATTGCACTGCTTTAAAGCCCTTTGACCTTGAATAATGTGTGGATGCACCCTGATGTGCTACGCATTCTCCAACGCGCCTAGGCATGCTTCTGATCAGGTGGTCAATGTCCTCCTGTGGTATCTCATTCCAGGCAACCACCAACTCCTCTCGAAGTGCTTCTAGAGTCTGAGGAGGACGTTGCAAATTGAGCAATCTCCTACCCATCATATCCCACACGTGCTCAATTGGGGATAAGTCGGGAGATCTTGGTGGCCATGGTAACAATGTGACATCATTATGTTGAAAGAAGTCTATTGTGACTCTTGCAACATGTGGTCGGGCATTATCTTGTTGGAAAGTTGGATCTGCCAGGGTGTCAAGATGGGGTTCTAGAACTTCGTGGATATAACGCTGCGCGTTCATGTTACCTCTGATGAAGATTAAAGGTGACCTGGAAGCATAAGCTATAGCACCCCAAACCATAACTCCAACAGTGTGATGAACATGTCTTTCAACAAAAAACTGTGGATTCCTCCTTTCACCACGTCGCCTTCTAACCCTTACACCGACGTAATCGCCTTGAGTGGTGCAGACAACGGTCACTCTGGGATCAGGAATGGAACAGTATTGTCTTTAGTGACGAGTCTCGATTTTGTTTAGACATGCACGATGGTCGTGCCAGGGTTAGAAGGCGACGTGGTGAAAGGAGGAATCCACAGTTTTTGTTGAAAGACATGTTCATCACACTGTTGGAGTTATGGTTTGGGGTGCTATAGCTTATGGTTCCAGGTCACCTTTAATCTTCATCAGAGGTAACATGAACGCGCAGCGTTATATCCACGAAGTTCTAGAACCCCATCTTTTACCCTAACTTGACACCCTGGCAGATCCAACTTTCCAACAAGATAATGCCCGACCACATGTTGCAAGAGTCACAATAGACTTCTTTCAACATAATGATGTCACATTGTTACCATGGCCACCAAGATCTCCCGACTTATCCCCAATTGAGCACGTGTGGGATATGATGGGTAGGAGATTGCTCAATTTGCAACGTCCTCCTCAGACTCTAGAAGCACTTCGAGAGGAGTTGATGGTTGCCTGGAATGAGATACCACAGGAGGACATTGACCACCTGATCAGAAGCATGCGGAGGCGCGTTGGAGAATGCGTAGCACATCAGGGTGCATCCACACATTATTAAAGGTCAAAGGGCTTTAAAGCAGTGCAATCATTTTGAAATTTTTATCATTTACTTATTATGCTTCATTAAGTACTTATGCAAAATTTTATTAAAATAAAACCATTTAAACTGGGTGTTCGGATTTATATGTCACTTAGTATACTAGCGTATGCTAAACAAACTAATACTGTTGATCAGTTACAAGAAAGAATAGATAATGCGTTTCATTAAATTCAATCCACAACAAATTTTGCGGAAATAGTATTTTCCTTATTAAAAAGATGCCGCACTTGTATCCGTCAGAATGGTGGTCTTTTTGAACATGTATTGAAATAAAGCTTTGATTATGTAATTTTTTTTACAAAAACAATGCACTCTAGGGAAAAACACAAGAGTCATTATTTGTAGCAAATTGAAGCTAACATTCCAAAAACAACAGTGGCGTACTATTTTTATTTGGAAAAATAATACCACTATTCTCCTGTATCTCCACCACTGATGCACGTTAATTTTAAGTAAAGACTTTTGAATGTGGACAATGCTTAGGTAAATCCAGATACCAAATTAGTTCATTCCAGTTGACGGTTTTGAAGATATTACAAAACTTTTTTTTATTTTTAAACTCAACACCGTATCTTTTTAATGAAGCCCTAGAGGAAAAAATGTTACATAGAAGACCCCCCTTAAAATGCAGTCCTGTGTATGATGTTTTATTTTTGGTTACGACTTGTGAATCACCCTGTAAAAGTGATAACAGTAACAGTGGTTTTATTTTTTGTTTTACTGTTATTCGCCAAAATCGGTGAAAAGACCACCTATGGTTCAATTTACATTTTTTTTTTAATCCTGTATCTTCTATTTGGATATAAATGAAACTTTCTTGAATACCCAGGATTTAATTGTAATTTGAAAGTTGACGTTTTTACTGTTTTTTTTCAGTGGTGCAAAAAGGATCTCTTACAACTAGACTTCGAGGGTATCTTGAAGTACTTTAGGGTTTCTCTTCCTAAGAAATGTAGGTCAGAAGAAGCTGCTAAACAGCTTATAAAACTTGCATGCAGTATTAAAGTGAAAAAGCTGAAGAAGTACGAAGCAGACTTTATGGCACTTAAAGGTAAGCAAGGTATTTTGTTATCACAAGAGCACTCTAACATTTATTTTGAATATTTCTTCATAAATTATAATTATCTTTTACATTGTTATATTCATATATCGTTCTCATAGAAAGTTATTTACATGCACCATCTCAAAGTATAGCGTAACCTGCAGATGAATTTTTCTTTTTCTAAAAGTGAATTTGTAGTAGGTAATTTGTATTATTTTTTCCTTTGAAAGTACTGTTCTTTTTTCTGAAATGGACAAACTCAAATTCCCTATTTTAATATTATGGAAATTGTTGATTAAAATATTTCAAAATTATCTGAAATATCTAATAGATGGAGCAATGAATTTCATTATTCTAGTGCTCTTTTTCCTACAAGCTTTAGATGTTTTAAGTTATGAAAGTGTGTATTTTTTCACGCAGAGTTGTTTGAATCAATCATCGCGAAAAAATGTCACTGATTTTCGTGTGTCTGTCCGTCTGCCCTTTAATCCTTGGCCCATCTATAACTTGAGAAGTACCACTTGGATTTTGATGAAATGTTCACACAAGGTTACATGCTAACGACGAAAAAGATTAGTAGTGTTTAAAAATCGGTCAATCTACTTGACGCCATTTCTGAACTCCAATACATTAACAGCGGCGTAGTTAAGTAACCGAAAACTTATAAAATATTCATGCTTTGTTTTTTCAAGTTTCACAGTCATTTAAGGATGTCTTTGGTGAGTTCAAAACTGACATATTTCATTGATACATGTTTCTCATATTTGTATTAGACCGTAGGTTCAAAATCTAAACGGTAGATTTCAACGTATTCTGTTTGCATACTAACATCAGCTAGTAAATAGTAGTTCGAAGACTCTAGATTTTTCTTTTGGCGTGAAGAATCTAGGCTCTTTGAGAATGAACGGTTTTTGAGTTTGTCTACTTATATTAACTGACAATAGACGGCTGGGAAATTATCAGTTTGGATTCAGAGGCTGTTGAACACAAAGAAAACGAAGCATCGGAGGTGGAACAGTTGCGAGTGACCCTTAGCAGGTATGAAGAAGAAAGGAAAATGATGATGGACGAGATCAGTCAGCTGAAAGATATGCTGAAACGGGAGGTTAATCAGGCTGATACGGAGAAGAAAAACGACACTGCAATGATCAATGATTACAAATTGATCAGACAGAGATTGGATGCACAGTTGAGGACTGTCAAGGCAGAGATGGAAGATCTAACGGTATTTAGATTTTATTTATAATTTTCTGTTATTTGCTGAATAGCTGTGTTAAGGCTTAAATACCTTCTATAGAGGCATGGGTAACCTATTACGTTATGGTAGAACTTATTAAGATCTCAACTTGCGAAATTTTACGTCAACTTTATAAATGGCAAGTTTCGTCTCTTGTCGATCACAGACAATAGTGGAAGCTCTCAAAATACATTTTTAGGAGGCCAAATAATGAAATTCTTTCAAAATAAAAACGTTGATGATGAATTTTTTTGCTGGATTATTTGGATATCCAACGCATGTTTTATACTTGATTTCAGGCTAAGATTACGATAAGTTGTGAGAAATGCTCAGAATTTCTTAAGAAAGACGAAAAGGATCCGTTAAAAAGACCAGCCGATCCAATAAAAGGAGAAGAAAGGATAAGAGAGCTGGAACTGGAATTGGCGCAGACCAAACTAGCTCTTGTAGAGGCAGAGTGCAGGAATCAGGTATGTAGCAATCAAAAATGTTCATTTATGTTTATATTTTCTAAGCCTCCATTTTTGAGTTAACGATAAAACAATCACAGTTTATGAAACGCATAGCATCAAATCAACTGATCATTTCACTTACATAATGCCTGGCTCGGTAGTCATTATTAATGTAAAAATGTATCAATGTTGGTTAAATCAGTAGACATTGTCGATGAAAATGTTTATGTATAAAATGGACCACTTGCAAGCTGCTTTGAAAATGATAGCGTGTCCGAGAGCTCTTATCAGTAGGTTAGTGACTAACGAAAAAATGTAAAATCATTTGATACTATAGACCACAGAAAACTATTGATTAAATTAGAACATATTGGAATTAGAGGTACGCCACCTAAATTATTTCAAAGTTATTTGCATAACAGTAATTGAAAATATAACTAGTAAAGAAATTACTGTAATGTTTGGAGTCCACAAGTAACAATACGTGCGCCTCTTTGTGAAAAAATAGGATTTGCAGATGACACCACGATCATCCATAAAGCCAAAACTTGGACAACATTAAAGGAATAAATTGAAAATGATTTAGTACAAATAACAGACTGGTTCGATAATCAATTAGTAACTATTAATTATAAAAAACCTATTGTATTCCCACTTCTTACATTAATTAATTACTGCTATATAATTAGCAAAATAATTATAAAGAAAACAAATTCCAAAATGAATATATATCACGTAAACTAAATCAAATATATCTGGGAATTGTATTAGACTGCCATCTTCGTTCGGATGAACATATCCAATACATTAAAAAGAAACTTAGATTTCTATTATATACATTCAGATATTACAGACAATGAAACTCAATTAAAAATTTTATATCAAACATTATTTGAATGCCAAATAACCTATGGAATTACTATCTAGGGATCCACTAATATTAACTATCTAAATCTTTACAAATGATACAAAAATTATTCATAACAAACCTTTACTATAGCACTCCATATCTCTGTTTATAGAATCAAAACTTTTTGATATAAAAAAACTTTTAGATATTTAATGTATGTTATACTAGAATTCCATAAAAAGAAATATTCGACCATTTATAATTATGAATATGCTACTAGAAATAAAAATAAACAAATAATCACTGCAACACAAAAAAAAATAATAATATTGAAATCTTCTATATATATGTACTTAGGTCCAAAATTATCATAACCAAAATATATTAGAAAAAACCGAATATCATTATTAAAAATACGAATTCGAGTGGCTTTTGAAAACCAATATAAACATGATGTAATTTATTAAAAACTAACACATATCTTTTCTTCATTGCTAGTCTACTATCCAAAATTAATGTACATATTACATTTATATATTATATTTTTTTGCTTCAGTCCTATCAGTTTATTATTTATTCAGAAAGATCCGATGTAGAAAAATTGTTACATAGGAGGTTTCATCATAACAACGACGATAACGTTAGGTTAACAATGGCCTGCATGGTTATTACAAAATGTCAAAAAACCGACAAAATGCTGACTAGATAGCTCCTACTGTGCAAATATTTGATTATCTTGCTCGCTATGAGCGTGACCCATAGGGTCACCTATGGAAGAATGACATGCTCAATGACCATGCTGCAAGTTAGTTCGCCAGCATGCTTTGTGGGTTGCAGAATGTCAAGGTAGTTTGTAGAGTATATCTCTGAGATGTGACAAAGAAAAAAAGTAGCAAGATGATTGGTGATTGTGTGTATCGTCGTTGTTGTGTGTATTGCTCTATATCTGATATTTGCTATGTGAGAAAATTATTACTGAATATATATTAGCTATACCAGATGGGTTATTCGTGTTGTCCTTTCTGAGAGGTTATGTTCAAACTTATAAATTAAAATTTTCCCGTTTTTTGCGTTTTCAAAAACTTTCAAAAGCATGACGGGAAATCACCACCGCGCCCGCGTTGTGTGTAATTAAGCCACGCCACAGAACAATTAGGAATGACGCATCACACACAAAACATTTTCGCAGTGCCTCACATCTATGCGCTGACTTGTATTTACTACTAATAAAAAATAATGTAAAATGTAACCTTTTCACGTTTCATAAATATTCCTATATGTATCCTATTTTCTTTCCTGTTAGTTGTAATATACTTCACCGACCAGAGATCTTCTTTTTTTATCTCTCTCATTTTTTAAAGTCAGCAAATTTGCATATTTATTTTCCAGTAAGTGTATTTGAGACAAGAAACTAAGGGAATTATCATCGACACAGATTGTTAGCACACAAATCCTCACTATGCACCTATGCACTGCCGTTTCCTTCCAGTTATCGTATACAACTTACAGCTTAGACCTCCAATAATGTAATATCTGAAGCAGATATTACACCACATCAGACCCAAACATTGATAGCTGAAGCGTCATGATGTTGAGGCAACACGTAGAACCAGTGTATATCAAGTGTACAGCTAGTTCTAAGTGTTCATATTGTAGAAAAACCTATATAATCTCAAAAAGACGACATAATGTCACTTTTCAGGATAGAATTAATACCAGTGCAGGTTCTACGAAAACAAAAATTGTTCTACTTTCTGGACAAGTTTGCTACATATCGAGATTTACGGGTGAGCTATTCGATAATCTACCTCCTTAACGTTTTTGTCTTTCCAGAACCTCACCCACCAGCTACGAGCAGCCGAAATAGAACTCCAAACAACCAAAAACAGTTGGCCGCCTTGGCTGAGTAAGACTCTCACCTCCATAAAGGAGGTGACAAACAAGAAGGACTTTCCAAACTTCAACGTCTCCCAGTCTGGTTTACCGAACACCAACCCTACTTTCATCTCACACATCAACGCAGTCAGAAGGGAAAGTCTGCCCATAAAAAAAGACAAAATCACAGAGAACAGGCGGGATTCAGCGCCACCTGTCATCAAGGATTCGCATAGTTGCACTAGTCTGAAAACGCATCATTGAAGTACGTTTCAGTTTTTATTCCCCTCCAGTCTTTCTGTTGATTTTATTGGAAGAGTCGAGTCTGTATGCGGATGAGTGCCTAATGAGAGATGAGTTACTATAAGATTCTGAGCTAGCTGGATTTCTGTTAAAATTTTGGTTTTGTCGTAAAATTACCTTGAGAAAATATCTGGTTCGATTCGTGGATTTATGTTGACATATCTTGAGCAGCTCAGGAAGTTGGCCAATAGAGACCTTTACAGTATGCTGGGCTATAAAATGATTTCCTGAAACGCATCACTTATATCATTACGACTCTTGCATTTTCAAAGTAAACGTTTGTATTATTGGGTGATTGTGTAGCCACTACAATCACCGGATTTGACACCCGTTGATTTCTCGCTTGAGGTATCTGTGACGGTGGAAGTGAACGTGCTACGCTTCAGCGTTTATGCAAAATGCGATGAACAGGTTCTATGAATACGTGCAATGATACGTCATCCTCATTAAATAAAATCGGCCCTTGTGCTGCTTGATTTTCGATGAAGGCATGTTTGCTAAAATATCTAGTATTTCATTTAATTTAGAAATCCTTAATCATCTCTAGAAAACCCTGTACACGTGACTTTAATTGTTTTACAAAAAAATATGATATCCTGAAAACAATAATTTAGCATCCGCATCTTCTAGAAAAAAGAACGAGGTTCAGTCATTGCTGCTCATTATTTAATTTCATAATAGGAGAATAAAGATTTCAACAAAAATCCAGCTTGAACGAATCGGTTAGTATTAGTTTTATGTTTATTTACAAAATGAAAAATAATTAGGCACCATCTGTCACCAAACATTCACAGTTGCACCGATTGCAGGCGCGTGCCATCGAAGTATATTTCGATTTTAATCTCTTTCCAGTTTCATATTTGTTTTGATGAACACTGTTTATTTTGTGTGTGTTTCAAGTTGAAATGTGTTTATCTAACCTGGATAATATTTAGTTCAATGTTACACAAGGCAGCGCAAGTTTTTAATTGATTTCAAGAGTAGCAGTGTTTCGACATGTGGAACAATTCATTATCGAAATGTTTTTTGCTTAGATTAGTAAAATTGACGACACATCTTCTGTATGTTTCCTGGGTTTGTTTTTCTCGAATCAAATGGACATTTATTGGCTGAATAAGGTGAATTGGACATGCATAGAGTATGCTACCATACGTGTAACAGCAAGTGTAAATGTAAACATTCACATCATAATACCACCAAAATGTTGTGTGAGCTTTGTGGTTTGGTAACGTGGGGGACAAAAAGCTGTAAACTTGACAGTAACATGTTTAACAGAAGTAAAACATGATCATGGGATTACAATGTAAAAGATAATTATCTAGCCTTGGTGGCCTTTGGGCAAGATGCAGTAAGCAGTGCGACATACTTACGAGAGCATGTGCATACAGTCGTTCAAGATAAACATTTGGATTCTGAGCTATGGACAGAATAAATTCAGTAGGCTCAGTAAATTCTGTGTGTACTCTTTAGCCTCACTGCCTATCGTACGTCTTTCGACCGATGTTTTCGTGTTGCAAAATATGTTCGAAAAATAGTCGAGGATATACATACATCCTGTTTATGTCAGAACATTTCCAACATTGGCATGTTATTCCTGTTATGCTTCAAAAAAAAAATACGTATACATTTTTAGCAGACTTTAGATTAGAAACTTGATTTTTGGAAACATGTTTTCCTAGTGACGTCTTAGAAGTGTCAGTTGACATTTCACGATGCACGGAACTTTGCAGTTTACAAGCTTTTATGACTGTGTTGGCACTCTTCCTTTGACTCAAAATCAATACAACGGACTTATAGTGCAGCACATTAGATTTGTACCACAAAACTTAGAAAAGCTGTATCAAGCAATTATATTCAAATAAGGTTTTCAAGGAAATGGGATAAAATGTCTATACATTATTTTTGTCTTTTTGACCTACGGACCTCTGGTTTTTGTACCTGTTTCCTGAAGATCCCGTTTTTACATCTAACGCAACTCCACTAATAGAAGGTGAATCAAATATGAACTTGACTTTTTTTTGGTAATTTTATTATACAAATAAAAATACAAGTTTATTTACATCTTATTTTTCTACAAAATCTCCTCTCTTATTGATGCATTTTTCCCATCGGATCGGAAGTTTTTTAATACCACATCAATGAATGAAGCTGGTCGTGTCAGTAGCCAATTGTGCACGGGCGCGAAGCCGACTGACTCCTCTCTTCCTGACATCCCCATCCAACATATATCAAAACGTCGCCCAACTCCATTCACCTATGGCGCGTTAAACAGAAAAGTCCGGTTCATATTTGATTCACCCTATATTTCGTACTGTGCTCCACTCTAGCACGGTGTTGGAAATCCATATTTAAGCGTTACAACTAATCCTCGCTATGATGCACCGGCGATATTTGTATGTTTCTTTCCACCATAGGTTTATATAACATTCATTTAAATCAATTCTGGTAGAAATTATTTCACATTGCAAAAGTTAATATTTTCCTGGGAAAATTAATCTTCTGCCACTTGTACTGCCTTGTGCGAGTTTTTAATTTGGCAATAATTTATTATTGGTATGTGTGTTAGTATACCGAAAACTTAGTAAATGTTGCTTTCACTGTTTAGAACTCCCAAGTATTTATGATATGTATTGGAATATTTTTTCTTTTTTCGAGTGTATTTTTTAGTTTTGATTTGTTTGCAGATCTGGTATTATTTGTAGATATTTTCAGTATTGATATTTGTAGCGATTACCGACTGTGTCGGTATTTTATTTTTTATTTTAAGTGGTTTTGGAATCTCGAGTATATTTGATATTAATATGATGCACATTATAGTAGAATGAATTTGGATATAACTGAAAATGAATGTTTCTGATTTTGTTCTCTTGCTATCACTGCCACACTTGCCACTTTCTATGGAAACTAAAATAAATTCCAAAAAATTGTTATATAACGAAACAACTTTTTATCGTAAAACTCATGATTTTGAATCCTTACAAACCACTTCATATTTGATTTTAGTGATTGCAGTTTTCATGATATAGTTATAAAACTTGATATTAGTATTTGAATTAGATCGCTGGAACCTCAAAATCTTGTATAAATTTCGAAAACTATAAATTTAACATTTCCATATTTAGACATTTATATAGATCACCCTATACTAACTCAAATGTTGTAGATTCTGAATAATGTGCATCCAAATCCTGCCTACATGATTAAAGATTATCTTATATTAACATAAAAAATAGTCATTTGTATATATAAGATACAGTGTGTGAGTCCCAAATCCACACATGGCTTATAATGTAAAAAATTACAGCCATAACATTAGTGATATAGAATTCGTGATGGATTTTTTGTTTTTAAGTTATTTATGTAACCTTTGTTTCACAAGACAAATATATCGCACCAATTTTTAATATCCTCGAGTTTTTTATTTCAATAAAAAAATATTTAAATGATGAAAAAAAATAAGTATTAGTAGTAGAAAGTCTCTTTCCCTCTCAAAAGAATACTCCACACTTTAGTGGCATTTTCACGAGAATGTCAATGGAGGTCACGTGATCCATACAAACATTTTATCTTCTATTGCCCGGTAGGTAATGCAAGGTTACCCACAGTATCCCAATGTGACAAAAAAGGTACAGTATTGTCCATACGATTTTTTAAACAAATAACCTCCCGATTTTATTAAACCATTTGTACCAGGTTTACATTTTGTTATCGAATAATTCATTTCAATTTAAATATATACAGGGAAAACCAAATTTATGACGGCTTGAGTTCATTGTGTAGATGAGAGAAGCGCGAGAAGTGTATATCAACACATGTTAGAAAGAGATAGAAGCCGGCTGAAGGGCGAAGGTCATCACCACATTGCCTGGCGATGGTGACGCAGAAGGCCGTGCAATCTGCCGCGTTGCCAATATGTTACACCAGAAAATGTTCGCACAGGTTTCTACAATAGTTTAGGTTACCGTCAAGAAGGACGTCTGTTCGAACATTTAAATATTTTTCATTTTGATTAGAATTATTCATATCAATTCTGATGCGACTTGGTGTTTTAATTTATTTAACAAGTATCTCTGATTTCCACTGCCTGCGTGTACGCAGGTGAAAACCATTTCGAAGCAGGACGACACTCGCCAATGAGCGCTAGATGGGTACTGACCGTCTATGATCATGGAGGTGGAAACCTTGCCTTGGAATGTACGAAATGCGATATTGCCAAGCGAACCAATGATGCAATGTTGCAGAATTTATTGCTATCCTGACTTCATTTCGACCTAACATGGATCACGGTTAGGACCGATCCTTTATTAACAAACAAAACTATTATTTTGCATTAGCAACACTCCAGCTGACTTTCGATGCAATCTGATAAGCATAAATTATAAATAACCAGTAATCACTGTGGTAATGTCAAAATACCATCAGGAGACAAGTAAATTAACTATACATGTATATTAATTGATGGTCGTCCCAGAAGTCCAGTACACCATAAAGGCTTAAATTTATTTACTTTCCACTTTATTTCAAACAGTTCTTACTGATTTTGAGTAATACATTATGTTTTAACACTACTTTATTAATAAAATTATAATAAAAAACAATGTTAAGTAACAAAATTCACAGCCAGTAAAATTATTTGGATAACATCTAATATCTACTTGCAATTCCTCCTCCTCTGCTATCAGAGTGAGAAATCAGGTCATCTGTGTGCTTCTCTACAATATTGATGCTTGGATAAGGTTCTGCAGCTGGAGAAATCTTCGGACTAACTGTTTCCAAAGTCTTTATTAATTCACCACTGAATGCAGGAGTTCGGGATGCTAAAAAAGAGTTCACGTGCTTTGTTAATTCTAGTTCATCTCGTTACTCACTCTGACACTGACTTTATAATCCAGTTATATTAGGGGCGTAGAAATCTATATTTTGTCTTTAGTGGCCTCACAAGTCTGAGAAAATCTCGTGTCCGCGTCTTAAGATATCAAAGGTCAAAGATCACAAAATTCGATTTTTAGTGAGGATCTCGCTTCCTATGGGTTTAAGGATATTTGCATTTATTACGAATATTGTAGAGAACAATATACAACACATGCTTATATAAAAATTCGCAGAACACGAATGAAGAATTGCGCCACCAACAAACTAGTAGATTGTATAGAGACCCCATAGTAGTACATATCGAGGGTATAGGTTTGTAAAAAAAATAGGGCTACAGGGTAGCCTATAAAGTCTCCTCGAACCTGAAAAAAGTTTGCAGAACCCAAACGAAGAATTGTGCCAACAAAAAAGTCATATGTTGTAGATGCCCTATAGAATTCCATACATAACCTGTAATCCCCTTATTTTGTGCAAAGCTTTACTCTAGATATGTACTTCTATGGGGCCTGTACCATACAAGAGTTTGTGGGGGACACAGTTCTTCGTTTGAGCTCTGCGGATTTTTTTCAGGTTTGGGTAGACAACCCTTATAGGCGTAGAATCACCGTGAGGCTCCTGGTGTTTCGCAAAATTATAAAAAATGCTAATTATGTACAACTTTGTATTTCCTAATTATTTATAGATCTAATACGGCGTATTATTTATCGGGAATAACGGTTGACCCTGCATTATGCTGTAAATAGCTAAGCAGTGCGCGCTCTCCGCCCTCTATCTCAAAAATGATTGTATGAAAAAAAAGGTTGAAACAAAATATTCAGAGACTAGCATTCTCTACAATATTTATGATGAATTCAAACAGCGTTACACTCATAGAAAGCGATATTTGCAAAAACAAAACGATTTTTGTGACCTTGATATCTCAAGACGCGGAAACGAGACTTTTGAGACAACTTTTATAATGACAAAATAAAAGCTTCTACAGGTTTGCAGCTTATTTTGTGTCATTCCGAGGTTGCCCCTTTTTTATGGCTTATATAATAATTGGACTATTACTACTTTTACACGTAACTTGAAAATGTTTTATGCATCAGACTTAACGGGGAAATACATTAAGGTGACGTTCCGCGCTGCTACAGCGACACGAAACTGTGACATGCGACTAAGACAAAAAGGATTTTTTCGCGAGTCCACGGTGTAGCACAGTGCACTACCGGGAACCGATACTCAAATTTTCGCGAAGAACGGGAATAGGGGAAGACGGATGTGACAGGTCTTATGTCAATGTCATTTAAAAACAGGCATCTCAATTGAAAATTTGTCTTCGCAGTGCTGAAAATTGAGTTAAATTATTAAATCATAAATGGAGCAACACGTCCACCTGATTTTAAATGACGAGGGAGAAGGTCATCGAAGATATATGAACCGCACTTTTCATATCAACTGATTGATTTCATTGATATACGAGCCCCTTCCCACTTCAGTTGGCCCAACTATTGAAATCTTAGTTTTTTTCTTATCAAACACAAATAATAAAAATGAAGCAGTGTGTTATAGGTTTAAAATGTTAACAATGAATATTTTGATAATACATAGTAGAAAACACCAACTTTATCACTCCCTAATCAAATTTGCAGCATAAAAATAACACATGTTGCAATTACAGCATATCAACCTATTTTCATTTCAATGCAAAATAAGTCTATAACACATAGGTGGCTGTGAAACATAAAAGCCATGACAATTGTTTTTATTAATCACAGCTGTCAGAATACGTTTAAAATAGTTTTGGGTAGTTAACGTTTTCAAAATGGGTAGAGGAAAGGTTATTAGTGAGAAAATTCGGTTACTGATGATTCGATTTTTTAATTCTGGGAAATCAAACTCAGAAATTGCAACTTTGTTAGACTTATCGCGGTACAGTGTGGGAAATATTGTTACAAGATATAACGTAACTGGTTCAGTTAATATTAAGCCACGATATGGGAAAAAAAGTAATATCACAAATGCCGACCGAAGAGCATTAAGAAGAATAATCGTGAAATACAGGCGTACCAATTATTTACGATTAAGTGCTCTGTGGAGTGACGCTGTTGGAAGGAGAATTTCGAGGTCCACAACTCATAGAGGCCCACAAGCTGGGATTTAGCACTTGCAAGGTATATTTTGGTACAAACCTTGAAGTGGGCCAACTGAAGTGGGAAGGGGCTCGTATATGTACATTGCACAAAAAACGATCGGTCTTGTTATTTCAGATTCAAACAGGCAGGCAAGTTTATCAAGGAACTTAAAGCAAACATTTTGCACAACATGCGCCATCTAACCACTCCCGGTTGAACTTGAAACTGTCAAAACTTCGAGAGGAAGGGGAAATTCCATCTGTTCCCGCTCCTTAAAAGTGTTTCTCTAGTGCTTCCTACCAACTAAATAACTAGTTACTATCAAGAAAATTCAAATTGTCAGTTGACACGTCATAGAACACTAACGGTGTGGTTCAAATTTGGCTGAGAGAGATGCGCGAGAAGCAGCTGGGTCCATGGCCTCGTCACTCGGTTTGCTAGACAATGAGGTACTTCTATTTCTTTCTAACACACATAACGCACGCTTCTCGCGCTTCTCTCTCGTGCACATTACGATGTCAGTGCTATATGGATTTCCCTGTACAAATAGGATTTGACAGATCCAAAAGATGAAACTGCACATACTGGAGAACAGATTTAAATATTTCACAGTGACGGTAACATAAATCCTATCAAGTGCAATATACCCGAAACACGATAATAGATTAATGGACGCTATCAGTCTCCTGTCACTGTCTCGCACCTGAAGGGGCATGCATAAGGCCGGTCGCAGACAGATCGAGTCATTTTGTCTCAAAACTTTCACTGTGTTGCAGCCGAAGCGTAAGCAATGTATTCATACGGGGCACCAGGTACTGGCCAAATCCCTGCCTCGAGGCGCAACATTTCGACGTCAACCCCTCTAAATTACATTATTTGTGCATTTAGTTGTTTTGTCACATACTTGTCACTGGTGCTACTAACATAACCTGTTCGATTCGATGAGATTAATTTTCTAATACTGCGATGGAAGCAATTGATAGCTGTAATTAAAAGCAAGAAAGTATTGTGTGCAGAAACGTATATCGAACCAAAAACGTTTTGACCTAGGTTGCGTTTGTAAATCACTTGTTAGTTGACAGATGAAATTTTACTCTGGAATACATATAGTGTAACTTTATTTTTAGAACGTTTAATTTATTACAGAGTAGTATAATGACGATGACATCCCACTAATTCATAACCACGTTTCCTGTGATCATTTTTTATTATAAGAAACCCTATGGTACGTATTTATCGCGAAAAATATATATTCTGTCAATCTTGAACTGTTTTTGACAATCAAATAAAGTAAACATATGAAAATGGCAAGTGACGACACTCTTATTCCCAAGGTTTTGAGCAGCAGAATAAAAGTGCACTTTTGGCGTTCTAGAAGGATTACTTTGTTCGAGTTTCGAATGCATGGAACCGATACGCCGAACAATTAAAAACGCTGAAATTGTTACAGAGTAGTACTAAGTACACTTTGTAAGAATTCACGAAATCAGCCCATGGGTCACTTTGTAAATCACTTGGTGATCTAATACCGTATATAGTAATGGAATCTAGATTGACTGAGGAAATTTCACTCTGGAATACTGTGTAACTTTATTTTTAGAGCGCCCAAATTATTACAGAGTCTTGGAATGACACTGAAGACAGCCGACTAATTTTTAACCACGTTTTCTGCGACCATTGTTTTTATTTTGAGAAACAAAGAAAGAACCACATAACACCTACTAGTATGTGTTATGTGGAAAGAACCATGAGAATGGCAAGTGACAACACTCTTATTATATTCTCAAAGCTTTGAGCACGGGAAGAAAAGTGGTCTTTTGACGTTCTAACAGGACAACTTTGTTCTATTTCCGAACGCATGGGACAGGTACTTCAAACAATTACGAACGCGGAAAGCGTTACAGAGCAGTACAAAGTGGACTTTGTAACAATTCACGAACGCAGCCCTGTACGCGAACGTGCAAGTTTCGAGACAAAAATCAAATTCAAGCGGATAACCAAATGGAAATGGTATTTACCATTTTGGGTTGGTATTTACCAATCCGTTCAAGCGAGTGTAGTGATCAGTTTGGTTATAAGATCCGTGACGTCACGAATCAGCTGTTATATGTCATAGTTATCACCGCAAAATTGTGGTATTTACCCAACTCAAGAGTAGTTTTATATTTCTGGTTATTATTTGGAATGTGACAAGTTAGAATTTTGCTGGTTATTGGATATTGTTATTGTACTTCAGCTTCATTTTTCAGAAAAATGATACAGGCTGACTTCAGTTTTACCATAAAGTGGAGCACCTTATTAGTTATACTCATTACGGTTGTTTGGGACACTTTAAATGTAGTTCCTATGCTTAACAAAGTATCCTGTGTAGCCATATACCACAAGAATATTAAAATATGGCCATATAAACTCACTAGATGATATCCACCTGTACACGGTTTTACTAATTTCTTTTTTCATCATTTCTGCTGAATCAATAATGTTTTCTTTGACATGCGGAAAAATTTAGAGAATTGAAAGTTATCATAGCTACAAAGCCATGGTTCCATCAAAAAAAAAAAAATCTGAAAAAAACATTTCTCAGATGAATATTATGAAAGGTTTCTTATTTAAACTTTCCATATACAGTTGTAGACGAAAAAGCACCGATTATTAAGTGATAATAAAAATAATCAGAGATTATATACGCGCTTTTCTAAAATAAACAACTTGCAACAAAACCGCGGTTAAAACCAACGCGTTCAAGCGATTCGTGTAACTGACGTCATCAACCCGTGTGATCTTGAACCATATTATAACCGCGGCACATAACACAGAAATTTTGGTTATTCGCTTGGATTTGATTAAAATGTTTCGATCTATCTGCTGCCGACTAGTAGATTGAAACATTTTCTTCAGAGACAAAATGTTTCGATGTCTGAGGTCGGCCTAAAAGCTCTGAGCAAGTGTGGTTTTGTGTCACTGTCGCGACGAAAAAAAACACCTTTACTATTATACGTCTCGTAATTTCACAAGCTGTCACCATCCCAGAACCATTCTCATTCTGCGCAATTAGTTCTCATGGTCTCAGAGCCGTATTGCGATTGGCTAGCGGCAGGTAAGAACGGTTCTGGGACAGTACCTTGTAAAAACTAATAACCTCACCTTCTACAGATATCGTCCCATTTTCCTGCATGTGATATCTAGGTCCTTCAATAACATCTGTGGCATTCTTGCCGGCGATGACCAATGATACAATGAGTTGTGTAGCCTGACCTACAGTGTTAGCACCAAATACTAATCTTCTGCCACAAATGTAAGTGGCATCCGTCAAAATTATTGGTAGTCTGCTAGAAGCCTTGTCTTGATTTTTGACGTCAGGCACGTATCCGTGCACCGTTATTTCACCTGCACCAAAGGAATTATACATTCCTCTGTAATCGAAATAAAATAGTAAATCCGCAGCTAAATATGAAACATCCAAATTCATGACATGTCTTTCACGGTTCAATCATTGGACCCTTGTGCAAAATAAATTCTGCAAATTTGTACTTTTTGACTGATTTATCAATGGTGTTACTTACGTTACTAAAGAAACATAGAGCTCATCTGTATCAATGACGGAAACACTAGAAAAAGTGCCTTCATGAAACTTATTGCTGACTTTTTCTTCTAAGTAGACGGTTTGCGTAGTTTTGGCTACATTGAAAACAAACGCGGGGCGTTCAGTATCTTCTTTGGTGACATTTAGCTGTTCTATTTGCCGTAAGTTGTGTAAGAGCAAAAGACCTGTTGATGTATTGGGTACATAGACGTTGTAACCATAAAAAGTTTCTTTCAAAGCTGAAGAATGAGATGGTTGGTTAATGCCATTCAGATGTGAATAAAGCTCTGTAACAATCAAAATACATTAAATCAGCAATAATTTTTCAAATAGTCACTGGTCAGGTTCATCAGAACATATCGCTTTTTGATCAAAAGGGTTTAAAATAAATCGCATGCGTGAATGATTTAAATGTGTACACTGATACAATAACCCAGCAGTTGCATGGTTTGTATGCAATAATTTCTTGCCTAAAAATCTCTAAATTTGTAGATGGTTAGAATATTTCTTCAACTAAAAATTGCGGCATTTCTGATGCAATGTGAATGATTGAATATTTAACGGTATTAGTTTGAAGAAACTATTCAAAAATGCGCGACTTATTAGAATTAAACTTAATATCACTAAAAATTCGAACATACCTTTTTCAGTAGTATCTGCAATCTTTTCGAGAGTCTTCCCCAAATTTTCGTGCTGTAATATTTGACCAGCCTCCAGTGGACCATATAAATCTTCAGCATGTGCTCTAGACACAGCTTGTACCAACATTTTGGACACCAAATATCCTTGTCTAAAAATAAAAAAAAGGTACTTGTGTATTAAGATCGCAAAATGCTATTTTTCTGCTCGACAAATAGGTTTGACGCGCAAGTGGCCCAACCAACAGTGCGAGCATATTGCTACACATGTAGTTGTCCATTGATTGTACAAAAGCATTATTTTCCTGTAATAATGATGTTACCTTGCTAGTTTAGCTGCTGGTAGCACCAGTGATTTCCAGTTCATAGTACCATATTCTTTGTGGAAGTAAGCCAAACCAAGTACAAGTCGTGGTAAGTATTTAGAGGTACCAGATGGTCCTGAGAAATCTATAACAGTCGCTGGTGCTCTAGATTTGTGGTTGTACAATAAAATCTTCCCTTCCCTTATAGAAAAAATAGTTTGTATTATAATGTAATTGTATTCACACCCAGAAAATAATAAATGGATATCAAAATAAACTAGAGCACACTGGGAGACGGCAGTGAAGAGTTCCAAGAAAGACTTTCCTTTTGTCAGCAGATAGTAATTTGTAAGATCCGGGGTAAAATCACCCAAAATACCAAATGTATAAGACGCTCTGGGGAATCCCATAGCATGCTATTCTATGTCAATATAAAAAATCCTTGCTGCATTTTCAAGAGCGCTCTGAGATACCGCGATGAGAGGTGCCAGCCTGCCTCCTGTTGGCCACCAGGGCGCGCAAGCCATAATAATATAGAGATGTTTTCGATTGATGTGATCTTCAGTCGTCATCAGTTAGAACAGTTCCCAGAGGTCCAAGAAATAACATCTCAATCATCCACATTTTCATCAAATTTCAAACAACATGATATATGGCTTTAATGAACGTAAAACGTGGAATACAATATACTTACGCATCCAATCCCGTAAGATGAGGTGTAGTGACAGATAAGCAGAAAGCGCTTGCTATCGCCGCGTCTATAGAGTTTCCTCCTTGCTTTAAAATGGAAGTTCCTATTTCCGAGCATTCATAGCTGTCTGTAGCCACGCTTCCATGCGGTACAACCTATGGTACACCATTAATAAAACTTAAACCCTATACCGCATCAAATATGTTGCCGCTAAAAACTATATTCTGGCAGTTTTATTTTTTTATATGAAGAGAGGTGGGAAAACGTGGTCACCAAATTTCAAGCTAAAATCTGTCTCTATTTGTTTTATTTATTGAGATTACGCTTCTGTCAGATGTGACGAAAATAATCTTATTCTCTGATGTTTTCAATATGAAATGCCGTAACGTTCTGCCAGTAAATTCAGAATAAAAATGGAACCATATTGGCTGATTCTTGCAGCAGGAGACGCAACGAATTTAAATACGTCCCCTTCCTTGTAAAATAGATGTCAGAATCTAGGCATTGTAGCTATTAATCAACTGTAAGTAGACCATTGCTTTGAAAAAATAACCAAAAAGGCAAGAAATACGTTGTCTCAAAACGTATTGTCAATTTTCATGTTAAGTATTGGCAGAAGTAAATAAACACTCATAGTAACTAGTACAAGTAGTAGATCGCATTAGCCAAAATTCATACGCTCTGAGAAATCCTTTCTTAAATATGTTTTTTAATGATTATCAAGTCAATATACCGCACTTAGCAATTAACAGATATAGAAATCATCAAGACCCTCTCATATTCTCATATGAAGCCAACAGACCCGTGTGATTCCGCTTATCTTGGCCCTAAATATATAACCTGGTGCCTACACAGGTAAGAGATAATCACGAGAGACCATCCTGTAAGGCTTTACCCGCGCCAGCTTGTTAGCTTACAATCAGATATCCTAAGCCACATCCACAGATGAGTTTTCATAATCAGCAATGGTGTAGTCTTATCAGCCAAAGTGGAGATATTATTGATTATAAATGCTAGTGGGGCTGACATGTGGAGGCCTTGCTGCTCTGGGGGCAGTTCCCCTCGGGGGTCTCTCTTGACTTTCTACCCTGTGCGGAGATCAGAAGTACACCACAGTGTGAACTCTAGTAAGTACCTCTTTTTTATTATTTTTTGTTCAACACAGTTTTTAAGAGTTCTTGCGAGTAATTTATGTTGTTATTGGCAGTGGTTGACCAACTGGCCATATTCTTATTTTCAATATCATGCACTATTAGAAAACAGATCATCAATTACTTAATATTTCCACTATTCTAGTTACATTGCTCTGTTTTTTATTAGTTCTTATTCTGTTCAACTTTTTGTTTAACCAATCCCTTTTTTAATATTTTTTTTTCTTTTCCACTTTGCAAAATTGCACAACCATGTTTTCTTTTTTTTTTCTCTTCATTGTTATAACATCTGAAACTTATCCTATGGTTTTTATGTCGATAAGCTCCGATTATGGCAAGGTTTTGACCCTGCTTATGTTATGCAATAATTTTTAGAGCTCTTTTGCAGAGTTGTGGGCTTCTAGTAATCACATAAGAAAATCAAGTATAAAAAATATAAAAATGCACAACTCACCTAAAAAAATAAAGTAAATGATACTAAAAAGTGAGTAAAAAAGAAAGTCCACCAAATATGTCACGTACATATTGGTGGGCTAATAAGCACGAAAGGCACCACAAGACTGATAGCAAAAGCACCTCCAAAAAATATGTCATGATTGGGACTGGGAGGTTAGTTGCTCATTTTGTGCAATCCAAAGGGATGTTATAAGCTTAACTCACAAATAAACACTGAACATAAAAGGATAAAAAGAGGTAATCATAATGTTTATTGCTAAGAGAAAAAAAAATAGCAGTACTAGATAACAGGAATGGCATACAATAAACAAATGGACCCAAAAATGTTTTACCGGAACTTGCTTGGGCATATTTTTAAAAGACACAACCAGGGCAGACACAAAATATATATTGAAACAAAAGACAATATTAGGCCAATAGATAAGGATGAAATTTGTAAAAATAAGTAATGAAATGCAATAATACTTATGTAGTTAACAATGTTGTGCACAGCCGATCTCAACACAGGGTAGAATGCCTAGAGAGACACCCAAGGGAGAGTGCCCCACATCTCACACCCACTAGTATTTATAATCAATAATATTCCTACTTTGGCTGATAAGAATACACAATTGCTTATTATGCATACTCTGTGATTTAGGAGATATTGTCATAAACTATCGAGCTAGTCAGGTGCTCACTCATATATACATGTATAATGTATAGGTATTTTGTCAAAAAATGTAGATCATACATGTTTGAAAATACATATATATACAATCATGAATCTTTTCTAAAATGCACTCAAAATTATTTGTCATATTTCAGTTTTAGATACAGTTACTAAATTTTTTCAACACTATTCATATATTTTTTTTTCATTTGAAAGTTATCTGTTTCCTGTTAGTTTATAATGAAACAGCATTTTGATCAATCCCATACACATATTTTAAACATATGAAAAATTATTGAAAAGATTAATATTTTTGGATAACAAGCTCCCACTAAAAAATCCGAATTAATGAAAATGAATTCATCACATTTTGAGGTTGACCAAAATTTTACAAGTTGCGTTTATTTGTTCGACCTACTATTTCTTGAAGAAAATAACTACAAATATCTAAGCAATTATTCGTACCTGATAATCTCCATAATGAATCTGAATAAAAAGCGCCAATGTTATGATAAACGTCAAGGTCCCGAATGCAAAGTTAATATACCTTGAGCCACTCATGCATTCCTCATCACAAAGGTAGAATCTGTTTGTTTTCTTTTTCCTATTTAAAGGTATGTCTTCTCTCGCTTCATTCACTGCAAAATTATCACACAAACACTCGATGTTACTTTTAATTGTTCCATAAATACGCAGGTGTTTGCAACTTGTTTTGAACGTTTTAAACCAAATAAAGTTGAATAAAATTTACCTATGTCTCCAACAGTGGCCATTTTACTCGCATACTACCTAGAATAAATAGGCTTTCGGAGGATAACAGCAGAATTTTTGCTACCCGACTGCTTACACTTCTACTAACTGTAAACTTCCACGTTTCCTGTACACACTTCTTTGGTTGAGTCAAGGCGAACGTGATGACTTAAGTAGGGTCAGTAGCGCGGCGATAGGCGTGTCCAAGGTGTTTTATATGCATATACCGGGTGTGGTCGATAAGATTTAATATCCGACGTTCAGCAATTAAAAGTTAACACATCCCAACAAAACACATTGGATAAAAATGAGTCTGCTTTATGATGATAGAAAATGGGATTGGGGCGAATAGATTGATGTCAGGCTTCACATAAAATGAGTCTCAAAGAAAATATTTTCAAAATGAAGGTCAAGGTAAATCAAATGTTCTCAAATGTGTAATGTGCCTTTCTGTCACTGTAAACCGTTGGTAAATAACCGAAAGCACACCAAAAAAACACAGCAAAATATCTTAAATTACAAATTTGACGGATTTCTTCGCGACGGTTCGTCTCACTGGGCATGTACCTTTAGGTGTCTCGAACCATTCAAAATCGTCTGACACTATTTCTGTAGGATAATGGGTGATGTAAAAACGAATATAGGTTTATTCGTCAGTGACTTTTTGGTGATTGTATCTGGGATCCGGCCGCATGAATTCTATCTATACAGGGTGTTTCAGGACTATGGGATCAAACTTGTAGGGGTTATTCAGTGTAACAGTAGAAAACATTTGAGTATAGGGACCCATATCCGGAAAAGTGTCACTACGGCACTACGGCCCTAAGTTGCGTTAAAATTTAGAGACGATGAATTGCCTACATATTATTTAACGCATTTAATTTTTACTTTGTGTACATGATATCATCACAACAATTGTTCAAAATGTCTTCCTCCAACCTGAATACACCGTTCCTGTGGGGACATATAAAGTCTTTGGTTTTCGAAACTCCAGCAGAAACAAAGCAAGACTTAATTGGACGAATTACAGGAGCATTTGAAATCATTCAAAACGAGTATCAAATTTTGTCAAGTCCGCCGAAATCATGTGCGACGTTTAAATAGGTGTATTCAGGTTGGAGGAAGACATTTTGAGCAATTGTTGTGATGATATCATGTACAAAAGGCAAAAATTAAATGCAATAAATCCTATTTAGGCCATTCATCGTCTTTCTAAATTTTAACACGTCTTAGGGCCGTAGTGCCGTAGTGCCACTTTTCCGGATATGGGTCGCTATACTCAAATGTTTTCTACTGTTACACTGAATAACCCCTACAAGTTTGATCCCTTAGTTCTGAAACACCCTGTGTATCGTAGCAGAATGAACGAAACTTGGGTGGCGAGATCTTGGACTCGGTCACTGTCAAGTTGGCAGTTGAAAAACTATGGCATTGAAAATTAGTTTACTGAACCAGAGCAGGAACAGCATGGAAATGATTCAACAAAACAACCACAATCAAGTTTTATGAATAGATAAGAGTGAGTATCGTTTTACAGATAAAAATGCAGGAAATGCAATGTACCTTTTATTTATATATTCTAGTTACATTAAACTAGTCAACATCTTCCAGGCTCCATATTTTCCTAACAATACAAAAATATTACCGCTAAAAATTTCAAGATTAACTACTAAAAATAAAATACTAGCTTCAGTATACATATTTCGTGATAATTTTCAACTTCACTAAAAAAAATCGACATGCGAAAAAATAAATATCTTTTTGAACATTTTTCAAATAAATAAAAATACTTAGGTCAAACAAATATAAAAAAACCCAACGTGTACATAAAAAGAATTACTCCTGCACTACAATGCCCTTCTTGGTGTGTGCCTGCAACACCGCAATTGCTTCCTCCACTTTCGCCCTCAAAGAGTCCTTATTCTCGATCATGTGGATCAACTCGCTGTTGTCTATCTCCAGCAGCATCCCTGTTATTTTTCCAGCTATGTCGGGATACATCTTCTCTACAACTCTACAAAATACACCACAAGATTATATGAAAGAGTAATTGTATCCAGGTTTTATAATCCGTCGGTCGTCTCCATTGACCTTGGGTTTCTTCTGCAGTACAGTAACGAAAACTTTGCGGCCGGCTCTTGGACTATTACAGGTTTACAAAGATAAGCAGCGATCTATGAGCGGGTTCGTGGTTTGGCAATTCGATCATAGACAGCTCGACATTCTGTCAATAAAAGAATCTGCGCACTTCGCTCATAGGCGACTCTACATGTACCGAGGCGGTGTTGTAAAACTGACATAGAATGTTTAAAAAACGCTACATTTATCCTGAGCTATGTCATACGAAACAAGTAAACATATCGTCTTAAGCCCTGGATGCCTAGATAACTAACAACCATATCAAATACAGCGATGATTGGTCAAATAAGTTATGTGTTACCGAACTAAATCGTGTAATAATCCGCGTAGGGCATTAAAAGGTTAATTTATGTGATAACTCACAGATCTTGAGAATAACTTTTGTTATATGACGAGAAAAGCGCTTGCGAAAAGTGTGATTCATAACATAATTGAATGAAAAATATATTTCGTAGGTTGCAAAGGGATAATAAGTATCCTCACCAGAAATAAATGTCCAAACAAAAGTAAATTTGAACGACAAACGCTTTCACGTCAAGTGATGGACAATGAATTTATCCAAAAAGAATTATCTATCTGGCAACGCCGCATTCATCTTTGACCAAACAAAAACAGCACATGTTTTGATGCCATCAGCTATTTTGTGGACGCCATGCTTTAGGTTCTATCTCTTAGCTCTCACTAATTCATTTGCCTTGCCTGTATTCTATGGGTACAACCGAAGAGCAGTTATAACAAGAGAAGATACTTCGTGGAATGTCTTTATAATCCTCTGGTCGGCCCCATAAACTTTTCTGCATTATAATGAGAAAGCCTATCACAATTTTTTTTCACATCGGGTTTGTTCGTACGGTGGTCAGGGATTTGTTGGTGACTGTGTCTGGGATCCGGCCGTATGAGTTCCGTTTATATTATACATGAACAGAATTTGTGTGGCGGGAGCTTGGACACGAACACCGCTGGGTTGACGACTGCTGCATCGCTTACTGATATGATAAAAATTGGCCACATCTTACGTATTTTGATGCTAGACAGGAAAGTTGTGAGTTTTTAACATGTTCCATATCAGTACGCGATATAACCAAAACTTTGTGGTCGGCTCTCACTGTTCACAAATAAAAACAGCGGTCTATGTGTGAACCGTCCTGGGCTTGGTTGAACAGTGACACATACAGTAATGGACAAAAGTATATAGACAAATTAATATTGTGCTGTATTTCTTTTTTAACTTGTTTTATTAATACACCAACCTGTATATATAATTCTTTATAGCATAATACTCAATTATACATAAATAAATTCAATAAAAAATTAATTGAAAAAAGAAAAGAAAAAGAAGCAAAGTTCATTGAATTATAGAAAACCATGTTTGTGTTAATATTTTGTAGCATAACCATTATTATCACCACTTGGCATCGTCTCGGCATAGATTGTAGAAGTTTCTTGATATAAGATTCATCAATCTGTCTCCACTTTTGCTCTAAAGCGACAAAAAGTTCATCCTTGTTTGAATAATTTTTATCTCGTATTTGCTTATCTAAGTATTCCCTTGGATTTTCAATGGGGTTTATACCGGGAGACTGTGAAGGGCATTTGAGAACTGGTATTTTTTCATCCAGAAAGAATTTCTTTGCGAGACTTGTAGCTTGCTTCGGGTCATTATCTTGCTGGCAGATTGATCTTGAGGGCATATGTATTGTCTTCCATATAGGGTAACATGACATGCTTTAGTATGTCTGTGTATACAAACATATCCATAATGCCATTTATTCTATGTAAAGGTCCCATCACAAAACCCGAAAAGCACCCCCAAACTATAACAGACCCGCCTCCATGTTTGACAGTGGGCAAAGTGTACTTGGGGTTTAATCTTTGTCAACTAGGACGTCTAACGTAATGAACACCATCTGATCCAAACATATTGAACTTGGATTCGTTACTGAAACATACCCTCTTCCAGTCACTGATGCTCCAATCAAGATGCAACCGTGTACATTGTAATCGGTCCTTACGGTTTTTCCTCGAGATTAGCGGCTTCTTACTCGGGCGACGTGCAAATAACTTCAAATCATTTAATCTTATACTTATAGTTTTCGTAGAAACACTGACAACTCCTTTTGTCTCGAGTTCGGCTTTTATTTGTCTTGGGGTTTTAAACGGATCTTTGGACGAAATTACTTTTATTAATCTAAATGATCTAGCATTTAGTTTTCTAGGCCGACCACTTCTCTTAGAGGCTTCCAAGATGCCTTTTTGTTTATATTTGTTAAATATTGCCCAAACTGCTTTACGCTTCAGCTTCAAATTTTTGGCAATGTCGACTTGACGTTGACCATCTTTGTATAACTCAATGATCTTAGTTTTCACATCGAAAGAAATTTCTGGACCACGCGGCATGGTCTTAAAATCACTCAACTTATTCCAAAATACTTGATGAACACAAACTAATCCTAAGACATGAAACTTGATTAAACTAATGTTGAAAAGAATTTGTCTACATATGTTTGTCCCTCATAAAAAAGTGCTTATATTGAGACTTGTATTGTAGTCATTGCAGATAATGTAAAAACAAGGAATTTTATACTAATAACGTATTCGTATATGAAGCAATGAAGTATGAATTCGTTTTCTAAATGTATTTAGGTAAATATTCATATTTGTTTATATACTTTTCTCCATTACTCTATGTAATTATAGTATAGTAGGTATAGTTTAGTTCTAAGTTCGCTTTGTCATTAAGAATGATTGTATTCTTCGGACAATAAAGCATATTTATCTATCTATACTCCCTCATTTCAAGCTTTAACCCCCAGAAGACTAGCAATGAGACATTGTACACCCTATTTTGTTTTGTTTCTTTGTACGCTACATATTCATTTTGCACTTGCTAACAGCTATTTTATTTAGAAACATACCAAAAACAAAACACAACAAACAAGTTTCAGTAGATTTCCACCCGATTCATTATTGCCAACGTCGCAGACTAACACAAAAATGTCACTTGCTGATCAGCTGATCGCCTCAGCTAACGTCAATGCGTGATGGATACTCGTGGAATAGGGTATAAAACAACTTATAGGGAAGAAACAGTTCTCACTTACCTAAACAGCTTCTCTCCAATAATCTGCTTCTGCTCCTGCGGCGCGGCCCCAACGAGCGCGTTGGCGCCCAGCGAGATGTCGCCACCATTGCCGATGTTCACGCTGACGGCGCGGATGCTGTTATTTGTAGAGCTAGTGAATTTGCTGTTGGGACGCGAGGGTGGCGTGCTCTGTTGGCCGGTGATGGGGCGGGCGTGCATGGATCCGCGGACGTTCAGGTTAGATCTTGAAGCAGCTCTAGGAGGAATTAGGCGCTCGATCACAGAATATAATAAGAAATGGATTTTTTCTGTGACGGGAAAAAAGTTTGACATTTTATCTCTGTTGACACGTTACTTTTTTCCCCTGGAAAAAATGAGTACTTTTTTCCTGGATATTGTATACACGATTTAGCTGGCAATAATTTTTGTGGCGCTACTTGGGCTACTTCTACTAATTCCCGTGGAGTCCAAAAAAACTCGGAATCAGACATTTTTTGCTTTACAGTATTAAAAATAACGTCTAAACAACCACTCAGTTCATAATTTTTAAATCAAATCACATAATTAAATTGACAGCTGTTAGATTACTTTAAAAGTTTCCTTAGCAACGCCGGTCTAATTGTCGCTATAAGTACAACATAGCCTGCTAATTTCAAAATTCAGATTTCACATTGATTATTTTCTGACTTGAATATTTTAATCATTTTTCAATATTAAATCGTCGTTTTTCCCGTCACAGAAAAAAATTGTGTATTATATACTATTGATGGCTTTTGTTGTTGTGCCAAGTCCGAAAAATTAGCCAATAACATCGTCTCCGACAAAGAACTGCATGTTTTCTTCATCTTCCATGCCGCTGCGCGTCGGGAGACAATACAACCTCAAGCTAAAATCTAGTATTTTACTTTTTTCCCTTGTATAATAAATAACTATTATTCCCACAAAAAAATTAAAAGAAAGTTAAAAAAGACAGTTTTATATCTACATATAGTGGAGGAGCGAAGTTCGGCACATTCGCTCTTCCACTTAAAAAATATGTAAGTATAAGCGGTATCAAAACATGGACACAAAGGACAAATTTGAGAAATTGTACTATACAGGATGTTCTTTAATGATATACGAATATTTAAAGGTTTGAATCTACATGAAGAACAAATGTTAGTTTGCTTCATAAACTATGGTCCAAAAATGTTTCCTTACAAAAACTCGGGGTGTTGAAGTTTTAGGGGAAACATGGAAATTAATTAATATTTTCAAAACCGCTTCAGATATTTCACTGATATTTAGTACGTAGTGAAAGTTAATAAAGTTGCATATTTTTCAATGCAAAAATAATTTTTAGCTTAAACAGTGACGTGCGTACAGGTATTGACTTCGATATTTTTTAAGAAAAAAAATGGCACGCCAATGGTTTTTTGTCAAATAAACATTATTTTTGAATTCCCCGTTCAATTTAAAACAAATGATCTCTCGTGAATTATTTTACTTCGATGCGCCATTTTCAAGTAGAAAAATAAAAACCGTTCTATTGTCTAACTTACAAAACTATTATTAAGTTAATTGGAAAAATTAAACACATTAGGGGTAATGAACAACAACAACTGACAGCATAAACCTAACATTAAAACCAACGAAATGATTACAAAAATTGTTGAAAATGGCCCCCTTCACTTAGTAAGCATGCTTCCGCCCTCCTTCTCATGGAATTGCGCACTCGAAATATCCCTGGAGTGTTTTTTATTCTATCAAAATTGAGGTAAGTCTGTCCGTCAAGTCGTCCCGGCAAGAAGAATGGGCCAATAAAGTGGTTGCCAATAATTCCTGCCCATACGTTAACCGAAAATTGGTGTTGGAAATGGGTTTCGGTTACGGCACTGTTGTGGAAATTCTGAATGGCATTTCGAGAAAAATTAGCTTCGTCCGTGAATAGAATCATTGATTCAAATTGCGGATTTTGTTTAATATTTTGAAGATACCACTGACAAAAGGTCATACGCCTTGGAAAATCAATGGGAAGTAATGCCTGTACTCTTAAAATATGGTAAGGATATAACAAAAAATCTAGTGAAATTTTCCAAACAATTTGATGGCAAATATTTAAGTATCTAGCGATCTTCCTCGTACTCGTTTCAAGATGTTCTTCGACTTCGTGCAGCACTGCTTCCTCAATTTCAGATGTCTCTGGTGATAAATCCGCCTGGCTTGCTCACCATTACCGCCGGCAAGGCCATATAAATAATGCATTTCGCCATTTCTGCATTGGAATAATTCACCATTATTAACAGGATTGTAAAAACTAAATAATGAAAAAGTTGTCACAGCGAACAGATTTGATTAACAGAGACTTGTCAGTTATCAAAAGCCAGTGACATATTCCAGAGTAACTAGATATTTATTGCTAGATGGCATTCTTCAATTACATTAATTTTCCCCGACAAAATAACGGTTTTTATTTTTTTACTCAAAAGTGGCGCATCAGAGGAAAACAATTCAAGTGAGATCATTTGTTTTAAATTGAACGGGGGAATCAAAAATAATTTTCATTTGGCAAAAAACCATTGGCATACATTTGTTTCTTAAACAATATTGAAGTCAATACCCGTACGCACGCAACTGTTAAAGCTAAAAATTATTTTTGCATTGAAAAATATGCAACTTTATTAACTTTCATTACGTACTAGTCTGAGGCGGTTCTGAAGATATTAATTTCCTTTTTTTTTCCTAAAACTTCAACACTTCGATTTTTTGTAAGGAAACATTTTTGAACCATAGTTTATAAAGCAAACTGACATTAATTTTTCATGTAGATTCACACCCTTAAATATTCGCATATCATTAAGGAACACCCTGTTTAAATACATAATGATCCTAAAATCATACCATGCAAGGTGATAGCGGATATGTTTTTAAACGAATTACTAGGAAGAGAATTGTCATTTAGGTTTTTCGAACTGCTGAGTCGTGGTCGGGTTGGATTTGATCCAGAGCTTTCGGCTACATCTGCGGCAGCCATCTTCAGTGGCGCTGTCGGCGAGAGCGAAGTGCTCGGCTTGGCGGGTCGACTGAAACTGATCGGTCAACTGGATGGGATGTAAAGCGGAAAAATTTCAAAAGTAAAGTGTTAATGTCGTGCCAGACGTTGAGAAGCTGTTCGAAGGGGTTATATACGAAAACATCATTGAAATCATTGAAGAAACCAGAATGTTAACAAAAAATCAAGCTAGATTTAGAAAAAAAAAATTCTACAGAAACAGCAATCCAAAGGATGGTGGAAGACTCTAGAAGAAGTATAAATGAGAAAGAAATTGTAACAGTATTTTTAGACTTCAAAAGGGCATTTGAGACTATAGATAGGGAAAAATTGTTAATGAAATCGGATCACTATGGCTTTAAAGGATCTGCATTAAACATTTTACAAAATTATTTAGTAAAGAGAAGTAAAAAAAACTAAAGTTGAAAATATGTCAAGTGTTCAAAATAGGGGTACCACAGGCGAGCAAATTATTATTATTATTGATATAAATGCAGAACACTGCAAAATTCAAATATTTGCGGACGATACATTGATATATATAGTACATAAGCATTTGGACACTGCTTTAGAACTGTTAGTGATATTAAAAAAAAATATGAATAGGCTAAACGTTAATAAACTTAAACACTAATGAAACAAAATGTATGTCAATAGGGAGACATTTAGGTGACGACAAATAATTAGGCTCATGATTAATAAAGAAAAATTGGAATATTCGAATCATTTATATCTGGGTATACTATATGTGGATAGTAAACAACTGTTTCACTAGCATTATTTCAAAAACATCAAAAAACATAAATTACTTCTATAGAGTTTCCCATAATCTTAGTATGTATTCCAAAAAAACAAATGTGTATAACACTATAATTCTTCCCCATTTTTTATATTGTTCAACCATCTACAAATGAAAACATATTTTCAAATTTACAAATTCTACAAAATAAAGCTATGTATGAGAATCATTTTAAATAAAAACAAATATGCTAGGATTAAGTGTAGTTAGAAGAACTACAGTGGTTGAATGTGAAAAATTTCATATGTTATTTAGTTCTCGTTATCATGTTCAAATTAAAAAATCATTTATTACCACCACATTTAGAAAACTTCGCAAAATTAAACAATCATTATAATAACTACGAAACTAGATGCAGAATAGATTTTTATCTGCAAAATTGTAATAGCATAACTAGTAAAACTATATTTCAAAAGTGAGTATTTAATTTAATAAATTGAAGAATGATATTAAACTAATTATTAAATGAATTAAAAAATGGATTGAAGAAACTATGTAAGCGAATAATTATACAAAATTGACATTGTAGCATTAATGCTAAATACATATTCAACAAACTACCCTCGTATCTGTTTCACATACCTATAAGGTCCGTTGATCATGGGCAGGTTGTAGGTGCCGTTAGGGCGGATAGCGTTAGGGGCAGGCCAGCGGGGTGCAGGTCTGATGTGGTTCAGAGGGTTCAAATGATTGAAAAATCGCGGTCCCTGTGCGACAGCTGGAATCAGGAACGGAGGCGTCGTCGTGGGGAAATTGATGCTGTTCTGGTGGTGGCGGAGCGCCTGAGCCCTGCAAATTAAAAAAAGTGGAACCTCATCAATACTGAATCAAGCTTTCACCGCTTTTCACTAATCGATGACCATATGAGTAATTGCGACATGTGTCCCTCCCAGGAAATTGTTAGCTGAAGCTGATTTGTGTTTTATAAATTAAAATCCATGAAGCATATGACGTATCTTGTATATCGAATTATTTTTGTGGCAAGGGTAAGCTCTACCCTCGGAAACTAAGGAGCTTTGAGTGGAGATAGACCGATATAGGATTTTCGCCGATACTTATAGTCATAATATCTCAAATGCCGATATATCGGCCATTGGCCACAAACGCATCTATAAAAGTCACACCTGGTTGAACCGTTTTGGTTGCATCATACAAAATGTAGAGAAGTAGCGCTGTCTGGACATATTTAACTTATAAAATATTTCTTTGGGCGGCAGAAGTACAGGAATACTTATAGAATATGAAAAGTTTGTTTGAACATTATATAGGGTGTCTCAATATTCGCTGGACATAGAAGTACTACGTATTTTTAGACTCAAATAAGTCAATTGGACATGATTTACCTCTATGCAAAAGTGCTTCGTTTGTCCGTTAGAGGATGTCAAAGTTTTCTTTTTGAACAGATTTTTTCATATATTTTTGGAATCGATAGTCCGATTTGAATGAAATTTGGAACAAATGTGTTTTGCTAGACGCCCTAATATTTGACTTATACAAAAAACGAAAGATTTCGATAAGGGAGAAAACTACCCCTACCCCTACATTAAATTACATGAGAATTTTTTCGCAACTGTCCAAACGGCTCTGATTTTTTTGTTGTTACTTCTTTTTCTCGTCAATATGGCACAATTTTTTGATGAACAGACTGATATGTTGGCAGTACTTGTACTTGTTGTCAGTGTTCGCGCATATCAAGAGGAATATCCAATTCGACGAATTCCAAATGGTCAGACTTTTGCTAGCATAGAACGCCTTCAATACACATATTTACGCTGATATAAATCCGCATGGGGTTTCAGAAAGAAGAATTTAAAATTAACGTTTGGATTGGGGATTATTGGTAAATGTTTAGTTGCCTGATAAATTAAACGGAGATGGCTATCTTCATATTCTACAATACGTTTACTTGAACTATTAGAAGAACTGCCTATGAATGTAAAAAGGAACATTTTTTTATGCATGATGGTGCACCACCTCACTGCGAGTTCTATAGGAAATTATTTGAACGAGAAATTGGATGGTAGATAGATTGATACAGATCAAGAATCTTGTATTCAATGGCCACCTCGTTCCCCGGACCCTTGTGACTTTTTTATATGTGGAGAATTAAAAACAAAGGTATACGAGGTTCAGATAGAAACGCCAACCAACTATGAAAAAGGATTTAAAATGCTGCCAATACATTAAAGAATAATGGCACCTTAGAGACTTTTGCGCCGTATTGTTATGTGCAAGAACGAAATTGGTTGTCATATTGAACACTGTTTATGAAAGATTCTCACTATTGCGTGGCTTAAAATAATATCATTTGACTCTTTTTTTTCTCGAAAATTATCCGAGATGGCTTTCAAAAAGTTTTGAGGGCAGGTACAAAGTTAAATATTTGTCTGGCCAATCCTCGCAAATTTTTCCATAAATTCAGTAAATTAACATTATTATAAAGTGTATGCGATCTTTGGATAACTTGGAAACTACGTATATAGGGAAACTATACATCAAGATGAATGACGAAACCACGAGAACAAGTCGCTCTTCGATATTGATGGTTTAACGCATGCTTTTAGATTTTATCCAGGACTTCACAAAATTGCGGGCAACTTGAAAACGGTTCGAAATTGCAGTAAGGTATATGTGGCTCAATGCATTCCAAATAAGGAATACTGTCACCTCTTAAAAGGTTGGTATCAACCTTTCGATCGCTCTTTATATCCAGGGTGTCCGGAATCTGAATGATTTTTTATACTTGAGCCACCATACAGGCTTAAGGCCTAAATACTCGAGGATATCGTAGGACTATAAGGAGATGATATAGAAACCAAAAAAATTGTGAATATTTTAGAATAAACCCGGCTATAAAGATGACATTTGTCGAAACGGCCGCCGCAATTTAACTAGACATGACAATTTTGACTACGCAATTTGTTTCCAAACAGTAGGCCATGATGCGACCTATTTCCAGTTGCAGGATTATCCTTCAATTTCGGGACACACTGTATCTAGATATTATGGATTGCTGGACATATTTATATGAACTCCCCACTTCCTCACCTATGCATATATTGGCTATTAAGGAAAGCACGACGATCTTCTTTGCGCTGAGCCAAGGCAACATAGAGTGGTTTGCTGCCAACCATTCGTCCGTTCATCTCAGTCACTGCCTTGGTTGCTTCATCAGAAGAAGTGAAGCAGACAAAGCCAAATCCCTTACTCCGACCATTCTCTGTCATCACTTTTGCTGATGTTATTGTACCATAAGGAGCAAATTCCTAAGGAATAATATTTTTAGCAATATACCCATAAATCGACGTCAAGCCGGAGACGGGGGCTAGGCCAAGTCATAATAGTTATCAGAGAAATCTAAGTCATATACTTTTCAAATTATAGGCTTTAAAAAAATGGGAAAAATCTACACTGTGATGATCTTTTGGTTCCCAAAAATTTTTTAGACGGAGTGATGGACAGTGTCATTCTACGTAGTACAGCAAGACAGATAGTAACTCCACTTTTATTAATTCCTGGTGCTGGGGTCTCTGGACCTAGAACTAGGCTATCTCTGCCTCTCCGTATATACACCACTATTTTCCAGGCGGAAATCTTTGCGATTCTGGCTTGTGTATCTCACATTCTGGAGGAGGGTGGGCCTAGGAGAAGAATAACAATCTTATCCGACAGCCAGGCTGCAATGAAAGCACTAAGTGCCTGTAAGATTACTTCGAGTGTTGTATTGCAATGCAGGGAGGCTCTGGATTGCCTCGCAGCGAGGCATCCGGTATCGTTAATGTGGGTACTGCGCAACGTTGGGATAAGGGGCAATGAGACGGCGGACACTCTGGCGAAGACAGGATCAGCCAGCAAGCTAGTTGGTCCTGAGCCAGCTCTAGGAGTGACCGCGCATAGAGCTAGGAGGAAAATGGACACGTCGGTTGCAAGACAACACTCGCAGAAATGGAGGAGTATCTCCAGACATCTCCGCCAGGCACGGAAACTAATTGAAGGGCTCAGTGCTAAGGATGGACGTTTCTGCCTATCTCTGGATAGAGCCAACCTAAGATTGCTGGTGGGACTGTTGTCTGGCCATAACACGTTAAGGCGCCACTTGCACGTGAAGGGGGTGGCTGATAATCCCTTGTGCAAACGCTGCGGGGTAGAGGAAGAGACCTCAGCGTTTTGTGTCGCTGAGCTACTATAGGCAGACTATATTGGGGTCCATTACTTTGGACCCTCAGGACGTCAAGGAGCTTGGACTCAAGTCGATTCTCAACTTCGCTAAAAGGGCGAGGCTTGTGCTCTAAGGAGTGTAGAGGTGCATAAGGGCCCGCTTAAGGGGCCTATGCACTGTCTCCTTATGGTGGCCAGAATCCCTCTAATTTCAAGATTCATTCATTCATTCACCCGACTTAAATCCACTAGATTTGCGGTGAAAATTTAAATGAGCTACGGGACAGAATAACGGAAGCAGCTCGATTTGTTAATAACGTAAGATTATCCTGTCTGACAACCCGATCATTTTTAAAAAGATATCAAGCTTGCATTGCTGCTCGAGGAAAGCAGTTTGAACATTTACTGTGAATTTAATAAATACATTCACGAATTAATAAACCTGGCGTTACATCCGTCTTGCTGTCACTATGTAGAATGACACTGTTCATCACTCTGTCCAAGAACAAATTGAAACCTGTAGTAATGGGAACTAAAAGCTCATCACAGGGTGTAGATTTTTGTGTACACGAGTTAGATTATTTTATATTTTCCTGATGGCTATTATGACTTGGCCTATCCCCCGTTTCTGGCTTGGCGTCGACTTCTGGAACACCTTGTATAGTATAGAAATATGGTATGAGGATGAGGACCGCAACCTATGCATTAAGGCGTATTCTTTAATTCACCGGTTGAGCCATCGGTGCAACCAATTAATCAATTTTACTTCTTTTAATTTCTATACAGGGTTATCCAAATTAAGTGTCCACCATTAGTAACTTTGTTATTAGTGAAAATACAAAGTTGTTTGAATTAGCAAACTAGTAGCATTTTTAACGCTGGTAAAAATGAGAAATAAAAAAAAACAATTGAGAGTCGTTATTTTGATTTTTTTCAGTAAAATAACATTTTTTTAAATGGAAACCCCTGTATATTATATTTTTTTCTGTTAAAGCATCAAATTTTAAACAAAAAAGTTCATAATGACTTTTCCGCTAAAGTCAAAAATAAAGTCAAAATAACGATAAATATTTTTAATTATTTGCAGTATTATAATATTAAGACGGCTATGAAAACAACATGGCGTTCGCGATTTGACAGCATTAAGATAAGCGACAAATTGCTAAACTGGACATACTCGCAACTAGAAGGCTTTGGAAAACAATGATAAAATCAAATAATGTCAAACATTAGTGTAAATACTTGTTTATAAGCTTTATTGTGTCATTAATTTAAAGAAAAATGTTCTCCCATGAAGAAAAGTGTGATATGTTAGAATGCTATTTATTGTGCAGAAAATCCTCCTTGAGAGCAAGTGAATTATATCCCGCTCGCATTCAACCGTATGAACGATATTTTCTGAGACTTTATCGAAAATTTAGGGGCAACGAAAATGTTTTTGCTAAAACAAGGGCAAAAAAAGAATTCATAATAAGCGAGGCCACGGAAATTGCAGTTATTGGATATTTTGAAGCTTATCGTGAGAATTCAATAGCAGATATTCTCAAGGACTCTAATTTCAGTTATGGTACTGTTCAAAGGATTTTAAAAAAATACAAATTTATTCCGTATAAGTACCGACCAGTTCAAACGCTTTTGGCAGGGGATCCAGAGAGAAGACTTGTTTTTTGCCATTGGTATCTTAGCTTCTGTCGCCAAAATGTAAATAACTTTCGTTACCTTTTATGGACAGATGAATCAAATTTTTCAAATTCTGGAATGTTTAATAGAAAAAACCACCATTATTGGTCAAGAGAAAATCTTTTGTTAGTACATCCAAGAGGCCCACAAGTCCGTTTCAGTTTCAACGTTTGGTGCGGTATAATTGGTTCAAAAATTGTTGGCCCGTTCTTTTATGAGGGAACCCTAACTGGTGAAAGATATGTGGAATTTATGTCAGAAATTCTGACTAATTTCTTAGACGAATTGGATCTTATAAGTAGACATCATCTGCATTTTCAGCAAGATGGCGCACCTGCCCACAACTCCAGAGGTACTTATCATTTTCTAAGTACTACTTTTAATGATCAGTGGATAGAAACAAATGGCCCAATACAATGGCCTCCCAGATCACCAGATCTAAACCCACTTGATTACTTCTTGTGGGGTTACTTAAAGAACCAAATTTACAAGCGAAGGTACGATAACCTTGACGCGTTAAAGACTGCAGTTAGGGAAAAGATAACCCAGATAGATGGTAGGACCATACTTAAGACAGTTCGAGCAGTTGAAAAACGTGCCCAAAAATGTATTGAAGAACAAGGTGGTGTTTTCGAGCATCTTCTTTAAAAAAAATTGTTATTGTATTTTGTAAGATTATAAGTTGATGTTGAAAATAAAGTTTGTCGATACAATTTAATTGTTTCAGATTGGAGGCCATAACTTCAACAATTTGTAACCTAGGAGAAAAGTTATTGTAAGCTTTTTTGTTTAAAATTTGATGCTTTAACAGAAAAAAATATAATATACAGGGGTTTCCATTTAAAAAAATGTTATTTTACTGAAAAAAATCAAAATAACGACTCTCAATTGTTTTTTTTTATTTCTCATTTTTACCAGCGTTAAAAATGCTACTAGTTTGCTAATTCAAACAACTTTGTATTTTCACTAATAACAAAGTTACTAATGGTGGACACTTAATTTGGATAACCCTGTATAGACAAGTTTATAGACAAGTTTGGTGTACAACCAGTCGCTCAGACGGAAATTAAAGGAAGGCAGCAGCGGTAGCCGCAGTAGTAGACTCTTCGGTCTCCTGATCAGTCGCCGTGCGCTGTGCGGGTTCGAGTCCCAGGAGAAATTTTTCTCTTGGCTATGGATGTTGTGGTTGTCTGTAGGTGGTAGACGGTCTCTGACTGTCGAACGTGGAGGTACCACCCGGCGGATCTCGTAGACGGAGCCAGAATGTGTGCATGTTGCATGCACACGTGTGGCGTTCCCCCTTTCCCCAGTATCCCTCTATAGCCCCACGGTGCCCAATGGGTGTTTAGGCCTTAGGCCTTCGTGGTAGTTGGAGTATAAAAAAAAAGTAAAATTGGCTAATTGGTTGCACCGGTGGCTCAACCGGTGAATTAAAAAATACGCCTTCATTTATTTGGGTAGGAATATGGAATGGGTTTACAAAATTGCTACTACTGCAAAAAATATATTTGAGTAAACTCGGGGTATCTAAAAAAAGGATGTAAACATTTATACTAGAAACAGCTAAATTATTTGCTATCTCACCTTTCTGAGTTTTTCATCATCAAAAGTGTCATCCAAATTCTTTACATACAAATTAACTCCTTGGAAGCGATTATATCTTTCCAATCTCATAGCTTCATAGCATTTCTTGAGCTCATTTATACGTTCAGCCTTTTTCTGGGCACGGCCAACATACAGAATATTCCCATCCACTTCAGTACCATTGGTTTCTTGTACAGCTTGCTCAGCCGCCTTTGGATCAGCAAATGCAACAAATCCAAAGCCCTTTGATGAACCATCAATGTTTCTCATGACAACACTGCTGGTTATCTGTCCATATTTAGCAAACAGTTCATAAAACTTCTCATCAGGCATATTGGGACCAAAGTTTTTCACATATATATTAGTAAACTGCTTGGCTTTCTCACCAAGTTGCTTTTCTCGTTCAACCCTGGGTATAAACTTACCCACATAAACTTTTTTTTGGTTCAAGAGCATACCGTTCACCTTTTCTATAGCTTTATTAGCAACGTCTTCACTCTCAAAGTGCACAAAACCATAACCCTTTGAATATCCATTCTCATCTAGAGCCACTTTGCAGCTTAAAATATTTCCAAACGCGGAAAAAGTATCATACATCGCCTTATTGTCGATGTTCCTATCAAGGTTCTTCAAAAACACATTACCTATACCTGATTTTCTTAGAGCAGGATCTCTTTGGCACCACATAATGCGTATAGGCTTTCCCTTCAACAAATCAAAGTTCATTGTGTCTAGCGCTCTTTCGGCATCTGCTGTTTGGCTGAAGTTCACGTACCCATAGCCCAACGACTGCTTTGTCCTAGCATCTCGGCATACTCTGAGAGATAACACTTGGCCAGCAGCGTTGAATTTATCATACAGCATGGCTTCTGTGACTTCAGGGTGCAAGTCTCCGACATAGAGGGACCCTGTTGGAAACATAACTCCTTGCGGAATATTCATTTTTGTCCTTAACTTTACACTACACAAAAACTATTCTACTTAGCAAATATTAAAGAACATATTTTTTTCACTTTTCACGCTTTTATAGAAAAAAGTTATAACTTATTATTTACCCGTACGTGGAAACCATTGGAAACCAGGTGGAAACGAAAACACAATTTATTTTTCAATTCAAAGCCCACTTAAATCCTTTTTTATTTAGAATAGTTAGTTGACCATTAAAAAAAGCCAATTCCCAAGTAGTTCATATTTCGAATTTTTACAGTAGTTCAAATGCTCGACTTCAGTTAAATGAGCCAATTAAAATCCATCATTTTTAAAAACAACCAATTCATATGAATTGTAGCCAAGAATTTTCGAAATGAATACTTTATTAATTAATAGCTTTTGGTGATGTACTCTTCAATTTTTAAAACTTGAAATTCAAATATACAAATACAAGCTAATATTCGTGACACCTACAAGAGGATAGATAAACTAATTATTGACAGCTGTCATTGTGACATTTTTTCATTAGTCAGGCTGTGACCAGAGTTGTCAAATCAAACAATTTATCTTATTTTCTTCTACTTTACAATAACTGAGTATGGCTGATTTGGATGCCAATATGAATATCTGGCATTTACACATATGTCTTGCATATCTATGAATGTTCTTAAGCTCACGACAAAACAATTATGCTTTCATCTAGTTAGATTTATCAGAACTCTTGGAGACCACATCTTTCTTAATCTGGCAACGTCGCTGATGTGCTCACGTCCTGCATCCTGCGTGTTTTTGATTTTGGTACGGGTACAGGTTAGGTTAAAAAGGGGTTAAAAACAAAAACCGTTCCAAACCATTTCTTTTTGATACTTTTGTTCTTATTCAAATCAGCAAAATGCCAAAAAGAAAGCACGATAAAAAGCCGGGAGAAGAGGACTTCGAATTCGATCCTATTCCCAAGCATTTAGTGGTAGCACACTTGAAAAACCAAGAGCAACGTCTGATAATAATACTGGAGGGAGCACAACTTCAAACCTGCAAGGTAGGACAGATACCAAAAGAATTATTCAAATTTAAGTAGTTTTAATTTTCAGAGGGGAACTAATTACCTGTTGTTGAACTCTGATGATTTTCCAAAGTTGACGAAGAATTCTCAAGTCGGACAAGACTTGCGACCTGACATTGTACATCAGTGCTTGTTAATGCTGTTTGATAGTCCTCTTAATAGAGCTGGATTATTGCAAGTGTATATCCACACAGAAAGCAATGTTTTGATAGAAATTAACCCACAGACAAGGGTACCGAGGACATTCAAGAGATTTGCAGGCTTGATGGGTAATCTCCAGAATAAAATTTAGTAAAATGTAAAGTACATTATTGTCTTATTTTAGTTCAACTCCTCCACAAGTTTGCAGTAAGAGCTCATGATGGTCCAAAATTATTGAAAGTAATAAAAAATCCTATCACAGATCATCTTCCTGTTGGAATCAGGAAGATAGAAATGTCTTTCAATTGCAAGAATTTGAAGAAGCCAAGTGAGATGGTGCCCAAAAATGAAGAGCCAATTGCTATAGTTGTGGGAGCTATTCCTAGAGGTAGTTTAAATTGTGATTATACTGAAGAAACTGTTTCAATTAGTAATTATCCTTTATCTGCTGCTTTGACTTGTACCAAACTTTGTTCTGCCTTTGAAGAAGCTTGGAACATATTTTAAGTATAAATAAATATAACATTTTTGATTTTTGTTTAACAATAATAATCCTATATAACCCCAGTCTGAAGTTTTATTTAATAACTTTTAAATATACCGCCTTTTAAATGTAGTAGTGGTTGCATAAATCGTTATTTTTCCGGAATCTTCCATGCTTACAGCGTTACCTGGCGGATGATGATTAAACCATTTGAAAGTATCGGCCGACATTTTGTTGACAAATAATAGCTGCGGTGCTGCCGATGTTTAAGGAGGACTCATCAAACATGCTAGAAATTATTCCTGCTGCTGAAACAGGGCGATACAGCCGGTTGTAGTTTGGCACTTACGAGAAAACAGCAGTGCGTCGTTGTTGGGTTTTTGAAAGACATTTTCAAATAATATTCGGACATCCCCAAATCTTACCACGAAATGTTCATATGTTAACGGTGCATAGGCGTCCTCCATATGGTAAAATTCAAGGGGGGGCACATTTGCGATCCCAGAATGTATCTTCAACAAATTTCCGTCTGGATTGAAAACTGAATGCTCTAGAATTTAATAAAAAGAATCAACCTTGATATTACTATTTCACGGGCTACAGCTTAAACGGCTTAATGGTTTTTGTCATATGAGGTACCTCTAGATGTCAGATTTGTCTAGACAAGAGTGGCACTGGGTATAGTAAAATTTTATAAAATCTAAATAAAGTTCATATTCTACGGACTACAGCCACGGCTTCACAGTTTTGTGCGCTCTAAGGCAAATGATAAACTATGCTCCCTCCACTGACATTAACTGGGAATTTTGCGCCTTTCATGTCCTTGCGCCCTAAGGCGACTGCCTCACTTGCTGAAGCTCCTGTAGCCGAGGGGACTACAGCTCAAGAGTCTTGACGGATTTTGACATATAAGATGTCTAAAATTGTCTGGACAGTGCGAGTGATACTGACTATACTAAAATTTTATAAATTCAAAATGGCGGATTTTACTAAAACCTAGAAATTCGTATTTCACGGGCTACAGCCTAGATGTCTTGTGGGATTTTGACATTTGTAGTATCTCTGGATTAAAATTTTATGAAATCTAAATGACGGATAATTTATCGGAAATTTCAACATTGATGTTTTTATTCTACGGACTACAGTTTAAGAGACTCGATGGATTTTGACACATGAGGTGTCTCGATTTGTCTGGACAGTACGAGTAACACTGGCGCAGACTCTGGGTCTTGGCATCGAATCCAGTCGGATGTGAGGATTTGCATGTTTAACATGATTTTGTGAACAATTTGGAGAATTTTAGGATTTATCAATCCACCCTGAGAAAATTTGCAACCTCCCCGTTCTTCAAAAAGTTTTGGGGGAAGGTAAATTTTCATAAAAAGTTATCTCTTGCCAATAACCGCTCAACCTTTAGAATCCTATTTTAGGGGCTACAGCTTAGACAGCTTCATTGATTTGCCTTGACACTGCGAGCATAACATGGTAAACTAAAATTTTATAAAATAAAAATGGCGGATTTTAAGGGCAAACTTCGACATTTAGATTTCTATTTCACGGGCTACAGCCCAAACAGCTAGATGGGTTTTGATATTTAAGGTGTACTTAGATTCGTCTTGATTGTTCATATTCAAAATGGACACTTCTCCTTCTTTATGTGCCTGAGCGTCCAGGGAAGGGGGGGGGGTCGTCGAATATTCACAATTCAGATTTTGTAAACCAAAGAACACACACGCCACTCGTTTTATTTAATAAACTGGTACCCTATAAGATATCTTTTACTTTTCAAGCGGAAACCAGGCGGGCATATACACCCCCAACCTCTCCTAATGGGCGCCCATGAACGAAAGCAAATTCTATAGAAAATTAATATGACTGTCATTGTCAGAATTAGATGAAAAGTTTGCCTGAAGGATAGTGTATTAGCTAACAATACTCTTTTATTTAGAAAAGTTAGCTTGCATATCAAAAAAAAACGCTACAAGCAAAATGGCTAATAATGATCATGACTGAATTAGGCCTGAACATTACTCAGTTAATTCTAACAAGTTAGAAATTAGAAAAATGTACAACTATAATTATATATAATATTAATTTTTTATGATAGGTACTGCCTGTATTTGGATTACGTTACATTGATGACGGACAATAAACCAGGAACACGTGTTATTTTACCGGTAAAATAACAGCTTCTAGAAAGGATATCGTATCTTGTTCTATTGAAATACACCGTAATCAATAAATCCCAGATGTAGATACTATAATAATTATCTAATAAAAATGTTTATATGTGTACTTCGTACATTTTATTGTCAATTAAAAGTATAATCCAGATATGTGAACAACAGCTCTGAATACGGTCCTGAAATACATTATTGCCAACGTTTACATACTAATACAAAAATGTGGCTTTTGTGATCAACTGTTCTCCACAGTATTCGTCAAAACGTAATGGATACTCGTGAAAAGTACCATACGTGTATCCCTTACACAGTTTAACCTCCTATCTCTAGTCTCGAGGTCGGTAACTTCTCTATTTCATCTACCCTGACGAGACCAATAAATGAAACCACAAGTGATCAATAAATTATTTTAAAATAAAAAATATGAGATTTGCCAAAACAGAAAATTGCTGGCACTACCCTGTAAATGCTTTGAGGAAAAAATCCAACTAAAATGTCATAGAGCGGCAACAGCGCTGGATCGTTGATTTCCCCTTCCACAGCTACTCATCCATTGATGTGATGTGTATTTTCAGAAAAATGTATATTTTCACCACCTTATGAAAATTTGCCTAATTTATCATTAAAATTTGTTCAAGTATAATACAAACATTATTTCTGAAAATTTCCGTGTGATAAACATCTTTAAGGTGCAGCAAAAACAAAACACTACATTAAATTAACTTGTCAGTTTCAACTTCTTCCATAAGTTTTTGGACACAGTTGTTGGAATATTTCTCCTGGATGATCTTTCCGATTTTCAAAAAGTATGTGTGGTAATGTAGCATTTACAACATTCTCCTCTGAAGGAAATACAAAAATTTTAGCACTTTCCAGGCAGCCATTTGTTTGACCTCAAACGGCAACTGAGAGCTTATCCTCGAACATCGTCAACGAATTTTACTTATAATGCCTTCTAATTCGTAATCTACATGAGAAATGTTCCTAAAACCAACATCTTCACAGTATTTTTGCAATTTGCGACGCATTTTGTACGTTTTTATAATTATAAGTCGGGACCTAGTCGGAGAAGGGTTCGGCACGGCAGCCATCACGGCAGAATATGCCAAGCTTGGCAAGCGGGTTTGTGGTAAGTGAGTGAGTGTTGTGTTGCTCCGTATTTCTGCTGATTCCAATGTGGATTAACCCCTGAAATTACCAGGTAAATACATAAAAATGATCGTCCGGCTTCCGTTTTCAAGAAATAAATATAATTTTAAGCCAGGAACACGAATTTACCAATAATTTAGTGAAACGTTCGGTGAGCTTCGCCTGAAAGACCAGAGTGTAGTACCCGCCATGTTGTAAAACCACCGAAGCTGGCGAATTTTACAGTTTTCAATGCAGTTTTTCGCGGAAAATACGTTTTTTCTGGTGTATCTGTGTGTATATTTTCAGTGTAATTGAAGGTGAGCATTAGTTTTCCCGCGTATTGCTGTAGCCATAGTAAATGGATAAGGCGTCCGTTGTATCTGACTACTTATGCATTTGGAAGCAGTCCGTGGTAGCGCGGGACAGCCAAGGTCTCGTTCGGCAGAAAGTTATCGTAAGCGAATTCAAAACGCGACTATCATTTCAACGGATACGTCTGATTTTTACTTATCCAGACAAGTCCCGTATTTGTAAACATAGCGAAAATTTATATATGGAGCAATGTGATTTTACCGAGGAAGTGTGGAAGTGAAATCGTATTTGAGTGCTTGCCGTAGAATATTCAGCATGTGAAACTTCCGAAAGCGGACCAGTTTGTTTCCGTGATAAAGGCTCGAGACGCGGATTCAGCGAAATTGCTTGCGAAAAAGGGGGTGTGGCGGTTTCTCTAAGAACGCGCTCAAAAATCTCATACGTTCATCTGCTATGGCTTTGTTGCGTATCATTAAAAATATACTTTAAATATCCATGAAATTTTCAGTCACTAACTTTGTAGAAGGCGTTTTTTAACGAATGGCCCCACTTGAATATTGTATGAATGTGAATTTCTCTAGTATATTACAAGCACCATGAACTAGAAATGATATATTTGTTAGAAGTCTGTACATGCAGATAGACTGATATAATCAAATCTATTTCAATGGCAAAATGATAAGAGTATTTTGGCAGAACTGTTACATCTATGCTCTGATCACTTTATCATTTAACGTCAGTGTTGATAAAAAGATATGTTGTAATTTCTAACCTCTAAACATAACCCATATTTGTTTGTTTGTGCCTTATAATTTTTTCTTTACAGACACACACCATGCACTTCCCCTTTTAAGTATGATGTCCCAAATGATGGGATATAAATTATACTTCCAAAAAGTCAAAACCAGCTGATTGTTAGGCTTTGGTCTACTACATCATTGGTACGCAAGACTATTATTATTATTTATTAATAAATATTCTTGGAATAGTACAGCTTTTCTACACATATATTTTGTTACATTTATTTGGAATATTAATTGATTTTAATGTGAACCATTAACTGGTAATTCCAGGAGATTGAAAATTATGTAACAAATTTATGGGATCAGTAGGAATAACTAGAAGCTATAATTAAAAAATCTAGATTTTGCTTGATAAATTGTTAGACCATTTGAAAAAAAAGAATTATTTTTGCCCTGCGACTGATACATGCACATTTCTAAATTCATAACTTCCACTACTTGGAAAGCTATTTTCACACTGCAAAAATCATCATCTTCCTTTTAATTATCATAGTCATAAGCATAATCACAGTCACAAGCTCTGAGCATGTTTATAAAACTGTCTTAATTATAGTCTAAGGCCTGTATCATCAGTCATTCCTACAATTGTAGGACACCTTTATGGCCTCATTGATTGTCATAGTTTTCTACTTTTCCATATCAGCGCTCTATTTTGAGGTTATGTCACAAATATCGGTTTGCATCAAATTGTGCTTGCTTTTGATTTGTGTCATGTTTTATCAGCCGGAAATTTCCTACAATTTAAAAAGGAAACATATCTTCACATTAGGAGAGCGCTGACACAGATCAGGTGCAGTCTAGAAATTTATGAAGGAGAGAAAGAAGTATGACAATCAAGGAGGCCATAAACGCATCCTACAATTGTAGGAACGACTGACGATACAGCCCTAAAGTTGTTGATTCTTATTATTTTCATTTGTTAATAATCATTACTTTTCTATAAACTAATAATTTATTGTATTCATTACTTTGATTACTCTGAGTAGTACAACAATTTAGCAATATGCATTGTGCAATTAATGACTAATGTTGTATTTGAACAACTTTAATGGAATTACTATATTATGCTTTAGTTTGGTAGGTATGTTGTAAGAAAATAAACAACCTTAAAATTTGTAAAATGTTTTAATCATAATTCATTTAAATCTTTCGTGCATAATGACAACATTATATCTTCAAATTTCATGCAAAATGAGATGGGTTTTTATAGGATAGGTTGTCATGACTTATATGGGCCTAAAAACTGAAAATACTTTATATTTACTAGCAATGTTTGAAAAGCATGTCTTCTAGTTACAAAGTTGGTTTGTATATGTATATGCATTTACACATTTTTAGCTCTTGCAGAAAAACCATCTCTGTCACTGATCATCATCCTTTTGAATGTGTCATTGAGAAAATTACTAGAAAGCAGAAACCTTTTTTTAGTCACCTGGTGTCACTTTTGATGATGACATTGCCTTTCTGTTTTTCTTTTGCTACTAAAGAGAACCACATGAGCTATCATGAAACTGGAAGGTTCACTTGGTCATTGCAAAATAATTACAGCATCTGTATTGTTTGTTTGTTTGTGTGTTTAATATTTATTTAGCATGATTGCTACAATTACATTCTTCTAAAAAACTAAACAGTTACATAACATACAGATATTTTGAAAAAAAAATTTAAGAGTTTTCACTGTCCATGAAATATTCCTTTAATTTTCTTTTAAACATTTCACTTACAAGTAGACTACATATCATTATTTAGTTTATTAAATTCAAGTAATCCTTTCTGAAATATTGATTTGCTACTTATATTACTATTGCAATTTTGTAAATGAAAATCAATATTTCCTTTTATATAATCATTGTGGTAATGATTATTCAACTCTATGTAGTGTTCTAAATGTTGTGGCAAAATATGATTTTGTATTCTAAATATAAAAATAAGAACCAAATATGGTATAGAATTTTTTAAATTCAACCAGTGCAATTCTTGTAACAGATTTTATTTCGGTGGACTTATATTATTCTCATAGCTTTATTTTGCAGGACTTGTAATTTTGAGAATACAGCTTCATTGGTAGTGACCAAGATAGTTGAACAATATAGTAAATGTGGTAGGATAAGTGTATTATAAACTATTTTCTTGCAATATCTACCAAAACTGTGAGAAACTATATAAAAGTAATTAGTTTTTTTGGCAGTTTTTAAAATAATGTATTCATAGTGATTCTCAAACTTCAGTTTACTATCCTATCAATATATATACCTAAATATTTAATTGATTCAACATTTTCAATTATTTCACCATTTATCCTGATAGTATTTTCATTTAGGTACTTCCCTGTTAGCATATATTTTATTTTAGAAGTATTCAATTTTAATTTATTCACATTAATTTAACTAATTTAGGATTTTTGCCAAGTCAGAATTTAGCATTTTTAAAGCAGTGTATATATTTTCATCTGATATGTATTTTAATGTATCATCCGCAAATTTCTGAATTTTACATTGTATACTTAAAATTTGAATTTCACATATGGAACATTCATCATTGTCAATTCATGTCCTTCCCACACCCTTATGTTAACATTTATATGGTTATGGTGTAAAGTTTATGGAGAATATTATGAACTAAAACATCTATATAAAACCTATTAAGCAGCTGCTCCACACATTCATGAAAATATTGGCATCAACCCCCTAACCTGAGCTGCATTCCAATAATTTTTGTTTTTAGAATGGCATGCTCCTGAATTGGTCTGGACATGTGCTTGGGAATACAAAGTGTTGAGGAATGATATTGGTGCTGAGCACTTCTGAGTTACTCTGAGTAATTCAAATGGGTCACTGGAAAGCAGCTCTGAGTGGTGCTTTGGAGGAAGTTGACCTAACCCACATCTCAGAATTTCACGTTTTTTGATTTAGTATGACTCAATTTATCCCTTCTCTGAAATAGGTCCATAGGCCTTTTATTGCGTAGTATGGTTTTGGAAGGATTGCAGTGGCAGATTTTCTGTTGAAGTGCTATGCCACTGATTTGTGTGTCATTCTCAGGTCACATTCTTCATGTGAAATGGAACAATATATCTAGTTTGAACAGTGAAGTCTTCTCTGATGAAAAATCTGGAGGTTATTACTGCCTGGGGATGTAACAATTCAGCTTTCTTGACTTGTTAATGAGTTGTACTCCAAAAATTCTGCGTTTAATGGGAGGGTTCTAGAGGTTTTCAATGGCACATTAAATATTGATATTCAAATGAAGACAGAATGGAAATGCTTGACCCTGCACCCCTTTTCCCAGCAGCGTAATTCTCATGGACTTTAACAATAACTGCATCACTACCAAATTCATAACCCTTTCAAATTCTTGTCGCCCATTGATACCTCTGGCTCTCTTTTTAGGTTTAGGGGTGCTGTATTTTAGAGTGCAGATTAGGTTAGGTTGCAGTAAGGGATTGGCAAACAAGCCTGGATGCCACTGTACTACTGCCTAAAGCACTATTCCCTGTTTTGATTCCATAGCCTTGGCATCGGTCTTTAATGTGACAACTTTCTGCTTTTGAATTTGTGATCTCATGTCTGAATCTGAGTCTTGCAGATCCAGCACATACTGCTTCATAAGACCTTCATGTCAGTTTAAAGTTTAAATGACTGCTATTAGAAGATACACCATCCCATTATAGCCTTCTTGATCTATTAGGCAATGGGGGTAATCTGAAAAGCTAGATGCAAATGGTGCTAGCTAGGCTGGTCATATCCACAATATCTAAGATTTTGAAGAGACGTAAAAAAACGCGAAAAATGGTTACCTTCTATCATATGTCCTTCTCATCTACATGTTACAGCTTTGATGCTCCAATCACACAAACATCACCTATCTTTTCCTTGAGGCCATTTGTGTGTCCAGTGCAGTCATGTTTAGGTTTCCCAGCTCTTGAGAGTTCACATAATCCCCTACCAGTTCAGATGATATTTACATTGATTTTAATATTTGTCTGAGCAGAATGGCCATTAGCTGCAGTTTATTGCTTTATCAACTCTCAAAGATGTACTTTGGGGCCATTATGTCCATGTTCATTACAAAGATGGTATCTACTTTTATTTCCTTGCACAGTTTCTGATAATGTTACTGACTGCTATGTTATTGGCATTGAGTTTGTGAACCATTGAAGGAGCATTGTACTGGTATTTATCATTTGCACATGTCACATGACAAATCTTATCACACTTGAAAGTTTTGAACTATCACAACACCTTAAAATCACCACTTAGAAAATCAATTTAGTAAAAAGCATTTTGGATCAAAATATTTTTAATACGAATCTTAAAATCAGTTATATTTAGTGGAAATTTGTTGATAACATTTTTTTATTGCTCAGAATCCTGCCTATCTTGACACCTTAGTCATCATTAAACATATGCTTGCAATCATCTATGTATTTCAGTTCTGCTACCAATCTAACAGCCCTCCTCTGCGGCCCAAACACTCTAGCTCCTCAGCATAGTGGCCCCATACAATATTTGCATATGCTATGTGCAACTGGGATAGTTGGAGTGTTTTTGGCGACAATTCTCGCAACAAGTTGCATAGGACATTTTTATGAATAGAACATCAATGAGACTTTGCCATTGGAGCTCAGGGTTAAATGTTACACCTAAAAATACACCTTGATTATTCATTTTGGATGTCTATTTCTCTTGTAGAGAACAAAACTTGCTTAGTCTTTTCACCACGTACCAACAACTTATTGGAATAAAATCAGATTTTGGCTTTTTCCAATTCATTTGTACTTCCATCAGATAGTTGCCTGCAAGAAATGTGGATGGGTTATCTGGGAAGAAGGGATATTTGGTTAATAACCCATTATTTGGGAGATCATTAATATAGATGAGAAAGAGTATGAGGCCTAGAACAGAACCTTGTAGAATACCAATATCTTCCTTTTTTGCATACCTCACAGCATCAGTCTCTACTGCAGTCAGAACTCTACAAAAGCAATGCGCTATTTGGAGGAAACGCTATAGCAAGCCAATTTTCTCAGAAGAATGTTATAATGCAATTGAAGGCCTTACTCAGGTCACAGAACAGAACTGTACTGCTTTGAGTGAAAAACCTCCATCACACCTGACAGTAGTAGTTCAAGGATTGCATCATTTTACTCTTTGCTCTAAAATCATACTGCTTTTCAGAATAAAATCCATTTGTCTCAAAGAATTATATGATTTGAATGGCCAAGTATTTTTCAATATTTTAGTGATAATTATTAAAAAAGATATTGGTCTGTAATTTCCTGGGAATGTTGGATCATCTTTTTTAAAATTGGTTCAACTAGAGCCAGCTTGAGATAATCTGGAAAGATGTTTTTAAGCACATATTAATGAGGTTAGTTAATGGTAATAAGATGTGTTTTATTAGTTTTAGTAATTTTAAGTTCAGGCTATAAATGTCACGAATTCAGTTCTTTAAATTATTATGTTTCGCACTTCGTTAAATATTTTTTCTGTAAGTGCAAATACATTTTGAATTATACTGATAGGGTCACAGAATGTATCCGATATTCCCTGCATAATATTATTGGCTACTTGGGCTGAAAGTTCATTTAAATCATCTGATGTAAGAGTGTTGGTATTTGCGGGGTTTTTCTTTTTACACCTGTTTACATTTATTAGGTTCCACAGTTTTTGTGAGATTTGTTCAGGTGCTCATTGCTGGTTGTATTGTATTTTGGATTCTCCGATTTTATTACGATGGATCACTTTGAATTTCTGATACTGCCATGCAATATAAGAAGAGTTATTTTTTTATTTAATCCTGTAAAATGTAAATATGGCCGCGCATGTTTTTTATGTTATAATAAACCACCCAATACTATGAGGTTGATAAGACCTAACAGTATAATGTCAATGTCTCTCAGGAGAAATGCATTTTGTAAAAGTTCTAAGAATGTTTCATAATTATAATTCATTTGGTGACATTAGAAGTGTTACACCCAGAAAATATATTTTCATCTTGATTTTTTGTCAATGAGGTAGTCTTACATCAAGAATAAAACCATAACATTCTCACGAAATTTTATTGACAATTAATCAGAAAAAAAATTGATGTGTTGGGCGGCCCCGCAGTATGTATACGTCCAGGCATCGACAAAATGAGGTGATCGATGTCTGGTTGTGGATAGTCTCCACCCCATCATATCCAACACATATTCGATGGGATTTAAATTCGGTGAACGGAGTTGGCCACGGCAAAACAACGCCTGCTTCTTGAAGAAAGTCCGTAGTACGATGAGCAATATGGGGACGTACACTGCCTTGCTGAAAAAGAACGTGCGGATGGTCCTTACGGGCCGTATCGACAGTCGTTCCTACAATTGTTGGACGCCTTTATGGCCTTGATTTTCATAGTTTTCTACTTTTCCGTGACAGCGCTCTATTTTGAGGTTATGTCGCAAATATCTATTTACATGAAATTGTTCATTCTTTTGATTTGTATCATGTTTTGTCAGCCTGGAATTTCCTAAAATTCAAAAAGAAAACATATCTTCACAATAGGAGAGCGCTGACGCTGACACGGAACAGGCGCGGTCTAGAAATTTTTGGAGAGAAAATACTTTGACAATCAAGGAGGCCATAAAGGTGTCCTACAGCAGTAAAGTGGTTTGTAGGACATCATCAACATAACGCGCAGCACACATTGCCTTGAACAAAAGGAAGCGGTGATCGGTTACCATAGGCAATAGCTCCCTTAACCATTACTCCAACAGTCCTGTGTATATGCCTCTCAACAGCAAATCCAATATCACGGCGGCGTCTTACCCTTCTACGACCATCGTGCGTACCTATACAGAATCGCGATTCGTCTCTGAAGATGACATTATGCCATTCTGCCTCCAAATGTTGCCATTCTCAGCTCCAGTTCAAACGTTGACGACAGTAGTCCGCAGTCAGAGGAAGCACTAACCGTGGGCGGTATGAAAAAAGTCCAAAGGCTCGAATGCGGCGGCAGAGTGTACGCATAGTAATACGAGGGTGGTCCCAGAAGTACCCGACCCGATGAAGAAAACAAATTTTTTGTGAATAATGTATTTATTTTTCAACTTAATCTCCTTTAGCTCTATACACTTTTCCCAGCGATGTTCAATAAGTTTGTTACCCTTTTTATAATAAGAACTGTCTTGTTCCTTAAAATAGCCATCAACTGCCATCACTTCTTCATCGTTGGAAAATCTTTGACCACTGAGCCATTTTTTCAAGTTTGGAAACAGAAAATAATCCGAGGTGGGCTAAATCTGGTGAATAGGGTGCATGAGATAGCAATTCAAACTTTAATTCATTAATTTTGGCAATTGCAATAACGGATTTGTGAGCTGGTGCATTCTCTTGATGAAACAACACTTTCTTCTTAACCAAATGCAATAAGTTCGCATAATACTCGCCGTTTATAGTTTTACCTTTTTCAAGATAATCAATGAAAATTATCCCACGCGCATCCCAAAAAACTGACGCCATAACCTTGCCTGCAGATGAAACGGTCTTCGCCTTATTTGGAGCCGGTTGTCTCTTTTGAGTCCATTGTTTTGATTTTTCTTTTGTCTCGGGTGTGAAGTGGTAGACCCATGTTTCATCCATGGTTATGAAACGACGCAAAAATTCTGCTTTTTTGCTGTGAAACTTTGCTGAACACAATTGAAACATCTTCACGACACTGTTTTTGCTCGATTGTGAGCAATCGCGGCACCCATCTTGCACACAGCTTTCTCATGTCCAAATTTTCAGATAATACGCGATGAACCGCACTTTTTGAAATGCCTACTATGTCTGCTAGCTCGCACACTTTCAGTCGACGATCATTCAGTACCGATCATTTCTGGAGTCGTCACCTCATTTGGTCGACCACTGCGATGCTCGTCTTGGCAGCTCATACGGCCTCGTTTAAACTCTCCTACCCAATATTTTACTGTTGTAAACGAAGGAGCACTCACCCAGAGTAGAATCTAGTGCAGTTTTTATATTGGTTGGGCTGAGGCCTTTGAAATAAAAGTATTGTACCACATAACGATGACCAATTTTCTCCATTTTCACAAATTCACTGAAAACGTTCAGTATTGATGGCTGCCAAACGAATACTAAACAACGTGGCGTCTTCAAACTTGACACATATGCTTTATAGGTTGCATACTTTCTAATACAATGATATTTTTCAAACAATTATCACCATCTCTAGGTCAGGCCGGGTACTTCTGGGACCACCCTCCAGGTCTGCCGTACCTTCTCCAAACCATTGGTCAGCGATCTAACGCATAGTAGAAAAACGGTCTCGTAGGGCTAGTTGTTTGTAGCGCCTATCTTGACGCTCTGTGGTACGCCTCGATGGACCAGTTGGCCTTCTTCGTGCTCCTCTACCTTCTTCTATTCACACACGCATTACCGTCATTGCAATACAATTATCACGGCGGCCAATTTTTCACGATAGGATAGGATTGGTCCTATCATCTCGATAGGCAATAAAAATATAATAATAAAAATAGTCTTCGAATTCAAGGCATTTTGTCATGCTTAACACTAGTAAATGAAAGGGCAGTAACTAAAAATATCTGTACTACTCAGTTCTCAGAAACTCGCACAAAAACTAAGAGATTTCATTTTAACAAAGCTAAAGAAAATAAAGATAAAACGTTGGCATTGTTGCCACAGCATGCTTCAAATATAGTCATTATGTTGGCAAAAAACAAGTTAAAGAAATTATTTTTTCTGGGTGTAACAATTCTAATGTCACTTAATATATGTGCAATCATAAACATGTCAAAAGGACCTTTTTAGTACTACCTTGAGAGGGTTTCGATTTCTCCATCGTATTTTTTCCCACTTATATGCTGACTTGAGTACACTATAGGCTATATGTATTTTCTGCTTGTTCCAGACATAGGCGGCCTGTGTGCAGCCTCCATATCCGTGGTCGCGTCCGTCGTTCAAGGCGCGCTGCATTGGTCCGGGCGTGCGCGCTCGAGAGCGTTCCGCCGGGCGACGCTCCAGCAGCAGCATCGGGAAGGAAACGTCGCTTTGTAGCGTCGTCGGTGGGTAGCGTCATCGCTGTGGCATGGATCCCCCGCCGGCGCCGCGAAACGAGTCGGTCATGGAGCCGGTGAACGGCATCGTGCATCCGCCGGTACACCCGCCGCCCGATCGCCCCGGCAGGGTTACCAATCAGCTGCAGTTTCTGCAGAAAACTGTACTCAAAGCGGTGTGGAAGCACAGCTATGCCTGGCCATTCCAACAGCCTGTGGACGCCAAGAAGCTTAACCTCCCGGTAAGTTCGAACTAGATATTTGACAAAAGAACGTTTTTTTTTTGCTATCTTGGATAAGTCCTAAAAACATACAAGCCTAATAATAGTTGGCCTAAACAGGATGGCACAGCCAATTTCCATGCAAACGTATTACTTGTTACTATGTGGCAATGATACTTTTTTGGGTTTGTGAAGCTCTTGTCAGTCAAAAATATATATAAATTAGGTCTACAAGATTTTGCTTTTGGGCGGTTGTAACTCAAGTATCTAATTTTCCACATACAATCCAAATTATGTGTAACACCCCAAATATTAATGGCCTAAAAATGTTTAACCTACTTCCTTTGGAAATAAAGAACTGCCACAGCCTAAAGACATTTAATAGAAAATAGCTTTTATAGTGTGAAAGAATATTGTGATATATTCCGTTATTTTTTACTATTTGACAGGTTTATTTTTTTTTAAATTTGACAATATATGATAATTCCTATAGAATCTTTTTTGTCGAGAGGAAATAAATAAACAAATCCGAGGTAAGAGAACTGTGAGATAATTGAGGCTCTAAGCTCAACCTCTTGAAGATTTTTGTTTAATCCAGACTGCACTCAGGATTAAAAATATGCTTCTTAAATGCATAATTTGATATTACTCCTAACCAATCCTCAGAATTTTTATATTGTTTTCTCGTCATAGTTTTTTGCTAAATTTGATGCGTTCTCTTAAATCTGCAACCTTGGATAAAGAGAATAGTATCTACAGAAGTATATATGTGTTCCTGAAAAAAATTATACATGCAGGATGTTCTGCAGTTTGGACTTTCCTTTTTAGAATCAGTAAACAAAGCGAAAAAAGCCTGCTGTTTATTGGATAAGGAATTTCATGTTGCTTATAAATCGTGTTAGGTGTTGCTGTTCGAGAATACAAGTTTGTGCCTTCTTCCTCAACTTGTAACATCCGGGGTTGTTTAGGTTTTCTAGTTTGCCCATCTGAATGTTTCTGCAAACATTAAGTCGATATGGGATGGAAACGTTAAGGAAAAAGATCTGAATACACTCGCAATAGATCAGCGTCTTGTAGACCCAGTAAACATACATCAAATCATGTGTCATTTTTCCAATTCCGATTTTTCAGCAGTATCTTTTCACCTGAATCTTTGATGGAGGCAGTGCTGCATTTGATATTGCAGACTTTTTCGGAACCTAATATCTCGGATATCTTGCAACTTTGATGTCTGCATTACTAGGAGAATTTCGATATTTTTACAAAAACTGTATGTTGTATTCTCAACATTCCTAATTTTTCTCTACCAGATTTCAGATGATGATAATCTATACAGAAATCAAAGCATGTTGATTACCTATCAATACGAGCTTTTTAACACTGATTTTCCCTATATACTTCAGTCACTAATCTTTACTTAAACCACACATACCAAATCAGTGTTTCTCTTTGCCTCATAGGATTACCACAGAATCATCAAACAACCCATGGATCTTGGAACCATAAAGAAACGGCTAGACAACAACTATTACTGGTCAGGCAAAGAATGCATTCAAGACTTCAACACTATGTTCACAAACTGTTACGTGTACAATAAACCCGGCGAGGATGTTGTTGTTATGGCTCAGACGTTGGAAAAGGTAAGATTGTGTTTTTATTCACAACTTTCAGATTTATACAATTTATTGATTATTGCATTCAAATGGAGTGCGCATGTGTTTGAGAGTCACTTTATATTCTACATTACCGCAAGTATCGAGCAGATAATTCATTCTCATGAGAAAAATCACATTACAGCAATTCAGCATCATTTTAATCTTTTTATTATATATTATCTTTTTTGTCGCATTGTCTGAGTTTGCATATTTACGTCCATTTGCAGCTCTGAAACTTGTAGGAATTATTTAACATTCAAGTGTAAGCAGATCTAACATTGGTCACTTACTAAATGCGACTTCAATTTCCCACTTTGTTTACTGCCATTCGTTGATAGATTTGCAATTGTGTATCGTTTTTCAAAACTGGATTGTTTGCTTTTCCGCTTCTCTTGCAACTCATGCGCGTCAATAATTTAAAATTATTTGCATCAAAAGAACAGTATTGCTTCAGATATTCAACTATTTTTTTGCAGGTGTTTCTGACAAAAGTGGCAGAGATGCCAAAAGAAGAATATGTCGTGGATGCAACACCAAAAGGTACTAAAGGAAAGAAAGGTCGTGTGTCAGGCGGCGCCACTACTCCGACCACTGGAGGAAGGGGTAGACCGCCAGCGGCAGTTTCTTCTACTGTTTCGACGCCTGTTGCCACCACAACAGGTAAAAAATATTTATTATCTTCATAATTATACATGTACATTCAAAAACAGCACATTATTGCTATGGTAGAATGTACACACAAAAAGAGAGAATATTCCTAAATGCATGCGTCCCGAAATGTACCATTCAGATTGTAAATTTCCACGCCACTGATGGTACTGATTGGGGTTATAAAATTAATATGCTTCAAATAACATTGTAGTGAGGTAGCACCGTTTCTTCAATAGAATTTCAGTTTCTGTTGTTACACTTCTCTATCAATTTAGTTTCTTTTTTTTATCAAATCAAATACCTTATTCAAAAATGCAACAGATGTTTCAAAAGGCGGTGGGGTAGAACATTTTTTTCTTATGTAGGGTCAAAATAGCTCAGTTTTTACGCCACTGGTATTAGTTATGCTGTAGTCAATACTTTCAGTGTTACCAAATGTTAGATAATTGAAGGGGGACAATTTCCAAGTACATAATTCAAAATAACGACGAAATATAAAATTAATTTGTCTCCTGGTGGACTCTTTATTTTTCCACAAAACTTGAGGTGTACAACTTTCCAAGATGGAACGGAACACACCATATCATTAAAATGAGGAATTTCTGGGCCCATTTTTGAGAATATAAATTCTTCCTGTATGTTGAAGTATTACCATTATTCATTTATCTATGGTGGGATCGGTAACAGGGTAGTTATGTTTTAATCAAAATGTTCAAAACAATGAAGGTGTTTAAAACTACTGTTTTTTGTCGTTTGTGAGTGAATCAAGGAACTTCATTAACGTTGCTAGATTATATAGGCAATAGTTTTTTAATTTACTTACCGTTTTAAACATGTTTTTTTTTCAGCTAAATTTGAATGTTTTAAACAAAAAAGAATGATTTTTGTTTAAAAAAAATGTTTTTTTTAACCCTGATCGGTAACCTCATACTAAAATGATTTCAATACTTCATATCTCACTTCCGAGATCAATTTCGCGATTTCACTTCCCACCAATTGACGAATATGTATTGTAATAGCGAAAAATGTAAAAAAAAAATTTTTTTTGATGTTAACATGGCATACAGTAAGGACGAAATAGCTTCATAGGTAGCTCCAAAGAAATCGGACTGCCATGTACGGACACGTCCTTAGCAGCAATCTGAGAAACTTTTTTTATGAAAATTAAAGTTGGAACGAAACTAAGAAAGACAAAAGTCCCCAACACAATTTAAAAACCATAACCCCAAATTATACGGCACCCATAACAATCTGCGCATGTTAGAAACTCCGCGTCCCTCCAGAATCTTGCCAGCTGTTTTGACTGACCGAAAACAGTTTTCAAATCATAAATTGGTTTACTGAAATAGGATCGATAATCCCCAACTTGGTTTTACCCTTGCTTGAACATATTTTAATGCATGTATATTTGATAGAACACAGAATGATGATACCTGTACTCAGAACTCAACCATGTTGATATTCAACAATTACAAATCGAGCTTTTTAACTCTGACACAACTATTCTCCTACACCTCCTACCCCCCACCATCAATTCCACTTCTGAGCCGCGCATCTTGATTTCAGGTTCCTCAGGCCTACCGTTGGGCACGCAAGCTCCGTCCGCCGTGCCTGGCAGCACCGCGACGACGACGATAGCGCCTGCGCAGAACAACAGCCAGCTGGGTGGGGGCGGTGCGGCCGGCTACGGAGCCATCGGGAATTCGCTGGACGGAGGCGGTGCTGCTGTGGCGGCCGCCGCCGCTGCGATGGCCGGCGTCGTGCCGCCCGCACAGCCGGCCAAGGTCAAGAAAGGTGAGTTTCTCTTGTTATTTTACCAACCTCGTTGTTTAGTATTTCTTTGAGTGGATGGCTTTGAATTTTTATAACAGGTTTTACGATGGATAAAAAATAGAGTGACGCTGCTTATTTACGACAAAGAATTTCTCCATTGCAAATTACAATGCTGTGTTTTTTTTTGTTTCAGCATACTTGCCGTTTTTTATAATTCGTTTTTTGAAGATTTATTTAGCATTAATGCTACAATGTCAGTTTTGTAGTTATTCGTTTACAGATTTTTTGAATAAATTTTCTGCAATTTTACATTCTTTTCTATTAAAATTACATCACTGTGTACAAAGGGTAGTATAAAAGTTTTGCAACACACGGACGCAGGAGGCTGCATGTTGAGACATGTCCATGGGTGCATAGTAGCCGATAGCACGTCTGTTAATTTAGTTGTTCATTCGTATTGACAGTGTGGACTATGGCATCGTGGGTACGTAGTGAGATAAATGCATTTTCACGGTATAAATTTACTCGTGCTTTAAGCATAGACCAGTGCTTAGAAGAAATGATGCATCAAAGAATGATTTTCCTCATCGTACGACTATATTCAGGTGATACAGAGAATTCCAAAGAGGCAATTGCACTCTGGAGGACGCTGAGAGGGTAGGAAGGCCGCGCAAACATTACTGCTGTAAGGAAAACGCTTGACGAAGACTGAAGAGTGACATGCCAGCAGATAGAGGAGACCTAACACCTTCTTGCAGCAGCAATTCATTCAATTCTGCATGACCATTTACGCGTAAGGAAACTTTGTTCTCTCTGGGTACCGCATAGTCTGACGGAAGATCAGAAGACCCGTCGTACGACTTGGTGCCGAAAGATGCTAAAAATGTTTGATAACGGGCAATCTCGGTATGTGAACAGCATTGTGACAGTTGACGAGACTTGGCTCTATTATTACGATGTACCGACCAAGGCTCAAAACAAAGTTTGAGTCTTTGATGATGAGGACACACCCGTAGCTGTCGGAAAATCTCGATCTGTTAAGAAAAAAATGATAGCTGTACTTTTTAAATCGAGCGTGTCGTTTTGGACACACAGAAGACAGTCACAGCTAAATGGTACATGGAACAGTACCTTCCTAAAGTCATAGAGTTTATGAAAAACCTGCAGCCAGAGTCAAGAATGAACATTTGGTACGTCCACCTTACTATTTAACTTATTGAGCACCCTCCTTACAGTCGAAATCTCGCTCCCTGCGGCTTTGCACTGTTTCCGCATGTGAAAATGAAGCTAAAAGGAAAACAGTTTTTTGGTGATGATTACCTTCTCAAACTTGGCAGAGCTGGTTTAAGGACTGGTTTTGGTGGATGGAGACGTGTATTGAATATGGTGAAAATTACTTTGAACGAAGTCAATAAATAAAGCTGTATTGCAAAACTTTTCTGGTACCCTTTGTATTTTGGGTATTTATAAAGTGACATTTCAAAATTCGAACACTTTGATTAAATTATATAATAAAAAAAATACGTTAATGTTGGCCATACGTTAGGCAAATATCTATTTTGTTGTACTACCCTGCTTGTTAATTTATTCAATATTGTTTAACGTATCCTACCGTAAGATTGCCAATCTAATAATGTGTCCGCGCGTCCGAAAAATATATTCGATAGCAAATGACATACTGTAGATCCATCAATGAGAATTTGTCACATCTGTTTCCCTATTTACTATATATAATTTGAAAGTTATTTTATATATATAGGTTGTAGAATTTTAACCCGTGGTAGTAAACACTATTTTTAATTTTGGAAACGCGATGACGATTTGGACACAAATACAAATGTTCCTTGTTTCTGGTGTTGTAATTATGAGCATCTTTATGAGTTGTATAATTGTGACAGTGCGTTTTAACATGAATGAGGCAAGCATAGATGTATACACAAGGCAATTTAATGAAGTCATTCCTGCAAGGATCCCTGTACCTCAAATTTGACATGTATTTTAACACATCTTCTCTGTTGGCCAAAAACTCCAGGCATGTGTGGAGGAATGATCCCATGCCAGAATGGCGTAAGTCATTCTATTGTGAAAGTATCCATGATAACTGGTGAGCAGTGTTTCCATACACACAGATCTTGTCAAATATTTTGTAGCATAATTTATTAGCTCGTCCCAACCCAAAGAAGAGTCAACGTACACCCCGAGAAACTTGCTGTTCTTGCGTTGTCAACATTTGTGCCAAAATTCCGTAGAGAAATACTCTTTGTCTGAGTTTTTTCATTTTGCGGTCAGCCCATTAACAACAAACCAGTTTTGAATGTCCCCCTGCATGCTGATGATTCATTTCCAGCTTTGACAGTTCGCAACACCAATCAACATTCTATCAAATCTGACAATGAAGTTAAAACTGCTGTCAAAATGACAAAGCTATTCCATGGCTGCTCCTCTCCATCATAAAAGCGCTGGACCGCTTTACGTTGGCTGAATGTTCCCAGTGACGAATTTTTTGTAATTCGGATCAAATTTAAATTGTTCACTTGTTACTGTCATAACATTTTTTTCCCTTTGTTGCAGGCGTGAAAAGAAAGGCCGACACGACAACGCCGACAGCAACAGCGTACGACTACCACCCGCCCTCGTCGGCGGAATCCGCAGCGAAATCGGCGAAGATCTCGACGCGTCGCGAATCGGGCCGACAGACGAAAAAACCGTCGAGGGTGAGCGCTGGGGCGGCGTCTGGAGGCGGCGCGGGGGCGGCCGGCGCCGATCCGTACGACGGTCCAGCTGCAGCCGGAGGCGCGGGGGCGGCGGGACACGGCCATCACCACAGACAGAAGGAGAAGCTCAGCGAACCTCTCAAAGCGTGTAACGAGATACTGATGGAGTTGTTTAGCAAGAAGCATTCAGTGAGTTGAAAGTAGCTTAGTAGTATTTCGACAATTAGTTATAAAAAATATCTAACAGATCAAGTAACATTGAAATTCTACAGGGTTCAATTTTTCATTCCCGCATCTACCGATGAGGACATATTGTGATCGGGAAAAATTGTGAAAATGATGGATGTTATATGACCTACGAGGTCTGTAAATTAAGTGGTGAATCTGATTTTTTTAATTTTTTCACTAAAATAAAATACAATTTTATATTGTCACGCTCAAAATCTCATAATTCTGAAGCCACACAGCACTGAAGACGGTTCTTAAACCACTCATAGCAGTGCTGGAACTCTGATACTGGAATAGCATTCAGCTGGTCGGTTATTGCCGTTTGCATGTTTTCGTCTGTCTCAAAATGAGTTTCCTTGAGGTGGATTTTCAACTTCGGGAACAGAAAAATGTCACAAGGACTCCGAGTCAAGCGAATAAGGAGGCTGAGGAGGCACAGAAATGTTTTTACTCTGGCCAAAAACTCGTTTAATGACATTGCTGTGTGACAAGGAGCATTATCTTCATATAAAATCCAGTTCGTGGTCTTATCAATGGTGGTGTGAGTGAAATTTAACTCTTCCTCGATCAGTCTGACTGTTAACTGACGATTTGAACGCACAAGATCCAGGATTATGTCGATATTTTCATAGGCCTTCCGCTTTCGACAAAATGCTATCCCCGTAGGCCTGCTGGAATTTTGCAAGAGTTTTCGTTGCCGTGTGCCCAAGTCTGAAGCACAACCTGATAGCACACTGTTGCTCAAAATTGACGTCACTCATTTTTAGAACAGAAAAAAAACTGTCACCAAAAAAATCTACGGATAACCAAATGACTCGAGCGAGTTCAAACTTGTACTGACCGCCAATCACATGTTCCTCTGTCTCCTCTCCAAGCCCGGCGCTTTTAGTGTTGCCAGATCGAACGCTACGTTGCCAGTCCCGTCGCTTAATCCACAGTATCTGTCTGTTGGTCTGTCTGTCTGTTCGCTAATCCTTGGTCTATCTATAATTTGGAAATTATCGCTCAGATTTGGATGACATTTTTACAAAAGACGCGGACAAGGACGAAAAAGCTTTGTATTTTCTGAAAAGCGGTCCAGTGGAGGTGAAGAAAAAGGACAAAAACGAAAAAAAAAATCGCTCAAACTTGGTTTTTGAACGTTTCAGACTCCTGATCATTTTCGGAAAAACAATTGTACGGGTTAAACAATGGGAGGGGAAGGTCATATCTCGATTTTTCGACGTTTGTATATTTTTTATACGCTTCCAACCCCAGTAATTCTACTTACCTATTAGACATATTTCACTCATCATAAATGTTCTCGCATTATCCTAGAATCCGGTCCGGCTGATGGTCGCAGTCGGCAGTCGCTTCCGTGTTGCTGTGAGCTGTATACTGTAAATGTAAAAGTCAATATCGTCATCCGCGCAGAATTAGTCATAGCAACAACTATACGCGCCCGCAGCAATTTCTCTCACGGGGAGGAGGAAGGTCATTTAATTCTTTGTTATACATGTTCGTAGCTAACTTTTATGTCAGAAGGGCTAACTTGTGCCGAACATAATCGTTTACGAACTTGTGACAGCGTTGCGTGGGAAGTACCAGATACTTGATGCCATTTTTTTACTTAACTTGCTGGTTTTGTAAATATGACCAAAACTGCTGTCTCGTTCTTATCATAGCAGCCACGGCGCGGTTACTATGGCTGTGGCAGCAACCATTGTCCAATTTATGAATCGCAAATTACATAATATGCAGATGAACAACAGAGAGATCTCCCAGAAAAATGAAAAGCGATTAGATCACAAAAGAGCCAAATAACTAAAAGGTTAGCACACTGCTGGTTCTTCCACCACAGCTTGATCATGTGGCAGTTATTTTCTATCATTCTCCAAATAGTTGATGTTGAATGCATGTTATGTCCATTTTTCAATTGTTGCTGAGGTAAATAATGTATGGCCTTCTGAAGTGGATGACGTATCCTCATGAATATTTATAAAATGTCACTGACGATGATGTCGAACGATGAACATATTAATCTGCTGCCCTTGGCCAAAATGTTTCGTTTTTGCATCCAATTCCATCAAATCAAAACTTCTTTTCTGATACCAGAAAAAACATATGACTATCAACTTTTTTCAGGCGGAAGTTCCAGAGTTTCTTGCAAATTTTCTTGTTAATATCTCTTGTGTGTTCTTAACAGTAAGCTTTTTGGATCAACTATTTGTTCAAATATGAACAATATCGTATTTTGTTAGTTTTGGACAAGTCAGCCTAAGGCATCATCTCTTTGGAATAAATTACGCCAGAACCGTACTATTTTCGTAGCTTAATCACGTGACTGTATTAGCTCTGGTAATTGACGGAAATTGATCCAGAATTTATGAAACTGACACTGTTACTCAGAATGAATGTTATGTTTTCCGCGCGTGGGTATTTATGTGTGGACAAAAAAATCTGTTACGCGTATTGAAATTTCATAGAATCAAACAGTTCTAACGCAAATTTCAACTTCAACGGAAGTGTTCACGGTCCCGTCCGATTCAAAATTTCTGTTCCACGGGATACAGCCCAAATATCTTTCTAGATTTGGACATTTGATAGCACAAGCAAAGCTTCATCCTTTTCCGTCAAAGCAGTCGCTTTTATCAAAAAGTATTTGTTATATTTTGTAACCAAGTGGTGGTTTATTCTGTTATTGCAGAGTTACGCGTGGCCGTTCTATCAGCCGGTAGATGCTGATCTTCTGGGCCTGCACGACTATCACGACATCATCAAACACCCTATGGACTTTGGTACAGTGAAACAAAAGATGGAAAGCCGCGAGTACAGGACGCCCCAGGAGTTTGCCTCCGATGTCCGGCTCATCTTCACCAACTGCTACAAGTACAACCCGTCCGACCATGACGTTGTCGCGATGGCCAGAAAGCTGCAGGACGTGTTTGAAGTCAAGTAAGTTGCATTATCGTACATCTGACGATAACAGGTCATCGCACAACCCTGTCCAATTCATCAGCTTTCGAGTATCAAGGGCACAATGCACGATTCGTGTTGATTGTTCTCAATAAGCAAGAAATGGCACCATAAACGGTTGCGGTTGCTTCTTAAGACATAGTATTGAATAAAAATTACATTCTTGATGCTACATGACACACCGAAAGACTTGTTAGCTGGACTGGATAAAAAGATTATCACGTATGCAAACCATTTATATTTTTTTTTTTTTAGTTCTTTGTTCACTTGTTCTGTTTCCAGGTTTGCTAAGATTCCTGATGAGCCAATGAATAGGATAAGCGGTAGCACAGCAATGGTTAAGTCTGAGTCGAGTACTTCAGGGTCCAGTTCAGAAACTTCCAGTGATACAGAAGATTCTGAAGAAGAAAGAAGGAATAAGCAGTTGAAGATGTTGGAGAAAGAGGTGAGTTAACAATTTTCCACAATAGTTCAATAAGTCACATCATCACAACAGGCAACAGCTGATACAGTAGCGGACAAAACTGTCTAAACATTCTTAAATGGGGGTAATTTGCGCTTTTACGTATCAAACAAGATGTCCTTAGAAAGTTTTGAAATTCACAGTACTTCCGGTGAAGGTCAGACAAAACCGAATTCTCCCAAAATCGCTTTAATTTTTCCTAACTTTTTTCGTAGTGGGATTTCAAAATAAATCGCCACTTTTTCTCCTCTTCAAGATGCCATAATAGAATTTCAATATGACGTTTCGTCTCTTGTCCTCCAGCATCAACTTTATTTTTTTCTTATGAACGCCATATTGCAGCTTTACTAGCATCAACAGCACAAAACTAACATAACGGGATGTATAACGAAAGTTTGAATAGTTTATTTTACACATAAACTTTTTCCCTTGGTGTTAAAGATATTTCTCATTACACATCACATGTTTGGGTAGTTTTGTCAATGAAGTGAGACAGGCCAAACAGAGATGAGGCTCATTTCCGAGTCCAAAAAGGACAGTTGACAGTTGAACTTTCTCGGGTTTTTGAGATTTTTGCACAATGTTACTACTATGACGTGGACGAAAAGGCTTCGTAGTTTTTGAAAATCGATCTAGTGGCGGCGGAACAAAACCCAAAAAAGAAAAAAAAAAGATAAAAAACACTGAGGACTTGTTCACTTTTGAGAAAACCTTTAGGGGTAACAAATTGGGAGGTGGCAGGTTGGGGGTGGGGGTATCGCTATTTTTTGCAGATAAGAAATGTTTTTTACAATTCAGAAACCTGCTTTTTTCTTATTTTTTTTAAGCTGTTTAATGAATAGGCCGAACTAGGTGAATAAACTTTAAAAATAAGAGTATTGCATCTTTTCCCCTTTGTATGTTTTAATGTGGTGTATAGAGGAGAAAAACTGAATATTCGCATTCGTGAATATTGGCTATAGATTTCGCATTCATGAATGCTTGAAAATTGACATCTGTTACATCACTAGAAAGCTGTACTTTCCTTTGGAGGAGAGTGTTGAAGAACTAATAAAAGATAATGACGAAAAACCCTTCTTGTGATACAAATTATCACTATCAGCAATACAAGTGTTATAAAAAACTGAATATACGTTTACATTCGTTAAGAATCATCGTGTAAAATCTGAAGAATCATATGAATATTGTATACTTTCTGCTTCATGGAAACTATAAATTTCATGACAGATTGACGAATATCCAGCGTTGTAGTATCTTGTATGTTGCTGACGAGCCCTTTTCTTTCTTTTCAGCTGCACGCCATGCAAGAAAAAATGCGCAAACTTGTAGATGAATCGTCGCGTCGAAAGAAAGAGAAAAAGAAGACGAAGGTAAAACCGAAAAAATCCACAGGCGGCGCCGCGGTATCAGCAGCAGCGTTGCCAAACAGCAGCAGCGCTGGTCTGGGTAAGCCGTCCGCCCATCACAAGGCCAATTCCAGCCTGTTGGCGGACAGCGTGGAGGAAGGCGCCGGAGGCGGCCATGGCGGGGGCGCCGGTGTTGGTGCAGCAGGTGCCGCCGCCGCGGACGGCAAAGGGCAAGGCCTGCACCATACCATGGCCGCCGGCGCTAACGCCTCCGCGCAAGCCAAGACGCCTAAGAGCAAGGGTGAGTGGGTCAAACTATTCTATATCCCTCGTGGCGGTTGATTATTGATGACTCATGGTAATTTGGTACAAAAGGTTGGCTGACTGGTCAACAGTGATGTTCAGGTTCAAGGTTATGTTATCTTTTGCGTCGACTGATGTGACGCCATACGCTGGACAGCAGTTAACAAGAGTGCTCTTTATTTTGCTGCTTCGTTATGATCTTCGTTATTCCGTGTTAACACAGTAGCGGGACAATGCTTTGCTATCTGTTATCAAAATAAGAAGTTCATTCATCATCTCATGACAACAAGCTTCTGGATGGTCTCGAATTTTCCTTCAAAAAAGAATTGTGCTTTTAATTTTCGACCTAGGAACTATTGAGTTATGTCGCATTACATTTATTGAGAATCATTTATTAACAGTTATGGGAATATATCGTTTTAAACTTCTTGTATACATTAAGCAAATTTTAGCAACTTACAAAAGGCATTGAGATATTCATGGCCATCATTCTAGAAGTAGAATAAACCTTTATGTTGACAATTTTTCTCATGTGTTATTCAAAAAGTCCTTCAGGAATACTGAAATTCACTACTTTAGCTTATTACCAGGTCCACTTAAACAAGATTTATTGCTATTTAAGAGAAACTTGAAAAGTATTCTAGTCAAGAAATGCTTTTATAGCCTCTCAGATGTAAATATTATATGTATTTTCATAAATATCTTACCCTCATATGTTTTTCTTAACATTTTATTGTCTTTGTCCATGTTTCATTTATTCTGCCCCATTTCTGTTCAAATGTTATTATCGTGTTATTTGTATGTGTTGGAGGAACACTATTTAACCTGCCAAAGTGTACTCGACGAAGCTGATATGTATCATTACATCATATGGGTAATAAATCTAATCTATTCTATTTGGTTAGTTACAGAGAATAAGGCTGAGCTTATTTTGCAAAGCTACTTTTTCCTTATAAAGTGCTGTTACCGGAATTCGTAAAGCTGGGAAAGCTTAAATAAAATAATACCACGTTATGAAAACAGATTGGTTAAAATCTAATAGTCATATGTGTGATTTTCAAAAAGCTCCATAATTTTTGAACGGTAAAGGATCATCTAGGATCTGTGGAGCCCATAAACAAAAGTTTTAACGTCATTACTTTGGAAGCATACATTTTATCTACTCTGGGGCCTCCTTGAGTCTCATGGCCCTACGCACAGTGCGTCATCTTAGATCCGCCTCTGTTTATAACCCCGGAATATAGAATCACCAACATTGAAATTGACTGACAGGCTATCAAAGTTGCGATCTAATGTACAAAATCGCGAAACAACCAATCAAGAACGCTATAGTATGTTATATCAATCTTCTTCTCTTGGAAGGGCCTATCTGAATATGTATAGATTTATGAAAAAATCCATTTAGAAAAATTGTCAAATTCTAGGCAGTGTTCTGAATGAATTAATTCGTCCTGATTCTGTTATATACGCAATGTCACAAAGCACCTTTTTTTATTCTAGACCTGTTCAGTTTTGTGGTCACTTGCCATTCTGTGGTTCTATAATTCCGAACCTATTCATTTCTTGACTGGTTTGAAGCATTCATAACACAAACGTTACCAAAAATGTTCCATGGTAAAAATTTAGTGGTCATACTCTTGTTTTATCGATTTTGAAAATATAATAACGGACGGCTTAACTATTCGTTATTATTGTTGCACTACTAATTTTGCCAACAGGGTATTGGATTAAGTGGCAGGCGGCACAGACGACAATTTTATTTTGAAGTTTTTAAGGAAAACGCAGTGTATGCCTGTTTTTTCGCTCGTGTATTAACAACCATGCTACATGCTATTGGATGCTGAACGCGTGATGAGTTAAGGGTGGCAGATGTGGATAGCTTCATAGTTCCATTGAAATAAAGCATCTAAAATGAAGTGACAAAGATGTCAAACTCTGAAGTGGCAGTAAACGCGGATTTGCACTACAGTAGTGCCATTTACATGTTAGAACGACCTTAACGCGACGCTAAAAGTGTGGAGTTTCCGTGTAGCATGTCCCTAAGATTAGAATTACGAGACTGACATTAGGTTTCGTATGTAAAAAAATATTGTTGATAACAGCTTTCTGGGTTCTAGCACTCACTATCTCAATCATACCTTTGAGACAAAGATCAGTCAGCTATAATAAGATACCAAAATGACCAGCATTGAAATTGTTTATATCTGAAAAACGAATTATTACACAATAGGGTTATTTCCTTAAATCGAAGGTGTATCCATAAGAGAACTTAGACTTTTTAAAGCTTCGATACATAAATATTGTAAAATAAACAGTGATATAACTAGATGATAATATTTTCTATTTCTGGTTTTCAAATCAGGATGTAACCCTATGGTGAAAAGAAATTGACGCTAGCCCCTAACATTTCTTATGTTTTCTCTTTTGGCATGTTGTATTTCAGTCAATGGAATATACACTTTTATCTATAATTCTTTTTGTTACTTTTATTTTGCACTGGAAAGTATCATAGCTTTTTTTATATTTTTTTTCCTAGGGGTTCTTCAATTTGTTATTTGTAGTACTATTTATTGTATTTGAAAACTTTTCCCCAAGTAGATATATTTGCATGAACATAATGTTCTCTTAAATTGAAATGAACGACTTTTTCAATTTAAGTGATTGAATGAGTTGCTCATTTTGTTATTGGGAACTGTGGTATTGGTTTTGGATGAATAGTTTGACTTCTCTTGCCCTTATCTTAGTGCATTATATATAGATTAACTGCTTAGTTATTTTTCTTATGCCCGCTTTCATCAATCAAACCAGGTTTGGTCTTAGGATGGCTATAAGGTTAAACTTTTACACCACAAGTATGCATGAACACGATATCCCTACTTAAAAAAATCGATGCATTGTTAAATTTTTAATAAGTATTTAAAGTAATGCTATGAATTACTGTACTAAAAAGTGTGTAAGATGTTAACAGTTTACCTTGGCAGATGAACATTCAGTTTTCAGACCTCACAGATATGTTACTGTGAGAATGTTTCTAACAGATGATTTCGAAATTTGTTAAACTTGTAGATTGATATAAATGCTGATATATATTTGATTATGGAAGCGGGCTTTGAAGAGATATAGAGGAACCCCGCATTCAAATTTCGTAATTTTAAGATGTCTGTTTTGGCTTTTTATTTTACTCAATTTGCATGCTAACATGATACAAATAAATGTTTGATTGCAAATTGTGTGTACAATTCCATGGAATGTTTCATTTTAGGATAATTTGAATTTGCTAGGATCCTCATTTTCTCAGTTTCTTTTGTATTTATTTTGTAGATAATATGTACCTTGAATATTATTAATGTTTTAACATACATTTACTTTAAAAAATGGTGAATTTGGCTTTTTTCGTGTTTACTAAGAATCAGACTTTGAAATATCAGTTAAATGAACTAACCATAGACCCAAAATTAGTTATATATTTTACATTATTTGTATAAAGATGGGTTTTTAGATTTTTGTAATGTTGATCAGTTTATCTTCAAAAGAAAGATTGCCATTTCTACATTCAAATAAGGCATACTGTCAATATTGTGGTGACAAAAAAATAAAACTGTTGTTCCATTCCCTATTCTTTGGAAAATACATATATCAAACACTTTGTTTATAGCTTCACCAACCTCAAACTGTAATTTGTCACCACCATGAATAAACGTCGCGACCATGGCAGCATTGATTCTATGGCCGTGGCTCCTAGGTAGTAACTATTTTGAATGGTGTCTTGTGTAACTTCAAATCTAAAGAGACAATAGTTTTAGTTGATTAGCACGATTTTTAATGCCTGCCCAAGTAATACTACAAGTAAAAGTAAATGATTATATCAGATATTCTAATGACGGTTGTGAGGTGGTATGCTTGACCAAATCCAAGAAATGCACGCACAAACCCAATTCACAAAAACATTACGCTCACCATAAACTCTTTGTCTTCACCTACGCATGTGCGGCTTGATGTTTTTTCGCCAAGGCGCACATGTCAATGAGACCATTCACAAATCTTGACATCCCCTATCAGAGGGATTACCCAAAATAATCTCTCTAACCCTTCGTTGTATGACTCGGCAGGCTATGCAGTCGAAATTTGCTAAGCCGCACCTCGCACTTTGATTAAAATCAATTGTACAATTGTAAAAGTACTTACTATCCAAAATTATGTCTTTACAGACCCGATCAGAATTATTTTTAGAATAACAAAATTATTCGAGTAATCAAACCAATAATGTATAAGCTTTTCCCACATCAATTGATTCGCTTCTTTTCTTTGTTCTTTTCTTTTTTCCCTTTACCCCATGAACTTATCTGGTATCTGGGTAACCAGACCTGACAGACCAATACCCGTTTTACATTGACAATAAATCCATGGATTTCTTTATGAATTGAGTTCATGGCCAAATTTCAAAAGAGTAAAACGAATTGGACGTCAAATAAATCCGTGAAGTTCTTCTCAATTTTTTGATGTTGGCATATTTATACGCCTCCAATCCCATAATTTCTACGCGCATATTAGGCATATTTCACTCATCATAGATGTTCATGAGATTCGCCACAAAATCAAAACTACTATACATATAAAAACTAAATGTTTCTAGCGCATTTCAGACATTTTGTTGTGTGGTTGCAACCATTGTCTACTGACAGATAATTAATGGATTTGATGACCTTGAAGGAATTCATCTGAATTAATTGGTGAAGAATTTGTTCATGTAAAACGGGTATTACAGACCGACGCGACGTTGAACTAAGAGCAAAGTTCGACGACTAGTAGTACTGTTTGACATACGGTATTCAAATATAATAAAATCTACTGATTTCCTAATCAGTTAGAAAATGAGCCATGGTAGTGATAGAAAAATGTTGCCATTTTCAGATCATTAGACAGCAGCGGAGGCCGCATTAGTAGACTCTTCGGTCTCCTGATCAGTCACCGTGCGCTGTGCGGCTTCGAATCCCGTCCCAACAGAATTTTTTCTCTTGGCTATGGATGTTGTGATTGCCCGTAGGTCTCTGACTGTCTAACGCAGAGGTACCACCCGGCGGATCTCGTAGGCGGGGCCCGAATGTGTGCATGTTGCATGCACACGTGTTCCCTCGCCAGAGCCCGTGTGGCGTTCCCCCTTTCCCCTGTATCCCCCTATAACCCCACGGTACCCCATGGGAGTTTAGACCTTAGGCCTTCGTGGTGGTTGGAATATAAAAAAAAAATGTATTAATCAACAAAACAGCACATTTCGAAAATAAGTCTTCGTTAACATCCGATAAATCAATAAAGCGTGAAATCGTACCTAAAAATGAAATACTTTAGCATAGTTAATAAGACAAATCTCACAAGCCATGCCGCGCGAATTTCCTTGACATTCGATATATTTTATGAACAAAGTCATATCGTAACATTTTTATATTTTTTAAAGGATAGAGCGATATCTTTTATATTACATATCTTTAGAAGTAAATTACAAATTAGGATTTTACTTGCCTGAATAAGTTTTTCTGCATTGTGCATGTTGCTTCATGAAATATTAACATACCACGAGTAATTTTTCTTCAACCAAATCAACATAAATTCTTCCTCACAAGAGGACAATTGTCGGCACATTTCCTTTTTGTTTCCAGGCCTGCGCGGAGCAAAACCAGCCGCTGCGGCAGCAGGCGCGCCGGCAAAGCGCAGCAAGGCGAACAACAGTGGCGCCGGAGCGAATGCGACGGCGGGCGGTGCTGGGGGCGGCGCGGGCGGTGCCGGCAAGGGCGGCGGCAGGAAAAAGGCCGCCCACCATCCGCCGCCACCCGTACAAGCAGCACAGTTCGACTCGGAGGACGAGGACAACGCCAAACCGATGTCTTACGACGAGAAACGGCAGCTGTCGCTAGATATCAACAAACTCCCAGGTGAGGGCGTAGTGTTCCATTTTCATTTTCTTTCGTTAAAGGCGGATATATTATAGATTTGTTTGACTTCATTAAGAAGCATTCACTAAAGTAAATCTTGGTCGAGTGTTTTCAGGAGCGTTTAGCGAATTATTATTACTGCGTTTTGAGGTTACAAAATATACACTTAACAATCCAGCAGAAGTAATGGCGAATGAATATGTCTGTGTAAACTGTTATCAAAATTTACTGCAAATGTGTCGTTCTGACAGGAGACGGCGACGTGCGACCGAGACCGCACTTGTCCAGTGCCCAGGATTTCTGTAACTGTCATTCGGAAATATTTACATTCGAACTTCAGAATGTGCATAATAAACCTTTAGGTCTGTTTTACCTGCAGTATTGATGGAATTGCATTGTTTTATACCCATATACCAGGTGTTTTAAATTGCCTATCTAGGTAACAAAATACCATTTAGAAAGTATCGTGAAGTTCAAAGTACTTCCAGAGAGAGACAAAAAAAAAAACAAATTTTCCCAAAATCTTTTTTTCTCTGACTTTATTTGTATATTACATATTAACATTGCCACTTTTTCTCCTCTACAAAATGGCATAATCAGAATTTTAATATGACGTGTTGTCTCTTGTCCTCCAGGGCGCCATATTGGGTTTTTCTATCGATGAATAGTTTTCAATTCTGATTCCAGAAATGTATAAGATGCCATACATTGACATTGCCAAACCTTATTTATTAAAAAAATACAAATTTCCTAGGCAGCACTTGCAATTATCAGATAATCATTTGTTTCATGTATGTACCAGATTTTTGGCCAGGACATTCTTATTTTTTCCTGACATTATTTGAGATGGTATTTCAAAATAAATGTTTGCTTTTTCTCCTATACAAGATGGCACAGCCAAATTTTCAATTCGAACTAACTTCTTTAGACTTCAGTTCTAAATTCGGTGATGTATTCCCTTGGTTAGCCATGAATTTTTGTTCGAACGAAAAATATATGAGATAAAAAGGGATGTTCAATTTATGCACAGGAAACATATGACAGTTTTGAAGACATCAAATTGAACATAGTAACAGAGCTTGGAAGACTGATAAGAGAAATAAACCGAGCACAGAGCAATGAACTTAGAAAAGTTTATGATTATTACTATTACCATCGATAAAGTTTTCATTCCAGCAACAAATTCATGGCCAACTAAGGAAATACATAGCTGAATGTAGGACTGAAAAATCCATTTAAATTTACAATATTCATATAGTGTCCATATGAAAAAAAAAATTGGTGATGGAAGTTGAAAGAATAAACGTCGAATTGAAATTTTGACTACTCCATCTTGTAGAGGAGAAAAAGTGGCAATAATGACATGCAATTTTTTATCCCGGACACCGACATATTATGACCATACAACACCCATGTGCTAGCTCGGATTGCAACCGCCAAATTCATCTGAACATGCCTATTGCTTACCAACATCAAATAATAATGGTTACACTTTCTAAGAACATTGCATGCATATATTCTTTACCCTATTTATTATTATTTGGGGTAAACATCAAATGAGGTTATGTTTACGTATGGGGTATTTGTGATTAACAAAACTATTTGTTACGTAAAAAACTATCTATTACGTCACTATTTGGGCGCGTAGTCTTACGTATGAACTTTAAGATTTGCAGTTTTTCTTCGTTTAAACCATGTTTATGTCCCGTCGAAATAAAAAAATACCCCATTATATATATATATGTAGTGTAGTAACTGTTCACACTCAGGCAGTTTTTTGAATAAGCTCCAATTTGAGGAACGTTCATGTGTGTGATAAATTATAATCTTTTCTAGACATAGTTGTCTGAATACTCTATATTTTCAACGACGCAGACTAGAGAAGTGACATTATTTCAATCTTGAAAGATCTCTGTTATGTAGACGTCAGTGTTTTGTTTAATTTTAAGGGATTTTGCTGTTATATGCCGTATCATACTAGCATCGGATTAATTATTATCTACTCGTATACTGCTATGCACCTGTGTGGTAAGCGTTTCAGTACAACGACTGACAACTATCAAAATTATTGATTTTTATATAGTTTTTATGCTACAATTAGTAAAAAAAGATATGAACAACAAATACGGCGTTATTTATGTTATTATAAATAATATAAAACGCACACAAGTGATATTAAATTAATACTTGTAAACTCATTGATCCTTACCTATTTGGATTATGGTGTCGCAGTTTATTATAACTTTCTCTTACAGAGGAAATAAAACAAAATTTCTAATTTTACAGAGTCGTTGCATAAGATAAATTTATATATTGTATAATGCCATATTTTTCTAAGAAACGATGTTGTTATAATATTCCAGGTCATGTAATATCTGAATTCAAAAAAGCACACAGCACCTTGTTTATTGAATAAATATTTGGAACTTTTCCAAATTACTTCCATTCGTAACTTTAAAAAGGAACTTGATAAGGTCCTTCCTTAGAGACAAAATGAGGCTCATGACTCTATATAAAATAACTTTAACTTGCTGATTCTCCTTGAAATTGATCCTTCATTTACAGATCCTAATCATCTAATGGTATGTCTGTCATACGCATGGAGCGTGACGTTACCAGCAAAATTACGCTTTCACTATCCTAGTACGATACGTCATCATTAGCAAATACCTTTATTTCCAAAGTCATGTATCAAAAAAGCGTATACAATTATTGTTTTTCTCTTATTTTGGCCTGTTCTAACCCGAATTTATTTTTTTCAGGCGACAAACTGGGTCGGGTGGTGCACATAATCCAGTCGCGCGAGCCCTCGCTGCGAGACTCCAACCCCGACGAGATCGAGATCGACTTCGAGACGCTGAAACCGTCTACTTTGCGAGAGCTGGAGAGTTACGTCGCTTCCTGCCTGCGCAAAAAGCCACGTAAGCCCTACTGTAAGTTCCGTTACTTCACGTCCATGACGGTCTCGACATAGGCGCTAAGCCACAACTTGACCACCAGAAGACCGACAGAGCTGCACGTCCATTTCGAATATTTCTCGCAGACTATATTTTATGCGGAAGTTTTCATTCAGAAATGTTCCACCGTCTGGCATCAGTTAGCTAAGAGTACTGTTTGGCAAATCCATCTTGAACCGCAAAGTTCAGAGGAGAAAAAAAAGGGACTGAGAATATATATTATCATAGAAACGCTAATAGCTAACCGATATATGAATCCATCTTGATCATTTAAAATCTTTAATTATCATTCTTAGCTTAACATATGAGTATGCTGGATAAATTTTGATATTGCACTTCTAAATAGAAGAAAAATATTATACAAAAAACTCTATGAAGTATTGGTAGAAGTTGTTCAGAAAAATTGTAGATGATGGAAATACCTTCAGAAAGAACCGTTCTCACCGAAAGCAACTGGCGGTCGCAACCCACATAAATTCAAATACTTACCGTTTTTTTGTTATATGGAGTGATTCTGTTGGAGCAAAATATAGATGAGAAAGCATGTGCTGTAGCAGTATTTTTAGATTTCAAAAGGGCATTTGAGGCTATAGTCAGAGAAAAATTGTTAACGAAAAAACACTATGATTTTAAAGGATCAATATTAAACATTTTACAAAATTAATTAGTAAATAGAATTCAAATAAACTAAAATTGAAAATATTATGTCAAGCGTTCAGAATATATCAGTAGGGAGTGCCTCAGGGGAGTGTCAGGCCCAGAGATTTTAGAACACTGCAAAATTCAAATTATTTTTCACTGCTTTAGAACTGCTAAATAGTGATATTAAAAAATTAAGCATTGGTTAAATGTTAATACACGGAAATTAAATACTAATAAAACAAAATGTATGTCAATAGCGACACATTTAGGTGATATTGCAATTAGGCTCATGATTAATAATGAAAAAATTGACGTAGTCGAATTATTCAAATATCTGGGTATATTGTGGTTCATAAACTACTGTTTCAACTACATTATTTTAAAAATATCAAAAAAGATGAATTACTTAGTATGTATTCCAAAAAATTGTGTAGACCGTAATTCCTTACCCAGTTTTTATATTGTTCAACTATTTTGTTTAAAGCAAATGAAAACATATTTTCAAAATTACAAATTCTACAAAATAAAGTCATGAGAATCATTTTAAATAAAAACAAATATACTAAGATTAAGGCTATATTAGAAGAACTGTAGAGGTTGAATGAAAACGAATTTATATGTTGTTTAGTTTACCACTACATTTAGGGAATCTGACAAAATTAAATATTCATTGTCATAACTATTCAACTAGAGGCGACATAGATTTTCATCTGCAAAATTGTACTTATAGCATAACTAGCAAATCTGTATTTCAAAAGTGTGTGTTTGAATTGAATAATTGTATTAAACAATGTTCGAATTTAAAAATGTTTGAGGTGAAATTAAAAAAAAACAATCAAAGAAACATCTTTCAAGAGAGCTACAGTTGATATAAGAAGTGTCACGAGCATGTTAATAGTGTGCGAGTAGTCATGACTCAAATGTTTGCATACAAGGTGTTACTTATTTATTGCACATATATTTGTCATTTGTCAAAATCGGATAGAAATCCGATTGCTCTCGAGTCACTTTTAGTGGGAAAAACTGTAAAGCGCACAACAGTTAATCTCTACAGGGTGTTTGGTACATAAACCGACAAATTGTTTTGATAATTGTGGACGCTATTTGATGATTTTTAGTGAAAACCATTAATACCACTATTAATACCCTAGTACCCATTATGTTAGACACAAAATGTAGGTAATCCAGGTATCGTAGGTCATTAAATCAACTTGCACAAGAGGTATTCTTAAGGCTACCCGTTTATTGCTTTACAATTACTAAAAGAAGCTACTCACCGATATTTTTTGTATCTTTTTATTTGCGCTCAATATAACTCCATTGTAAAAATCCTTCTGCACTGTATCTAAAACCGTGCCCGCTTTTTTTCTAATTATTGAGTTAGCATGATCTATCACATACTAATAAAGGAGAATTTCCTTGTGCGCGGATCTTGTTTAACAGTACAGACATAATGTGGTCTATGAGACTAGCAACAGTTGAGTATTGTCGAAAATATGAGTTAAAATTTCTATATCGGAATTTTTATAATCAGGAAAATCTTATATTTACTTTTTTGATCACATCATATCATTCACTGTTGTGCGGTGTATCTATTCACAACATGATAATTCTGTTTTAGATACACATTTCTACTTGAAATCACTTTTTAATAGTTGGTGCTAATTATTGAAACTTTAACTTCTTTCTAAATTAAATATTCCACACTCAGGCAGTTTCTTGAATAATACCAGTTTGAGGAACGTTCATGTGTGTGGTAAATTATCATATTTATTGGACTAATTTTTCTGGATATTCTTCAACTAGATCCATACAGTCCAATAAATTAACACTAATTTTAAAAAAAAACTTTTCTGGCATTCTTTTGTATAAATAGAATCGAAAGACGATGCAGATGAAGAAGAGATTGTCAATTGCTGCCAGTGCAAGTGAAAAAGAGATAAATAATAATTCGGCTCTCTAACATTGTATAGTTCAGTCCTCAGAGACGGTAATCTTGTACTTTTTTTCTGAATGAAAATGTATGCAAAATCAAATAAAATGGCGTGCAGTAGGCGTATGTAATTGGAACTACACGTTTCTAAGCATGGTAGAACGTTGCTGTTGGGTTTTGGTTATGCAGTTCAAAATTCGAACTCGGGCATGTCATATCAAATTTAAAATTGGTGTGTGGAAATTATGAGCTAAATACTGAAGCTGCCGCAAAATAATTGATTTCATTTTTTCAAAATCATCCATTCATTACGGCAAATAACACGCTTCATCATCCATTTGTAGAATAAAACTCGAGCTTGGTAATCAAACAAAAAACATTTTCTCGCATGCTCTACCATTTTGGGTGTATTTCTAATTTTTATTTTGTTATAACGCTGGTTATCTGGTGAGAGGTTCAGTTAATTTTAGTTGTATTTAAGGTAGCATTCGGATATGATACATTTTGTAGATCATTTGTGGCTGATGTTGCCTTAGTAAACATCAGGATGATATACAAGGGGAAAAGATCAGTATAGCAATCATAAATCCCTCATACGCTACTTTTTCACGTTCAAATCTTGACGACAAATAACAATGATGATCAAGTGAAATTCAAAATACCCCTTGCTGTCAAGGTATGCGGTATATATGATTGCTAAAACCGAGTCCGTTTTAATTTACCCTAAATAGTCGAGAAAACAATAAGTAATGCCGGATTTAGGAAAATACGAGGTGTCCCGCTATAAATTCACCCACATAACGTTTTTGTTTGACCGTTTAGAAAAAGTTTTGTACAAAAGTTATAGTTCCGTACAATTTTTAGTGCTCTCAATTTAGTTTTATTTTTTAAATGGAACAACCTGTATATTTTTACTTAAAATGCCAGTTTTTTCCTTAATCTAAATATATATGGTTTATTATACTTCATTTGATTAGCCATAAACTTGAATTTTTTATCATTAATTCATCTGTATCATGTTTATACAAGTTTACATCATTCTAACTGATCTGGTAAAGGCCCGAATTCAATACGATTAAATGGCACACCAAATTTGGGTTTTTTGACTAAAGCAGTAAAAATAAGTACAATTATACGTATATATAGTGTGTTTCGTGATTGATTGTTAATATTTAAGGGGTCGATTTTTGGGTCCATTTTTAGGGGAACACTTTTTATGAACGTGTGTCCTAAACGTATTAACTTTAGGGATACAGGCTAGTAAAGTTTTCAAAAACAAATCATTCTTGATATAAAAAAAATGCAAACAGTATTTATTTATGAGCAGAATTGATCTGCAGCATTGAATTTGATTTTTTTCAGTTCGACGCACGGTTGTCACCTAAAAAAATCTAATCAATTTCTCGGCATGGCGATATTGTCATATTAACGATATTAGGATTACGCAGAAAAATGATTTAAATTTTTTTAAGCAAAAACCGTGTATCGGATTGAAAAAACAAGTGATGAAATCGATATTGACATTCAATTAAACAGCCTGTATACCATTTTCGTTGAATACATACAGGATTCAATTTAATAAAAAAATATAACTTAATTTCGAAAATTAATTATAAAACATAAAAACAACTATTATGTATGCATCGAAGAAAGAGACTAAACCAAAACAGAGGTCATCGCGTGATTATTGCCTGATCAATACACTGATATATTTCAAGAGAGAGGGAGCAAAACTGTTATTGGTCAGAATAGGTCGAGCCCGTACACAAAACCAATGACAAACCAGAGGGTGGAGTGGGAGTATCGTCTCGGTGGCTGGCCGTACAGTACACAGTTGGCATCAGATTTATAATGGTATTACTGTGTGCTTATTAGATTTGTCAGTTTAATTTCGTAGAACTCAAAATGTCTGATATGGATACAGCTGATGAAGTTGTAGATATAAGCTGCACACCGCCTAAAAAAGAGCTAAAAGGCTTCATCTTAGCGTCGGCGAAAAACAAATTATTAACATTTGTAAGGACGAAATGCAAGGAAGGAGTGACATTGTTTGCAAAGCTGACACCTACATATTTTTCAATACTTGTGAGACAAGGAATTTCAACTAAAATTATATTATTTTTTTGTGTTTTTGTACATGCTTAAACCATATCGAGATAAGAAATCAAGCAATCATTTTTTTTGGTTTTTAATGCTTTCAATAGGAATGGTTGTAAAGTGTCCAAAATGAATTATTTTTTGGAAAATGTAAGCGATAGATAATTTGCCACATCGGTAATGAAGACGGATTTGTGTCCGATGCTTTACTCGTATGGGCATTTGAAATCAAAGAAACGGGAGGCTACCATGAAGAAATTGATGGAGCCTCGTTCGAAAATTGGTTCTCGAATACTCTACCGAAGCTTAAAGATAATTCGATTATATGTAGTAATAGAAAAAAATGATGGCTTAAAAATAAAAAGATTGATTATAATGATAAACGGTTAAGGCAGAATTGTTACAAATTGTCAAGACGCATAAAAATAAATAAAACCTGAACATATTGATGAAATGGCCCAAAAACAAACGACTGCCTCCTTACCATTGTGAGCTCAATCTGATTGAGTTCATTTGGGCAGACAAAAAATATGTTGCAGCAGAAAATAAATGTTTTAAATTTTGTGACCCTCAAAATATTTTTCATGATGCTATACAAAGAATAACACCGAATAAGTGGGAAAAATGTATCAGCATGTAAAAGAAAAGGTCGAACCTAGAATGTGGGAATTAGACGGTATCATTGACACTCACGTTGTACGAATATGCAATTATCGTTTTAATGTGTCAAGTCATTTTTTAAAAGCCTGCTTTATAAATGTGCCTTACGACACATTTCGAGTATAATTTCTTGATAAAACACTTCTACTAAAAACAATAATAGACAGTTGTTTTCTTTTTGGTCATGACAGTTAAAGTAAAAAAATACATTAATTCCAACCTTTACGTTTGGACCCTATACATGCCTGCAATAATTTTGCATACTTTTTGATCGTGTCGTAGAACCCCAAATCATTTATTCTTAGTAGGGCCCTGTAACGTACTCGGGCGTTCTGGAGCGCGATCACGTGGAGTATACGTGAATATGTTTAGGTTTGGTCGCTTAATTCGATGGATACATAATAAATATATTAGAATAAAAAAAGTTATAGATCGTAAAATTTTAGATGGACAGGTACAGTTTGTACAAATACAATGTGTCTTGTATCCGATGTTCAGGGATCGATATTCGGTGCTTATTAGCTTTTATTTTGTAGCTTATGTTAATATACATTACTTATACTACAATACATAGCTGATGGGAGCCTTTTTTCATCAAACTATTGAATCAACTTTATAGGAACATACTATTTCAAGTCAAAATTGATTAGGCATTTAATAGTTTAGTTGTTTCGACTTTTATCTCTTTTTTTAATAAATCACTAGAATACTGTGAAACACGCTTTTGATGACACTTTTAAATATTTTCAGTTACTTTAAAGGTTGTGTATTATAGACATGTTTTGTTGCAGGTAACAAGATAAATGCTGGTAAATTATCTAATAGAAGAAAACAACAGACTTTATAACAATCGAAATTAAATTCAATATCTTTATCAAATCATGAGACAAATGTCAGGATTCGAATACTGTATCTGATATCATGCTTAGTTTTAACTCATGAACCTGACCATAAAGTCTATAATAGATTTTATATAGAACCTGAACGTTGTTTCATCATTCACTAAAGATAACAAATAATTATGTGATTTTGTTAGATCTGAAAGACGGCCACCCTGTATGTTGCATAAAAAGTAATGTGTATTAGCTACTCGTCTGCAAAGAAATTTGTAGGAAGACGAGTAAATATGGTGTAATATTGATGGTAGCTTTAGCACATATTTTCCAACAACAGAAATGATGTTTCTTGCTTCGCATAAAAGGGTTGTCTGAAATTTTATTCTAGCATTATGTTGTGTGTGCTTGATATTGATGGTGCACCATCAGTACAAGTGAGTAAGTAAAGTACTAATCCATTGCCATCAAAATTTTGTACTAACTAAAAATCAGATTCCCTCACAATTTTTCTTCCGGAACTGTTTATCCATAATATTTTTTTGTTAGTTCATAAATATGCGAAAAAAATCTGAAAAAGTATTTGATCGATCTTACTGTTCAAAAGCAATAAAACAGCTTTCTGGTTATATTAAACTATTTTGTTATAATGATACGTTACAAAGTTATTTCTGCTGTTGGCAATAAAATATAGTAGTTCGATTTCCGACGGTGACACTTGCTTTCTAGATAAGAAAGTAGCTGGAAAGTCGAAGGACGAACAAATCGCTGAAAAAAAGCAGGAGCTTGAGAAAAGACTGCTGGACGTGAATGATAAGATAGGAAATTCAAAAAAGGCCCCGAAGAAAGGTTAGTAGTACTATCACAATTCAGAATATTATCCCTCTCGTATATGTATTTTGCATTTCTCGATTTTTTTGATGTAGTACAGGGTGTCTCGGATTCCTCTTTTTATAAGGTATTATCTGTTCATCTATTTATTGCCATGATTATCTGTACTGAATTATGTCTACATTGCGTATTATAACTTTGTGATATTTTTTTTACTTGTTGAAACTGTATTTCTAAGAAATACGTCATTATTTATATTGTACTTTACACAGAAAAAAAAAAGAAAGTAATAAATATTTATATTTTTAAAGTTGTCTAATGGTTTTTATTATTACTATGGATCTACCTCATATCAACTGAGTCTTTTTAAGGCGCATGCTCTTCGTGAGTAACAATTTTTCCTCAAAAAGATTTAGAAAACGATAATGATGAAATAAATATATACGCCAGGTAAGTACAAAATGATACATCTAAACATAACGTCATTCTCATTTAAATGTATGCACGTTATAAATATTTAAGGCATTTTGCGAACAACCTACTTTGTTGTCCCAGACACCTTGTATATTTTTGCGAAAATAATGTGACTTTTTGTTGTGGGACAGTCCATGTTTCTTGTGTTATGCTTATGCTTTATATAACTATTGATACCGTTTCACCTCGCTTCTGTTTTAGACTGCTTCATTCTCAATAAATCGTGGAAGAGCAGGGATGTTTCATCACTTTTACTGATACGTAGATGCTTTAATTATGAAAAATTTTGAGCCATTGCATTGCAATCTGATCTCTAGTATTTTCATTAGTCACTCATGGTCGAGATGTTTATGACTGGACGTTCAATGACATTGTTTTCGTCAATTTTCCTATGTCACCCAGAATTCTATGGCGAATATTATAGTAGGAGAGCTATGACCTCCTTAGAAAATTTTTATAAGTTGTTAATTAGTACATGAAATTGTCTATCTGTTGGGTCAAAAAATACCTCCCCGAATTTTCTACATAATATAAGTGCCCACAGATCACATTTTTCGTATGTTCGTCGGACACTGTGGGGGCTTATGAACATTATGTAGAAAATTCGCAGAGGTCTTTTGAGTCGTTAAGCAAACGCATAATTTAATGTACTAATTAATTAACCCAATTTCAGATAATTGGTCAGGTTTTGCCTAGGCGGACATACATTTTTATTTTGAAAAATCTAAATAGCTTTTAAGTAACCTTATACATTAATGAAAATACTAGCGTCCTGGCCATACTGTCATTAAATATCATGTTCCATGACAAATACTGACGGATCACAGAAAATACTAACCCAGTGACATTCTTGTATTTATTATAGTATTTTGTTGGTTGTATTTTTTGTCGTAGCTATGACGCTTTTTATGAAACAAATGAAATAAATAAGGTAAGCCTGTAACGAAACAAATAATAACCATAGCCTCCAACTAGTGGTTTCTGCTTTAAGTATAAATTTGTTACTATACTGTCTAAAAAATTACTAGTATTATGCGTTTTATTGGTGAATTTTGAAATCAATCGATCGCCGTTGATTAAATGGACATTAACATCCATGTTTATGCCATGTAGGCTCGGATCACATGAACCTTACCTACCCCAACAAACCTATGGTTCAGACGCAATTTGCTTCAAAGCTCGTACATTGGACTTAACGATATAGTTTTAAACAAAAAAATATCTTTCACAATGGTGAAGTGTATTGTTTCCCACTTGAAGTAGGTCACATCACCATGAAGACGCGTTGGAGATCAAGTATATTTACGCAGATGGAGTCTCTTTCTAAGTACCTTCTCAGGAACGTTCCGTAATAACACGACCAACCCAATGCCGTACTTTGTTGACAGGTATTTTTTGATTAAGATGCCGAGTCAAAACCATGCCAAAAAATCTATCTTCGATCTGGAATTAAACGTTTTGCGACATGCTGACAATAGGCAACTATATTAATGTCTTTCTCTATTGATGAACTTTAATTTCAACCATGAGCCCATGGGTTTGTTGGGGTAAAAGTGTTGTGGGATTGGAACCTAACTATAGAAGCTGTCCGAGACAACAAAGTAGACTGTTATAAAAGTGCTTGACAGGCTGACGGTAAGATCTGAGAGACGGACTTGCAGGGCATGTAGTTCAGATTGTAGATACCGAGATTAACTTAGTCCTATTCACTTATTGGATCCGTTCAGTATTTTTGACAGACAAAACTGTGCCGTCTGCTGTTAGATCTTCTTGATGAAAGCGTATCAATCGTTTTTTTCTTGAAAATTTGAAAAGTACAGATAAGGTGTTGCGAAGAAATGCTCATGACTAGATGGCCAACGAAAAAGCAACATAGATACATGCTTTACGTGAAAGCTGCATATTATGAATGTTTAGAATTTGTCATTCGTGTATCTAGATATTCTTCCCATCTCGTATGTCGACATTAGTTCGTTTTGGGTTAATCTATATAAAAAAATCAAACAAGATTATTATGTCGCTTGTTTGAAATGTTCAAATTGCCTAACTTCGTCACAATGAGCGATAGTATTCCTGGTCTGTGGGTTTAGATATTTCAAACTCAATTTGATGTCAACGTCGAACGAAAAAGAAAAAAAAAAGTAAAGAGCTGACTTTCGTTACACATAATCTAATGACGTCCAAATAATAAATGTCTCCACAGTTCCATTCACGTCGCTCCTCAATGGGCGTGACCGTTTAGAAAATCACAATACTGCATACGTAAACCTTAGTCTTATTTGTGATCACACAAGAGTTATTGATTTAAATGACAAGATTAGAGAGTTTTGACAAATCACAAATGCTGCTCACGTAGACGCTAAACGTTAACCTTTTTGACCTTTAAGTCGATCATTTAGGTAAATGAAAAATGAGATTAGCAATAAATTTTACGTATGCGATATTTGTGACTGCCAAAATTCTCTAATATCCATTTATATCAACATCAATGTTTATTTATTATTTATTAATTACATTATAGCAAAAAGTGTCAAAAATGTTCTAGGTATCTGGCTTTGCATCACATTATTTCTAGTATTTCAACTTTCGAATTTGAAAATATCTACATAAATGAAACAGCTATCAAAAGATGCAAAATTATTCTGACAAGCAAAAGATTATTTTAATTAGAATCTTATGCAAAACAAAAAAATTAGACTCTTCTGGAAGACATTTTAATTTTTTAACATAGGACATTTGGCGATTTGTGTTGCTTAACGGTCGTACGATTTTACTTGTACAGGCAGCCGTTTTTTGACTAAACCACACCTTTTACAATACGCGCTATGGTGCTTTCAGAATTTCTGCCCATATTCTGTCGTGGTAGACATATATTAAAAATAGATTAGTTCTTAATACTGCTTATAAATAACTGTGGTGTTCCACGCTGGCGGTGTTTATGTCTGGCACTTGGTGCACAATAACATAGAATACAAAAAGTTGAAGTTCACTGTGCGTTGAAAAATTAAGGCTTACAGTAATGCGGTCATTAGCTCACTTCACATATCGTTACAGAAAATCTGAGATCAACTGAAAGTTCCAAAACAAATTTTTTGTGCACCTTCAGTTTGCTCCATACTCAGAGAGGCTTTTGTGATTTGCGACTCATATAAATTGAACGATAGGTTTCATTTACCATTCAATTCGGTTTTTTAATACCCAACAAATGTTTCGCTATATTAGCATCTATAGGGTGGGGGATATTGGATTTAATCTTCCCGTGAAGATGCTATTACAAAAACCGGTTTGGCGGGTGATCAAACTCTGTAGACATACAGTGGTCGGTGACTTGTCGTTGACTGCGTCTGTGATCCGGCCGTGTGAATTCCGTCTACATAGCGTAGCAGAATGTGCGGAATTTATGTGGTGGGAACTTGGAAATGGTTGTTTGCTACTACTGCACTATATGTAGTCGCTACGGCAAAGGATCCAAAATCACACCTATAACAACTATCACAATTTTTATATGGGTCGCAAGTTACGAAACATCCGTGTTTAGATGATTTAAAATAAAATATCTGTGCGTTCGGTATCCTGTAATCCTCAACCTTATTCCAGATGGCGCCGCGAAAGCTGAGGGAGGTGGCGGCGTAGGCGCAGGGGGCGGCCCAGCAACAGGTGGTGGACGTCTGTCCTCCTCCTCCAGCAGCTCGGACTCTGACAGCAGCAGTAGTAGCCTGTCAAGCAGCAGCAGTGATTCCAGCGACAGCGAAGCAGGTTAGCCAGATCATGGATACGAATGTTGTTTCGCGAGTAATGTATGATGGTATGACGCGCGCGATATGTCAAATATGCCTTACGGGCTGGTGGTGCCGTGGCGGGTTGATGAGGGGACGCGAAAGCGCTTTCACTGATGCTACTGTGTATTCATAACGATATCTGTTTTAGAGGGGATGGGATCTCGAATACGGCGATAATCCTGGCAAACGTATTGTATGGCGATGTCAGATGATTGTAGAGTACTGCATAAGACCCTCTAGAGTCCGGAATTTTTTGAATAAAGGTACCTTGTAATCCGACAAATTACAAATCAACAATCTATTTGAACTACGAATTGTAATTCCGTAATTCAGTAAATTAAACATCACAATGGATAGCTGATATTTTATTATAAAAATTACATCATCAGTGCTATAGAACTTACGAGAAATAATAACTAAACTTATTTAAGTTAGGAACTAATTATGATCAAACAAATGTACATATTGTTCTAGAAATATAAGTATTTCACAGGATATTACGAATAATCAAAAACTCAAAATACAAATATATACCAATCAATTTATTCATAATTTTTTTGTTCTAAGATGTTAAAGCGCGACAACAAAGCTTAGTCCCTTAGTCTGCTCAAAAGTAAAAGTTCGTTGTAGGAATGTATGCCACGACGACTTTTGAAACGATCTAGCCATCCCTTGCTAGCCACAGGGTGATCTTTTTTTATTATTACCATGTAAAAAAACTTAGCTTTCGTGGCCAACATGGGTCCCCAAATGGGCGCATGCCTTTTTTTCCTGAAGACAAAGCTTCTTCCATCTCTAGATGTTCAGCTTTCTTGAGTATCTTTTTTTTTCCTATCCCACAGTCATTAGTTGACAGGAAGGTTTTGATCTTCTCCTAGTTATTTTTAATGTCATAAATTATAGACCGAGCTACATCGTATTCACTTGCTAAACTGCTGAGGGTTTCATTATGATGTACGCGATTCAAAAATATCATTTTTTTCTTTGTCAGAGTTTTGTGCTTTCGTGTTTGGGCTTGTGGAGACATTACTAGGTATGAATGTGTAACAGAAAGGGTAAACAAACAACAATAAACGCTCGCTAGACCGTACACATATACAGTGAAATTCAAACAACAATACGCGTCGAGCACAATAGTAGTACCGTGTACAAGTGCCAACCTGTTCAAACATGCGTTATATAAGTGAAGATTTGTCTGATTACAGGGGGCGCCGTCATTTCATAATGTTAGACCGAAATTATTATTTTTTGAAATCTTCATATTTTATCCGACAAAATGCATTCTCGTTCGATTCCAATAAAATGAATCATTTTTAAAAAAATACAGCTTTATTTCTTACTGTGAATTTACTTATTGACTTCTCTGTTAGATTTTTATACAGAAGTTGTGGTTTTCTGACTGTTTATTAATAGAAATATTCGTTGTAAAAAAATATATAATTTTAACATTTTGGTAGCATCATATGTGAAATAGCCTTCGTTTGGCCTGAGCATGGCGGATTGTTTGGCAAATATAATACAATAAAACAATTAGAAAACTATTTTGTTTTTAAAAATGTACATTGGTGTGGATAATAACCAAAGACCAAATTGTAAATATTCCATCAATGCTTGCGATGATTTGCACAATATTTCACATTATATTTTTCTCTATAATTTTCAATTAATAATTGAAAATGTTTCCGTTTTATAACTTTCTTAGATGACATATGACAATAAGTTCCGTTTTAAACATAGATTTGGTTACAATAAATAATAATTGTTTCTGTTTAGGAACGAACACATTTAACTTCTATGAAGTTACTTATTGTAGTATCTAAAGATATTCGTTTACGATCTCTTCATCTTAGTTGTTTTTATGTATTTGTCAGATTAGTGAGACAGATGCATCGACTGATTTTTGGAAATATTTTTTTGGAAAACATATAGATGACTGTAAGCAAGTTAAATGTTTCAAAATGAAACTCCTAAAATCTATAGTATACATCGAAAATTATTTTTTTATTAGTCAAACAGTTCTCCATAGTTGATAGGGCACCATCAGTTACCGGCAATAAACACCGAGATTGGTGTTGCATTTTAATCAAATCAGAAAGGACCTTAGTGCCATGCTTTAATCAATTTTGAATAATACTATTATTTTTATATAATTTGTTTCGTAGCGGAATATTCTCGACGAAGTACGACGGGTGCAGACGTGGTTTGTCCATCAGTCTCAAATTGTTTTTAAATGTTATTTATATTTCCCTAATTGTGTACAGACATAAAACAAAATCTCGTCTGCAGCCCCGAAATCGAGTGTTGTGGTTAGTGTTGGAAGACTTAGTAATTTATATACATATTATACATAATCGGTCTTGTACATAGTGATTTTTTTAATGAGCACGTAGTTTGGTATGACGAACGTACCAAGAAAAGGACTGTATTTTTATTTTCAAAGAATTTGTTTTGTTTTTATTAAAATATCGAATATATTCTATATTTACATGTCAGGCATGTGGCCCTTAAGAAAATAATTTTTTGGACGGGCATTAGACTTCCCAGAGAAAATATAATATAAGATAATTCAGTCAATTGTTTCTCCTTCTATACGTCGTTATTAACGCGATCTATCAATTTCAGTGCTTTACTGCGAAATTACTTTCTTTACCTGTTTTACTGGAAAAATCACTTGTGACTAACTAGACACTTTAATTTATATTGATTGTTCATTTTAGCAGTTGCCTTGTAGTTCTCCTGTGTATATCACAAAAAATAATCACTCCAAATACACAGTCTAGTGATTTATTAACTGCAAGATTGATTTTAGTCATTATTTACCCCGAAACTTATGCGGTATTTTTTTATCTGTCGCGCTTATTTTGGATAATAAGTATGCTTTAAGCAAGTTCAGTTGAAAATGATTTACCAACGTTTCTGGAACGCTGTTTCACAGTTTCAAAATAGTATAAAGGAGAGCGAAATTGAGTTTTAAGAAAATCCTTTAAATGGTTTGATCTCTGGGAGTATCTTGTTATTCGAGAGCCGAAAACGAAATCTTTTCATATTCAATGGATCTGCAAACGGCAATAATTATTATTTTTATATGTAAACAACAGGGAAGCCACCTCGATTTTTCTGACAGTCAAAATTGTGTAAAAAAAATTAAGTCAACAATAGACGAAATGATGATTTACTTGGAAAATGTAAACCACAAGACCATATAAGTATACATTTAATTGCTGATGGAATGACTACATTAAAATGACGGAAGACTAGTGTCGTGTAGTTCTTAGATAAAAATCTGTAGAAATTATTATTATTATGACATTTCACGTGTTGTCAAATATGTAACGATTTCGATCTCGGCTCTTGAAAATCGGTGCCTCTGACTGCGTTTCGGTGCATGCCACACTGCCAGGTGTCTTCTCTAGTATTTAGTTGGGTGGTATCGAACAAAAGTGTCCGGTATGGGACATTTTTGACCGACGAGGCCCAAAGCCTTGAGTGCATTACTATATGTGTGTGGGGCCTAGAACTACAACGACGCGCGGACCAACCATACAGGCCGACCTTGGACCTCTCTCTATATCTTTCTCTCATTCCCTCTCATAATTTAGTTATTATGTCTCGCTATCATGAAAGGAGGCGATATACGTTAAGGTGAACGTACAGATGCAGACAATGTGTGAGTGGCGGCACCTTTTAGCAATTATCCGAAATAGTTTTACTTTTTTGATACTTTGTAAGGGGTACAGTGTTCACACGGTTTGATACAGTTATGTAAAATAAGTGGTCTTATGTCTTGCAGTATTCGCATGTGTGACATCCAGATTGATTTACCACATTATTGAGATTTACAAGAAATACAAAACTATTATTTTATAAGCACCAATATGACGAACTACTTTTTCTGGTAACACACATGCGCCAATTAAGAGGAGTACGTAAGAAATACTGAAAACAATTAATAATTAATAATTTAACGCATTGATACTTTTTATGACCACTTGTGATTTCCATACTGAAATTGGCTCTGTTTAAACATTCCTTTATAACTGATAATTGCTTTTTTGTGCTTCCTGATTACATTAAAAGCTCGCAAACGATATTTACTGTGAACACTGAGAAATCTATAAAAAGTGAATGTCAAGGTACTGTATGGTTTTGAAAAAATGGGTCAGTACAGTTGAGGAAAATATGGCTTTCACCCACATTGTTTGCACTCTGGGCAAAATTATCGACAGTATTTGTTAAATCGGAGCAAAAATGACAGACATGCTTTGGTTTCTGCCACTGTAAGCAGGCGAATGTTATAATGAAATTGGCCAGTTCTCTTTACTGTATTGTACTATAAGTACATTATGTCCACTTTCCTCTATAAGTCTGACATAGTAGCAGAAAACTTGAAGGAATTGTTCTTTATACATAACAGGAAAGAAAAGTATCTCATATCAAGATAACTTTTATTGTGATGTAAAATGTAAATAATCTATTGAATTGTGAGCTTAAAGTTGATAAAGTGTGTAACATCATCGTGAACATAACTTTTTGGTGTTTAATTCATTTTATATAGTGCGATAAGTTTAACATTTCCTTTTCGTTATAGTATGGTTATACATACTTTCCACTTAAAACGATTAGTTTCTTTTTGCACTGTATCCGTTCACCTTTTATATATATTTTGTTTTTATGTATCCTTAATAATTTTAATATATAAATATATTGTCATTCTTTTTCTCTCTGACGTTTCTTTATTTCTTTGGGGGGAATTGGGAGTATTTTTACTGTGTAAATAAGACAAAGAGTTGATAGTAAAAACAATGTAAATACGTGAGCTTAAACGTTCACCTTACGTAACTTGCCTCTAGTATATAGCAGTGTTATGCAGATATTATTTACCCCTTTATTTGTACATTTATTTGAAAATGCAATGAAGAAATTGTATGCATTAACACTCATGTCGAAAGTGAAGTTTACTATTAAATTTAATACATAAAAGTAGAACGTTGTTTTTGTGGTTATGTCCCGCATTCACACGAAAGCACTCAAGGTAGTCATTTAGTTCAATAAAACAACAAAAATGGGCGATATATTTTGTAGGTGGCACCAATACGCGACAATCCAAGAAGAAGACAAACAAAAAGTCACCAAACCCGGCATTGGGGAATACGTCAACGGTAAGTAACCATACCTTTGAAGATTAATAGTGGTAAGCACTGGGCGAGGAAGTATTGTAATCCCGAAAAATTTCGAAAATGATACATATTTTTTGGATGCTATATGAAAGGTACATCATGTTATTTCCTGCCCTGTCTGTCTGTCCGCTAAATTTGGCCCGTCTATAGCGGAAAATACTCGTCTCATTTGGATGAAGTTATTACACAAGGTTACTACTATATAAATTTGGCTCAAACTTCGTTTTCAGGGGGATCCTGATCATTAAAAAAATAGGGGTAGAAATTTGGGGTAAGGAGGTAATTTTTTGATGTCAGTTAATATACCCTTCCAACCCAGATAAATAAGAATGATGGAGAAATGTTTTCATATGCGTCTTCTGCTATCTGGGCTCGACCTAACGATCTGCTCGTACTGTGGAGGTGCTTCGGTGGGAACTGCCGCATCTGTGTGGAAAGGGGCAACGTTGACAGATGGACGGTAATTACCTGTACAGCAGGGAGTGTCCATGGACTAATTGTATGGGCCTGTTTGACTGACTTGATCGGTTTAATTTTTCTATTGTACTACTTTTTCTCTCAGAGGGTTTAACTAATGCTGAACTTGGTCCTTTATCTACTACAATCTACTTGACGCCAATTTTTTTGTTCACCTTTTATAGTACTGACTCAAGAATATTTTTTAAAGTGTGATCCTCTAGCTGGGAAACTAATCTATGTTCATTTTCGATCCAATGAGCCGCTTTATACTGCATTCGATCTCGAATGGGAAATATTGCATTTTTTTTTCTTCATAATGACGTGCGCAAGGCCCTACGATAAAAACTACTCAAAGCCAAAAATTGTTCGAAAAAAATCACCATTTGTTTAAATACAAATTTGCTACGTTTGAATTTGATTAGAAGTGAACTGAATAAAAGGAACTTTTATAAGTTTCCTATCAAGCTGATTGTGAAAACAATAATTGTAGTACAGAATATGCAACTAAAGAAGACTTACTAAGGTCTAGTTTTGCTTACACGATATTGACATATTCGACCGGGGCAAAAAAGAGCCAAGCGTGTAACGCTTTTGATATATGAAAGCACTCATGGATAAAAACATCTAATGGGAATATTTTTTTCTAACGGAGTCGCCTTAAATTTCAAATACGAAACCAAAAAGTGAAAAAATAGGATTTGCAGATGACACCACCATCACCCATAAAGCCAGAACTTGGACAACAATTATGACTTAGTACAGATAACAGACTAGTTCGATAATCAATTATTAACTATTAATTATAAAAAACCTACTTTATTCCAGTCATTTCTTAAATCTCCAAAATGAATGTATATATCACGTAAACTAAATCATAAATATCTCGGAATTGTTGTAGACTGCCATCTTCGTTGAGATGAACATATCCAATACATTAAGAAGAAACTTTCTAGTATATAAATTCAGATACTCAATTAAAAAGTTTATATCAAACATTAGTTGAATGCCATATAATCTATGGAATTATTATCTGGGGATCCACAAATAATACAAAAACAATTCATAATAAACCACTATATCCCTCCAAATCACTGTTTATAGAATCAAACCTTTTAGGTATAAAAAAAATTTATTTTGGTATAATGTTATCCTAGAATCCATAAAAACAAACATTCGGCCATTTATAAAAAATATGAATATGATACGAGGGATGTCTTAAAAGTTTTGAATATGGAAATAAAACAACACGGTAGGTAGCTTTAAATGACTTTATTGTTTTTCGAAGTATTCTCCACGAAGATTAAAACACATCTGCATGCGCTCTAACCAATTTTCGAAGCACTTATTCCACTCGTTTGCTGGCAGATCCAAAACGGCATTTTTGAATCCGTCAACTGCTTCTTCTGGTGACTGGAACCTTTGACCACGCAGTCTGTTTTTAATTTTCGGGAAAGTAAAGAAATCGTTAGGACTTAGAGCGGGACTATATGGAGGATGGACCAATAATTCCACGTTGTCTTCCGTTAAATACTGCCTTGTTTTTTGGGCTGTGTGCGAGCTTGCATTGTCTTGGTGGAGGATGATTATTCTTTCGGGGTTGATTTTTCGAAGCTCGGTGATGACTTTTGGCAAATAAATGGTGATATACCAATCCACAGTAACAGTTCTTTGGTCATTAAGAGGAATTGTTGCAATATGACCCGCTTTTGACACAAATGCCGCGACCATATTTTTCGAAACACTTCGAGAACGGATGACTTTTGTTGGCTTTTCTTTACCTTAGAACACCCAAACAGCCGACTGTCGTTTATTTTCTGGTTCATAACAGTAAATCCAAGATTCATCACCACTAGCAATGCTGTACACATTTTTTGAGTCTCCGGAATTGAAACGGTCAAGCGTTTTTTGACACCAATTAACCCTGGCTGCTTTCTGCTTTTCAGTCAACAGGTGGGGTATCCAACGAGAAACTAATTTTCTTACTCCTAATTCTTCATGTAAATTTTTGTGAATTGAGGTCTTTGAGATCTTCAAGGACGCCTCAATCTCGCGATATGTCACATGTCTATCTTCAATGATGAGTTTGCGCACAGCATCGACGTTTTCCAGGGTGACTCCCGTTTTTGGCGCACCCACCCTGGGATCGTCGCTAAGACTCACCCGTCCACGTTTGAATTCTCCATACCAACGGGAAATTGTCGACTGATGTGGCGCTTCGTTGCCGAAAACAGACAGTAACTCAGCAAGGCATTCTTGTTGCGATAATTGTCTCCGAGAGTTGTGATAAATTATGGCACGAAAATGTTGGTTCCATTTTTCTAATGACTTGGTGACACTTAAAAATTCACTGTAGTGAGATCACTGCACGTATTTTTTTTTTATTCTTTTTTTTATTCAAAGTTCATTCAATTTCAAAAACCAGTATAACTTACAAATTAAAAACAACCTTCTTGCTACCCTGAATAACCAAGATTGCAACAGAAATCTGAGCAAAGATACTAGCATCAGATCTAGAACCAGCAAGTAACGGTATATGAATTGTGAAAATTCTGTATACTTTCGTAAAGGGTAAATGTCTGGATCTTGTCGTCACAAATCCTAAATTACGTGTCTGCATAAACAAATCTAAAATTCATAACAATAGTACAGAAGCATACTAAAAACACTCAGAAGTGTAAATATAGAGTACATAAAATATGAATATCTGAAATATGATAATAGAGGGATATTTCGAGTAAGGTCAAACTATGTTGTTTAAACAATAAAAATTTTGCGTAAAGGTTAAGCAGAGAAACAAGAGTATTACAATTTACTACAAAAGAATTTACTACAAAATAATGGACACCTAAGCTATAAGCTTGTGTGTGTCATACAATATACAAATTCTATGCATGGCTAATGGTCATAAGGTATATTATGAGCAAATGTATATAAAAAAAGAAATAAAAAAAAAAACATTAGATAGAAACGAAATTACTGAGTTGAGTCAAGCTACCGTCGATGCAAGCATGTCAAAGTTATTTAAGATGAACTTCTTAATTCTTTTTTTGAAACTATACTTCGAGAGGATTTTATATTCTAGGGGTAATTTATTATACAACCTAATACCATCAAACTTTATGCATTTTTGGCAAACAGATTTATTCACTCTGGTATAGGTGTAACTTATATTTATTTTAGTTCTTGTTTTATAAGCGTGGCTGGTTGGAACATTGTTTCGGGAGTGCACAAATTTTAGAGCAGCAAAAATATATAAACCTCTTAACATTCAAAAGATCATTTTCAATGTAAACAAATCTGCAACTTGACCTACATGGGATACGAAAAATAGTCCTGGCAATATAATTTTGCGTGGTTTGTAGTATTTTTAAAGTACTAGTGTATGCGGCTCCCCAAATACTTATCCCGTAAGTTAGTAGAGACCCCACAAACGAGTTATATATTGAGAGAAGACTCTTTCTGCTTAAAATATTCCTAAGAATGAAAAACTTATGGATAATTCTCCTTAGTTTCGATGCCAAAAGCTCGGCATGACTGCCATTTTAAATTACTGTCAACAATGATTCCTAAGTATCTAATAACTTCAACTCTTTCGACAGTGTCAGCACTATCATTTATAATTAATGTTCGGTGGTGTAATGGCATGCCTGCTTTGGTTGGAGAAAACGTTACATACTTAGTTTTAGAGATATTAAGTTTAAGTAAATTGTTATCCAACCAGCATTTGACTTTATTTAATGACAACTCGGCATTCCGTATTGCGTCATCCCATGAATGACCAGTGCAAACTAAAACAGTATCGTCTGCATATGATATCATCTTACAGTTGAAATTACATCGAAGTAGTTCATTTATGTATATGAGGAACAGTGTTGGTCCCAAAACCGTCCCCTGAGGCACACCTATTTTGATCTTTTGAATGTTGCTTAAATCTGACCCTACCTTAACTTGCTGTAATCGATCAGCCAAATAGTTCTCAAATAAGTTCAGAACTCCACTACGCACTCCAACGCTTTCTAGTTTCTTTAACAAAAAAATGGAAGAGATACTGAATCGAAAGCCTTTTGAAGATCTAGAAAAACTGCAACAGTCTTATTTCCATCTTGAAAATTTTCAAGCACTTGTCCTGTAAGTTCTTGTAGAGATTGGTCTGTATTGCAATTTTTGCGGAACCCAAATTGACAGTTCGATATTATGTCATATTTATCAAGAAAAGAACAAAGTCTGTTATTCAAACACTTCTCAAAAATCTTCCCAAATACATTGATAACTGAAATAGGTCTATAATTGAACATATTGTCTTTACTTCCAGATTTAAATATTGGTGTCACTATGCTTTCTTTAAATTGGCGAGGAATTACTGAGGATTTGAAACAGAGGTTGATAATGTGAGTTATAGGGTGACTGATATACTTCATGATCATCTTGATAGTTTTAGTGTGTAAGCCATCTTTTCCGGGTGCGCTATTATTTTTCAGATTACAAACTATTTGTTGTAACTCTATGTTATCCACTGGAGTTAGAAACATAGAGTGAGCAATGTTGACGACATGAGGATCTGATGTATCAAGAATTGAGTTTTGATAAATCTGACTTGTTATTTGCTCACCTATATCAACAAAATATTTATTAAAAACACAGGCTATATCAGTGGGAGCGTCTAGCTGCTGATTATTGTGATTAATTGATTTTATGTCATTTTTTTTATTTTGCCAGCATTAGTTACCTCATTAATAACATCCCAGCTCTTCCTATAGTTATTACCAGCTAAAATGAGTTTTTGTGTATAACTGATTTTTAGAGATCTTAATAAGATTAGTTACTCTGTTTCTGTAGGAGATATAGGACTGTCTCAATATCAAATTATCATTATCTTTCGTCAAACTCTGTTTCAACTCATCCCTCTTCTTGATCGAAGTAAGAATACCGTCAGTCATCCACGGCTTGCGTTTTCTGGTCTTACTATTTATTTTTAAATAATAAGTTGAATGATCTATGCCTTTATATAATTCATTATAGAAGTTATCAGTTGCTTTTTGGACATCACTCTCTGAAAAAACACTGCCCCAAGTCACCACTTGTAAATAATCTGTCAACTTTTTCTCATCAATTTTCTTAAATTCATAGCTGTTTTTATTAATGATACAATTACTTCCTTTCAAATACCCAAAATTGAACAAAACAGGATAATGATCGGTCATACAATTTTGCAAAAGTATTGGTTTACACTCAATTGCTGTTTCAGAGACCTTAAATCTGTTTGCCTTCAAAAATATGTGGTCGATAATCGTAGATGAGTTAGAATCTACCCTAGTAGGTGTATTAATCTGAGATATGTACCCGTTCTGTTGCAACATTGTTGTGAAACTTTGAATTTAAGTTTACTAAAGATTGAGGTTAAGATTCAGTACTGACGTTCGATCCGCGCGGCCTACTGTGTTTCTATATGCAAAACTTAAAAGACATCCCTCGTACTAGAAATAAAAATTAACAAATATGTTATTGCAACACAAAAAAAAATAGATATAATGTTGAAATCTTCTATGTCCTTGGGTCAAAAATTATATCATAACTTGCCAAAATATATTAGAAAAAACCGAATATCATTATTAAAAATAGATTTATACGAATGGCTTTTGAAAAACATGACGTAATTTATTAAAAAATAACCTATCTTTTCATAATTGCTAGGCTACGATGCAAAATTAATGTACACATTTATATATTATAGTCTTTTTTTCTTCAGTCGTACCAGTTTACTATAACTGCTATGTTATGTGTTAGCATGGTGTCTATATACAAGGATATTTTCCTTTAGTGGCATATTTTGTTCACAATTTGTAATTGATGTGAATACATTCTTATTATTATTATTGAAAAGATGGGAAGTATCTTCAGCTAAACTCATTACCAAAGAATTCATAGTTATCAGTAGAAGTGCTACTCCATCAAGAAAACAGATTCTGCCGCGGTGGCTGAGATGATACCTCCGGTGGCTGAAATGCTGCCCTGCCGGGATGGGATCACCCATTCATTACCTGCGGTAATAGTCCGGGAAGTATCGCTGCATTTGCATTTGTTGGCGTTGGATGTGTACAGAGCGATTCACTATAAGTTGGTGCTGCGTGCCTGAATGCAAATAAAAAAAAAATTGTGGCCTTGCTAATGATGTTACGCAAGTATTGCTATCCCAGCATATTTGGAATCCGATTTTTTCGTAATGGAGCTCAGGTCGAGGTGTAATTGACGAAAGAATGATTCATAAATGTAATGAGTGTCAAAAACGCGGTATCACAAAAATGTGATGTGTAGTTTTACTTCTAATTTCCAAAATAACCCTATATCAATTTGGAGGCTTCGTTAAATATGTTACGGAAATTGAGGATTTACAAAGAACTTTGTGGAGCTGGCTTGTGTAGACAACGTAGGAAAACGACTGAAAACAAATCTTGGGCATCAGTTTCACTCGCACTTGTGAACAGTTCTCTGCTGATCATTTTCAAATCAAAGATCTCAACAAATAAAGCGAATGTTAAATTTGGAACGCTAACTCGTCTATAGGTTTATCGAAATGAGGCCGAATCAAATGCCATCTGTTACCAGAATCGACCACTGCGAAGGTGAAAATAATTCGCAGTGGTCGCTTCTGGTCACAGACCTTATACTTTGGTTAGAGGATAGAGGCTGAGCTTTCGTTCATTGTCTTGCCGGAGCCCAAGCCTACACCATGCTGAGGAATAGCCAAATAGCACGAAACAGCTGTCCATGGTTGGCCGTCTGTGGTCAGACGAACGAAAGCTATATTACTAGTTTGATGTATAGATCTGTTTCGGAAAGTTACTACACCTCCTGCACTAGCATTCATACCCCATCCTTTGTAGTTTATAGAAGTCTCACATTTGTTTTTTACTTAGCTCAGCTCCTTCATATCCAATTTCAATCTTGTGACCATACATTATAGTCGACATGTTTACAAAATCTGCACACTGGTTACTCAGGTTACGTATTGACGAAGAAAATAATACGACAGATAAATCATCGCTCGTCAGTAACGAAGTGGCCAAAAACCATTTTTCAACTCGCATTTTTTTTAGGCAAAGGTTATTTGTCATCCATTGTCCATTCCATAGAAGCAGTAATGGCATGAATCACTCTGCATAAATACAATTACTCGATGTCATTATAATAACACTTTTGAAAACCTATTCCGTACGTGCGACAAAGTACGATTGCACTACCCTGTATAAAGCAATGAAAAAAGTGCGGAAAGGATACGAGTTCTTACATAAATGTCGGCATCTTGAGATTAGATCAAATGCTTTTTCGTGAATGACTCTTCTACTGGGAACTTTGTATTCTTCGATTTCTGTAGAGAAAAACATGTATTATCTTACCATAAGGAAACTATCCAATCAAAAGTTCCTACCAACATGGGACATGAGGTATATCAAGTGTTTGACTGTGCATTGCTACAATTTTTATGGGGCCGCACAATACTGTACATCTTAAATAATGACAAATACTAATCGTCAAAAAACGTTCGATCCCGCCAAGGTGTAGAAAACTATTCATTATACACTTCTCAGGTATTTTTATGGTTTCTAGCCGAAAATCTGGAGATATGAGCTTACCTGGATATATACGTTTGTATTTCGTTTGCGTATATCGGTGTCATCATCATTGGAATTGGTTCGGTCGTCGATAACCAGTAACTGAAATCGCTATTATGAACATCGTTTCCATACATCTTTCACATCGCAAAACATATATGGCATGGTGTTGAACTTCGTAAGATAACTGCCAGGCCTTTGTTTTCTTTGCTTTTACTAAGCGCGCGCTTTACCCAACAGCCGCTAAACCAGCAAAGCAAACAACAGTCCACCACATCAGGTGCAGCAGCACAACAGCAGTCGACACCAGTGACAACCGCCTCCCAGCCTAACGGGCCGCCCCCCGCATTGGCGCCGTCCGTCGCACCGGCCGTAGGGGCCTCGGCGGCGGGCGGCAAACCAGGAATGGGAGCGGTCGCGGGCGTGAACGTGGGTGCGGCACAACTGAAAAAGGACAAGGTGACGCCGCCTCCAGCGTCGCCCGTGCAGCCTCCGGCGGCGGTACCCGTCGCGGGAGCGGCCGCGGCAATAGTCGCGCCCGGACAAGGCGTCGTCCCGCCAACCACGGTACGTATATGCGTATATCATTAGTGTCTAACAAAAATTCTGTTCATTTATGGTTAGTAGTAGTAGGATGGATTCATTTAGGAGTCTTGGCTACATAGAAATATACAGAGAAATTCAAATATCACTGAAGAGGTGATGCGTACCGTAGAATAACACCTGATTATCTAGTAGTACTTCAAAATTCACCAAATCGACAAATGACACATAATTCTGACGGATACGTCAATGCCAGATAGACAGCCGTATTTTGTTTTGGTTTTTTTGTACGCTACAGGTTCATTTTGTACTTGCTAACCACTTTTTTATTTAGAATACTTTATTTACACACAAAAAAAGAACGCTACAAACAAGTTTTACTAGATTTACACCCGTTTCATTATTGCCAACGTTACACTAATACTAATACAAAGATGTCACTTGATGATCAGCTGTTCGCCTCGGTAGATGTCGAAACGTGATGGATACACGTGAAATTGGGTTTAGGCAAGGTGGTGCTTCCTATCTCTTCCCAACATACGTATGGCACGCTTCTCACTCTTGCACACTACGAAGTCGGTGGTACCTCGATTTCTCTGTATGCACCTATAAATAAAAAAGAAATTCTTTATATACGTCACTGCCAACCCAAATTTAAGTAAGAAGCATAACGTATACAGGGTGGCGCATCGAGAACGAAACAGACGCATTTTCTGGCAGCTCAGTTTTCTTTTGGAAAAACGCTCAGCCCCGTCGATTTTGTTTTCGAGGGGGACACAAGTTTGGCAAAAAATCACGTTAACACGTGCAGCCCCCTGGGCGGGGGTGACACCAACCCTAAGATCTTAAATGGAAAGGGGGGTCGAGTGATACCTTGTTTTAAACGTCTTTCAATTCCCTTTATAATGATGTAAAATACATTCTAACCCCAGAATTTATCATGAGGTTCATACACAGCAGCCACAAAAATTAAATGTTTGGGCTGTTATTTTTGGCGATCATTTAGTTGGTCTTTTTTTCTTACCTGGAAATTTGACCGGTGAAATGTATTTGAATTTACTGGAAGACGCCATAGATCCCGCATTAACAGCCATAATTGGAAATCAGAATAATCTGCGGTACATTGCGAATAGGTTGATGTTCCAAAACATGATGGTGCCCCACCATATTACGCATTACGTGTTCGACAATATTTAGATCAGACGTTTCCAGATCGATGGATTGGTAGGAGAGGTGCCATTGAATGGCCCCCAAGATCGCCAGATTTATCACCTTTGGATTTCTTTATATGTGGGGTCATTTAAAAAGCAAAATCTATGCTACTCAGCCAACATCATTAGAAGACCTGCGACAAGGAATTGTGAATGAGTGCCTTCAAATTACTCCTCAAATATTGCAAAATGTGCAGCAACGTTTTGAGCAAAATCTTTATTATTGCATGGAGAGTCATGGTGGCCATTTCCAACATCTAGTTGCCTAACGGGTCAGTTCATTCTTCATTTTTAAATTACTTTGCTGCCAAATGTATTGATCTCCACTAATGATGATGTATTAGTTTTATTTAAGCTTTAAATCAATAAATCTTCAAAATTACTGAACTGAAGTAGATTAATTTTATATCATTGTCAAGGGAATTGAAATACCTTTAAAATAGGGTATCACTCGACCCCCCTTTCCATTTAAGATTTTGGGGGTGGTGTCACCCCCGCTTAGGGGGCTGCACGTGCTAACGTGATTTTTTGCCAAACTTATGTCCCCCTCGAAAACAAAATCGACGGGTCTGAGCGTTTTTAAAAAAAAAGCTGAGCGTTATGCGGTTTCGATTTTACAATTTCTCCCTAACAACTTTGTGTAATTTATCCACAGGTACCGCAGCTGCCAAAACCGGTAGTCTCGCTGCCCGCCCCTTCACCGGACAAGCCGAAACCCGCCCAATCGCAGCACGTCATCTCGCCGATGGCTCAGTACACCGACCCACTGGAACAGTCGCTGGCAAGCCTGGAGCGGGACATAAAGCAAGGCGACCAATTGGACGCAGTCGGCGGGGGAGGGGTCACGGTCGCCGGTCTGGCGTCGCAAATGTCCAATCCGGTGGTAACGCACGCCCAGCAGGGCGTAGTGGGCGGACCCATGCCCGGGATGGGCATGATGCAGCCGAGCATCACGATAGGTAAGTACTGAGCTGCTTTAGCGACTGAGATACTTTTCCAAAAGCCGACAAGGGCGGAAAATGCACTTTTCGCAAGTGTTATGTATGAGTAGGACGGGTGCGGAAAAGTGCTACTTTCTGCACGCAGATGCGTGTTGAAAGTGAATACTTTCCGCACACTGGTAGAAAAATACTTTTCCCTATAAAATCTAATACATAGAAAATGAAAATTTGTTAAGAATATAATCACCCTGCCGTCTACAAAAATTGTCCGTTTAGATGCTCGATTAGAGGAATGCGCTAAGTAATTATCATAATTTTTTCTATTTGCAGCAACAAACCTGATGCCGCCGAACTCGATTTTGCATCAGAGCCTGCACAACTCCCTCGACCAGGTCGGGGGCGGCGTCGGTTTGCCACCCCTCTCCGAGCCGGGCCTCGTGCAGCAGCCACCGACGAGCGTGGGTCCGGTGACGTCAGTGCCGCCCCACCTGTCGTTGCCCCCGATCACGACGGCGACGACCAACAACGGCTTCAGCGGACCTCCCCCGGGCGCGGCGGCGGCAGGACTCGCCGCCCTCAAGCACGACTTTGAACTGGGGGCGGCCGCCAACAACAACAACGGGATTTCGCAACTGCCTATGGACATCAGCTCGATGTTCGACCCTCTGCCCCCGCATCTGGGAGGCGGCGTGCAACCGCCCGGCGCCGGGGGCGGCATGATTCCCAAGATGGACGGCATGCAGCATCACATGAAGCCTGATGAGGGCATCGCGGCGTTGCTCAACGATAAAAAAGGTGAGAAAGATGGTTCAATTTACCTGTAAAAGGAAATAAATTTGGATATTTAAATTCGTTAACGTCACGTTAAAGTAGGGTTGCCTATCGACATCTTTCCAATGACGTCTCAACAAACATGTGTTAACAATGGTAAAATGAATTATTGATAGTGGTATTAAGTTGGCTACATATTAAAAGGACACGGTCAGGACTCCATGATCTTATGGTCAAATCAGACCACATATGTATTGAATACTAACTTACGTTTCAACTACTACAGTGATCTCTTTTTCAAGGTACAATATGCTTTTGTAACTTTTTATATATATATATATATATATATAACGAACATAATTTAATTGATGACATGAATGCGTGGAAAGTACAGAGTCGATCTGCTAGATATCATTTTTATATTATGTTAATGAACTTAGATATCTTCAGCATAGAATTAAAAATACGATAGTGGAGGGAAGATTAGTAGTAGTGGTGGTGGCCCAGCAAGAAGGCAAACTTTGACGATTCTTGTCGCACCTGTTTCACATTCGGTGAGATCAACAGTTATTGCATTTTTTCAGGTTCCATGGATCAGAAGCCCCCTGGTCCCGGATTTCCATCATTCAAGACTGGCAAACCGGAACATAACGTGAAAAACGCGAGTAGCTGGTCGAGCTTAGCCAAAAGTAGATCTCCACCAAACAACTCTGTCGCTGGTGCCGTCGGAGGAGGTAGTAATAAACAACAGGTGGGTGTATAGTATTTTACCACTGGTATTATACATTTTAAGCGTCATAAGTTGTGTAAATGACATCGTTACCTAGGTATTGCCCATTTATCGACGGAACAGCATGTTTTTTAACCAATTTTGCGTGCTATATCAAGTTACATACAGCAACAACGAGCTATTGTTTCCATTTAAAGTAGCATACATGCCCTACTGAACCTGGACAATGGTTTTGCCACATTGTCGGTTGTATTTTACTCCGCATTTGGGGCGATACTAGCATTCTTGCGGCCATTGTACAGGTCGAATCATCGTAGAGGTCCGTTAAACGTCGAAAATCTCGGAACGCATGTGAGCTGACTTTTGAGATTTTTAGCGCAGTGCGTTCAAAATGAACATGTATTGTGCATTCAACAAAAACGCTCAAGTGTTTTTTAATTCTCCTTAAATTAGGTATATACATGCTTTCTAGTTCACAGCCGAATATCTTTAAATTGTTAGTTCTCAATAGAATCAGGGAGACACGTAAATTTTCAGACCATTATAAATTATTGAGTAACTGTTTCAAATTTAGATTTGCTTTTAAAAATAAGAGTTGCTGTTTCTGAAATAAACATATCAGTCATTATTTTAAAATTTAGAAATAAAGGTAAAAACCTAAGGCTACTCCACTATCATGCTTATTTTCAAGCCTTATAAATAATAGAAATGATGATTTCTGTAATATTGTAGATGATGGACAGCTTTAAAGCTTTCCAAAACAAGGCTAAGGAAAAAGCCGACCGAGAAAAGCAACGATTAGAGACCTTGGAATTGAAGAGGCAACAACGAGAGCAGGCGGAAAGAGAAAGAGTTAGGGCTGAGAATGAAAGGAGAAGAGAGAGGGAGGAGGAGGATGCGTTGGAAAAAGCAAGGTATGTAATAAATCGCATGATTATGTTTTTCAAAATCGCAATCCAAGGTTACGAGTGCATCTAGCGAGGTAAAGTGACATGCAACTATGAGTGTATGTCATCAATGATTTCATTGTATTGATGTTTATTCAAGGATATTCTGCTTTTAATTAGTGTGAATTAATTAATATTGTATTATTTAAGAAACTTAATTATGGATATCCAAAAAACGCATCGTATATTTAAGGAGCCTTAAACGTTTTAATTTTTGAAATGACTATGAAGTTCGCCAATTTTGGCCTAACAGACAAGGTTAGAAATCGCTCTAAAATTAAGTTATTTCAAAATACTCTTCGGAGTCTTGTAGAGCATGGTTTTTAATTCAGATACTTGACGACCTCAAGAATTATAATTTTTAACTGAGTTTTAAGCATTGAATATACCCATTCTTAGGGCTTATAACTCAAAAATGGTCAGCTTTAGAAAAAAGTTGATGGAAGCCTTCTTTGTTTTAAAAAGCAATTAAATTATTAAAATTATAATTTTTGAGATCTTTAGGTATCTAAACCAAAGTTAAAACCTTGCTCTACAAGACATTGAAAAGTATTTTGAGATTAGTATACTTTAAAGCTATTTGAATCTTGTTCTGCAAGCCAAAATCGGCGAACTTTTGGTGTTCACAGACTGTACTCTAGTCTTATAAACACTGTCTCAGCCCATAGTTGTTGTTACAGTGCGTTGTCGAGGATTAATGCAGCTTTTCCTTTTATTTGCAGGAAAGCTGTAGCTGAGCAGCAACAGCAACCGATCTCATCACAGAGGGTGGAGGAATTGAGGTCGTCGCCGGGAGAGGGTAGTACGTCTCCAAGTTCATTGAGTTCCGGATCAGAACGGATATCGGAACGAGAGAGGCAAAGGCTGCAAGAACAGGAGAGAAGAAGACGAGAAGTTGTAAGTATAATCCCTACTATCATAAATCAGAAAGTGTGGATGTTTGTTCCTGAATGACGCCAAAGCGGCTAAACGTATCTTGATGAAATTTGGTACAGAGATAGTTTTTAGCCCGAAATAGCACCTAGACAACTTTTTATTGCGGGAAATAATTTTGAAATACCTATTTCTCTGACTGTAATTGATAAATGGAATTTGAAGTGAGGTATCTGGCACGGAAGCGCTCACTCGCTGATCCGACCGAAATGAGTAAGGCTTTGTGCATTTACTGCAGTTCGACATTTGTTTTCGAGTATTAGATTTGTTTGGTTGAGCCCCAAAGCTTCTCCTCTGAACAAGCCAGTGCAGTACTGTATTTGATATTGCAATTTATCCAGAACCCAACAACTTTGTTATCCTTTGTTATCCTTATCTTTAGACTGTGGTATATGCCCTCCTATTAAATTTGTTCTTTTACAAGAACTACAGTAGCGGACAAAAGTTTGGAAAAAAATATTAATATTATTCTGAACTATTTCATATACATAAATTAAAATTGTGAAGGAACAGGTATTATAAACATTAAAGTCTACCTTTGACTCCCGTACTAATACAACTTATTAATATTCAAATTTTCTGAAAATAAAAACACGCGTTTTTTTTAAATACCAAACTTTTTGTAACGATAAAAGTGTGGAAACATTTCAGTTTTGCCGTATTTATTCGTTCTGCGATATTCTGATATTGCGTGCGGTAAATATTAACATCAGTGAAAATGGCAAAAGTAAAGGAATTTTCAAAAGATTTGAGAGACAAAGTAATTGAATTGTTTAGAAGTGGTGTCAGAAATGATAACATTTCTCACAGATTAAAAATAAGCGAAGGGACGATTTCGAAAATTATTTGTAAATATCAAGAATACGGATCAATAGCAACGTGGCCCAGGTGCGGAAGACCGAAAAAAAAAACGATTATGTTTTGGATCGCTACATTACAAGTTTGTCCCATAAAGATCCTCGAATGCCAGCCACACAGAAGAATCGTAGAAGACGGTGCCGAGAATCTTTCTATGAGAACAGTTTGGTAGATTTTGGTAGGCATCCAGTGCAAAAAGCCTCTCATTTAAAAAAAATCGTATTGTTCGGCTTGAATTTGCCAAAACTTACCTAACTTGGACAGAACAACAATTTAATATAGTTTTATGGAGCGATGAAAACAAATTTAACTTGTTTGGGCCTGACGATACGGCATATGTGAGACGTCCAATACGAAAAAAGATTCGACAAACAGTATCCAGTTGCCAACAGTTGACCACGGTGGAGGCAATATCATGGTTTGGGTCTGTTTTTCTAGTTCTGGAACGGGTCAAATTGTTGGGAAAATGGATCAAAAACTTCACAAAGATATTCTTAGTGAACACAGGCTCCCTTTTGCTGAAGAAGAAATGCCTGTACGATGGTCATTCCAGCAAGATAATGACCCCAAGTATACATCAACATTCGTAAAGGACTGGTTAAGACTAAAAAATGTTAACGTTCTTACATGGCCTTATCAATCCCCGGCCCTAAATCCTATAGAACATGGGAGCATTTTAAAAGACAACTGACATGAAAAACTTTTAAAAATAGGAACGATTTATTTGATTATTAAAAAAATATTTGGCAAAATATCCCAACGGACGTCTGTAAAAAATGAGTCTTCTAAGAACAGCAGATGTCAGGCAGTGTTTTTTAAATCTTATTGTATTTAATTTTGTAAAAAAAAAAATATGTTTCCATACTTTTGCCGTCTCATTTTCGGTTATAAAATAATATGAAGGTATTTTAAAGCTAGTCTGTAGTACCACATCAAACACAAATTTTCATTTGTATCCTCAAGGTAAGCAAACTATATGTAAAAAATAGTCCTTAATAATAAAGAATAAAAAAATTTCACACTTTTTAAAAATTACTAAGAATGTTTCCAAGCTTTTGTCCGCTACTGTATACGTTGGGTTAGCAGAGTCCCAAACTTAAGAACAGCCTGTATTTAAAAGTATTTTTTTTTCAGATGGCTAACAAGATAGACATGAATATGCAGAGTGACCTGATGGCAGCATTTGAAGGCTCCTTGTCGGTGTGAAGAGAAACAAATAGTGCAACTAGAGTGAGAGATTTCCCTATAGTGGGACATTTGTGTATAATATTTGATGTAATTTGTAATTTATATACGACGATATACTTTTATCAGGCGTTTAATAAGTAGACGCTCAAACAGGAGATACTTATACGATTATATGCTTCCAGGATATACGACGTGAGTTGACACAGCTTTAGTGGATGATTTCTGAATCATTTAATTTTTTACTGTTGAGTGAAAAATAGCCCTCCATTTTTTTTCACGCTTAGTTTGTATATAGAATACTTATTGTACAGATATATGGGTTGAGTAGCAATGAGTTAGGTTTTTTCAATTCGACTCTAGTATTTAAGTGATATTCAATGGAGAGTCATTATATTATTGCACCCCCAGCCATTGTGATAGTTCAAGTGATTTGAGAAACAAAATAGACAGCGAGATATATTGCTAAAAATTCTTAATTTATGATGTACTTTTTTAATTTGGAATATTTTGGAGCTTACTGTTACTTTTTTTGCCATTCCCATTTTTTACACAAGCTCAATATTCATGCTTCTTGTTTTCTTGATACAGGTGTTTTACACAGCTCTACTGGAGAATATAACTATAGCCCCACTAACAATTTTTGTGTCAATGTAACTTTGTATAACTTACTAGGATGAATTTGTTGTTGAATTGCATAAGCCCAATACTTATTATTTTTGTTTGTTTTATCATTCCTACAAGTTGTACTAAGTTGCAATTAAACTAAGGGAAAGAAAGCCAAAAGTTGTTAGAAGCGCTATAGTTATGCTCTCCAGTTAATATTGTTTTATTAGATCTGTGATTTTGTTTCACTTGAACTATCCAAATGATTTACCTCAACAAAAAAGTGTGTATGATTTGTTTCATATGCGATACTCATATTTTTATTTGAATAGCCGTTAAGGATTTTTTCATTGCCTATAAGGCAATGGCAATAGGTGAAATTATCCCTTTCTACTGTCTTTGTCCAGTTTTGCGGATACGAAACTGAATGTTCGTCTGTTTTCTGACCTAAAATGTGAAGTGAAATTGATATGTATCAGAGAGGAACTTTTCGAAAACTTTACTTGGTTGACCGCGGTTTATATTTTTATGACTGTTTTCCCGAAATAATTGTAAAGTCTGCTTTTATTGATGCAAGTTGTTCAATGGGGTATTTAAAACCTAAAATGGGTACACCAGTTTTTGTGGGAAAACTTTTTATTCGACAACAAAGAATGAGAAAACGTGTTTTTGGGATTCAATCAAAGTATTGGCAATAACGAGAAAACCCTTCAAATAAGATTTTTAGGTATTTATGAGATCTACACACGGGAAAAGATCCCACTAATAGTAAAATAGTTATGGCCGAAAACCAAGGCAAAATGCAGGTTCCGGCAGTTGTTGCTAATGCGACGATAATTTCAAGCAGCTACTTGAAATTCTTCAAATCAGTAGGCTTCTTAGTTCTTAATAACCACAACAAAATTGGAGTAGATTGGTCAAGTAGTTTTTGAGAATTTCTAATGGCTTATCCCAAAACACCTGTCTTCCGGCCATCACTACTAGTTTATCGAGTAATATACAGGGTTCGGTCAAAAGGCATTTTATAGCAAAATGCACGAGTTTACCTTGCCGACATGAATCACAAGCCATTCCGAAAGATAATATTTTTATGCGATAAAACGGAGAAACGGAGTGTTACGTTTTTTTCTTCTAAACAAATTCAAACATTTCGTATTTATAAGTAATCTTTTTCTTCGCAACAAAAGGTGGTAGACACATCCGCTTTAAACTAGTAGTGATGGCCGGAAAACAGGTGTTTTGGGATAAACAATAAGACATTCTCAAAAGCTACTATTCAGAAGTAACAAGGCTTCGGATTTAAAGAATTTCGAGTAGCTGCGTGAAATTATTGTCGCATTAGCAACAACTTGGTTTTCGGTCATAACTTTTTTATTATTAGTGGGATCTTTTTACGTGTGATCTCATTCTGTAGGACTCATAAATACCTAAAAATCATTTAAGAGTTTTTTCATTTCTGCCAACACTTTAGATTAAATCCCAAAGAAAAAAAAACGTTTTCTCATTCTTAGTTGTCGAATAAAAAGTTTTCCCACAAAATTTGCTATACCCATTTTATGCGTCCATATTTTAAATACCCCCTTGAACAACTTGCATTAATAAAACCAGACTTTACAATTATTTCGCAAACCTGGATATAGAGCTAATCCCCGTAACACTGTCTGCTCCAATGAACCAATTAATTCATTGGTCAAATGATATCTATGAAATACAAATGAGGGTTGTATAATTTTGACTGATATCTTGACCAAGTACCTGTTGACAATGGTAAAGTGTATCGTTGCCAGAATTAAATGGGCCAATGGGTCATGGAGACGTCTTGAGGTTGTGATCAGAACCTGTTTTGCGGCATAGATAAATGATACTTGTATATCTGAAAAATAAATAGTACAAACTAGACCAGTGGTTCCGACAAAGATATACTTTCAACCTACCATACTTTTTGGTGGTGCGTGCATTTCTTGGAGAAGTTAAAAAAGTATTCGTCACTGTTTAGATATGATAGAAACTGTCCAATTTATTCAAGCTTTGTTACAAATCATTGTCCGCAAATCTAGTAAGATTTTTTCAAGCAGTGTGATCCTTCAAAGATAATAATTGTATACGAGGTTTGTTCGGCAAATACGTATAAAAGTCTAATAATAACTTTATTTTACAATTGTTCAGGTATTTCTATATGGTCTCCTTCAAAGTACTCCCCCTGAGACAAGATGCACTTCTGCCAACGCCGTTTCCACTGTTGATACGATCACTGAAAGTCTTCAATTGTGAGGCTCTTCATTTGCCGTGTCGTTTCTGCCTTGATGGCTCCCACATCCCCCAAGTGCCGCCCCCAAAGCACTATTTTGCATTTTGGGAACAGGAAGAAGTCGCAAGTGGCTAAATCGAGTGAATAAGGCGGGTGTTCTGTGAGGAAATTGAGCTTCGGGCCAAAAACTCACGCACAACGAGAGACGTGAGCAGACGCGTTGTCGTGATGAAGGATCCACCACACGAGCTCTGAGGAGACGCAAAACTTAATTTCCGTCACTGTCTGACCGGAGGGACAAATTCCTGGTGAACAAAGCCCCGAGAATCAAAGAAAACAATCAACATTGTTTTCACATTGGACTCAAGAGCTTCGCACAATTGTGTCATTTCAAGTTTTTCTGTCAGAATTTCGTGGACAATTGTTTTGGGGATTCCTCAGCTATCATTCTAACTGTTATTCGACGGTCTTTAAGTACACAGCCCCGAATTCGTTCCCTCATAGCTCGATGTGGAGGGGCGTCCTGAGTGTCGGTCATCTTTTACATCTTCTCAGCAGTCCCGAAACCTTTCCAACCACTTGTTGATGGTTGGTTCCTTCAGAGAATTGTCTCCGTCAACTTGTTTCCAAATCTCACGACCATTCTTGTCAAGCTTTGCAAGAAACTTGATGTTGATGCGCTGTTCCTCGATAAGAGCCGACGGCAGGTAAAAAAAGGGTCACTTTCAATAAGCACACGTAATTCCTACTTACTCGCAGAGCGCTCCGGCTCGAACTGAGCATAGAGGGGATTGCATAGACACATTGAACCACCGGGCCGCCCCTCCACGACGCCCCGAATTTTTATTTTCCGGACCAACCTCGTATATGTCACACTTTTTGCAGAAATAATCTCTACTACGAAAGTTATCTTAAACTCCTAAATTCTACTTTTTGAATGCTGAATGACGATATCATATGGTTTTGAAAAACAAGTTGCATCACCAGTTATAGGCTTTATGTAGATTGAATATTTTGGTGGTTTAAGTTTTGAAACTCGATTTAGGTCTGCCTTAACTTCGAAAAAGATGAACATTCTCATAGGAAATATCAAACTTCATGACCACAAATGGAAAAAATACTTCTGCCATATATTTTTTAAAAGAAAGTAGCTAATATAAGAAAGTCGACAAAGACAGCCTAAGGAGATCTACAGGATTTCTTGTACAGTAATGAATAAAGATTGTACTACAGGTCGTTATGATTTTTCGATCATCTTATGTTATAACTGTATTTTTTGAAAGAACAAATTACGGCTTGACTGAGTACGTACAATTATGTATCTGCTAATTTTATTTTAGCAATCGAAAAACAGCAAAAATAGTTACTGTATAGGATGGTAAGATGTGTGCCACACAATTTTTATTAAGTTTGTAGTCTGCAGGGTGAAACCAGGACTTTAAGGCATGTCACACCTTGTGTAAGGCACTAATGTTCATAATGTAAAGTATTAAATAAAAAAATAAACCAAATGCATATAGTCAAAAAAACAGTTTTTGAGAACGAAATAGATAAATGCCATAGTTGCTGGAAATTGTTGTAATTTTATAGGTGGTTTTATAAAAGGAAATATTCCTAGCATTCTTAAATTTCAGGCTTTATAGATTTCCCTTTTCATATCCTTATACTATCACATAAATGCGGAAGACGTAGACTTCTACTGGCGGTATCTTTAAGAAACTAAACGCTACCTGATTAAGTTTGCTTTCATGTTTATTTCAGAAATTTGTCACAAATATAGTTTCATGTAAAATCAATGAAACTTCAACCAGTTCTGAGAGATGTTGAAGTATCTGACTCACACTGATGGGAGAAAACACTTGACAAAATTGTACAAAAATAGTGATTCTCGTGCATTACAAACAGTGATCAGTAGTTGTAGATATACATTCATATCTATATCTTATCTTCATATTGAAGATAGGAAATTGTAATATGATTTATTTATATTGAAAATAGCATCACATACTGTAGAGGCACTTTTACAAAATCACCGACGGATATTTCCTTTTAAAACACAATCTTTTGATGCCAAAATGGCAGGCACTACTATCTTGTGTTTTCTAATAGAATAGATTGGTTCCTATTTTGCAAATGGCATCGTTGATTCAGTGTGTTTTGGTGTCAAAAGTAATAATAGCACTACACTAAAAAAGAAAAAACTAAAAAAGATTTCTTCACTAAATTTTGTTTTATATATCAGAGTGTTTCGAATTTGAAAATTGTAATTTGATTCAGTTTTGTAAGATACGGTTTTCTATAGGCTATTTTTTCTTTAGCGCAGGGTGTCCAGTGGGAAAGTTCACTATTGGATCTAAGAAAAGAAAATATTTATTACTATCAACATATTCGAAAATTCGTCGGGTTTTATTTCTTAAATATCATTCCGTCCAAATGTTTGCCATCCCTTCGGACACACTCTTCTAATCGCGCGCGCAAATTCTGAAACACTCTTGCAGAGTTCCGGAGTGATGTTGTTTATTTCTCGTCGAATGTTGTCTTTAAGCTCCCCCAGTGTTCGTGGTTTTTTGGAATACACTTTTGACTTGTCGTGAGGTCGGGTGACCTAGGAGGCCAGTGAATGTCTCCAAACTTCGATATAACTTATTGAGGAAAAAGTGATTTCACCGTGTCCATCGATTCTCTGGAAGTATGGGCAGTGGCCCCATCCCGTTGAAACCATGTGTTTCTGTTAAATCGACGTTCTGTTCTTACAATAGGAAGAGGATTTGCAATGACCGAATCACTTACTCTACGCACGTTTGTGTGGGGCCAGGAATGGGTTGGCTTTTTCAATAGGTTCTTACTTGAGGCATCTCTTGGTCAACGAATGTTGTATCGTGTACAAAATTTCCGAAGGGCAGCTGCGTATGAATTACCACTCTTAAAGTAAGCCGATAGCAAAAGCACGTTGCACTCCGGTCCAACGTTCCATTGTGACTATCTAACCCGCACGCCGAACGCGTCGATCAAGACCTCTCCCCACTTCCTCGCGTATACGGTTGCCGCGTATTCAAATTTGAAATATGAACTTTCCCACTGGACACCGTGTATTTCGTGGTCATGAGCAATATTAACCATGGTAACATAACTAGAACCTTTGTTTTTCACATATCTCAAATAGACAAACAGATACGTTTTAAAGAAGTACAAGCTTGCTCACGATGTATCTTGAGCCTGCATCCCAAACATTTCGAAAAGTTGATGAGAGCTTAAAAAAGACTTAAATATCTACTTCTTGAAAAATGTGGACTGTTGTATAAATACCAAGTGGACAATTTGTGTGAATGAGTAGAATTTGAATGTAGCAATTAATTGATCTGGGTATGTTGCCATCTTTATTTTCTTAATATACTTCCATATTAGCTTCCCGTATCTCGGAACGTATAAGTGTAATCGTGAATTCCTAATTTCTTGTGATTTTACTCTGCATGTCCTCAGCCTAGACAATTTCTGTTTAGTGATGATATGTGAAATTGTGGAAACCTCTAGGGAGTGACTCGGCTCTGTTTAAGTGATTTTCATTGTGGGTATTCATTATCAAATTCATTATATTTTTGAAGGTTGTGAGCATGTTTGAGAATGTGGAAAACATATATGGTTGTAGTGGAACTGAATTTTTTACCTCCATTTTTAGTGATGGAACTTAATTACCATTCTGTATATTATTTCTAAATAGCAATAAGGTACTTCCGTAAATAAATATTTTTAACTTGTTCCAATTGTTGTTTAGTTTTATGCTTTTTTAAATTATGTTGTAAAAATATTTGTAATATAAACTGTTCAAAACCCTATTTACATTACCAAAATAAATGAAAGTATCATGTTACTCCATTGCATATTTACCTGTTTTTACCTACATACATAATATCTAAAGGGAAAATGAAAAATGTGTCTCACTGCATTTTTACAAAGAAAAATCTATTTCAATTACCACTCTTTTTATTTATATTTATAATAATAAAAATGTAAAATAATTTATATGTATGGCTGTTATATATTTTTTCATTATTTTGAATTTAAGTCATAAATAGTGATGTTAGAATAAATAATTAATACTTTACAAATTAGTTTTATTTTTTAATAGGATTTTTCGTGTTTAGAAGTCGGCATCAATATAGCACCTTTTAGAATATTTTGCTTGTTTTCCGACTTATGTGTAATGCACTCGGGAATTTGGGAGCCTGGGCTGTATGCCGCCTAGGCGTCCAGGCAAAAAGATTAGAGGTGCACAACGCTAGAGATAGAGGGGGTGAAGTCAAAAAAGTCTACCATGAAGTAGTACACTTCGCAGACGGTCTACGCCCGCTAGATTTTCAAGAATCACACCATCCTGGGCGACAGGATTTACTTAATAATAATAATAATAATAATTCATGTGAATATGGCTGCATGGACAGTATACCCTATTTCACGAGTATCCCATCACGCTTTGACGTCTACTGAGGTGAACGCTGATCTGCAAGTGACATTTTTGTGTTAGTCTGCGACGTTGGTAACAATGAATCGGATGTAACTCTCTTTAAACAGGTATGTATACTTTATCTGAAGTCACTTGAAATAGCATAAAAACCTTTGGTCGGCGCGTCCTTTGTAATTTCATGACGTATCATAGGCGTGCGGTCATTTATTTAGAAGGATAATAATAATGTTTTTATATCACAATAAATGGATTTTACTATCTTCTTATTTTTCTGATTTGGGATAAAAAATACTTATATTGGGAGTTTAATTTATGTTGACTGAAAGTTAAGAAATGGAAAAATTACAGAATTCCAACGTTTGACATAGGCAAATATTTAAATAGCAGGTAGGTATATAAAAAGGTATATAAAGACTTACATTATAGGTATTTATATATCATCCTCGCCTTCGGAGCTGTCGCTAGAGTCATCTTGTAGAGGAATTACAACGGGATTTACAGGAGGCAAAACACAATATTCATTTTCTTTTTCAATAATATGCCTAGAACCCTGCTTCCATAGGTCTGTGGCAGCAATATGAGATACTGCATCTCTTAGTGTGGCCAATAGCGATTCACTTAATTGAGGGGTCTGATTATGTTTTCTTACTTTTTTTTTAAAGCAGCCCAGACCAACTCAATCGGGTTAAAAATGCAGTAATAGGGAGGTAGACGTAATACTTCATGGCCATTTTGCTGAAGCAGATTGTCAACAACATACTCTTTTTCAAATTTTTGTCTTTTAATAAGATCCAATAATATGGCTTTGGTTGATTTTTGTGGTATTTCCATTCCCTTATCCTTCATAAAATCAATAATGTCTTGCTTTTTGTGCCTGTACTCGGAATTTTGTTTTTTCTGTCGGGAATGGTATGGCGCATTGTCCATAATAATCACTGAATTTGGGGAAATGTTTGGTATTAACTGCTGCTCTATCCACTTTTCAAATAAGTCGGAGGTTATGTCCTCATGATAGTCGGCACATGATTCTTTGATATTTTTGGCAGATAACAGCAAGGCATTAGGTATAAATCCATTTTCACTGCCAGCATGGAGAAAAATGATTCGTTTTCCACGGTTGCATGGTGCATTTAAAATGCACTTGTTGCTCTCGTCAACCCAGCCGTACTGCACAACATCATGGGTATCATACCACGTTTCATCAAGGTAAATCAGATTTCTTTTCTGCTCTCTATAGATTTTAACTTTGTGCAAAAATTCTTGGCGCAATTCAACGATTCGCGGCGACTCCATAATCACCATTCTTTTATCTAATTTTTTGTATTGAAAACCACACAGTTTTACAATACAGTGCAGTGAGTCTAAGCATTTGTAATTATAAAAATCTTCAGGATAATCTTTTAATTTATCCCGTATCATTTCCAACGTGGGCACCAAATTTTCTTTATATAATCCGTATATTATACGACGAATATCTTCCTGAAAACCCACGTCTATTCTTTTTAATTTTTGCCCTATGCGCTTTCTGTGGAAGGAATGGTTGACTACATCTCCCCTTTTTATAACCCGATAAATGGTAGACCGACTGATTTTTGTCAGGATACAAATTCTGTTTAAAATTTGATTTTGCGAGGAATCTGGATTTTCGTTTTTCAGACAATCATACATATTTAGGATTACTCTTTGGGTCTGTTCCTCTAAATCTTTATGAAAGAATTCTGCCTGCACAGGTTCATCAACCATCTCCTCGTGGCTTGGAGCATTTTCCCAAGGTCTCCAAAGAGCCATATTTAGGACACACCAGAACAATCAACACAACAAGTAAACTGAGTATTCAAAAGTCAAAAACACACAAAAAACTAATAAAATCTATGAAAAAACACGGACAGACTAAAGAAAACACGTTTATTCACCGCTACACGGCACTGGCTAAACTGCTTCAATTTTCAGTAGCCACCTGCACTTGTTCGGAGCTCTGAAATACACGCTTTCTCATTGGCTATGTCCACGCATAGGCGTGCTTTACTCTACGTGGACCGGTGAAACTGGCTTTGATCTTATATTTGCTGCGAAATTTGGCGATTTTTGCAGCAACAGAGCGTGTTAAATATAGATATATAAAACGCACCCGGTATTTCACAGTGTTTCAAGTGACTTCAGATAAAATATACCGTTTTGTTGTTTGTATACAAATGGACTTTTCTAAATAAAAGTGATGTTAGCAAGTACAAAATGCATCTGTAGCCTACAAAAACCAAAACAAAATACGGCTCTGACTACCTGACGTTGACGGATCCGTCAGAGTTATGTGACCTGTGCCGATATGGGAAATTTTGAGATATTACTAGATTATCAGCTGTCATTCTTCCCTGCCATATTCTATGCCCACTAAATTTCCGAGGGCCGATTTTTTATCGGTAGGCTCTGCTTAAACACGCGCCGCTTTTTAACCAGTGCAGTGCTGATTTCCAATATTATTTATAATGAATCCCCAACGAGTTATTGCAATGTGGTTACTTTACCAGCGTATAAAGCGTCGGAGAATTAAGCGGAAGTTCTGGATTCATTTTTCTCTTTGGACTCCATTTCTTTAAAATCCTAAATCAGTTCGCAACAAACTTGGCTACATGCTTCTCTAGTAGCGTTTCTGCTTTTAAATATGTCCAAAGTTTATCCTATAAAACTGGTCTTGCTTCCACTAGCGCACTTAGTATGTCATTATCCATGTTTATCTCTTTATCCATTGTAAACGTATATGCAGTCGTAATCACGACCTTTCAATAATAGGTGAGTGTGCAAGCTCCTATTCAAATACGTATGCCTCTATATTCCCGGTACCGGAGCATCATATTCCCGGTACCGGCTCATCACAGTGACAATGTCCGGGTGTTAATCGGCTTTTTTCCGGTGCCGGTCGGTGGTCGGCCAGTGTGCAAGCTTCAATGCCCTCCAATGGTTTACTATTAAAATGTGGTCGGCCGATATTTTATCGGCCGTCCAAAATCGGTGTGTATGCAAGTAGCCATACGCAGTTCCTATTTCTAGTCTTCATGCGCCCAAGCCAAATGCGTGCATGATGCTTGATACACCCTGCCCTACACAGATTTCTTGACTGCAGTTGAAAGACGGAAGGTGCTTAAAAAAACTCCATGACTGCGGAATTTCCGATTCAGTCTTGCGCATGCAAACAGTCGTAATGTGTTATCAAACTTTTTGGAGTATCCATAATTACGAGTATACTCAGTGACATTAGAAGAGTTACACCCAGAAAAAAATAATGTATTCAACTTAATTTTTTTTACAATGAGGTACCTAGTCTTACATCAAGAATGAAACGATAACATTCTCACGTAATTTTATTGACAAGTAATAAGAAAAAAAAATAATGTGTTGGCCGGCCCTACAGCTGAATACACTCCTCTATACGTCTAGGCATCGACAAAATGAGATGATCGATGTCTGGTTCTGGCACAACATTCCAAGCAGCTCGCACTTCGTGGATTAGCTGTGGCAGATGGTGCAAGTGGATAGTCCCCTCCCCATCATATCCCACACATGTTCGATGGGATTTAAATCAGGTGAACTGGGTGGCCACGGCAAAACATTAACGCCTAATTCTTGAAGAAAGTCCGTAGTACGACGAGCAATATGGGGACATGCGTTGTCTTGCTGAAAAATCAGTGGTTTGTACGAAATCAGCAACATAACGCGCATCAGTCACATTGCCTTGAACAAAGGGAAGGGGTAATCGGTTACCACAGACTATTGCCCCCCAAACCATTACTCCAACAGTCCTGTGAAAATGCGTCAGTCCGAGTAAAGATAACATGGCTACGCAAGACAACCGTTGAAGTAAAGGCAATTATTCTACCCCTGTCAAAGGTGATAATTTGAACGTCTTCGAACTCGAGGCATCTTGTTATGCTTAAGACTGGTAAATGAAAGGACAATAACTTTTTTTATATACTCCAACCACCACGAAGGCTTAAAAACCCATGGGGCTATAGGGTGATACAGGGGAAAGAGGGAACGCCACACGGACTCTGGCGAGGGAAAACGCGTGCATGCAACATGCACACATTCTGGTCCCGCCTACGAGATCCGCCGGGTGGTACCTCTGCGTTCGACAGTCAGAGACCATATACCACAAAACATATACACTGAAGAAGGTTTAATTCCATGCTATTCAATGGCAACACGGTGACTTGCATGGTTGTCAGGGGCCATTTTTTGAGGGTGCGACATGGTTGTCATATTATGCACCAGCAACACTGCTTTGTTTCCCATTCGCCAATATGAGTTTCACCCATCGACTTTAAAACTGTGTTGCCGCTTGGTAGACAAGCGCGCGTACCCTAGCATTACGCAAACATCAACGGGAAAAATTGCCGTCATGCCGTCAAGCAGTTCTCACGTTCTATGTATTGAAATGACGCGCATATTTTTATTTACCCATGAGCATTAGATGAATTGAATGCGACGTCTCCCGTTTTTACGACTTTTCAAACTTAAAAATCAAAAGACGTTTTCAGTTATTTTCTATATTTAACCGGTTCCAATTCAATAACGGTAATATGTCGGATTCCGAATCAAGTTGCTCTGGAAGAGAGAACCACAACAGAAGACGCGATACTCTCGAATACAGAAAATAAAAAAAAAGGAGGGGAATCTTTGAAGAAAGCCAAATATAGACAGCAAGCTTATAGGTAAGAGTGGGAAACAAAAGAGCCCCCCCCCGAGACGTAAATTTCTCTTCATCATGAATCCTGAGATAACCTAAGGCACGGTGTAGGATAATGTACGATAATTTTGACGTGTTTGTATTATAATTCCCTGTGACGAATCTGGCAACGCGGCTAGAGGTGCTGAAACTGAAATCCGTTGCGTTCAGTACAGTAAGCCCCAATGCAAGTGAGGAGGAGGATGTTTTGTTTTTCAACAAAGCCAAAACAACACGTAATATTAGATATAATGAACTATTTCAACAAAATAATCTTTTCATCAAAAAATGGGGGTTTTTAATGAATAAATGTTTATTCGCCATTACAATAATAATAATTTTTCAATATTAACATTAATGTTATTACAGCTGTAAGTTGTACCAGCTACTCATTCTAATTACATAATATTAATTTCTACATTATTTTAAACAATGTTTAAGCTTTTGGTTTTTTTTATATTCGTCTGCTTTTTGGCATTTGATATAGTATGTGAGCGTATTTTACGGGAATTTTGGATATTTACTAAAAATAAGTATACAGGGTTATCCAAATTAAGTGTCCACCATTAGTAAGTTTGTTATTAGTGAAAATACAAAGTTGTTTGAATTAGCAAACTAGTAGCATTTTTAACGCTGGTAAAAATGAGAAATAAAAAAAAACAATTGACAGTCGTTATTTTGATTTTTTTCAGTAAAATAACATTTTTTTAAAAGGAAACCCCTGTATATTATATTTTTTTCTGTTAAAGCATCAAATTTTAAACAAAAAAGCTTACAATAACTTTTCTCCTAGGTTACAAATTGTTGAAGTTATGGCCTCCAATCTGAAACAATTAAATTGTATCGACAAACTTTATTTTCAACATCAACTTATAATCTTACAAAATACAATAACAATTTTTTTTAAAGAAGATGCTCGAAAACACCACCTTGTTCTTCAATACATTTTTGGGCACGTTTTTCAACTGCTCGAACTGTCTTAAGTATGGTCCTACCATCTATCTGGGTTATCTTTTCCCTAACTGCAGTCTTTAACGCGTCAAGGTTATCGTACCTTCGCTTGTAAATTTGGTTCTTTAAGTAACCCCACAAGAAGTAATCAAGTGGGTTTAGATCTGGTGATCTGGGAGGCCACTGTATTGGGCCATTTGTTCCTATCCACTGATCATTAAAAGTAGTACTTAGAAAGTGATAAGTACCTCTGGAGTTGTGGGCAGGTGCGCCATCTTGCTGAAAATGCAGATGATGATTGTCTACTTATAAGATCCAATTCGTCTAAGAAATTAGTCAGAATTTCTGACATAAATTCCACATATCTTTCACCAGTTAGGGTTCCCTCATAAAAGAACGGGCCAACAATTTTTGAACCAATTATACCGCACCAAACGTTGAAACTGAAACGGACTTGTGGGCCTCTTGGATGTACTAACAATGTATATGTATGTATGTATGCAAAGTGCTTCTTATGCATATAACATGTTTTTTTTTATTGTCACGTGTTGTCGAAAGCGTTAATCAATTAATTGATTAAAATATTATTTACCAGATTGTTTTTAGAATGAAATGTTAAGTAAGAAAGAAAATGACATGATGAAAAAAGTAAGGTTATTTTTGCAAAGCACAGAGCACAGGAAGAAACCCGCCGGAGATTTACATGTGGCCAATCAGACAACGTCTAACGTCAGTTGTGAATGAGCGGCCATTTTTGAGGGTGCGACATGGTTGTCATATTGTGCACCAGCAACACTGCTTTGTTTCCCATTCGCCCATATGAGTTTCACCCCCCTGCTACTGCCTGACTATTGCGGCCACCGCTGCTGCCTAAACATATCTGTACTACTCAGCCCTCAGAAACTGCTTTCTTCACAAAAACTAAGAGATAACATTTTAACAAAGGTAAACAAAAACAAAGATAAATCGTCGCCACAGCATGCTTCAAATATAGACATTATGTTGCCAAAAAAACAAGTTGAAGAGATTATTTCTTCTAATATCCCTGAGTATATTAAAAGGAATGATTCAAACCATTTCATCTTACATGCAAGTCAGTAGATATACTGAAAAATTGAGAAGTCTGGCAATGATGGCTTTGCGCCATCTATTTGAGGTATTAATTAGGTTTGATATCTGAATAGAAACCTGCTCCTTCCACGTTTGGTTATGCAGGCAGATTTTATAGCTTCTTATTGTGTATGAGAGGGGGCGCCATCAGCGTCATAATTATTTGAGAGACTTGTGGGTAAACAGCGCTCCCTATCGTTGATATTTGTAACACTGTAACACAACTGTCTTTTGACAAATGTCTAAAATGTCGTTACAGCTTTTCAAAATAATTTTATTAACCATCATTGCTCATTTTTGAACGATTTGTAAATTGTACTAGGTACCGCAAAAACCTCATTCTCTTAATTAATAACTCGGTGATAAAATTAGTGCCTATTAAACTCAACAAAATGAACGAAACGAACCGGCTATAAGTTTGGCGGGTTTTATACAAACAATAGTCGAATAGCTTAATGGCCGCATATCTAAAGGTCGGATGGAGTTCTTTAAAAGACGGAGGTCCTACATCCAGTAAGTAGCAACACCACTTTCGCTTTCAATGTACACATAATTCTTGTAAACGGCGGCATATGTTTAAATTCACTCTCAGAATAAGAAACTGACGCTTCAATCCTTAGGGTGTGATCATCATTATTTATCTGGCAGCTATCAGCCAATTTCATGTAGTTTTCTTCGTATTTATCGCGATTATCACGGATTTAACTATTAAAACCTCGTGTATTGCAGGTGTAGTGTTTCTGTGTGTAAGAAATGACGTCATATCGAGGGAAGAAGCTTGATCAGCAAACTACCCTGCCTGACAGTACCACCGAGATGCCAGAGTTCTCCACAGGGCAAGATGTCCTGGTGAAACAGAAAGACGATCGGTACTATCTTGGTACTGTTGTTCAGGTAAGTTCTGAATACTTTGGATTAGCAATGGTTGATTACATCTGATCAACATGTTGCTTTCAAAATGTAGCAATGTCTTCTGTTAATGATACTAATGATTAATTGCATTCTTTAAATGGTGTACTCATTACTGTGCTTATTAATAGTTAATACACTTAATCAGCAGGTATCTTTAAAATACTTCTTTCACATCATTTGTTACTTGTTTTGTTCGTCAGATGTTTTCAACCATAGGTGATACATAGATTTAAGTTTTGGTATAACTCAAGTTGTATCATAAATTTTTCTTCCATTTTTACCGCAACATATAGCAGTGTTGTTTTTTAAAACTCAGTAAATTAAATAAACCTGTCAATATAAGTAAGGAATTTCTCTACACATCTTAATGTAAGAATTGTTTTGCTGTAGAGCTTTAGTATATTATTATTTCTCAAACACTGATGTGAAATGTGTGATTACTGTGTTGTTTCTGGTTTGTCAAATTGATAATATAAATTTACAAATTCCTTGATCTATAATTCTGTACTAATATTTGAATAAATAGAATTTGACTACACTATTTTTTGTTATATGTATTGTTTATTATAATTACTAGAGATTGACTGATGCAGGATTTTTGCTGATACCAATTATCAACAATACTGATATTTCAAAGGCCATCATATCACTGTAATTGGTGTGTGTACATGTTGGCTCTTAAGTTAGCTGCAACATGTCTATGTAAGTCAAAATCATGCATACTGGAAGAACTCATATTTCAAGATACTAGTTCCATTATATAATGGAAATATATATTATATATATTCTCATGATGATGAACATATGTTTGTGGTGGTGTTGCAAAATATGAATAAAAAATTAAATCATCTGTCCATTCACTGATCACAGATTGACATGCAGCACATGACTGATCCTATCTAATTCATGAATATTTACTGAATGCTGAAAGCCTTGAATTTTCTATTAGGTTTTATCTGTTGCAAGCAACTCAGGTTAAAAAAATTGGTTTCTCCAATATGAATCACATCTTGATTCCAATAAAAATTTGGAAATTCCTGATAGATTGCACTGTATGGAAATATTTTTACAAAAGACCAAAAAAGTTGACTGTGCAATTTGGATGCTATGAAAAAAACAGAAGGTTAGCTGATTGATGATTTGACGATGACATTTTTCATTATATCATGTTATGGCATCTCTTGGTATAAACAGCTCATCAGCAATTGACAACTTTGCATAAAAGTATGTGCTGTTGGAAATAATCTGGTGAAACTCTTGTCCACATTCACATCAAACACTGACGACATTTTTTTATATATGTGAGTGAAATGTAGTCATGATCCTTTGCCAGCCATATTGCATGCTAGAGACAGTACAAATCCATACCATACAGAAAAACACAATAAAAATAATGTCTCTGTCCACAAATCTAGCATTGACAGATCCCATCAGAGTTGAATGAGAATGTGCCTTGATACTTTGTTTTGGCATGATGAAGTACTGTGAAAAATAAAATTTTATGTTATATTGCTTTATACCAATTCAATAATTCTGATCCTTATTAACTTTCTGACGTTATCAACCTATGAGGGTGATCCCAGAAGTACCCGATCCAACGAAGAAAACAAAGATTTTGTAAAAAAATGTATTTTTTTTCAACATAATCTCCTTTGAGCTCTATACACTGTTCCCAGCAATGTTCAATAAGTTCGATACCCTTTCTTTAATAAGAACTGTCTTGCTTGTCAAAGTAGCCATTAACTGCCGACATCACTTCTTCATCGTTAGAAAATCTTTGACCACTGAGCCATTTTTTCAAGTTTGGAAACCGAAAATAATCCGAGGAGACTAAATCTGGTGAATAGGGTGGGTGCATGAGGTAGCAATTCAAACTTTAATTCGTTAATTTTGGCCATTGCAATAACGGATTTGTGAGCTGGTGCATTGTCTTGATGAAACAACTCTTTCTTATTAACCAAATGCGGCCGTTTTTGCTTGATTTCATAGCTCAAGTGTTGCAATAAGTTCGCATAATACTCGCCATTGATAGTTTTACCTTTTTCAAGATAGTCAATGAAAATTATCCCACACGCATCCCAAAAAAACCGACGCTATAACCTTGCCTGCAGGTGAAACGGTCTTCGCCTTCTTTGGAGCCGGTTGTCCTTTTTGAGTCCATTGTTTTGAATGTTCTTTTGTCTCGGGTGTGAAGTGATGGACCCATGTTTCATCCATGGTTATGAAACGACGCAAAAATTCTGCTTTGTTGCTGTGAAACTTCGCTAATCACTCAATTGAAACATCTCCACGACACTGTTTTTGCTCGATTGTGAGCAATCGCGGCACCCATCTTGCACCCAGCTTTCTCATGTCCAAATTTTCAGATAATACGCGATGAATCGCACTTTTTGAAATGCCTACTATGTCTGCTAGCTCGCGCACATTCAGTACCACTTTGTGAATTTTCTTCATCATTTCTGGAGTCGTCACCTCATTTGGTCGACCACTGCGATGCTCGTCTTGGTAGCTCATACGGCCTCGTTTAAACTCTCCTACCCAATATTTTACTGTTGTAAACGAAGGAGCACTCACCCAGAGTAGAATCCAGTGCAGCTTTTATATTGGTTGGGCTCAGGCCTTTGAAATAAAAGTATTGTACCACATAACGATGACCAATTTTCTCCATTTTCACAAATTCACTGAAAACGTTCAGTATTGATGGCTGCCAAACGAATACTAAACAACGTGGCGTCTTCAAACTTGACACATATGCTTTATAGGTTGCATACTTTCTAATACAATGATATTTTTCAAACTATCGCCATCTCTAGGTCAGACCTGGTACTTCTGGGACCACCCTCGTATATTGCCCCATATGGGCAGTAATATTCTCCAATTTGTAAATAGGCAAATTAGACTGATATTGCTGATATTCAAATCAGTATCACTCAATCACTACCTAATAATTATTCTCTATTAACTGTGGAACAATATGTACCCTAGATGATTCAAGACAGTTTGAGAATATTCAAAACATGTATATATCATATTGAAATACAGTAAATTTTCTAAAAACTTCTATGTTCTCACCAAGTCCTGGGAAAATTATGTATATATTTTTCTATTTTATTCATACAAACATACATCAATATGACTCAAAAATATGTCCATTAAAAGAGATGAAATAAGCAAAAAAGAGAATTCAAACCTTGCTTCAAAATGGGGTATTTTCCAAAGTTTTAAGGGGGGTTATATACATAGGACTGATGATGTTAATTGGTTAAATAAGAAATTTGGTGTTAGAAAAAATTGTATTTCAAGCATATTGTCTTTCTCACGAGTATCCATTATGGTGGAATAACAGCTGATTATCTAGTAATACAGTGCAACCCGCTTATAATGGACTCGGCGGGACTGTGCCAAATAGTCTATTATAGGCGGATTACCATCTTAAAAGAAACACTTTTTTTAATGAAAAAACCAGCAGAGATAACACATTAAAAGCTCGAAATGTGTTTGTTTAACATGTATTACATAAATAAAGATACATACAAAAAAGTTATACTTAATTTAGAAATTTGCATGTTTTCAGAATCTGATACACATATTACAGGGACACGTACTGTCACGTACCGCCATAATCGGTTGCATCAGCAAAATCTGCTCGCATATAATGGATTAAAATAGTCCGCTATAAGCGGTCTATTTTAAGCGAGTCTAATATCCTAGGATTTTACATGCAATTGTTTATAGGACCATACATTGTGTCCATTATATACGTGTTTCCATTATAAGCAAGTTCATTATAAGTGGATTCCACTGTATTTTCAAATTCCCCATATTGACAAATGACACATAATTCTGGTGGTACACATAGTCGTATTTGTTTTTTTTTTCTTTGCTACAGATTCATTTTATACTTGCTCATAACTCTTTTATTTATAAAAGTTGATTTGCATACAAAAAAAAGCTGCGAGGAAGTTTTAATAGATCGTTACCTGATTTATTATTGCCAATGTTACAGACTAATACAAAGATGTCACTTGCTGATCAGCTGTTCGCCTCAATAGAGGTCAAAATGTGATGAATACTCGTGAAATACTGGTTACCTTTGTTATTACTAAACTAAATCGTGTAATTTTTCGCTTGGGGTCCTATGGAATAACATGCAGGTTTTGAGAATAACTTCAGTTTTCATGAAGTTATAAAACTCTTTCTCGGGTGCTATGGCGGATATCAAATACACCAACGATTTAAATAGTCACTTTGTGGTTAGAACAAATTTTGATTACAAGCAGATATTTGTCTTTTGTTACCAAACTAAATCGCAGGATGTTCCGCGTAGGGCCCTAAAAGTGAGAGCTTTGTGATAATTTACAGGTTTTCGCACCCGCGTAATCTTTATAACTTTATGAACACATAAGTTATTCTCAAAACCTGTTTGTAGTCCCATAGCTATTTAACTTTTAGGTCGCTACGCGAAATCTTAGGAAATTTAGTTCAGAAACAAATGAGAAATTCAAATTTTTCATAACCTTAAATTGCTTATTGGATCATTCAACAGTTGGTTGTACTAAACAACCCGAACTTAACAAGAAGTTGCTAAACTGAGCCTCGTGCTTAAAATTAAACTTTCATCCCTAAACTGTCAAGTTTTACCATGGTGTAATGTTTTCACATGTTCTGTCCTTTAAATGTGTCCCTACTTCTGTAATAGATTTTATGCTTCTGTTCTGCTAGATGTGGGGCAAATAAACATTGTTCTTTGATGTCGACAGCTTTGATCATATCATGTTCCATCAGCGTCCAGGATAACAATTAAGTCATACTGTCTGATTCTTTTAGCTAGAAGTATGTAGGATTCAAATAAGTTCTCTTCCAATACATGATTTCAAAAACGCTTGTTTCCAGCACTGGCGAATAAACGAGAATAAAATTAAACATCACTGATGAAATCCAAAAAACATAGCTGCAACTGGAGTAACCCTTTAGGTTCAAGTTAGCCATCAGTTCCACCTACCTGATCCAATACTATAAATCATACAAAAATTTTCTCTCTCTGTCTCTTAACCAAATCAGGTAAACGCTACTCGTGAGCAATGTTTGGTGAAATATGGCGACAACACATACAACTGGTCCAGTTACAAAGACCTCACAAAATTGAGCACGTCAGAACAAGAGGACTTGCTGTGTGTAGTATGCAAGAAGTCATCTCCAAAGAGCACCAGAGATATTGCTGTTTGCGATCAGTGTGGTAGGGGTTACCATTTGAAGTGTCATCAACCTGATGTATCTCATGGTAATCCAAAAGAAGGTAAGATGTCTTAATTTTTTGTACGCGTTTTCCATCTTATTAGTGTGTATGAGGCTTTGAATACTTGGTAAAAGGTGTATCCTAAGCTTCAACTAATACTTGCTGAAATTTTTGGAAATCAATGTATGCCTTAAGTGGCCTGATACTTGTATATATTGTTGGTGGATTTTCAGGCTTTGTTTTATGCCACTATTCAACAATCTAATAATCAAATAGTTTCTCAACCACCACAGGTCAAATCTCTTGCCTCTTACAAGGAGGGGTCTTCAGTACCAGAACACGGATTTCATAAAAAAAATACTTGAAGTATTCCTCCAATGCAATAATCAGTCCGTATTGATATCGTGTTAACAACTTTTTATCAAAAACTACTTTATCCACTGTATAAAATCTTCTTATATCTGATAGCAAACAGAACCGTCATCAATTATTCAGAAATACATTGATTATTCATCGTTTTCGGCCAATCTAAAAGATAAAAGGGGTAATGTGCTTTGTACACTGCCCTCTTTGAACATCCATAATTAATAGAAAAATTCCCAACATCAATATATCATTGCAAACTGTCAATAATCCATCTCTCACAATACACATACTGCCAGTCTTTTTTTGTGGGATAACGATGATACTTTTGAGAAAACGGTCGTGCTTTGGTGAGTATTTGCATTTCAAATGTTCACTGAATCAGCGCATTTTTTAATTCCGTGTTTCCTGAATGCATTGAGGTCTTTGTACGGATTAGCATTTAATTATAACTGAATACAAAATACAAGGGGAGTTGAAGATGTAACTGAACTATGGGAAACGTTTACATTTAAATAATAACTTACTCAACATGGAGATTATAGTAACTGAATGCATTTCATTATTTGCACATATATAATTTAGTGTAGAAGGATTAAGTTGTTTTTACCAGTATGGATAGTAATGGCGACTAATGTATAATTTGTATGCCAAACGATTATTTGACACGAACGGCTAGGTATTTTAAGCCAACTAACCTTTTGATCACATATGGCCCTGACTGGTGCATTATTTAAACAATAGAACGGTACATCTCGTAAACTGTTTCAACAGTCGGAGAGATGCCAAGTTGATACCACAATACTGTGGTTGAAAGTTGAAACCTACAGTATATTCAGATAAGAGATAGACCGGACATAAACAAGACCACGTGATCATCGAACGCTGTAACATTCGGCAGGGACGTATTAAGAGTCACGCAGTACATATTTTAGATAGTAGATGCTGCTTTGCGTAACTTTGTAGTAAATTAGCACAATTCGATGTGTATACGATTGGTAATAGATATAGGATCATGTGGGGGTGGGGTAAATATATAATGATGTAAATATACATAAGGGTTTCAAAATTTTCGCTTCGATTTCCAGCTTCGGATGCCACCTGATGTTTGGTGAAATACAGTCGAATATAATCTCAAAATGGCGTTTAAATTAGCCTAAATTAAAAATAATCGTATATCTCTTAAAATTGCTTTTAGAATATTGATTAGTATATTTTTTGATTTCTAGGTAAATATGTAACCAAATTAAAACGTTCAAAACGTAAAAAAATGTGCATGGTTGAACATTGTCAGAAAGTAGATTCTTGAATAGGTTTTGCCAAAATGGGTTCAAAAATGTCAATAATTAATTAAAAAATACAGCAGCTTTATAATTACTTATAACTTACCGAATTTGATGAACGACATCTTTTATTGGAAAGATGAGCTTGATGAGCTTTCATCATCGCTACTGCCTGAAGCACCAACGTCAATAATGAATGGCTCGACTTGTTCCTCTAAAATATTTTCCAGTTCCCACATTCTCTTTTCAACTTTGTCTTTCACGTGCTTAATACAGTTTTCCCATTTTTGCGCTGTTATTAATTCTAGTGCTTCTTTGAAAAGTCCTTTGAGGGCACAAAATTTAAAAGTTGTATTGTTGCTTAGCTATATAATTTTTAACCTCTGCCCATATGAGCTCAATGGGATTGAGCTCGCGATGGTATGGAGGTAAACGGAGCACAGTTTTATTTTGACTTGCTGCCATGGCGTATTTTTGATATTCCGCCTTGTGATCCTTGACAATTCATAATAATGCGTTTTCCTCTAAGTTCGGTAAAATTTTTGAAAACCACTGTTCAAACGATTCACCATTCATTTCCTCGTGGTAATCTCCAGTTTTCTTAGACTCAAAGCACCACAGACCGTCAACAACAAATCCATCCTCACTGCCAATATGGCAGATAATGAGCCTTTTCCCTTTACCTGGAAATCGAAGTACTAACTGGTGTAGATTTATTTCAATAAGCGAACCTTTTTCAAATGTTTTCATCACATTCAGCGAAAAAACATTGAGACATGAGTATCAGATTGCTATAATTGGGATTATTTAGTCATATTGAAAGAAAGAATATTGAACGTCGTATGATTACTCAGCGCTTCACAATTTAATTTAAAGTTATAAACCTTTAAAAAATGAATGATCAAGAACCTGAAATACGCGCAAATATTAATATTAACAAATTATAACTTTATAAAGCTTAAAGTATGAATTAAAATGATTAGAAATATTAGGAACGGTACACAATATAAAACTTAGTAACTTTTTTTAAGTTTATAATATTCGACATATTTTAAGATTATATTAAAAAATTATTGAAATATCGAAAACACATAAAAACATGGCTTAAAAAAGTTCTAACAAATGAAAATGACAATAAAACATCCACGCATTTTATCGAAAGTTATAAAAGTTTTGTTACTTGTAATATGTTTTATCTGCCCCCTGGAATTAATGTTTAGAACCTTGTTCCCAAGGTTTGAAAAACATCCGATTGTTGTCTATTACTCGTATTTACCTGCTGGATTTTTTTATCCGGTGGACAGTCCATCTAGAAAGGCCCTCCTGGATGAAATTACAGAATCATCAACCCATACTTTACTTGTAGTGTGTCCTGCGTTTACCCACGTTTCATCAAGGTAATAAATCTTCCTGTTTTGATTCCTCCTCCATAGCACAATTTCTTCTCTATCCAGTAGTAAACTATTACGACCCCGTTTTTTCCATTTGAAATTTAAATGCTTCAGTAACGCATGGAAAGTTGATCGTTTGAAATTTGGCAACGTTGTATCCCCATTTACCTCCTGCAGTACTTTATCTATAGTAGGTATTTCATTCCTAAAGAAGAATTCATACACTTTCCTCCTAATCGCATGCTTATCAGCTTCATCCAATGATTTAACAATACTTTTGCGATGTTTACTGGTCATTGGCTCAGAAAAGGTGTGATTTTTTTGTATTGTCTTAACACATTAAACACTGATGCGCGACTCACCCCAACTTTGTGAGAAACCTTCACAACAATTTCTTTGATGGTTGATGCCTCGTTCTCCTCGCGCTCGATCTTATATATATTCAAAATGACCTCTTTCATTTCTGCACTCAGGTGTCTTTTTTTAGAGCGTTTCCTAGGTGGACTACAGGAGTTTACAACTTCATCGGCAGTATCTGTACTACTGGGCATTTTGCGCAAGCAGTTGATAACAATAACAATCAATAACAAGGTATAACAATAACAACGACAAACTCAACAACTTAATAAGATAACAAACGAAAACGTCCAAAGAAATATCAAATTGCAATGATGCACACGACATACGTAACACGTCTGAACCTGAATGTGACTCTGCCTTGATACGACTGCTCTGCCGCTCGGCATAGGCATTTAATTGCGAATTGACCAATGAGGGCTCCTGTTTTACGTCGAGACGGCGGCGTTAGCGTGAAAATCACCCGAACCTTTTGTTTACATCCGGTCTATCTCTTATCTGAATATACTGTATATGTAACCATATGTGGTTGTTGATGCCCGTTTTCGCACAGGCACGGCTTGCAATTGAATTAGGTGTCTTCTGATGAAATATATTAATAATATTAATAAATTATCTTGTAGGTGCAACATGGATGTGCAAGAGGTGTATAGACAGCGAACCTCAGAGACTGATTAAAAGTGAATCAAAACAACGCAGGGACTCTTTACGTAGTGTATCATCTGAAGGACGATCAGTTCCTACTTCTACTGTAAAAGTCCTACCTTATGATGTAAGTTATATTTTAAACTAGACTAAACCCGCGGCTCCGCTCGCGTGGAAGTAGTATAAATCATTCGTTTCGCGCTAGGGTCAAGGAGATTGGTTTCAGAGAAAGAAATGCAATATTCAACGTAATGCAATTGTTACTTTGACAATGAACATTTTTCCCCAACATTTTAAAGAAACATTAAATTACTATCAATGTTTTGCTTTTTTATATCCCTGACAAAAAGTAAGGAGTTCACTTGATCATTTGGCTGACTTTAAAATGGCCTTAAAGGTCATTGGCAATGATATACTTGAACTTAAAATTGTCCCTAATTTGCATTTCCGGAATTAGACTAGAAAATAGATGTTTCCTGTTAAAATTGATCTTTAAATGATCTTGATGGTCAAAGTCAAGGTCATGGACGTACTTGAACATAAAATTTCTTGCTCTTTTTATTTCTGGTGTCAAAAATTAGGGTTTCCACCTGGGTTTCCATTTAAAACAGCTGTCTTGACTTTCAAGTAAGCTTGATGCTCACTGTCAAGGGCGCGTTCAAGTTCACCATTAGATGAATCTTTTCAAACCTTACAACATTTTTCTCATTCTTATTTTGTCCTTTTTCTACTTTCTGGACATCCTCAAGTACCTGTGAAGGACATGGTCAAGGGTAAAGACATACTTAAACATAAAATTTTCCGTTTTTTACATTTCCGGTGTCAAAATTTAAAAAAAATTATTGACTTTCAAATGACCTTGAAGGTCGTATTGTGCTTCAGACGTGATTCTGATAGATTGGACAAACATTTATAAAGATAATTTGTGGAATTTTGTATTCTGTTGCTTAACTCTCAATTTCAGCTTTACAAAATACAGTTATATGTAATAACTGTTTTTTTTTATTTAGATATGTTTATTATTCTAGTTGAACTCTCTTGACTGGGATACATATCATCGAGTAAACTCAGAGCAAATTTATTGTTACTGTGGCGGTAATGGAGAGTGGTACAAGCAGATGTTACAATGTGGCAGATGTAAACAGTGGTTCCATGAGAGGTGTTTGGATTGCTTACAATATCCTCTGTACTGTGGAGATAGGTACGTAGAAGCAATTTGGTTATAAATATGTTTTAATTCCTCTCACCTCCACCTGTTCTTATTTAAAAGCTACATCGGTAGTTCAGTTGAACCACATTGTTTTTGATAAACAAGGCCAAGACTTTGGGACTGGGAGAAATATAAATATAGACCAGCGGGTCGCAGTGGCGGATTGTGATTGATCCATTCTCAAAAAACCTAACTATAAGGTCAAGGCTTTGTGAAAAGAGCATCTGTAGCTGAAATTTTGTTTACGGATTGGTATGGCATGCAAAAAAATCGGTTCTGTTCTTTTTGCTTCGCTTCGCCTCGGTAAGCGCCCATCTTATGGGGCTGACCTCATAAATTTGCATCAAATACGTCAAGAACTGAATTATGAAGTTACTGAGAAACATTAATATTTGACGGATTTTTTTGGTGACGAACGGCTGTTTTTCAAGTGCTGATTTTATATTTTGGTTCCAGGTTTTATGTATTTGTCTGTTCAATATGCAACCAAGGTAAGGACTTCCTAAGGAGACTAGAGATGAAATGGGTGGATGTAGTGCATTTGATGCTGTTTAATTTGACAGCATATAATGTCAAGAAGTATTATGATCTGGATACAGTCATTATTCCGTATATTAATGATAACTGGCATGCCCTCCAACTACCACCAAAGGTAAGAACAGACATCTACATTCAAACTAACCGAATGATTAGGCGCAATAGTTTACAGAACCATTGAAATAGTTTCAAATGCAAACCTTGCAGTCTGTTGGAGTCATAAGACTCCAAAGATGTACAAGATATTGCAAGGAAAATGTTTGCAACTTGTAAAATGATAGCTGTCTTGTGGTACAGTTTACTATTTCGAATGACTGACACATTTTGTTTTATTCCAGATTGCTAATGTGACAAAATCAGAACGCAGGGAGAACATATTGTCAGTGCTGACCAATAATAGAAATAGGTTTAAATGTGGCCGAGAAATAAAAAAGAGGACCACAATATGGGGGTTGAGGGTAAGATTACCTCCCCCAGCTCCTTGTGTAACACTTCCGCCTACAGGTCCTGTCACAGAGGACGAATTGAGAGAACTGTGGCAAGGAAACAGGTAATTTATTATTTCATATAAGCATTATCAATATTTTGAAATTTGAATACAACTAGCTGCAGTCTCTAATGAGATTCTACCCATGTACCTTTTCTGTTTATGTTCTACACAAATTTTTATGGTGGGAAGATTAAACATGTTGAAGTCTTCATAACCTTGTTGTTTCTTAACCTGTATATATCCTGTCATTGATAATAATAATAATAATAATAACGTTTATTGAGATACAACTCAAAGGGAAAGGGTATTGTACGGACATTTTTCAACCCTTCCGAAGGCATTAATATAAATAGATAAATTGCGAAAGAATAGATTGATAATAGACATCAGACAGATATAGTTAAATAACATGGTTAACATAATTACAATTAGTATATAAGAGTACATTCTACATTTAAACTGTATAAATGGACAAGTAAATAACTAAAGAAAATATAAATAGATAGAGATAAGGTCATAACGCCAAATAATAGATGGAATTCACGATTACAGTACATGAAACTGATACAATAACATCGTATTAGTACACACCTTTTTGCTTGTTAAGAAGATATAGCCTGTAGTATTTTTTAAACCGTTGTATGGAATTTTCGTCAAATAGTTCAACTTCTTTGTTCAAAATGGTTCTAGCCATGTAGCTAAAACTACTTTTAAACTTGCTTGAAGAGTGCGTAATTACATATCTTGCTGGCGTTTAATTTTTGAACCCTCTAACGTCCACTTGACAGTTGAGAGTTGCGCAAATTGATTGTTGAATGTTATGGTTATGAAATTTCGGATCTGGTTACACACACGGATACGAAAATTATTTCCAGTAGTTTCGGATAGTTTCAGATACAAATGTTAGATTTCGAAAGAACTGCGTATTCTAAGAGTCGATTGGTTCTCTCTATTTGAATTTGTTGAGCAACTACTGACTGAAGTGAGTCGCAGATTTTTTTTGAATTTTGAAATAATTGGCTATAGAATAGAATTCTTCGATGTACAACGCCAACTAACAATTATCACTCCTATTAGAGTTGCAAGAATGATTATACAGTATTCCTTACACAGCATTGTATACTGTAAGAACATTGGCCAAACCCTCTTAGAACAGCTATACAAGCGGAATGGGCACACCTAATAGGACACTTCAGTCATTTAAGAGGTTGTATAAGGGCTGCAGGTAACATTTATACAACAAAAGTGTAAGCCCCTTGCAGCCGCTATAGGACATTTGCGTCAGTGCAAGATTCAGTTTTTGTCAACTATACAACTATTCTGTTACGTGATTCTACTTTATTGCAACCAAACTATTTCTTATGTATTGCATAGACGAAGTGAAGAATATATAACTAACACATTACAGTCATCTTGTTTACTTACATATCGGCCATTGTGAATTTCATACACAGGTATATGATAAACTTCTACACTGTGATACAGGGCTATTGAATTACTTGCGCAGCAAATTTTATTGTGATTATCGTGCAAAGTAGTTACGCAATTTCTACGGGCTTCTCATTTGACGCACATTTTGATAATGATCAAAAGTATGTCTAGATTTTTAAGATGGAAAACTGAACTTATCTGCGTCAAATCTTCCACAAATCCTATATTTAGACACAATTACACTAATGTTTATCACTTTATATCTGTAATTCCGAACCGAAACATAATTATTTAATATTGAATAGAGGAATAAATGTTTGCCCAATATGGCTGGTGGTTGTGTATAATCATGGCATCGTCCATGTTGTCTTCAGTTTATTAGAATATTTAGGTGTTGCCTGCAGGTGTTATACAACAATTTGACAAATGTCTGAAATGAAATACCGACAGAGTCGAATGATTTACCCAGAATTTGTACCAGATCTATATCTTCTGTTTGAACAGTTGATAAAACCTTTTGAACCAATATGCATGCGTTGTTTGTCTTAAATCATTGGTTATGGCATATATGACAGCAGAAAGTTAGGTTATGGTGAAGTTGTATACCAACATATCTAGCATATGTACAGACTTTAACAGTTACTAAACAACAGTTGTATAAGTGCTTCCGTTGGGAGCAACTTGTTGGCTAAAGTAGTAACATGCACAGCAAAACAACAAGACTCGGGTTTGTTTTATAAACGTTACCATGGATGCCACAACACAACCATTTTGACTAACGTGCAAATATGCCGTATAAAATAGTTGTATAAACGTTTATGCAACAGTTAAAAATTTGTCCTATAAGGTGTTGTATAACTATGCTAAAGAATATTTAAAACACCTCATTTTAGAGCAAATATGTTGCAGAAAGCAAATTTGCATTCCACACAACATTAAGCCAGCATTTTGGTGTTCAGGCAACAACAATAGAGAGCTTTTATGGCTGAACGGTTCTTTTACCAAAAGCTTATAGCACTACTTTGCTAGTTGGGCGCTTTTATCGGACACGTGAAGTGAAATTGTTCATATTTGTAGCTGGATATTATGTGCAATAACTTTGATTATAGTCATGGTTTTTCAAAATTTTGTTTAAATTATTCGTTATGTCACGATTGTGACTAGACTGTATTGAACATAAAAATTTGTAAATGAGGAACTTACTCTAGTTGGCACTGTAGAGCATAGCTCGACTCTGCACAGGGTAGAATGGCAGAAGGGACCCCCTAGGGGGACTGCCCGTAGAGCTGGAATGATTTCACTTGTCAATCCAACTAGTTTTTATAATCAATAATAGCACTTTGGCTGCTAATGCACAATTGTTATACGTATTCATCAGCGGATGTGGTTTAAGATATCTGTTCGTAAGCTAGCGTTTAATGCCTTACAGGGTGGTCGCTCGTGACAATGTTCACCTGTGCGGCGGCCTTCCGCTTGCTTGCACTTCATTACTATTATAACTCTATCTGTGATACCAGGATAGATAGATAAATATGGATTATTGACTGAAGAATAAAATCATTCTTAATAACAAAGCTAACTTGTACTGTAGTAAAATCGACTTGACTTTTTATACAGGGTGTTCCTTAATGATATGCGAATATTTAAGGATGTGAATCTACATGAAAAATTAATGTTAGTTTGCTTTATAAACTATGGTCCAAAAATGTTTCCTTATAAAAACTCGGGGTGTCGAAGTTTTAGGAAAAAAATGTAAATTAATTAATATTTTCAGAACCGCTTCAGATATTTCACTGATATTCAGTACGTAGTGAAAGTTAATAAAGTTGCATATTTTTCAATCCAAAAATAATTTTTAGCTTTAACAGTGGCGTGCGAACGGGTATTGACTTCGATATTTTTTAAGAAAAAAAATGGTACGCCAATGGTTATTTGAAAATTAAAAATTATTTTTGAATTCCCCATTCAATTCAAATGATAAAAAAAATAAAAACCGTTCTATTGTCTAATAAGCAAAATTATTAATTTAATTGGAAAAATTAAACACATTAGGGGTAATGAACAACAACAACAACTGTCAACATAAACATGACATTAAAACCAACGAAATGATTACCAAAATTGTTGAAAATGGCCCCCTTCACTTAGTATGATTGCTTCCGTCCTCCTCATGGAATTGCGCACTCGTTGAAATATCCCTGGAGTGTTTTTTATTCTATCACAAGCTGCAACTATTTTTTCTCCTAATTCTTCTACATTGTTAATTGGACTTGTGAACACTAGTGTCTTAAGATAGCCCCACAAAAAGAAATCTAAACTGTTGAGGTCTGGGGGCCATTCTTGGGGCCCACCGCAGCTTGCTCACCATTATTTATGCATTTCAATAATTCACCATTATTAAAAAGATGTCAAAAGCCAGTGATTACATTGATTTTCTTGGAGAATAGAACAGTTTTTATTTTTTTACTCAAAAATGGCGCATCGAAGGAAAACAATTCAGGAGAGATCATTTGTTTTAAATTGAACGGGGAATTCAAAAATAATTTTTATTTGGTAAAAAACCATTGGCGTACCATTTTTTCTTGAAAAATATCGAAGTCCAATACCCGTACGCACGCCACTGTTAAAGCTAAAAATTACTTTTGCATTGACAAATATTCAACTTTATTAACTTTTACTACGTACTAAATATCAGTAAAAATGTCTGAAGCGCTTCTGAAAATATTGATTTATTTACATGTTTTTCCTGAGACGTCAACACCCAGAGTTTTTGTAAGGAAAAATTTTTGGGATATAGTTTGTAAAGCAAACTAACATTAATTTTTCATGTAGATTCACACCCTTAAATATTCGCTTATAATTAAGGAACACCTTGTATAGTTCCATCCCTGCCTAATAAGGCCCCTCGTTCAAACTGAGGGCACATATGACTGGCTGCTCCCAGACTATGTCTGAGATAAGGAATATTGAATGTCTCTTTGACAAATCTATTAAATTGCAACAATAATTGTTTGTGAATCGAATCGTTATGGTTAGCGCATTTGACCGACATTTTATGTTTCTTAGTTTTTTAAGATTCACTTAGCATGATTGCTACAGTTACATTCTTTTAAAAAACTACAACAATAACATAACATACAGATATTAGGAAAACAAAATTTGCATCTCTAAGAATTTTTTATAAGTAGACTTTATATCATTCATTAGTTTATTAAATTCAAGTAATTATTGCTGAAATGCTGATTTAATAGTTAAATTACTATTGCAACTTTGTAAATGGAAATCTATATTTCCTCTTGTGTATTAATTGTTATAATCATTATTCAGTTCCATGTAGTGGTTTTAAATGTTGTGGCAAAAGATGGATTTTTTGTTTTAAATGTAAAGATACGAACCAAATATGATATGAAAATTTTTATTTTCAAGCACTGCAATTTTTTTAGCGTACTTATTTTTGTACAATACTATTTTCATAGCCTTATTTTGTAGGATTTTTAATTTTCAGAAAACAACTTCATTGGCAGTGAACAAGATATTTGAACAATATAAAAAATGCGGAAGAATAGTTGTATCATAAACTACGAGAAAAATAAATAAAAATTTAAAGTGGTGTCTATATTTTCATCTGATAGGTATATCAATTTATCTTCTGCAAATATCTGAATTCTACAATCTAAAATAATGTAATGTAATGTATAAAATAAATAGGAGTAGACAGTTTACTACCTTGTGGTACTTCAACTCACATATTTTTTTATCTTGATAATGTAGATCCAATTTTGGTTTTTGACTTCTGTCAGTTAAGTGGTTTTGTAGAATTTTGAATACTGATCCTTCAAATCCATAGTGATGCAATTTTTTAATTTATCCCTGTAATTAGTTTCAAACGCCCTTTTGAAGTCCAACAACACTGTCACTGTATGTTTCCCATTGTCCATATATCTTCTCCAGTTCTCTAAAACCATTTGTATTGCCGTTTTAGTTGAATGTTTCTTCCTGAATCCAACTTGAAATTTGGTTAAAATGCTGTCGCACGATGAATTCGATTTTTTGTAATAATTTATTGATACGTTTCCGATAGACGTTTGCAGTTTCTGCCGATGGTGCCGTCGCCAGCAGGCACAAAACGTATCGTACCATCGGACGCGAGAATGAGAGCGTTGATGTGTGGCGCCACCTACCAGCAGAACAACGGCGGCGATAGGTCGGACTCTGATTCCGAATGCGAAGTGGGAGGCGACACTGCCAGAGATGAAGACTCGGAAACGGAGTTCAGTAGGGATTTGAAGCCTGCCGTCGAAAAGGTTTCCACTTCGATCAAGGTAAATGACAGATTCGATTGTAAGCATTCATATTAACCTTTAAACGCTAGAATGGACCCAGAAAGTCAACTTACTTTGTCTCTACTGCAAACATTGGCAACAGATATGCAGCTGCTGAATTTGAGTTCTGCAAGTAAAGGGTGATTTTTTAATAGGTATAGGTTTTGATTTTCAAAAAAACACAAAAAAATTGAAAAAACGATTAAATCTTTATTTGAGTCGATAGAAGGGTCGATATAATTTAATGTTTAAAGATTATTTCATGTAAATGTTGGCCGGGGCTCCGCTTTGGATGACCCATGCACAAGGTCCAATTTTGGCACACTCTCTCCAACATATCGGCCGGTATCTCACGAATAAATGCTTCAATATTGGCTTCCAGTGAGTCAATCGTTGCTGGTTTATCCCTGTAGACATTAGCCTTAACATGGCCCCACAAGAAATAGTCCAACGGCGTTAAATCACACTATCTAGGCGGCCAATTGACGGGCCCCAAACGTGAGATAAACTGTTCACCGAACTCGCCTCTCAATAGGGCCATTGTTTCGTGTGCGGTGTAGCATGTGGCACCGTCTTGTTGAAACCACATATGAGACAAGTCCAGCTCTTCCATTTTGGGCAAAAAAAAGTTTGTTATCATCGCACGGTAGCGCTCGCCATTCACAGTTACGTTCCGGCCATTGTCGTCTTTGAAGAAGTACGGCCCGATGATGCCATCGGCCCATAATCCACACCAAACAGTGATTTTTTCGGGATGCATTGGTAGCTCTTGCAATGCTTCTGGCTGGTCTTCACTCCAGATGCGGCAATTTTGATTGTTGACGTACCCATTCAACCAGAAATGAGCTTCGTCGCTGAACACAATTTTTCGATAAAAATGTGGATCTTCCTCCAACTTTGCTAGCGCCCGTTCACCAAATTGGAAACGTTGTGGGAGGTCGTGTGGCTTCAATTCTTGCACTAGCTGTATCTTATAAGGTTTTACACCCAAATCCTGTCTCAAAATTGTCCTCGTAGTGGAGTAACAGAGGCCCAATTGCTGCGAACGGCGGCGAATCGTCATTTCACGGTCATCACTAACACTGGCGGATACAGCCGCAATATTTTCTTCAGTCCTCACTCTACGTCTGCGTATTGGTGGTTTAATGTCCAATAATGTAAACTGGGTTCGAAATTTAGTCACAAGCTTCCGAATAGCTCCCTCAGTAGGTGGACCAAATTGTCCATAAATTGGGAGCAGTGCTCGATGCACTCTCTTAACCGAGCATGAATTTTGATAGTAAAATTCAATAATTTGCAAGTGTTGTTCGTTCGTAAGTCGATTCAAGGTTAAATTATAGACCAAACTGAACAAGTTTGACAATGACACAAGACACGATTCACGCGTCATCTGTCAAAAACAGTGTTGCCAAAAAGATACTAGCAAAAAAATCACCCATTATTTGAGATATGGGTCAACAACATGTCAAAAACCTTTATTATCTGCGAAATAAGTTCAATTCAAACCGTGTATATGTTATTTATACTTTAAATACGCTTAATGTATTGAATCTCTTCACTCATGCGGGTGAATACTACACAGTTGCAAAATAATGTCGCGAGAGTTAGCGCATATTACTTTTTGTTTAAAACATCATACCTTATGGTACATATACAGGGTGAGTTTCTAGTGTGGTATCGTAGATTGGTTGTTATAAAAATATCTTGAAAACTCATTTACAAAAATATGCCGCTCTTTAGAGTGGTTCATAACTATGTGGCAACACAAACATGCATTTCTATAATGGAAAACCTCATATTTTCTAATGTATTCTTAATGGCATCCTCAAAGGAAAACGTTTGATATAGCACACTATATGGTTTGGATTGCTACTTCTAGAGCTATGGGATATTTTGCCAAAAAAATCATCTTTGAATGTTAGTAGCTTTTCTAGATAGAATAGTCAACTTTTTTTTATAGAATCCTTGCATCATCTCTACCGGATATTTAATTACACAAAATCTTAAAAAAAAATTAAATAGGTAACCCAAAACTTTGAAAATATATAGGGTGTTCAATTTGAATTTTTTCAGTAAAAGTACATGTTGCGCTTATAAAGATCCTGATAAACGGCGCACAAATTTTAGAAAAAGTTTATGACGAGAAGCTGCGAGAAAAGTGCAAATGTGATTGGCTTACAATCTGTCAAAGTTGACTGTTGATTCCGACAAAAAAAGATCCCGTAGCTCCAGAAGTCGCAGTCAAACCCTCAAACTTCGTCCTTTGGATATGCCTTTCCTAGTATACTATTAAATATACAGAATGGTCCATTTGAAATGCATGTTTTTCTTTCCACATCAATATGAAATCAACTTGTATAGGGCAGCAAATTTTCAAAGTAAGTAGCATATGTTTAATTTCTGTGAATAGCTGTTTTATATATCTTTTATAACAATGACGCTATCTACAGATCTCAATCAGTGAGTACAAAGGGTACTATAAAAATTTTGCAATACAGCTTTATTTGTTGACTTCGTTCAAAGTAATTTCCACCACATTCAAGCATCAATCTTTAAAAAATGGATGCACATAATAATGGGTGATTTTTTTGCTAGTATCTTTTTGGCAACACTGTTTTTGGCAGATGACGCGTGAATCGTATCTTGTGTCAGAGCTACCAATGCATCCCGAAAAAATCACTGTTTAGTGTGGATTATGGGCCGGTGGCATCATCGGGCCGTACTTCTTCAAAGACGACAATGGCCGGAAAGTAACTGTGAATGGCGAGAGCTACCGTGCGATGATAACAAACTTTTTTTTGCCCAAAATGGAAGAGCTGGACTTGGCTGACATGTGGTTTCAACAAGACGGTGCCACATGCCACACCGCACACGAAACAATGGCCCCCTATTGAGAGGCGAGTTCGGTGAACAGTTTGTCTCACGTTTGAGGCCCGTCAATTGGCCGCCTAGATCGTGTGATTTAACGCCGTTGGACTATTTCTTGTGGGACCATGTTAAGGCTAATGTCTACAGGGATGAACCAGCAACGATTGACGCACTGGAAGCCAATGTTGAAGCATTTATTCGTGAGATACCGGCCGATATGTTGGAGAGAGTGTGCGAAAATCGGACCTTGCGCATGGGCCATCTAAAGCGGAGCCGCGGCCATCATTTACATGAAATAATCTTTAAACATTAAATTATATCGACCGTTCTATCGACTCAAATAAAGATTTAATCGTTTTTTTTAAAGTTTTTGTGTTTTTTTTTTAAATCAAATCCTATACGTCTTAAAAAATCACCCGTTATATACAATTTACTAAAGATACATTTCCTTCAAAATGTAAAGCAATGCATTGCCCTGGTTTCCTGGATTATAGTGATATCAAGGTAAAATAAATTGAAAGATGGACTTTCCCTGTAAAAATTTGACCTGAATAGTTATGGCTAAAAAGAGTTACAACCTAATAGTAATGACATATTTTATCTGAATATTGACATCTAAATAACAGCGTAATTAAGGCGACTTAGCTTTTTTAGAAAGGATTATGATTTCAGGGTTCTTATACCTGTAAGATTTTGTCAATACATCTGGTTTTATTGGCCAGACAAGCATAGGGGATTACCTTTAAATCTATTTTACCGCCCGGGTTGACATTAGTTTGAAGTATGTCTCTGTATTGTGCACCACCAAATATCTTTTTTTGCTAATTTCCCAGTTACCTCTTCAGAAAAGTGAATACCTGGGTGCCGGTTGTGCTAAGAAGAGTGTCCCATTGAAAAAGATGAGTTTTCAAAGGAGGAAGAAACTGTTGGCGATGAGCAATCGGGAACGAGAGAGGATTTTGAAAAGACCAAAAAGGAGAGTTGTGCAACAGCAAGTTAACTCCAAACAGAAGGAGGGACAAACAAAAAGACTTAGATTAGATAATAAAAGTAAGTAATCTTACCGTATTATTTACATTGCATGTTTGAAACAGTAGTAATCGGTATTTCTTAGGCAAGATTGACGTTTTGTTACCAAACAAAGGTCAAAATTTGCTCTCACGAATCAGAACAGAAAGGTGTCAACAGTTATAGGGTTTCCGAATGAGAATGATACATTTTTAGAATGTCTTGTTTAATATGTCTGCTTAAAATGTATCTCGGGTACGTGTGCTCGTTATCTTGAAGACATTTATATAATCCAAAATCGCAAGACCAACGAAAATGCAACATATACAGAATAAGAGAATGCAAATGTCTCGATAAATCGTCATTCTGAAGAGTCAACATTTCGCATAAGATTAAGTTTATCGAAGTCGTTCTCGCATGCATAGTGGTGAAGAATTTTTGAATGATGAGACATACTGAATATTTTCTCGGTCTTACTAACTACACTTTTGTATAAGTAGGAATGTATAAAAGTAGAGTCATCATCGCACTGGCAGGAAACAGTCGGGTTGGCGTAATATATATTGTAGCTTGAATATTATTTTTTGTACACCTCGTGATATCTCTTTTTATTTGCTGAAATAATCCCGTGTAGTCGGGTTTGATCTACGTTTGGTGAGTGCCGATTGACAACCTAATACAAGATAGACAACCAGCAATAACAAGACAATTGCTTACCTAAAGTAGGTTATAGTAAACCACCATCCACAGGTCTCCATTTAACAACCCCACAACATTATTATTATAAGATTATTTACCACGATACTTTAGCATATTCTGACATCTGTTAAATACTTTTAGAAAAAATAGTCTAGGGAATTATATTTCTTCGTAAAGAAACTGGATTACGTGACCTACTTATTTGATAGTCATGCAGTCATCAATAATGCAGCCATTTACCACATGCTACATACTAAGTAGTCTAAGATAGTTTGAAACATTATTGTGTCTTCAGTTTGCTTACTAACTTTTTAAACAGTTCAGCGCATTTCAGTATGGAATATTTTTTTTCTTAAACTTTATGGCTCATCTGTGACCATGTTAAAATTTCAGCTCTATGTATACAGAAGAGTATGAAGAAATGTTGAAAAAAATCTCTTCGTAACAAAAGGTGATAGACACATCCGCTTTGTTTTAAAATGTGTATAATTAACGTATGTTTTTCGAATATCGTAGCGAATCTGTTCAGTTACTCACATAAACAAAATGTTTGAATTTGATAAGAAGAAAAAACGTACTCCATCGTTTTTCGCATAAAAATATAATAAAATAATATTATATTATAATAATATATACTAAGTGACATATAAATCCGAACACCCAGTTTAAATGGTTTTATTTTAATAAAATTTTGTATAAGTACTTAATGAAGCATAATAAGTAAACGATAAAAATTTCAAATTGATTGCACTGCTTTAAAGCCCTTTGACCTTTAACAATGTGTGGATGCACCCTGATGTGCTACGCATTCTCCAACGCGCCTAGGCATGCTTCTGATCAGGTGGTCAATGTCCTCCTGTGGTATCTCATTCCAGGCAACCACCAACTCCTCTCGAAATGCTTCTAGAGTCTGAGGAGGGCGTTGCAAATTGAGCAATCTCCTACCCATCATATCCCACACGTGCTCAATTGGGGATAAGTCGGGAGATCTTGGTGGCCATGGTAACAATGTGACATCATTATGTTGAAAGAAGTCTATTGTGACTCTTGCAACATGTGGTCGGGCATTATCTTGTTGGAAAGTTGGATCTGCCAGGGTGTCAAGATAGGGTAAAAGATGGGGTTCTAGAACTTCGTGGATATAACGCTGCGCGTTCATGTTACCTCTGATGAAGATTAAAGGTGACCTGGAACCATAAGCTATAGCACCCCAAACTATAACTCCAACAGTGTGATGAACATGTCTTTCAACAAAAAACTGTGGATTCCTCCTTCCACCACGTCGCCTTCTAACCCTGGCACGACCATCGTGCATGCCTAAACAAAATCGAGACTCGTCACTAAAGACAATACTGTTCCATTCCTGATCCCAGAGTGACCGTTGTCTGCACCACTCAAGGCGATTACGTCGGTGTTCTCGAGTTAAAGGGAGGACCCAGTGTGGCCGGTATGAAATCAAGCCAAAACTTCTCATTCGTCGGTAAACACTTCGCATGCCAATAGGTCTTCCGTGTTCTGCAAACCATTCATTTGCAATGGACCTGGTAGTGGAGAAACGGTTCCTTAAGGCCAATAATCTTAGGCGGCGATCTTCACGGTCTGTTGATCTACGGCGGCGTCCAGTGCCCCTTGCTCTTTGCGTACGGTATTCTCGAAGCCATGCCTGACAACACCTAACCACAGTGTCTACACTTCTTTGCACTCTAACTGCAATTGCCCGAAAAGAAAGTCCAGCTTCCCGAAGTCCCACTATACGGCCCCTATCAAACTCACTAAATTGACGAAATCGTACAGGTCTCCGTACTCTAGGCATCGTAACCGATCGTAAAGGATGTCAAGAACCAAAATCCGCCAACGTTGATTCTTTACTGCGACTGAAATATTCATTTTTAGAGCGTTAGTGAAAATAATTTTATTAGGGAAATTTCGAGAAATAAAAACGTGAATTAAAAAAAAGTAGTGTAAAAACTGAAAATTTTTTCACGTGTTATTTACAGTAAGATAAATGCATTCACCAACTTTTATTAAAATAAAACCATTTAAACTGGGTGTTCGGATTTATATGTCACTTAGTATAAATTATTTATCGGTCGGAATGGTTTGTGATTCACGTCGGCAAAGTAAATTCGTGTATTTTGCTATAAAATGCCCTTTGAACGAATCCTGTATATTGCTCAGTAAACTAGTGATGATGGTCGGAAGACAGGTGTTTTGGGATAATCAATTAAAAATTCTCAAAAACTACTTGACTAATCGACTCAAATTTTGTTGTGGTTATTTAAGTATGATGCCTATGGATTTGAAGAATTTCAAGTAGTTGCGTGAAATTATCCTCGCATTAGCAACAATTTCCAAAAACTGCATTTGGCCTCGCTTTTCGGCCATAACTTTTTTCTATTAGTCGGATCTTTTTACCTGTGATCTCATTTTGTAGGTCTCATAAATACCTAGAAATCTTATTTGAAGAGTTTTTTCGTTGCTGTCAACACTTTCAATTGAATCCCAAAAAACACGTTTTCTCAATCTTTGTTGTTGAATAGAGTTTTCTCACAAAAATTGGTGTACCCATTTTATGAGTCCATGTTCTAAATACCTCCTTGAATAATTTGCATCAATAAAATCCGACTCTATTATTTCGGGGAAATGTGCTAATATGATTAGACTAGTATTGCTATTTACCTACAGCCTTTCTTGCTAACTCATATATGGTCTTCTGGTTAACTTAAGTACAGTTTGACTATAAACATGATATTGAAAAACGTGTTTTCATAGATAAGTTAAGACCAAAGGTGTACTTAATCCGCGGCTGGAAAACCAGACCTTAGTGGTTTGGTAAGGTTATTTCAAAGAATTATGGCGATAAATTCCATGGATGAACTTCCAAATAAACATAATTTGTGATTTTTATTTACATTCAAAGATACACAATTCTTATTGGGAAACTTCGCTATATTTTCGTATCACAAAATGACTGTTCGCAGCAAACGAAGCACTGCCCCCGACGCCGCCCACGTCAGTTAGCGCGCCGCCCACGCCGCCCGCTTCGAGTTCGAACTCCGCCTCAGTGAACTCGGACCTGAGCAACGATTTCTGCGCCACTGCCGATACCTCCGCTCCTGCCGGCCCTGCATTGCCACCCCACCGCAAGAAGGGACTGCTTGCTGAGTTGGCCGCCTCCGAGACGTACGCGCACTGCGACACATCGGGGGATGAGACTAGCTCCAAGAGTACGCTGGATGCTATCATACCGCCGCCCAAAGATTTCGAAGGTAAGATTTATTGTAATAGAAAAGAAGCGATATTATCATTCGTTATTTTGTCTTAAGGGCGTACGTAACTTTTTTTTCGCTTTTTTCCAAGTACCTGTTGGCGTAGCAGTATTTTTAAATCCTTTTCATCCAATTGTATCATTGTGTGTGTAGAGATGACCAAAAAACAATGCTATCATTTTTTTGTCAATAAGAGCATTTTATTACATAAGTTGGCCAATATAAACTGACTGATTTAAATTGCGCGCCATTTTTGATACACGCATTTCAGTCGGTGGCGCCGTAGTAGTTGTTTAAAGCACATGTGTCCAATTCATCATGAATCCCACAACGCGTCCGTATTGTTAAAACGTTTTACTTAAATAATGAGTCGAATGTTGCAACGATTCGGAAGCTACAAGATTTTGGTCGAAATAATTTGCCCAGTGTCAACACCATTCGTCAGTTGGTGCGGAAACAACGACTTGCCAACGTCGAGTCGTGTTCGAACTGTTCATACTCCGCAAAATATCGAGAGAGTTCCTGAAAGTGTGGTGGAGCGCCCTGAGGCGTCTACTAGACATCGTTCTCAAGAACTGGGTCGTCGCACGTCATTATGCACTATTTTAACAAAAAGACTTGCATTTGCGGCCCTACAAAATTCAGTTAACCCAAGAACTACAGCCTAGTGGCCATGAAAGTCGCCGACAATACAGTCACGCAATATTGCGGCTTAATATCCAAAATAACTGATAATCAGCGATGAAGCCCACTTCGATATGAACGGATTTGTTAATAAGCAGAAATGTTGTACCAAACAACTGACGAAAACAAAATACCAGAAATTGTTTGTTTTTTCATACTGATAAGAACGTGTGAATAAAGTTTAATCTGTATCGTGGGTGATCTGAATCAAAAACGGTCGATTTTTGTGAAGTTAAATAAGAAAGTATTTTGCGAGTTTCTGTTTTTAGTTATTTATTAGTAAAAATTGCACATCTTTACACTAATGAGGAGTTAGTGGACATTGTTTTAGCATACGAAGAAGCAGGCCAAAATTCGTGAGCGGCTTCTCGGTTGTACTCACACCGATTTCCGAATAGGCACATACCTGTACCACATCACGAAAAATTTAGTTCAATTGTTTTTCGTGCAGGTGCTAGTGGAGATTTGCGCCCCAGACGTGGCATGGATGGGGGTCGGGTTCGCCCACAACGCGTTTTAAATGCCGAAGACGAAATTTTGGATATTGTGGAAGAAAATACGGGAATAAGCACAATGCAGTTAGCCCAACAGGTCCCGGAATCGTCACAAGCAACACCGTCTCCATATTACATGAGGCCCAACTGTACCCTTATCACGTCCAGAGAGTCCAGGCATTGCTACCTACAGACTACCCCCTAAGAGTAAAATTTTGTGATTGATTGTTGCAAGAAAATGCTCGAAATGCCCGTTTTACAGCTGATATTTTGGCTACCGATGAAGCTATTTTTACTCGCAATGGGATAACCAATCTTCATAATACACACGTTTGGTCCTTTGAGAATCCTCATGCAGTGGTCCAGACACACTTCCAACATCGTTTTTCTTTAAACGTGTGCACAGGTATTGGCGATGAACGTCTAATTGGACCGTTCATATTGCCAGATTTGATGATGGTCACCAATATTTGGAATTTATTCGGAATGATGTGCCATTGGCGGTCCGAGCACGGATGTGTTTCTGCACGATGAGGCACCTCCGCATTTTCGTTTTGAAGTTTTTGAATAAGGTATACCGGATACGCTGCATGGCCTCCACGGTGTTCCGATCTAAATCCTCTGAACTTCTTTTTATGGGGATACTTGAAAAACGAGGTATACCTTACTCCGGTTCAGAATATTAAAGAATTGCGTGACCGAATCACAGTGGCTGTCGATAATTTGAGCCTTCAGGCACAGCAGGAAGGAGGTGTATTTGAATTAGTGCGCCGAAATTGGATTAGACCCGCCCAAGCTTGCATCGCAATCACTGGAAACAATTTTGAACAGCTTAAATAAGTAAGTGAACTGTTAAACTGTATTATTTTATTATCTCGATTTCTGTAGAACTTTTATTACATTTCTTTTCGAGAAATCAACTTCTTTCGTAACAGTGCATCTGTGGTTAAAACTTGTCGGATAAGTTGTGAAACACCCTGTATAGTATAGCTCTGAAATTGCATGTGAGTATTACATTTTTATGGAAGAATGAAACGGGTGGTTACTTTTATTCTTCTCTTTTTTTCTTCGAAACATTTTTGATTTTCTTGAAACCAGCAAATTGAGTTTTCAAGGTAAAAGCAAAGATTTTTTGAAGGAAGAAAGATATAAGAAAAGAAGTAATCACCCGATTCATTCTTCCATAAAAGTGGAATATTCACATACAATTTTAGAGATGTACGATTGAAAAAAAATGCACAAAACTGCATTTTTTGTCACAAAAGAAACAACATTGTTTTTCAGTCATCTCGAAACACACCATGAAATAATCAGACGAAAAGTATTAAGTCTTGACATACTGTTAAACAAAAGGCGAAATACATTTCTCCTCATACAATCTTCCCGGAAAGCCATTTTTAATACCATTTTCTATATAAATCTCATAATTTCATCGTATCGTATGATTTATTAAACGTATATTAAAGATATTGTATGTAAAATGTGATATCTTCGCAGCGGATCAAACGAGATGAGCACGGTCCCATGAATAATACATTAATCATGTTGAATCAAAATATTCCCGTACATCTACGAGCCCCTTCCCACTTCAGTTGGCCCACTTCAAGATTTGTACCAAAATATGCATGTATAAACTAAACATGACGAAACTATTTACTTCTAAAACAATTTATTTTCTCAGAAACATTTTAGATACACTCTAGTCGTAAAAAATACATATTTGAAATCACTTAGACCTATAACTAATATAACATCTGAACAAATAAACAATGTGCGAATAAATGCGCGAAGTTAACAAAGCAACAATTGAATGATTACCATTGGGTAACATCACCTTTATTTTTTATTATGGCTGAAATTCTTTGGGGCATAGTGTTAACCAAGTTTTGTCCAAAATTTGGTGTAAAACAATCCCATATTTCTTGAAGCTTTTGTCTCAGTTCGGTGATTGTACGAGCAGGATGTTGTCGTAGAACCTTTTGCATATCGTGCCACTAAGTTTCAATAGGTGACAGATCTGGACAGCTAGAAACCCATTTCATAAGTGTACATTATTTTCTTCCATCCATTTTATAGCCTTTTTTGAGGTATGGCACGCTGCACCATCTTGCTGAAACACAAAATCTGGCCGGATGTCAAAAATTCTTCCATCACTGGTAATAAAGCGATCCTTCTAAAATTGACAAATATTTGTTTGTATCCACATTTCCATCAATAAAATGAAATTTTCCTACTCCTTTCGATGACATACTGCCCCAGACAATAATGGATGCTGGAAATTTCACATTTCTCTTCAGACAGTCAACATGGAATGCTTCATTTTTTTGCGAATAACTCTACTGCGACTGTCACCAACACAAACTTCGAATCGGGCCTCATCAGGCCATTGTATTGCACACCATTGTTGAGGTGTCCATTGTCTATGTTCTTTAGCCCATCTAAGCCAATTCTACTATATATTATCAAAATATTCATTGTTAATATTTTAAACCTATAACATCCTGCGTCATTTTTATTATTTGTGTTTGATAAGAAAAAAACTAAGATTTCAATTGTTGGGCCAACTGAAGTGGGAAGGGGCTCGAATTTGTTCATTAGTCCCAGGTTCAGCTGACAGCCTGACATACAGTAATGGACAAAAGTATATAGACAAATTAATATTGTGTTGTATTTCTTTTTTAACTTGTTTTATTAATACACCAACCTGTATACATAATTCGTTATAGCATAATACTCACTTATACATAAATAAATTCATTAGACTCACTTCATTAAAAAATTAATTGTAAAAAACTGGAACTATGAAGGACAAAAATATAGAGACAAAGCAAAACAATTATAGAAAAAAGAAGCAAAGTTCATTGAATTATAGAAAACTAACCATGTTTGTGTTAATATTTTGTAGCATAACCATTATTATCAATCACCGCCTGGCATCGTATTGGCATAGATTGTAGAAGTTTCTTGATAAAAGATTCATCAATGTGTCTCCACTTTTGCTCTAAAGCGGCAAAAAGTTCATCCTTGTTTGAATAATTTTTATCTCGTATTTGCTTATCTAAGTATTCCCATAGATTTTCAATGGGATTTATATCGGGAGACTGTGAAGGCCATTTGAGAACTGGTATTTTTTCATCCAGAAAGAATTTCTTTGCGAAGTGTGCTTCATGTTATTATCTTACTGGAAGATTGATCTTAAGGGCATATTGTCTTCCATATAGGGTAACATGACATGCTTTAGTATGTCTGTGTATACAAACGTATCACAATGCCATCTATTCTATGTAAAGGTCCCATCCCCAAACCATAACAGACCCGCCTCCATGTTTGACAGTGGCCAAAGTGTACTTGGGGTTCAATATTTGTCCACTAGGACGTCTACGTAATGAACACCATCTGATCCAAACATATTGAACTTGGATTCGTCACTGAAACATACCCTTTTCCAGTCACAGATGCTCCAATCAAGATGCAACAGTATAATCGGTCCTTACGGTTTTTCCTCGAGATTAGCGGCTTCTTACTCGGGCGACGTGCAAATAACTTCAAATCATTTAATCTTCTACTTATAGTTTTCGTAGAAACACTGACAATTCCTTTTGTCTCGATTTCGGCTTTTATTTGTCTTGGGGTTTTAAAAGGATCGAAATTACTTTTATTAATCTAACTGATCTAGCATTTAGTTTTCTAGGCCGACCATTTCTCTTAGAGGCTTCCAAGATACCTTTTTGTTTATATTTGTACAATATTGCCCAAACTGCTTTACGCTTCAGCTTCAAATGTTTGGCAATGTAGACTTGACGTTGACCATCTTTGTATAACTCAATGTTCTTAGTTTTCACATCGAAAGAAATTTCTGGACCACTTGGCATGGTCTTAAAATCAATCAACTTATTCCACAATACTTGATGAACACAAACTAATCCTCTTCTGACATGAAACGGTACTAAACTAATGTTGAAAAGAATTTGTCTACATATTTTTGTCCCTCATAAAAAAGTGCTTATATTCAGACGTGTATTCATTGCAGATAATGTAAAAACAAGGAATTTAGTTTTTCTACTAATAACGCATTTGTTTATGGTGCAATGAAGTATGAATTCGTTTTCTAAAGGTATTTAGATAAATATTCATATTTGTCTATATACTTTTGTCCATTACTGTATATTACAGTGTGCATAACCTCAAATATCTTGCCAGAACAGGAGTAACGGCACTGATGCTGATTTGAGGATCAAAAGGTTTGTTCATACAGTGGCCGATGGCTTGTCAGTGATTGTGTCTGGGATCCGGCCGCATTTCTTCTAAATAGCGTAGCAGAAGAACGGAACTTGTGTAGCGGGATCTTGGACATGGTCACTGACAGGTTGGCGACTGCTGTACGAACATGGTCAAAATCAAGTAAAGTTTTCATTTATTAAAATTACTCTTAGATAAAATAAAAATATTCCAGCAGCACTTTTCTGTTTAGATTCCTTTTAAATATTCTAATAACATATTTTCCATAACTGTTTGCATCTCCTTTATTCCATATGAAGCAGTGCAGCAGTTTGAAGATCGGTTACATTTTCTTTATAGGTAAAAACAATCCATTCCTGGCCCTACTTAGGACCAATTCCGAGGGAAATGATTTGAAGGTGAAGAGAAAGGAACCAAGCCTGCCACTGCCGTTGACTGCTGTGATACCAGGAAAGCCTTTGATGAGGCCAATGAAGAGACAACTCAGTGAAAAGGATATTATTATTGGACCTAACGGACAGGTTAGACTTGCATTTAAATGATTCAGAGGCCCGATTCACGAGTCCTGTGAAAAAATATTCCAGCGATGATTTTGGATGGTAAACTGTAGGCGCATTCGGTGTTCGTTTCCGCTTCAAGTGAAATGCCCCATACTAAATGACGTTAGAATATTTGCCTATGGGAGAACTGTCTGCTAATATACCAGTTGTAAACTACTGTATTTCTCTGGATTCCTGATTTGAGTTCATAGTATCTATCTTCTCTGACAGATTAAAGCGGGATTCATCTCAATTTAGATTCAAAATCAGTTTTTGTGTTTTTAACACGTAAACTGCTGTGTCGGTTATATGGGGTTGTCCAAAACGGACGCAGGAAAGTAAACGCATATTAAAACAAGAAAGATTGATATTCAAATGAAGTTGGGTACTTTATTTTGAAGGTTCATTTATACCATTTATGTATGAAAAATAATATCGCCAAAATGTTCACCACGACTGGATTTACAGACGTCCACGCGATGGTCGAAATTTTCAATGACATTTTGCAACATGGTCGGTTCTATGGCATTTATCTCGGCAATGATGTTGCTTTTGAGTTCTTGGAGGTTGGCTGGTTTGTTGACGTAGACTTTGCTTTTCAAATATCCCCATCAAAAGAAGTCCAAGGGAGTCAAATCGCACGATCTTGGTGGCCATGTCACATTTCCTCTGCGCGAAATCACGCGATCACCGAAGAAGGACTGCAATCGATGGATATTGACGTTGGTTGTGTGGCATGTTGCACCGTCTTGTTGGAAATAGACATCGTCCATATCCATTCCTTCAAGTTGCGGCAAAAAATAGGCCTCTATCATCACGTGATGTCGCTCAGAATTGACGGTAACGGCGTCCCCGGCCGCATTTTCGAAAAAGTAAGGTCCGATGATGCCTTTTGACCACAATGCACACCACACAGTCACTTTTTGAGAATGCATCGGATGCTCTTGATACTCGCGGGGATTTTCGTTCGCCCAGATGCGGCAGTTTTGCTTGTTTACCGTCCCATTCAAAGTGAAATGCGCTTCGTCGCTGAACATGATTTTTGATGAAAAATTGGCATTAATTTGGCGGTGTTCAAGGAGCCAATCTGAGAACGTTCGGCGCGAAAAATGGTCGGCCCGACGCAGCTCTTGCGTCAATTGGATCTTGTAGGCGTGTACATTCAAATCCTTGTGGAGAATGCGGAGCAAACTGGTTCTCGAAATGCCCAATTCTTGGGATCGACGCGTTGTTGATTGTTTCGGATCGTCTCTCACACTCTCCTTCACAACAGCAATATTTTCCGGTGTGCGAACGCTCCTTGGCCGGCCACAGAACCTGTTGCCTCGAATTTACCCACCAGACGACCGATGGTTGTTTCGTTTGGGCGGTTGTTGCGACCGAAATGTTCACGAAGTGCGCGAAACGTGTTTTTTATTTTTGCACCATTTTTGTAGTGCTCTTGAATAACTTTAATGCGGTCTTCAATCGAATACGACTCGATAGCGATCAATGGTAAACATTCAACTAACAAAATGACATGTCGGTGACAGAAAACAAAGATGGCGTCTATGTCAAATTGACGTCAGCTTTCCTGCGTCCCTATTGGACAACCCTTTAGTATACGAGACCTGTAAATTAAGTGATGAGACTGGCAACGTAGCGTTCGATCTGACAATACTGGAGGTGCTGGGCTTGGAGGGGGGACAGGGGAACATGTGATCCGCTTACAGTACAAGTTTGAACTCGCCCGATATTGTAACATCATTTGAATTTTAGGTGAAGAGGAAGAGATTTCGTAGGACAAGAAGTCATACAAATTATACTGCTGGACAGACTGCTAGTAAGACTGCAACTATGGTACCAGTGAGACCAGATGCCAAAGAATGGGGCCAGAGGTCGAATCAGGGACCTAGTACCTCGCCAATTGGTAAGCAATCAATAAATTTAGTGGAAATACTAAAAAAAACTGTGCTATCAATTTTTACCTTACGTTTATTAGGACTTGTTGTAGCTGTACATGTGGTTTATTGTCTTTCCAGGGACTTGTATGGAGTATGCGTTGAACGGTAGACGACTCCGACAGCGACCTGAGAGGCAACCTCCTCCAGAAAAGGAAAAACCACCTCCAAGTACACAAACCACATCTAAACCTAGTCCTGTGAAGACTGAACCGGAGATCGACATGGACGATTTGAAGAGCTCTGTTAATATATATTTTGGTGCTGCCAATAGGATTGGTAAGCTATACATTTCTTACTTACATTCAATTATCTGCATTTAGGTCCGATATAGTAACAGATTTTGCTCCTCTGAGCTCTTGTCCATGAAGATTAGACTTATGTTTCATAAATATGTACATTGGGTGCTCCTAACTGACGTGATAATATTCCAGGATATGATTCCTCAGATAATTTTATGAAGAAACATTTAGATGAATATATGTCCGAAATGGCTTATACTTTTTATTATGGGGTGTTGAATTTTTAAGGAAAATATCAGTTTTATTTTTTATGCTCGAATGTACTTCAAATATGATGTTTGATTCTAGCATATTATGAGAGGAGGATGTAAAATGTCTTATTTTATACAAAGGGTACTCTAAAACTGTTGCAACACCGCTTTATTTATTGACTCCGTTCAAAGTAATTTCCACATTCAATAAATACACTTCTCCATCCGCCAAAACCAGTTCTCAAACCAGCTCTGCCAAGTTTGACCCGGAAATGCGGCACACTCGTTGTCACAAGCCCTCAGAAGGTCCTTGTCGCTAGGAAACCTTTTAGCTTCATTTTCACATGCGGAAACAGTGCAAAGTCGCAGGGAGCAAGATCTGGACTGTAAGGTGGGTGCTCAATAAGTTTCAGTCCAGTAGTGGTCAAATACTCGGTGCAGGCTTTGGCGTTGTCATGGTGTGGGTACCAAGTGTCCATTCTTGACTTTGGCCGCAGGTTTTTCATAGACATTTTTTTCTTAACTGAACGGGATTTTCTGACAGCTTCGGGTGTGTCGTCATCAAAGACCCAAACTTTGTTTTGAGCCTTGGTCGGCACATCGTAATAATAGAGCCAAGTCTCGTCACCTGGCACGATGCTGTTCACATACCGAGATGCCCCTTATCAAACATTTTCATCATCTTTCGCCATCAAGTCGTACGACGAGTCTTCTGCTCTTCAGTCTGTCTGTGTGGTACCCAGAGAGAACAAAGTTTCCTTACGTGTAAGTGGTCATGCTGAATTGAATGAATTGCTGGTGTATGAAGGTGTAAGGTCTCCTCTATCTGTCGGTATGTCACTCTCCGGTCTTCGTCAAGCATTTTCCTCACACCAGTTATGTTTTTCTCTGTTACTGACGTTCGCGGCTTTTCTTCCCTCTCAGCGTCCTCCAGAGTGAAATTGCCCCTTTGGAATTCTCTGTACTACCTGAATATAATCGTACAATGAGGAGAATCATTCTTTAATGCAAGGTCATTCCTTCTAATGACTAATCTATGCTTAAACCACGCGTAAAGTTATACCGCAAAAAACTGCCCTTATCTCACTACGTGACCACGATGTTGCACTTTACACTGCCAATACGAATGAACAACTAAATCAACAGATGTGCTGGTGACGACTACTATGCACTCATGGACATGCGACAACATGCAGTAACATGCAACCTCCTGCGTCCGTTTGTTAAGTCATATTACAAAACTTTTATAGTACCCTTTGTATCTTACGAAACATGGTTACGCCACTGTCATCTGATGTTTCTGGTTAACAGTTACCATTTTGTCTGTTTAATCACATCTGATGAAAAAGTGGTAAGGCTGGGTTTTTATGTAGTGATGATCAAACTAGAAAAATATATTCACTTTGAAAAATATCAGTGGTGTATCGCTTTTTTTTTGTTAAAAATGTCACAAGACGTGCTTTTGGGGACGCCACTGGTAACGGGCGCGATAGAATAACGTTTTACATTAAAATATGTCATCTTATAATCCACTAAATAAAAATATCTACCCTCGGAATTATAATATACTAAGTGACATATAAATCCGAACACCCAGTTTAAATGGTTTTATTTTAATAATAGTTGGTGAATGTATTTATCTTACTGTAAATAACAAGTGAAAAAATTTTCAGCCTTATCAGTTGGACATTCCGGTGTTTATACTGCTTTTTTTTTAATTCACTAACGCTCTAAAAATGAATATTTCAGCCGCAGTAAAGAATCAACGTTGGCGGATTTTGGTTCTTGACATCCTTTACGATCGGTTACGATACCTAGAGTACGGAGACCTGTACGATTTCGTCAACTTAGTGAGTTTGATAGAGGCCGTATAGTGGGACTACGGGAAGCTGGACTTTCTTTTCGGGCAATTGCAGTTAGAGTGCAAAGAAGTGTAGACACTGTGGTTAGGTGTTGTCAGGCATGGCTTCGAGAAGGCCGTACGCAAAGTGCAAGGGGCACTGGACGCCGCCGTAGAACAACAGATCGTGAAGATCGCCGCCTAAGATTATTGGCCTTAAGGGACCGTTTCTCCACTACCAGGTCCATTGCAAATGAATGGTTTGCAGAACACGGAAGACCTATTGGCATGCGAAGTGTTTACCGACGAATGAGAAGTTTTGGCTTGTTTTCATACCGGCCACACTGGGTCCTCCCTTTAACTCGAGAACAGCGACGTAATCGCCTTGAGTGGTGCAGACAACGGTCACTCTGGGATCAGGAATGGAACAGTATTGTCTTTAGTGACGAGTCTCGATTTTGTTTAGGCATGCACGATGGTCGTGCCAGGGTTAGAAGGCGACGTGGTGAAAGGAGGAATCCACAGTTTTTTGTTGAAATACATGTTCATCACACTGTTGGAGTTATGGTTTGGGGTGCTATAGCTTATGGTTCCAGGTCACCTTTAATCTTCATCAGAGGTAACATGAACGCGCAGCGTTATATCCACGAAGTTCTAGAACCCCATCTTTTACCCTATCTTAAAACCCAGCAGATCCAACTTTCCAACAAGATAATGCCCGACCACATGTTGCAAGAGTCACAATAGACTTCTTTCAATATAATGATGTCACATTGTTACCATGGCCACCAAGATCTCCCGACTTATCCCCAATTGAGCACGTGTGGGATAAGATGGGTAGGAGATTGCTCAATTTGCAACGTCCTCCTCAGACTCTAGAAGCACTTCGAGAGGAGTTGATGGTTGCCTGGAATGAGATACCACAGGAGGACATTGACCACCTGATCAGAAGCATGCCTAGGCGCGTTGGAGAATGCGTAGCACATCAGGGTGCATCCACACATTATTAAAGGTCAAGGGGCTTTAAAGCAGTGCGAACATTTTGAAATTTTTATCATTTACTTATTATGCTTCATTAAGTACTTATACAAAATTTTATTAAAATAAAACCATTTAAACTGGGTGTTCGGATTTATATGTCACTTAGTATATTAAAACAACTTTTTCCTTAAATAATCAGCACCTTGTAGCTAGACATTTAACCTATTGCCTGTAAACTTTTCTTAATAAAATTATATTTGAGGAATATTATCATGGAGAATTAGCACATCATTAAGAAACGCTCTGCATAACAAAGGACCTGGTTGAATCCTCATGGGTTTTTTCAGCTGCTGGGGAGAGGTTCCAGGTGAAAGCAAAGAGGATTGGTCCTATGGGCAAGGTAGACTATCTTTTGGAATGGGAAGGACCAAGCAATGGGATGACTTGATCATTGTAGAGGCTTGAATAGTAGTGTGATTTGGGAGAGTAAGAGCCAAAGGCTTCTAACATAATTAGCGAGCGAGGAAGTTTGGTTGCGAGAAACGGGGTACATACATATTACTAGCACATTTGAATTCTTCCGATTTCATTAACTTTGTTTTTTTTTATTTATTAGTTTAATATCCTTTTTTGGGGTCACTGTAATTTGTTTTGGAGATGTGAAGACATTGATCCAAGGAATCGACAAAAACATCAGGTTTAACGTCTTCCATCAAATTTTTGACTTGTTTGTAGAAAAACACCCGTCGAATCAGTAGTCTAGTGAAATTAGAAAACCTTTGTTAACTCAACCAAACGTCCTGCAAGAGTTCAAATTTTTTTACGTGAACTCAGATGTTATGTCTACGGAGTAGATTTAAACTGTAGGTTTTCAAAAGCATCATCAATTTCAACTGAAAAAACATCCAAATCCTGATTCTTTTGATAGTAAAAAAATGTTGCATAGGCAACTGGCCGATAATTTAAAACTCATTAGCAATATGAATACTTTGTGAAAGTTATACTGACATTTATATTATTCGATATTACCAATTATTATTCTACTGGTTGAAATGTTAGAGGTAACATTATGTAAAACATTTGGTTTTTACTTTTAGCGCCATGAGCTAGAGTTGCAATTCTTTTTCTTACAAATATTTTTCTAAAGAAATTTTGTTGGAAGATCGACTTTTTAAATCTATTGTGCAGACTAAGGTATTGTAATAAATGTTCTTAAATGGTGTTGAGTGACTGTTCTGCTCAAAAAATGTACAAAATACTGCTAGTGTACATTACGCTAGTTACCCATTCAACCGTTCCTAAAGCTGTACTTTGGAAAAATCTGCAGAAAAATCTATTATCGCGTTAGTAAAATTTCAGAATTAGTAACTCAATTCGGCTTGTTGAGTATATAGTCAGTAATTTGATCACCAAAAAATGTCGCGAAAGTATAGTAAATGTCCAAAAAAAAAACAATTTGTTTAGATGTTTATGTGTCTGTATATTGAATTGGTATTAGAATCCAATGCTTTATATCGTAAAATCACGAGCTGTTCGAGAACAGCAAAGAAGTGAGTGGGACTAATTTAGTAGTTTCACACTTGATGTTACTACTCTGTAATTTTTTCGAGTGCAGCATATGTATTACTGGAACAGTACTATTACTAGTAATAATCTTTTTTACAGCAGCAAATTGTAAACATATATATTTTTTTCATCGCCAATACTGCCAATCAAATACCTTTGAATATCACTGCCAATATTGTTGATGATTTTTTTTTAAGTTGGCAGGATCACGTCCCAAGCTTCAATGAAAAGGGTCTGGTTCAGCCGACAGTTGTTGTAGTAATTCGCTCCCAAAAATATATTCAAACGACTGTACTAAATGAATTATTTTTAACATGATTTTGTATATTTTATATATTGGAATGTTTCTTTTACAACGGCTGGATCACAGTATGTATAATTTCTTGTATGGAAAATAATTAGTTGCTTAACTGTCAAATACAACAATTTAATTTTTGAGACTTGGTTCAGTCAATCTGGCATCAAAAAAGGTCTGTTCAAAAGAGAAGCGTAAAACCACCGATTTGCATCATCCCCTGCCGTTTTTTTTGGGAATCTCAAAAACATTTTTGAAGCGATTTTCTGAATAAACCGTAAGTCGTACAGAAAAAATTATATAACAAAAAATAAAGATAATCGAATTCTCCAGAGTTTATCTTCCGGGAGAGAAGCTGTGTAACCACTGGAGCAAAGTTAGAGGGCGTCAGTCACCCAAATGCAGTTTTTTGTTTGTTTCGTAGTGAAATAATTTTTTCCACTATCAAAAACTTTTTTAAAGTAAAGAGCGTAAAATCCCACCAAATTCATGCATACACTTTTTTACTATATACTTCATTCACACTTATATTTTTCTCATACATTCAGAAAGTTTTTTATGAACATGTCTGGCAGTTACCGCGTTGCTGCATTTTTCCTGTATTAATAAATAATGTATTGAAAATTCTCAACCTCCAACCTAGTATATATAATATACAAAACTACATTAGAAGTTCACCATGCACTCAATTGAAATAACATCCTTTCTCGGGTAAGAAATGTTCCTAATTATTTGTTCATTTCCTTTTGCTGTTTGTCATTGAGCACAGGAATATTAAAATATTGATAATGCACTTTATTTCTTTTTTTTTATTTTAACATACATATATGAATTCTTATGAATCGCCGACTAATTCACGGTAATTAAGTGTAAACGCTGATTCAAGACGCAACTCGATGCAGGTAAGTGGTCTTAAACATGTTCTTCCTTGTGTTTTTTTATACTTTGGAGCCCCACAAGGTTGTTATTTTGGTGTTTAGTATGTTTTCTGGTAGACGTATGAATAAAGAATAATCACTGGAAACTTCAGCGGCATCTACCTTTTGCATATGTGCTCTAGTAGCAGAAGAAATTGAATTGTTTTTCTTTATTTTAAAAATTTCAGTAAGACTTACCAATTCCTCGAAAAATTAAATCCAAAAATTTGGTTGCAAAATTTTTATTGAGTTTCCCAAAAGAACGGCAAGGGTGTACACATCGGTGGTTTTAAGATTTTCTCTTGAACCACTAACGACTGACAAAAAAAGAAAGCGGAATAGATTTTTTGAATAATAAAGTGCCAAATTGCATGAACTAACTTTTTTTGGATATTTTGGTAAACGTGAAAGAAACTCAAGTTGTCAAATTACTACTTACAAATGTTTACAAAACTTCGTATATACGCTAGGCAGAGTCTGGGCAGTCGGTCAATGTACTGTGATACATGATAGTATACGTAAAACATCAATACCAAGGTGAAGTTTTTTAAGATGCACTGAAATAAATTTCTTGTGAATATTTTCTCTGCCAAACTGCAATCACAACTTGTATCAATAAAATTTGATGTTTAGACTGCAACTTTATAACTATATATATGTGATGCAGCCACTTTGAGTTATAATCTGGGTTTCCGGCAGTTTAAAGTTTTTTAATTTTTGTCAAGGATCTAATGGTGTATATGAAAAATAAACGAGCAAAAGAAATAAACTGGTAATATAGCTTTCGTTTGTACGGCCATATAGACGGCCAACCATGGACAGATGTTTCGTGCTATTTGGCAACTCCTCAGCATGGTGTAGGCTTAGTCTATGTGAACAACGAATGGAAGCTGAACAACTGTTATATATCCAGAATATAAGGTTTATTAAAATAAATTTTAATAACCTGATACCTGCCAAACAATCCCACAAACTTGTAACTAAGATACAACGAAAAATACACGGCATGAAAAAAAAAATATTACCTTTTATTGATATTGCTAATTAACAGTGATCTTTGAAACAATATTTTTATTCATCATTAGAAACCTTGATAAAAGCCCCATAACTAGTTACGAGGAACCTAGATATTTATTTTTGTTAATTTCGTCTATTTATTTGTACCCACCCGCTTAATGTTATTACTATATGTTATAATATGATGCATACCGATCTATACAGAAATTCAAGTTGTACAGGTACAGTTAGGATTTGCATTTTTTAGCATAGATTTTTTTATTTAGCTGTGATTCTTTTCCTCTGTCTTTACAGTTGTCTGTTGACGTAAATCCTTATTTACGATTATGTATATACTTTTTCTCAACGCCTCTGTAGTTTTTCCATTTGTTCATTGTTTGCATTTATCGTCAATAGTTGCTTTTAGAACCACATATTTTTGTATCTGTTTTTAAATCACTTCAACAATAGTCAAATTGGCTATTGCAGACTTTTCTTATATAAAGTTTTGTTTAATGTTGTACGCCGTATCAACTTTTCGTATAGAAAACTACGTAAATAATCTATTAAGATCCATATTTATAAAAAATGTAAGATTTTGGATGAAATCTCACTTTCACTGGTAAATTTCATTCGTATTCAAAATTCACTTGACAGTAAAATATTTGGCCGGTGGAGGTGATTTATTTAAAAAGTTATAAAATTGTAGTGGGTGAAGGTCTATCCAAAAATATTGTGAAGGGGCTAAGAGAACACACCTACTCGTCTTTGAAAGAAATGGTAAAAAGGTGCTTTAAAAATATTCTGTATGTAGGTAAATGAAAAACTTTCTTAATAATGGAAGTGTGAAAAATCAGTATTCACTTCACCTAACACAAGATTGCTAGCAAATATTTTTTTGATGATTTTGTGAAAAAAATCATGTTTTTTAGTAGCTTAAATGAGACTGAATTTCTGGGTGTAGATACTTACATCAGTTGGTTAATTTACTTTAAATGATCGTGTAGATTATTTGTAAATATTAATTTGTAGAAATTATCGAAAAATGTGTATTTCTAAAATGCATACTACAAATTTAACTTGAATTTGTATTTTTAATAAAACTCCATTGAAAAATTGAATTGGTGCTTTTTTACTCTACCATCCATTCATATCGCTGGCAAGTTAAAAACTTGGTCAAATTGCCGATTACTAAATTCGTAAAAAAATGTATGTGTTATTTTGATATATGAATAAGAATAGAATGCCACAACTATGCATATTGATAAATATGGTTTATTTATTCAGATATACAAAAACACGATATAGAAATCATTTTCTTTTAAATGTTATCGCTAACGCTTTGGCAGTTGAAGTCTGACGTTTTTCCGTCTTAATTTGGCATCAATAACAAGTTGCGCTTGTCTCTTCAAATATCCCCTAGAAGGTACTTCCTCTTCATCATCTGAAACTGATGGTTTAATGTTAATACAGCGAAACAGGGATTCTTCTATTACGAAGGGAACATTAATATAGTTTGCGACGTTCACAATTTCACCTTACTCTTGTTATGAAAAAACATCAGATAGTATATTATAAAATATTTTCCACGTGTATCCATAACTTGTACAATGACAACTGACAACAAATAACAGCTGAATATCTAGTAATTTTTCAAAATACTCATATCGACAAGTGACTAACAATCCTGACCCATCTGTCAACGCTAGATTTATTGACAGCGTTGTAATTTGTTGTGGTCGTTTGTATGCTACGGTTTCATACGTCCTAACGACGCTTTTATTTACAAAAGTTAAATGGCTATTAATGATCGTGACTATATTTGGTCAGGTAGGAATAAACCAGTTTTTGTGTTTTGACAGTTCTAGTCCTGAGTCTTACACCTGATTCATTATTCCAAACTCGCCAAACTTTAGTTCAAAGATGATGAGAACTTGGTGATCAGGTGTTTACCTCAGTAGACATCAAAACGTAATGTATACTCGTGAAAAATACTTTAGCGCCGCGGTGTCTTGTTCAAATCAAGTGTTCTAACGATATGCTCGAATTTCAGGCATCAGGTCCTCAAATACCACTCGAGATGTTCGAACGCGTCGTGGAAAACTGTAATTCCACAATTGACCGCAGTGACATCCGACATTTGAAAGAAATAAGCTTCAAAAACTGAATGGAAAAAATGCTTTTTTTTATTATAGATAACTCGTGAATGTTCATTATTTCAAGATTTTCCCTTTTGGAAAAACATACTCCAAGATCGCTCGTTAAAAGGGATACGTTAAACGGTGGAAGGTAGTTGCTTTCTTTTACCTGGAGCTGGAGGTGCTGGAGAAGTTCCTGGTTGAGAAACGGGAGTAGTTCGTATCAGGCTAGAATATGATCCTGGTAGCCATTTCTCTTCTGGGTCTTCGATACTCAGGATCTAGAAAGAAATAGATGGAAATTATAGGAAACTTCACATAGGCTGGAATTTTCGAGCGTTGTTATGAGCTTTATTAGCCATGACTTGTTAACCGACACTTCAGAGGTCCCATACGTTACTTATATTGTATACAGGGTGACTTCGAAGTTGAGTCATTTATTTTAACAGTGAGTAGATCTGATCAAAAGAAATGTTTTTTCCTTTACCATTTTTCTGTTAAAATTAAAGTAACAAAGTTATAGCCCTTTGGAAGTTTGAGTACCGCCCTGTCTCAATGGTAATATTATGTGCTCGTGTTTGGCAACAACGGATATAATCCGCCATCGGTTCATCGCATCGGAAACAAAAAAGCGAAAGAATTTGGAACGATGTTTTTACAATTATTTTATTCAGTTGTGTTGTATACAGTCAGTGTCAGTCGGTAACGCGTCAGTGAATAGTGGTGTCTGTTGCGTGGCTCAAACGAAATAAAAAATGGCACATGTTTATGCGGATCGGTTTCCCAATCGAGTGCAACCAACCCCTCGTGCCTTTGTTAATGTAGTACAACGGGCTCGTGAATCAGGTGACTTAAGACGGCATGCCGGTGCTCCAAGACCTCGCGATCAAATACAGGTCCGCACTGAAATACTTGTCGGGAGGATACTTTATAAAACAAGGTAAATTTTTTTTTATTTTTACACACATATTTTGGTTTATCTTCCTTGTACAATCATTATCTGAAAATTAATGACTCAACTTCAAAGTCACCCTATATATATATATACTAAGTGACATATAAATCCGAACACCCAGTTTAAATGGTTTTATTTTAATAAAAGTTGGTGAATGTATTTATCTTACTGTAAATAACAAGTGAAAAAGTGTTCAGCCTTATCAGTTGGACACTCCGGTTTTTATACTGTTTTTTTTTTTAATTTACAAACGCTCTAAAAATGAGTATTTCAGCCGCAGTAAAGAATCAACGTTGGCGGATTTTGGTTCTTGACATCCTTTACGATCGGTTACGATGCCTAGAGTACGGAGACCTGTACGATTTCGTCAACTTAGTGAGTTTGATAGGGGCCGTATAGTGGGACTTCGGGAAGCTGGACTTTCTTTTCGGGCAATTGCAGTTAGAGTGCAAAGAAGTGTAGACACTGTGGTTAGGTGTTGTCAGGCATGGCTTCGAGAAGGCTGTACGCAAAGAGCAAGGGGCACTGGACGCCACCGTAGAACAACAGACCGTGAAGATCGCCGCCTAAGATTATTGGCCTTAAGGGACCGTTTCTCCACTACCAGGTCCATTGCAAATGAATGGTTTGCAGAACACGGAAGACCTATTGGCATGCGAAGTGTTTACCGACGAATGAGAAGTTTTGGCTTGTTTTCATACCGGCCACACTGGGTCCTCCTTTTAACTCGAGAACACCGACGTAATCGCCTTAAGTGGTGCAGACAACGGTCACTCTGGGATCAGGAATGGAACAGTATTGTCTTTAGTGAAGAGTCTCGATTTTGTTTAGGCATGCACGATGGTCGTGCCAGGGTTAGAAGGCGACGTGGTGAAAGGAGGAATCCACAGTTTTTTGTTGAAAGACATGTTCATCACACTGTTGGAGTTATGGTTTGGGGTGCTATAGCTTATGGTTCCAGGTCACCTTTAATCTTCATCAGAGGTAACATGAACGCGCAGCGTTATATCCACGAAGTTCTAGAACCCCATCTTTTACCCTATCTTGACACCCTGGCAGATCCAACTTTCCAACAAGATAATGCCCGACCACATGTTGCAAGAGTCACAATAGACTTCTTTCAAGATAATGATGTCACATTGTTACCCTGGCCACCAAGATCTCCCGACTTATCCCCAATTGAGCACGTGTGGGATATGATGGGTAGGATATTGCTCAATTTGCAACGTCCTCCTCAGACTTTAAAAGCACTTCGAGAGGAGTTGGTGGTTGCCTGGAATGAGATACCACAGGAGGACATTGACCACCTGATCAGAAGCATGCCTAGGCGTGTTGGAGAATGCGTAGCACATCAGGGTGCATCCACACATTAAAGGTCAAAGGGCTTTAAAGCAGTGCAATCATTTTGAAATTTTTATCATTTACTTATTATGCTTCATTAAGTACTTATACAAAATTTTATTAAAATAAAACCATTTAAACTGGGTGGTCGGATTTATATGTCACTTAGTATATATATATATATAAGATGGCAACGTTATATTTTCATTCGTGACCTAACGACCAATATCGTTCTAATGATTCTTTGAAGTATGAAATAGCGCTGTTTACGACTTTGCATCTATTATATAGGGTGGTCAAAAGGAGGGTAGAGTAGTACACCCCCCCCCCCCCCCCCAGGGAGCTGCACGTGCTAAAGTGTTTTTTGATGCCAAACTTGTGTCCCCCTCGAAAACAAAATTGACGGGTCTGAGCGTTTTTCAAAAAAAAAAAAAAACAAAAAGTGAGCTGCCAGTAAAAGCGTCTGTTTCGTTTTCGATGCGCCACCCTGTATAGAAGCTCTATCTAAATGTGCAATAAAATATAATATTAATATTATAAAATTACATGTTTGCTATAACACGAAGTTATGAAACACCTTGTATATATTAAAATAATTTTAAAATATCCATTATTATTCGTAACATATCAAGGTTACGACGAAAACAGATGATTGATATCTTTTCCAGTTTGGTCACAAAACTAATTTGCATTTTTGTTGGGACACCCTGTATATTGGCCATCATGTAGAAACGTTGATTATCGTATTCTAGAACGTACCAAATCCTCTGGTTTGATTTCCAAGTGAGATCGGTCAGGTTCTAGTTTCCTCATAACAACTTTTAGCTCATCTTTCACTTTTTGTAGAGTGACTATCGCTCTTGTGTCTGGCATGCCCAAGGGATTCAAGCAGAGGTATAGGCCCATCAAACCTTCTGCTAAAGACTTCAGTGCTTCCTCTTGTGTAGCTTGTTCGTCTCGGTACTTTTGTGCCTCCTCGTTGATTGTTTTGATTTGTTGCTGGATTTTTTCCATTTCTCCAGTTTTCCTATGAAGTTTCGCTTTATTGAGGTGCTGTGTCGCGCAGAGACTAACAGTGGAACACGAGACTAGTGGTGTAGCACTCTTGTAGAAAATATGTTGCTGTTACACTCTCATTGTAAGATATTCTGTTTATATATAAAGAGTACGTGTGTTGTGCCTTTTATTATTATTTTAATTTATAAAAATGGATTTGCCAGATTTACTGTATCAGTGCTATGCCACTAGTCTCACGATTTGGTCTCTGGCTTGACCGTGGTCGCTGTCTCCGTGCAGAACGGCACCTTTGGAAATATTTAATTGTGTCAAAAAAACTACTTTTCTTGTACTTTCAGTAATAAATCAGAAGAAAATAATTTTAAAAATGGTCAAAATTTGCATTGCAATCGAATTATTTGTTAGGTATAAATCTTACTTTTCGGCTTCCTTTACTTCTGCGTATTTGTATGAATCATATTTATTTCTCAAATACTCCAGCTTCTTTGTAAGCTTTTGTTTTTCGTCTTCAGATTTTTTACGAAGTACCATCATCCTCTGTTTGGTGTCCTTTTGAGATTTAAATTTTTCCAAAACTTCTTCTGTTGTTGTGCCACCTAAAACATTACGATCACGAGAATACCATATATAGAAAAATAGTTTTTTCGATCTATTTATGTAGTGTCGGTTATGGTATACGATGCCTGTAAATTGAGTGGCAACGTAGCGTTCGATCTGGCAACACTGGAGGCGCCGGGCTTGGAGGGGAGACAGGAGAGTCATTTGTAGCGATTTGTTTTGTGTTCTAAAAATAAGTGACATCAGTTTCGAGCAACAGTGTGCTATTAGGTTTAAACTCTTACTAAACTTCAGCAGAACCAAGGAGATAGAGTTTTGTCAAGAGCCCAGGTTTTTCGGTGGTTTTTGGCATTTGCAGAGTCGTTTGAAGATGGAACCGATGAAAATATCGACAGAATCCGGGATCTTGTGCGTGCAGATCGTCAAAATGATCGGGGAAGAGTTAAATTTGACTCATACCACCGTTGATCAGATCAGTAAATGAGTTTTTGGCCAGTAAACACATTCCTGAGGCTACTCAGCCCCCTTATTCGCCTGATTTGAGTCCTTCTGAGTTTTTTCTCTTCCCGAAGTTGAAAAAATCAGCGCAAGGTGAGACAGTTGAAAACATTTACGGCTGTAACCGACCAGCTGAAGGCTATTCCAGTATCGAAGTTCCAGCACTGCTATGAGGGGCTGAAGAACTGTCTCCAGCGATGTGTGGCTTTAGAAGGAAGTTATTTTGAGGGTGAAGATATAAAATTGTAATTATATTTGAATAACATTTTTGTTTAATCAGTCTCATCACTTAATTTATAGTCCTCGTACATACATTAGTTTATGAGCACTTTGGATGTGTTTGTGGGCACACAATAGTTCGATGATTCACTTAACAGTTGGAATACTCATGCGAAATTTCAGCAGAAAAACTTTATTGTGTTGTATCTCTTTTACCATATTTATTTTGTGTTCATATGGTTAAGCGTAAGAATAGCTTGAGCTAAACTTCGCCACATTGAATCCCACTTATTAATAAAGACCATATTATTATTATTATTATTATTATTATATGCAAATGAAACCAGCAGTATTTTCGAGTATAAGAAACTTCCTATAGTCAAAATCACGAAAGATGACTCTTACGTCATACCATAAATTGTACTGAAGTAATCAATGGATGTATATGTCTATGATAAAATCACGATGTCAGGAACATAATAACAACAAACTTATATTATGATTTTGCGAAGTTAGGTTATTTCACAGATTATTTTTATTTTCATTTCATTTCATGGTTTTGAGTGATACCTTGATAATAATTTTTGTGAGGAGTTTTTGCTTTGAAAAAAAACTACAGTTATGAGTAGAATACCTCAAGACAGGAACACCAAAGACCAAAGTATCATTCGAAAACAACCTAACCTGCTTTAACATAACCTAACTATTCATATTTTAAATATGATCGATCATGCAACATGAAAACATCGTCTATCTTTGTCGGATACATGCAAATTACCAATACAGTTTGTTTAGACAATACAATTGTTTGTCTCTGTCTAACATATCTAAAACTTCATTAAAAATATTCACAAATCGCTGTCGTTTGTCTTTACTACAGACTACAATGATGACGTAATCGTCATCTTTCGTGATTTCGACTATAATTGAACCACTCACCAGTAGCCCTCTTAAGGACTTCAAACTGTTCGGCCGCCTCTTCGACGGGATGCTGTTGCGGCGGTGTCAATACCGGAGGCGGTTCCCCTTCCTCTGCCCCTTCTGGCTCCGGTCTTTGCGGCAGTCTGCCCCCCTGGAATATGCGCCGTTCCAGCCTTTCAAGTTCGGCCTTTCGTTCGCCCACCAATCGCCGTCCTTCTGCCGCCTCCGCTTCTCTTTTTGCGGCTGCCGCGTTGGCAGCCCGCTCCTCTTTGGCCAGCAGGTAGCGGGAGTGGTCGCGGGAACGAGTTGCGTCGAGAAGGACCTAGCAGGATAGTAATAGTCGAAGCGGTTTACCAGAAAATTATAAACCCATAAGTTTTATTACTGTTATAGAAATAATTTTTAATTACAAAGAGTTTATAGTACAGGAGTAGATGGTCGAACAATCAATCATAATTAATGACCTCAAAATAAAATTATAATAAAATTTAAGTTATCAACAGAATAATTCAATTCAGAGTAAAAAGTGTGGGGTGCTTGATATATTAAATGTTACAATCATTCTATTGGCCCCACGCTTTTTACTCAGAATTCGATTATTCTGTTAATAACTTATATGTATATATATACAGGGTGTCCGCAAAGTTGGGGTTTTCCTTTACACAACGTGTAGATCTTGAAAACATAAGCAATTTTTCTTAGTACCATATACACCAATGTCTTAAGGGAACCGAGATAAATGGGTTCTGCAACATCAAAAATATCTGAATACCGTCCTGTAGCCGCGACATCCCCGAGTGGTACTAGGACACTAGCTCAACCCGACGACAGAACTGGGTCGGGGTCAGTGTGTCAGGTCAGTATGCAACCTTCAACCGACGGTTACGGTCACGCGTGTAGAGGTAATCGCGTAGACGAGAATCCCTCAAGAAGCACTAGAGAAGTGCAAGTATCAAAAACTAAAGTGTGGCAAACGCTGCGAGAAGAGGGGCTGTATCCGTTTCACGTCCAACGTGTACAAGCCCTTAAACATGACGATTTTCCAGCAAGAGTGCGGTTTTGTGAGTGGTTGTTGCATCAACATGACAATAATCCGGACTTTTTGGAGTGCATATTGGTGACAGACGAATCTACGTTCACGCGTAATGGGGTGTATAACTTTCGGAGCACTCATGTTTGGTCAGTAGAAAATCCGCACGCTGTCCGTCGGGCACATTTTCAACAAACATTTTCGGTGAATGTTTGGGCTGGCATGGTGAACGGTATGCTCATTGGACCATTTATTCTCCCAAAACGATTGGACGGGATGCAATACCTAGACTTTTTACGCAACATTTTGCCTTTCTTGTAAGAAGATGTGCCATTAAGTGTAAGACAATCAATGTGGTTTCTGCACGATGGTCATATTTGTTACATCTGTTCGTGGTCTGCACCACCGCCGGCGTCTGCTCGGTAGCGCATCAGCTGATTTCATTTTCTGTTGGAGCGGTATGATTTCGGGCAGAGACGTACTTAGCCCTTCTCGTCAACTGGAGAGTGAGTACTTTTTCCTTTATTTTTTTACTTGGTCGCCCTCGTTTCACTACACATTACCTTTGTTATTTCAAGGGTAGTTGTATCTGAAAAGGAAAACCCCAACTTTGCGGACACCCTGTATATATGTATATATATATATATATATAAACATAAAGTGCAATACAAAACAGAACATACGAGAACATGGCCAATGTAGTTTTTATGAGAGCACAATTCATGTAAAAAAGAACCAGACGACTCAAAAATAAACATACTGAGACATTTTCATTTAAAACGTAGCGAGGTTTGATTATACTTCGGTCGTGCAGGAGATCAGCTTTCAATCTTTTTTTAAAATTGCGGAGGCTCAGATTCTTGAGATCTACTGCCAAGCTGTTATACAGTTTCGTAGCATTGTATGAAAAGCTGCGCTTAAACAGAGCCGTTGAATGTTAAGGAATAACCGAAAGATGTTTACTGCGAGTTACTTTATTATCAGGCACTCTGGTAAGTTTATTGTATAGATAAGTACTCCCCTACAGAGGATCTATGAAAGAATTTATCAGTCCTGTGCGAAGTTTCAAATTAATCAAACTTCTGGAAATTGGTGAAAAGTATGCTCAAAGATCCCGTTACATACATACATACATACAAGACAAGCTAATAAAAGCGTGTTAAAAAAATAGCAATCGAGCTGACACGTTTACTTCCCACGTCACTGACTAGGTACTGCGTTTACAGTGGCGTTCTATGCATTATGATATAACCTAACCAAAAAAAAATGTCTGACTGAAGCCTCAGCCTGCCAGATAATTGTAAAGCGTAAAAAACGAGGTTTGAGAACGATCTGAAACGTTGTTGCTCATAACTTCGCTGTCACTACACCGATTTTGGAAAATCAAGTAGCATTAGGTACCTGCTATGTCCCTGGAACATATTCCAACCCAAAATCGATGCAGCCATTTATGAGATTACGTTATTAGAAAGATCCAGACAGACATTCCGTGGGAAATGGGTAAAATGGATTTTCCTGATATTACATACAATTAGTCCACAGACAAGTCTTCCCTTGCTATATCGGCACTACCGTTAATCTGGCAACGTCTCTCCTGAACCGTACCTGACCACAATTTGATACAAATTTCAAAATCCGAGTGGCACTTTTCAAATTGTAGACGGAACCGATCTTTGGGGATAGACAGACAGACGGAAATGAGTGACATGGTTTTGCTGTACATGTCGTATAACATCCAAAAAGTACCGCGGGAAGTAGAGTCTTTACTCAGAAGGAGGTACTCCTAAAAGTATCTTATTCTGTGTTTTCACCGTTTTCTATGAGAGAGAAGTGGAAAACTTCATAATTCTAACGTAAAATTTCACACCAAAGCTGTGATGTGATAATTCCTAGCGTGACGTATAATAAGGTTGTGAGGAAAATAAGTGTTATAATGTGACATTCATAGTTTGACATGAAATGTAAAGTCCGATATCTGGATCAAAAATCAAACCGATCGTTAAACTTGAACAGGACATACAGTGAATTAAAATAAATTTCAGTGTACGAATTGCTAACAAGCAATCTAAAACAAAATTACGTCAGACTGTATCAGAGTTGCAAAATGGATATACTAATGGGTGATTTTTTGCTAGTATCTTTTTGGCAACACTGTTTTTGACAGCTGACGCGTGAATCGTGTCTTGTGTCATTGTCAAACTTGTTCAGTTTGGTCTATAATTTAACCATGAATCGACTTACGAACGAACAACGCTTGCAAATTATTGAATTTTACTATCAAAATTCATGCTCGGCTAAGGCCCGTATCGTCAGTCGTCCCTACAATTGTAGGGCGCCTTTATGGCCTCCTTGATTGTCATAGTTTTCTACTTCTCCGTGTCAACGCTCTATTTTGAAGTTATGTTACAAACATCTATTTGCATCAAATTGTGCTTGCTTTTGAGTTATATCATGTTTTATCAGCCTGAAATTTCCTACAATTTAAGAAGAAAACATATCTTCACAATAGGAGAGCGCTGACGCTGACACGGGACAAGTGTAATCTAGACATTTTTGAAGGAGAGAAAGGAGTATGACAATCAAGGAGGCCATAAACGCGCCCTACAATTGTAGGGACGACTGACGATACGGGCCTAAGAGAGTGCATCGAGCACTGCTTCCAATTTGTGGGCAATTTGGTAGGCCTACTGAGGGAGCTATTCGGAAGCTTGTAACTAAATTTCGAACCCAGTTTACATTTTTGGACATTAAACCACCAACACGCAGACGTAGAGTGAGGACTCAAGAAAATATTGCGGCTGTATCCGCCAGTGTTAGTGATGACCGTGAAATGTCGATTCGCCGCCGTTCGCAGCAATTGGGCCTCTGTTACTCCACTACGTGGAAAATTTTGCGACAGGATTTGGGTGTAAAACCTTATAAGATACAGCTGGTGCAAGAATTGAAGCCACACGACCTCCCACAACGTTTCCAATTTGGTGAATGGGCGCTGGCAAAGTTGGAGGAAGATACACATTTTTATCGAAAAATTGTGTTCAGCGACGAAGCTCATTTCTGGTTGAATGGGTACGTTAACAAGCAAAATTGCCGCATCTGGAGTGAAGACCAGCCAGAAGCATTGCAAGAGCTACCAATGCATCCCGAAAAATTCACTGTTTGTGTGGATTATGGGCCGGTGGCATCATCGGGCCGTACTTCTTCAAAGACGACAATGGCCGGAACGTAACTGTGAATGGCGAGCGCTACCGTGCGATGATAACAAACTTTTTTTTGCCCAAAATGGAAGAGCTGGATTTGGCTGACATGTGGTTTCAACAAGACGGTGCCACATGCCACACGCTCACGAAACAATGGCCCAATTGAGAGTTCGGTGAACAGTTTATCTCACGTTTGGGGCCCGTCAATTGGCCGCCTAGATCGTGTGATTTAACGCCGTTGGACTATTTCTTGTGGGGCCATGTTAAAGCTAATGTCTACAGAGATAAACCAGCAACGATTGACGCACTGGAAGCCAATATTGAAGCATTTATTCGTGAGATACCGGCCGATATGTTGGAGAGAGTGTGCCAAAATTAGACCTTGTGCATGGGCCATCTAAAGCGGAGCCGCGGCCAACATTTACATGAAATAATCTTTAAACATTAAATTGTATCGACCGTTCTATCGACTCAAATAAAGATTTAATTCGTTTTTTCAAATTTTTTGTGTTTTTTTTGAAAATCAAATCCTATACCTCTTAAAAAATCACCCGTTATAAATCATCTTCCAGCTATTAAAATTCAATTTTGTCTAAACAGAAAATACTTCACTGTATTTAGAAATACAAAGTCAGTCTCCTTGACTCCGTCTCTTTTTTCAGTGCGTTTTCCTTAAATCAACAAAATGTTGTTTTCTTAGTACTCAGCGCCAGGTGTTATATAGCTTTCGGTTACCTTCTGCAACTTTTCGATATCCTGTTTCTGCGTTTCGAGTTCCTCTTCGATGGTCTTGATCTGACTTTCGAAAGTGTCCGCGTCCTGCTTCAAGGAACTTCGGATGTCGCAGTACCTGTTTCTCACGTGTACCGCCTCTCGAATTTGCACTTCCATGGCGTGGATGCTGTTGCACAGCTCACCTGTTATCTGGTAAACAAAAAGGCTATGCAATCTTTGTTAAATCATCTTTTGATATTATTGCAATGTGTGGTCCAGCGGTAAGTTCGAAAACACGGAATCGTAAAAAGTATAATTTTGTCTTAGATAATATAGCTTTTGTTGTGATTATATCAGTGTCCAAAGCTACTAGACGGACTCAACAGACGGCGACATGGGTATCATGTAAAAAACCTATAAAACGTCAAAAAAAAAACCTGTAAGAT